TGTGCTTGCTGTTCTTTGACACTTTGAATGAGGTTCCATTTGCCATGTGTATCTGTCCACCGGCATGGTCCAAAGTCACTCGTGCTCCCTCATCCATTAATGAGTTGGTTGACAATAGATTCACATTGAGATTCTTAACATACAAGACATTCTGGAGTAGTGTTTCTCCATGTGCAGTTGATATGTAGAGATCTCCTATAGCACTTGCATCCAGAACCTCCTTTCCAGCCATGTAGATGCATTTTCAGCAGGTTCTTGGGTTTATGAGTGTGCTATAGTCATTGGTCATGTGAAAGCTAGCTCCTGAATCCAGTATCCAACAGGTCATTTCTTCTGGGTTCTTCTTCCAACTTGGGGTGAGGGAGCACCAAGCATCCTACTATTTGGAGTTGGTGAGTGGCGAATCTTTGGGAATGGTGACAGTGGCATTGCATTTGCCTGCACCATGACTGATTTGCCTGCACACAAAACACTGGATTTTTTGGCATCTGTATCCAGTCTTGGCAGTTTTGCTGTCATCATCGTTGTCAGTTTCATGGGCCAATTCGTCCTGGTCACCATCACCTGCTGTCCTGGCATGACCTTGCTGGGGATCAAGCTTCTGGGTGGGAATGCTCTCTAATGCTGATTGACATATGCTAAGTGCCATGGCCAGCGCTTCAAAGTTGAGTTGGTGGATGGTGGCAACCATCTCCCTGAACATTGGGTGGCAAATCGTGCATTTCTGGAGAGCAGAGAAGAGAGTATCATCTGCAAATGGTCTTCCCAGGATGCTTCCTTCAGCCTGGATGGTCCTGATTTCCTGTATGAGTTTCCAAATGTCGGAATTGAACATCTTGATGTCACCCAGCTGAGTGATCAGAGTGAGCTGACGAGAGGTTCTGGTGGCATTGTTGCCTAACCTTGCTTCTATCTTGCTCCAGACTTGATGAAATGTGAGGTACTCTCTTATTATGTCCAAAAGAAGATAGTTTACATTATACTCTCCCATGGTGTCAATGGTCCCTCGTAGGGCATTTGTTAATGCATCATCGAATGAGCAACTCCATCTGGGATGGTTTGCATCAAATGTTCCTTCGAGGTGTTCCATAGCGTATGGTACCCATCAGAGGAAAGACTTTACATGTGCATTCCAGCTATAGTAGTTCTGGGTGGTGAGCTTTGGCACTGGTTTGAGGAGTTTGTCATGGGCCTGGATGCTCAAGAAGCAGGAGGGTCACTGGTTCATATGGAAGGAGCACAGGTATCGAAGATCTAGTCGATACCAGTAGAGAGCATGGTCGTAGTGCAGTCTCCATGGAAACCATGGACTCCTATGGACTCACATGCAAAGGAGCACTGAGTCATATGCGAGGAAGGCCAGGCATAGCCACGAGGAGGACCAAGCTCAAGGAGCATGCAGATGGTTACTGTCATGGGCCTGGATGCTCAAGAAGCATGCACAGGTATCGAAGATCTAGTCGAGATCAGTAGAGAGCATGGTCGTAGTGCAGTCTCCATGGAGACCATGGACTCCTACGGACTCACATGCAAAGGAGCACTGAGTCATATGCGAGGAAGGCCAGGCACAGCCATGAGGAGGACCAAGCTCACAGAGCAGGCACAGCCACGAAGGGGACCAAGCTCAAGGAGCATGCAGATGGTTACCACTCAGGGGCTCGAGAGACAAGAGTCAAAGGAACTGTCACTGGTCAAAGGAAGAGGAGCAGTGTTGAAGGAGTCGACACCAGGTCATGAGGAGGAGGAGCAGTGTCGAAGGAGTCGACACCACTCAAGAGACACAGGGGTGCCAAGCAGGAGAGGCCCCTGAACAGCACTCAATGAAGAAGGTACTCTCTGGAGAGAGAGCAGGAGCAGCGTCGCTGGCAATGCTGTGAAGAGGTATATAACCATGCTTTCTCATCATCATAGGTCAAGTGGATCCTCATCCACTCTACTCACCATAACTAGTTATCACTTCAGCATAAGTATACATTAGTTTCAGTCAGCATAGCAGCAATCTATCAAGGTTGTGTCAGGGGTCTTGCGCCTGAAACCCAGGTCGGTCTGTCGAGATACTCGGTGACTATCAAACTGTGCGACAGCTATTGTCTCGAGATACTCGGTGACTATCAAGTTGTGCAGTGACAGCAGGTGGCGTTTGTTGTATATACTATCGTAGGTTTCGGCTGACCTCTGTGGACACTCCGTTCAGGGGTAGCTCGGCACGATCAATATCAATGTTATGATGACACCAAGGTCTGGTGTGCGTGTTGATGATGATGAGGTTGATGGTGTTGGTGATGAGATTGGTGATGTCGATGATAATGAGGTTGATGGTGTTGGTGATAAGGTTGGTGATGTCAATGATAATGAGGTTGATGGTGTTGATGATAAGATTGGTGATGTCAATGATAATGAGGTTGATGGTGTTGGTGATAAGGTTGGTGGCGTCAACACGAGTGTCCAGTGTGTTGACTTGATGCTTGAAGTGATCCCCGGACCGCAGTGGACTACTGCCTTCGGTTCTATCTATATCTGGACTGCTAACCTGCTATGGGCGCCTTCGGACGTCAGGTAGTGGTGATACAACACACACACTACGATGAGGAGCAACCTTGATAGATTGCTGCTATGCTGACTGAAACTAATGTATACTTATGCTGAAGTGATAACTAGTTATGGTGAGTAGAGTGGATGAGGATCCACTCGACCTATTGATGAGAAAGCATGGTTATATACCTCTTCTCAGCATCGCCAGCGATGCTGCTCCTGCTCTCTCTCCAGAGAGTACCTTCTTCATCGAGTACTGCTCAGGGGCCTCTCCTGCTTGGCACCCCTGTGCCTCTTGAGCTGTGTCGACTCCTTCGACACTGCTCCTCCTCCTCATGACCTGGTGTCGACTCCTTCGACACTGCTCCTCCTCCTTTGATCAGTGACAGTTCCTTTGGCTCTTGTCTCTCGAGCCCCTGAGTGGTAACCATCTGCATGCTCCTTGAGCTTGGTCCTCTTCGTGGCTGTGCCTGCTCCTTGAGCTTGGTCCTCCTCGTGGCTGTGCCTGCTCCTTGAGCTTGGTCCTCCTCGTGGCTGTGCTTGGCCCTCCTTTGCATGTGAGTCCATAGGAGTCCATGGTCTCCATGGAGACTGCACTACGACCATGCTCTCTACTGGTGTCGACTAGGTCTTCGATACCTGTGCTCCTTCCATATGAACCCATGACCCTCCTGCTTCTTGAGCATCCAGGCCCATGACAGGTTGCTCCTCATCGTAGTGTGTGTGTTGTATCACCACTACCTGACGTCCGAAGGTGCCCATAGCAGGTTAGTGGTCCAGATCAAGATAGAACCGAAGGCAGTAGTCCACTGCGGTCCGGGGATCACTTCAAGCATCAAGTCAACACACTGGACACTCATGTTGACGCCACCAACCTTATCACCAACACCATCAACCTCATTATCATCGACATCACCAATCTCATCACCAATACCATCAACCTCATCATCATCAACACTCACACCAGACCTTGGTGTCATCATAACATTGATATTGATCATGCCAAGCTACCCCTGAACGGAGTGTCCACAGAGGTCAGCCAAAACCTACAATAGTATATACAACGAACGCCACCTGCTGTCACTGCACAACTTGATAGTCACCAATACCGAGACAATAGCTGTCGCATAGTTTGATAGTCACCGAGTATCTCGACAGACCGACCTGGGTTTCAGGCGCGAGACCCCTGACAGGTTGCTCCTCATCGTAGTGTGTGTGTTGTATCACCACTACCTGATGTCCGAAGGCGCCCATAGCAGGTTAGCAGTCCAGATATAGATAGAACCGAAGGCAGTAGTCCACTGTGGTCCAGGGATCACCTCAAGCATCAGTCAACACACTGGACACTCGTGTTGATGCCACCAACCTCATCACCAACACCATCAACATCATTATCATCGACATTCATCAACCTTATCACCAAACCATCAACCTCATCATCATCAACACTCACACCAGACCTTGGTGTCATCATAACATTGATAGTGATCGTGCCGAGCTACCCCTGAACGGAGTGTCCACAGAGGTCAGCCGAAACCTATGATAGTATATACAATGAACGCCACCTGCTGTCACTGCACAACTTGATAGTCACCAATACCGAGACAATAGCTGTCGCACAGTTTGATAGTCACCAAGTATCTCGACAGACCGACCTGGGTTTCGGGCGCGAGACCCCTGACAGAGTTTACTTAACATACAGAAGCTGTATCATTTGCTGACATTGTCATCATCCAATTCATCTTCGGGATCATCATTGATCTCATTGTCATTGTTTGCTGTTTGTGTCTGCCAGATAATTGTCACCTTCTTGGTTCTTTTAGACCTCTTGGCAGCTTTGCTGGCCCCAGCATGAGGGTTGGTGTCATCTACCATGGTTTGCTTTGGTGGAGAGGTTTCAGACTTCTAATCAGTTGAAGCTATACCATGCACCTCCTTTGTCTGAGCCATGTTCTAGCTCTTTCATACTAGTGTGTTGTAGATGTAATGCTTAAGATTCATTGTGTGCTATTGCTACAGGGTTGTGTATATATATACCTTTGTCCTGTTTATGAGATGGCTTGTTGTTCTCTTTTGAGTCATGCCCATTTTGTAGTATCTTGGTGTTTTCCTTTCATATGCTTCTCCTGATTGGTTGCCACTCAATTTAGTATGCATGCAGAGGATTGGTCTGTTGGTTGCTCGCTTTTCTTGCATATTGGTTATCCCGGTGACTCTTCAACTGGATGGCTCGCGAGTGACAGCTGCCGCCAAGTTGATGGACAGCGGTTGGGGGGAGTAAAGAATGTTAGATCTCGCTTGCATTTTTCTTTCTTTACAAAATCGCGAATCGCGTCCGAACGCGGGTCCACAGAGATCTGATTCTTCTCAACGAGACACACACCAACTGGTCTCACTCCCATCAATTCCTGCTCATCCCTTCCGACCAGCACCGCATATCCTCCGACGTCCGTCTCCTATACCGCAAGATGGCCAAAGTGTCGCAGCCGGAGCTCAAACGCTTCCTTGACAAGCGCATCGCTGTCAACATTCAAGGCGGACGCAAGATCCAGGGCACACTTCGAGGATTCGACATGTTCCTCAACCTTGTTGTCGACGATGCCATCGAACAAGTCCATCCCGAGGCAGGAAACCCTAATGTATGGCAAGATGGCGATCGATGCGGCACTGTAGTGGTCCGAGGCAACAGCGTCACCTCACTAGAGGCGCTCGAAAACGTCAAGACAAGGTGATCGCACGCTACCTTCGTCCCTTTCACCAGATAGCCCTCCTCATCAAAACATCATTTCGCTCGAACAGTCAGACATGGCTGCCGAAGCCTCGCATCATGGCCCCCGGATCTACAAAAGGATGAACTCAAGGTCGATCGCTTGCCAATCCTAATCAAGTTATTCTATCGCTCGCTCTCCACTTCCTCGCGCTACACACTCCAACATCTCGGCCTCACCACAGGCTCTGCTGGCTTTCAGCTCTCGCAGATCTTTACGACCATTATACCAGACGCACTCATTGGCTCTCTCAGCTTCACTCAGTCGTCACCCTTTCGTGTGCAGTGTGGGTCTCGTCCTTTCCGTGACGATCCTGTCGCCCCACCGTCCACAAGATACTATGCAATCGTTTTTCTCTCGACGGGCTACAGCCTCAGTTTCAAAGAACACTGTCCTCATCCTATGTACACTAGCAGCAACCTATCTCGTCTTCGTCCCATTGCGTGTCAAGTCTCTCATGCCGCGTCTACGAAAGAGTGTTGGTGCTTGACGACGACGGTCGAATGCAAGCGTGCTAAGCTCCACGCGAATCCCTGGAGACAAGCAGAAATTTCTCACTTCTTCCACATTTTTCGGATTTCTCAGCCCGACGCAGGTGCCAACACAACGCACCGCAACGCAAGGCCAACATGCACGCTCTTCAACAAGATCGACTACATGTCCAGAATATGACAACTGCTGGACAGCTCGGCTTGATTCCTTGCCACCTTTTTCCTCACCCTGTACCTCTTGTCAGCCTTGCTCTTCCTCTTCTTGAAATCTGGGTCATCTTTGAACCTCTCCAGCCATTCCCTTGCCCTTGCAGCCTCTTTACTTCTCTTAGCCAGTTTTTCCTCCACAGTCATGCTGGCTTTCCCTGCATAATAATGCTCCAAATTCTTTGCATTGTTCTTTACACACTTTACTTCAGCCACCTTTTCATTCAAGGACTCCTTGTACCTCTGCATGGACTCCTCCCTTTTTTTTTTACTCCACAACACCAGCAGAGCTTTAGCAGAATGCTTGACCAACTTATATCCTTCATTGGCTCTCAGGTGAAGTGCATCATAGTTCTGGTGGGCATAGAAGCCGTCAAATTGAGGGTCCGGGTTGTCAGAGGTCATGCACCTGAAACCTGAAATCTGTAGTAAAAGGCAACTACAATTAATCTTGGCAAGATCTGTAGTAAAGGCCTTCTATTATTGTTCTTGCTGGAATCTGTTGTAGAAGCCTTCTATGGCTGTTCTCACTCAAATATGTTATAACTGATGGTTATCATGGATTTCAACTGACCACTGGGGACACTCTGTCCAGAGGTAGCTCAGCATGATCAAGGTCCAATAGTTTGCCTGTGATGACACCAAGATCTGGTGTGGTTGAGTTGTTCTTCGACACAAGTGTCCAGTGTGTCAACTGATTAAATGAGTGATCCCCAGACTGCAGTGGACAGCTGCCTCCAGTTCTAAGATTGAGAGAGCCAGACCCCAGTATGAACTGCCTTTGGATGGCGACAAGTAGCAATGATACACCACACATGCTAAGATAGAAGCAATGCTCTGCAATTGCACCTGTTGACAGAAAACTACTAAGTATACTTATGTCAAAGATATAGCTAGTAATATGTAAGGTAGAGTGGATGGGGATCCACTCAACTACCATGAGTAGAATGCATGTCTTATATCAACACCTCTTGCAGCATTGCCTGTGACGCTGCTCCTGCTATGTCAAGATGTGCACTCCCTTCCTCAATCACTGCTTCTCCTGCTCCTTGTGGATGAGGAGACTGTCTCAGTGTTGCTTCATCGTTTGATAGGGGTTGTCCCCACTGTCACAGGGTCAGTGGATCAGCGTATGAAGTGTGTACCAAATTAATCTATGGCAATCATGGGGAATTGATGATCTAATCAGGTTGGTAGTGCATATGGCTTGCAAGATCAACCAAATTCTGGGATCCTGATTAATCTCACAAGGATCAATCAGAATCAGCCTGATCAGCATGTCTCAGCAAGTTGGCCATCATGAGCAAGCATTGGGAGATTCAGGAAGGAGGATACTGGCAATAGAAGGAGAAGTATATGGGAGATAACCACATGCAGGAGTGGGGACCAAGCTCAGCATCATGCAGATGGTTACCACTCAAGGGGTATGTGCATACAGCCACAGGGGACTGAGCACAGGGGCAACCACATGATCAAGGGGGCTTGGCAACAGGACTTGACAGGTGATTAAGGGATTCACAAGATAAGCTTGAGAAGGTAGTTGCCAGTGAAGAGAGAAGGAGCTGTGTCAAGCAGACTGGGGATTGTCTATGAGGAGGAGGAGCTGTGTCAAAGGGGTTGACACACATCACTAGGCAAAGAAGAGTATGGAGGCAAAGGGGCAGTATCACACAAACCAATATGCTGTGTGAACAGTAGAGGCACAGCATCAAAGGGAGCAACACCAGCAGGAGAGAGTGTGTCAAGAGGAGGCAAAGGCCTCTCAGGAGGAGTAGGAGAGGTGTCACAGGTGACACCAAGCAATTGCATAAATACTCTCATTCTACTATAGCATATGAGTGGATCCTCATCCACTCTACTCTATACTTTACATACTCTTTACTTGACTCATAGTTACATATCATTGCAATAGCAGAGCTTTGCAACAACACCTCAAACGTGTGTGTTATATCACCATTAGGTGTCAACTGTAGGTGGTGTTACTCAACACCTGCAGTCCAGTCCCTTACTGTAGGCAGTGTTTGCTCAACATCTGCAGTCCAGTCAGTTATTGTAGGTGGTGTCCAACACCTGCAGTCCAGTAACTCCCATCCTCTGTAGGTGATAAGCATATTGCAGTCCAGATGATGTTAGAGAGCATTAGCAACAGTACTATGAACACTCATACTGTAAGGAGAGTATACTACTCTCCCACCAAAGAATAAATGGACATGCCATGCAACCTCTGAACAGAGTGTTCAAGGCAGTCAGCTGAGACCTACCAGTACAAAGCCATCTGGTTACATTTAAGTTGAAACATCCTGAGTAGATCTTACTTGATTGTCCTCACTGATACCAATCAGAAACACCCAATCTAGTTTCAGGTGCGCGACTGCTTACACCCACTTCATCCCAGTGGCAGTGCTCACCCCCCTTTCATCTTGCTCCTGATGTTGGTGCCCACTTCCTTACACCAAGTTTCATTGTCATATAGGGCCCCTGCCTCATCAGGTGGTGGCCCATCCCTTGTCTGTTGTCCTCTTATTGCAGGATCAGTAAGAGAAACATCTTCTAACCAGTTTCCATGAGTTCTGTTGTATGAGCATGGTACTACTGATCCTGATGGATTCTGTAGTAAGACCTCACTCCTGCCAATCCCAACAAGTTCTGTCATAGAGCCCTTGGTCCTACCAATCTCACTGAGCTTGGTCAGAAACCTCTTTTTGCCCAATCCATGATTGCTGCACATGGTCTCTTCATATGATTCCAGTTCTTCCTGTGCATCCATCTGGTCCCATGACACCTGCTTCTGTATATGTTGGACTAAGAGCTCTTCAGCCTCTGGTTGTATAGCTTGCAGATGTTGAAAGGCAGCAGTGTGGCTCTTGCACCCTTTGCTGTGATCCCAGAGAGTGTTGTAAGGGACATTGTGATGCTCAGTGGCAGCCTTCAAGTCTTTGAATTGGCCTGTCTGGAATGCACTAAGAGCTTCCTGGATCTCATGGTCCTTCTGGTCCCTGTCAGTCCACAGATGGGTTTTTGCAACCCTCTTCCTAGGTGAGATGTTGACTGTTGATGTCAAAGTGGTGTAGGTTGAGCAGTTCCAACAAGAAAGGAGTGTATGGAGATGAGATCAGGACAAGTTCAAGACAAGATGAGTGTGAGAATCATAGTGGAGCTGCTGCCTTGAACTTTTGCAAATTCAGACTGCTATGTGTATCACTGACCTCACTTCCAATCTGAGACCTAGATGAATTTGACATGTACGTGAACTATGTTATGTTCCTGCATGTGAACACTCAGTCATGCACGCACGCATGCACGCACGTGACTCGCGCGAAAGCAACCAAAAATCCAACATTCTTTTCGGCATTTCTTCCTGACGAATTCCACCTGGGTATTAGCGACCAGTCGCTAGTTCCAGTTTCTTTTGTTCCAACGATTCCACACCTCACATCATCTGCAAACTCCATTCCACCAGCACAGTCAACAACAACATCGCCTGCAAGTCCTGTTCGCATCTGAACAGCGACGCGCTTCTCGCAACCACACGGCGATCAGCGAAGTCGGCAGACAGCGACTGTTTCATAACATCCCTGGAGGAACTGCATCTTGCAGACCAGCTCAAACACGCAGTGATACTGGCGCCGTTGACTCGGAGCAATGGTCAAAGACTTCGTTCACCAATCGAGCTATGACCACTCCTGGTCCTCCTGCGTCAGGGCATACTTTCTTCGTTATCCGAATCCAAGTGCCTCGCACGTGCTATCAGTAGATGTGATCGATCGCAGAATCGAGTATCGACCTGTTCGCGGCGGGCCCTCTTCGTCTGCCAGCACGTCTTCGGTCACTCTCGACCACCTCGACAGCTCATCATTGCAACGAGACACGATCCCGGTGCTCTGCACGACACGTCTCATTCTCAAGCGCGGAAACTTGCCAAAATGGGCTCCCTCGGGTTTGATCAAGAATGCAGAAAGCTGGGTCATGGAGGAGAGTGAAGTCGAACTCGATCTTTTCCCACCAAGAACAAACGCTGCTAGTCACAGCAATGCGGGAGACCAATCCGGGCCTGAGCAGTCGATCACTTCATCGGCGTCATTGGTAAAGAGCCTCAAGGGACGAACGAAGAATGGGAGAGCGATGCGCAGTTGGACACGTAATCTCGATCACACCACCGTTCTTGCTGTCACCGAGGGTCTAGTCTACAAGGAAAGATTTGGCTTCATGCGGCCTGACGAGGGAGATGACAGCAGCAAAGGGAAGAAGAAAAGCGGAACAGAGGTGGACGCAGTCTGGCGGTCTTACTGCAAGACATTAACGACAGCGCAGATCGAATCGCAAGTCAGCTTCGGCATTCTCCGAAGACGGATCGAGAAGTTTGGATTAGCTCGCTTTGTGGCGCATAAAGATACCTCACAGCAGGGTATTATGTGGACGCGCTCTCAGCTCGACGATGCAGAAGCAGCAACGACGAGCTCCACGAGCCGAGATCAAGGTGTGTTGCAGCGTTCTTCGATGCCTCAGAAGAGATTCAAGCTTCTCGAATCACTACGACCGCCCTTCCTGGACGGGTATCCGTTAGGTCCGTGGCAGAAGCTCAAGATGTGGTGGTACTCGGGTCACTACTCACAGGTCAAGGAGTTGCGTGACGGCTACCTGATCGAACGCGACGAAGACGAAGATGGCTCCTCTGACGGACATCGATCCCCTCAGCGCGCCGTATCAGCGGACGGCAGCAGCAATAGCGAGCCTGGTTCCACCAACACCGATGACGTCGCAGCTCCGATGTACTTCCGTGGAACCGAGCAAGAAGGGCCTTGGGCAGAGCTCAGCGGAAGGAAGGGCAAAGGCGCGGTTTACAGTGACCAGGATCGCAACGCCGAGGAAGGCGTGCTCAATCAACTTCGAGCTCGAATGGGACTATCTCCCTTAGAACCTCTGTCGTCGGACGGAGACAGAAGAGGTGCGTTTGCCAAAGCGGTTGAACGAGCTAGGACAAAAGTCAAATCGCTGCTGGGATTCGACGACGATGAGATGCATGCGAAGCAGCAGACGCAAGGACGATTAGAGCGCATTGACCGAGATCGCACCGTATAAAGATGCCACAATACACTCATAACGGTCACGCCCCACGGAGCCTCTCGCACTCAACACAATGGAAATGTCTTGTCTCCTCCGCTCATTTGTACAAGGCGATGAAGCTTGTTCTCAGGGTTTGTGAATACCAGGCGTCTCCACAGACCAACATCTGGACAGATGAAGAGGCATTCGGATGAGCTTTTATGTAAAAATATGTTAAGCCGGCAAATTGCACAAATGGTCTCTTCCTCAAACGTGGGGCGTGGCCGAATCGCGCCCGCGCTTTGGAAGAAACGCGTCCTAGACGCGTAGAGTGCAGGGGCGAAGCGAAAAAAGGTCACGAACGGCCTGCAATTTACGCGACAGCAGACCTGCTTCGAAGACAAGAAGCCTTGACATGGACGCACTTCATCCTAACCTCTGACTCTACCACATACATCAAGATAGCTTCCCATTAGACCTATCCTCTGGGCACCACCATTGCTGTTTCCATACACGTACCAGCATCTGCATCAGCTTTCATACCTTCTCCTCCGGATCCCTCTTTCACCCAAGCCGCTTCGCCCAGACTCGGACAATCAGTATCTGCTCTTCTCGAACACTCTGTTCGACGGCCTCATCATCGTACCCTCTCTCTCACACACACTGCTACCGATTGCTGGTAGCAGACAGCAACTTGCGAATATGACGAGTTCAGCCTCGGCCGCAGACACCTGCTCTCGCTCTAGTTCTACTGATGCTAGCTGCTCCATGGCTTCATCGTGGTCTTCGCAGCCTCGCAAGGCTGTGATGCTCAAGGGCCCTTCCCTAACGTCCAAGACCTATTTCGTGCCACTACCCGGAACCCTGGATCAGCTTGTCGCCAAAGCTGTCCAACTCTTCCCTATTCCACCCGGCAAGGTACCACACATCACGCTCGGTACTGATGAACGGGCCATCATCCTGCAAGAATCGTACGACTTCATTCGCGATCGTGAGCTCTTACACTTTCGTTGGTCGGCGGAGACACCTCGACGCAATCTCGCCAACCGTGTGCGATGGGACCAAGCCGCCGCATCCGCTTCCACCGCCCCGTTCCCCATTACCACCACAGCATCACCACAAGTCTCGAGTCCCGAAAGCCCGGTGCCAGCGTCAGTAGCATCTGCCGCAGAGGCACTCAAGGCCCAAGTGCAAACGTCGCCATCGTCCAAGCGGGACCTCACTTCCACCACTCGTGCCAACACCATTGCCAATCGGGATCCCAACGCACAGTTCGGCGAAGGCGCTACAGCACGTAAGGCGCACGTCCAGCGTGTCCTGGCCGAACAGCAACGCAAGAGGGAGGAGGAGCACGTCGCTGATGCTTTGGGATCTGCGCCCATCATTGCTGAAGTTGAACCGGATGCAGTGGTTGACAACGACCCAGAGGCGACTGAAAAGGCAGCGCTCGAGCTCGCAGCAAGCTCGACTGACACTGAGGTCACCTCTACCAGTGGTGTTCAGAAAATTTCGGAAGAAGTTCCAGCGGCAAGCTTGCAGGATTCCGACATGACGATGGATGAAGACATGGACAGCCGAACAGAGACTGCCATCACCTCGCAGGTGTCCGACGATGTCCTCTCGCCAACGGTAGTAGCTGCACCCGAGGCTGAAGCAAGTCCTGCTGCTGTCGCTATCACTATCGAGTCCCCTCCCCGGAAAAAGCACACCGACAACGGTGGACTCGATACACCTCCCTCCAGCGGCAGTCGCTCCAGTTCCCCATTCCACAGCTCTGATCGAGCGTCCAACAGCGCTCGTGCACTCGACCATCGCATGCTTGCCGAGGCCGATGATGAGCCTTCTAGCTCACCAATGTCTTCGCCGACGCGTGACATCTCTTCGCGGTACAGGAACATCGTGTCGTCAGTCCCTCCGATGCCTCAGCTTAGCATCGCACCGACAATTGTACCGGCCGAGGTCAAAGATCCTACTCAACAGGCACCCAACGCGGTCGACTCCGCATCTGCGGTCCTATCTGAGACAGAAAACGGGTCCATCACGAGCGAAGTCGTGGCCGAAGTATCGTCGAAAGATGCCGCATCATCTGAGGTCAACGCTACCCTGAGCGAGTCGGCTGCCTCGAAACCAATTAGCAACCCGGCAAACGACCGCGAACTCAACCGCATCTACAGCTTCCTCTCCAACCTCGTCTCTCAACTCCTCTCGCACAAAGCCAACTGGGCTTTTCAACGACCTATGAGTGTAGAGTTCGAACAATTCTCAACTCGCAGCTCACGTCCTGTTGACCTTTTCACCATTCGCGATAGCCTTGCTTCTCGCAAGTACGGCAGCCAGCATCTTGAGGGTCGCATGGCCGCCAATGCAGTCATCACCGACTTCGAGGATGATCTCACAATGCTGTACACCAACGCAAGGCGGTTCTTTGGCATCCGTTCGACTCAAGCCGAGTGCGTCGAGCATTTGGAGAAGTTCAGCCGGTCGTTCCTCAACGAATGGAAGCGCACTCAAGGAAGCGTAGCCCAGAAAGGGGTTCCCGCACCATCCCCGAGTGATGCTATGGCACGGCTATCGGCTTTCAGAAGCCCCGATTCGCGGTCCGAAAAGCGTCCAGGACTGCTCTCTTCGTCGCCATCCCCCATGCTGTTGGCGCCAGAAGCCTCCACAGCTAACGGCAGCGCTCCTGGCTCATCGGGCAAGACCGTTGGCATCAATGGACAGGCTGCTCTACCGAATGCGATGGGCTTGATGCGTCGACCTGACTTTACATTCAAGCGCAACACTTCCTATGAAAGCAGCTTACCAGCGGTCAAGCGACCGGCACAGCCCAACCGAGCGACCAGCGAGGCATTTGAGAAGGCTCTGCGAGCTGCTACAGCCACTCCTCAGGCTGAACGAGTCAAGCCACGACAAGAGGTGGTAGCACCTTTCGCCACTCGCTCCGTCATCGAGACTGACTTCATGGCCCGTCCTGCGCCTCAACAACAGCCCGACGTTCCCTCGACACCATCGAGCACAAACAAAATCGCGCAAACTCCTACCGCAGCCGGCAACAAGCGCAAGGCTGGCGAGGCTGCTGGAACCGGTGTTGAAGATCAGGCAGTACTTTCTCGTTCGCCATCGCTCTCACCGCCACCTTCACCGTCACCCACCAAGCGCAACAGGCAGGTTGCGAGCGTCAAGCCGTCCAAGTCGGCTACACACCGAAGCAACAAGAAGGCAAGGCAGGTTGCTGCTGCAGCAGCAGCAGCAGCAGCAGCGGTCGCGGCTGTCAAGCCGACCGAGAAAAAACGCGGCAAGAAGGTCTCAAGTGACGCAGACGAAGAGCAGCACGTGTTGGATTTGCTCGACGCTGAGCCTGTTTCCAAGCGGGCACACTCAACCAGAGGATCGAGCCGCGATGTCGACAGCCAGCGCAGCACTCCAGAGGCCGAAGGCAACAGCAGTAAGGGCAAAAAAAGCAAGACCGCTCCCGCTCGAACGTGTGAGACTACGTTGAATCTTCCTCTCATTCCCGCGACGCCAAGCGCTCGTTTGCTGCGTCCTCGACGAACCAGTATTTCGAACAATGAGCCTCTAGCTCTTGTGTCGCCGCCGAAGACCCCGCCGCGAAGTGCAAAGAAAGCCAACGCCAGGTCAGCAGTGTCAGAAGCATTGACGATGGACGACAATGACTTTGGGGTGCAGTCAATGGACATCGACGGGTTCGAAGTGACAGGGTCGAGGAGGAAGTCTTCTCGTCAGAGGAAGCATGTGAATCTTGATTGAGGCAGAGCAGAAAGAGAAGCAACTGGATTTAATCGGAATAAAACATTAAACATGGCACATCACATCAGCCTCTGCCTGCATCTGTACAAGCATTCCTTCATTCATCATATTATTAGCGATTCATCCATCACGACGGTTTAGCTGGTTGTCAACAGAGTTTGCGACTGAGGTACAGGATCGTACAGGCATCTTTGGAGGGGAGAAGGGCCGTAAGGAACGGCTGAAGTGCTGGACCTGCCTCGAGTTGCGGACAACCCTGAGCTCGTTGCCAACGGCAAGGCAGAGCGGATCGTCAAGAAGAGAACACCGTCGAAGGCAAATGGCAGAGAGGTGTGGCTTCAGAGCGCTGCTGGCATACACATTCTGAAAATCTTGGCACTCTCCGCTTCGGCTGAATCGCAAACAACGTCGTTGCGGATGACATCATCAAAAAGCGAGTTTATACAGCGATTCTTTGAATCAGCGATGCGGCACACAAGATAGGGAAAACTTGATCCATCCTTTCCATTTCCAAGTTGCCAGCCATGCACAGTGGAGGGAGTGCTACTGCATTTGTATGGCGATGCGCCGAATGACAGAGGTTCAAAGCGCTCAGTGAACGAACAAGACATCCAAGCGCTTCGAGCCTTCATCTTTTGTGTTGAGTTTGTACTGCAGCTGCTCGTCTGAGCTGAGGGCGTCCCAGGCCAGCTTCTTCTGCTTGTTGCGTCCAATGTAGTACAGCTTTGCGAGCCAACAAAGAACGATCGAGAGACAGGCGAGTGAGATGAGCGCAAGATTTCCCTTGGCGTAGTAGGGCTTTTCGCCAGCGGTGTAGATACGGGTCGCAAGGACTGAGCCGACTTGAACAGACATGTTGTAGAGGCAGAGTGACACGGCGCGGTTACGCACCGACTGGGAGTTCTGCGAGACCCAACCAATCAAGAAGGCGTGACCTGTGAGGCGGAGACGAAAAGATATGAAAATGTTAGCACCGTTCAAGGGTTTCAGGCAAGGAAGAATGTGGTCAACTTACAGTACGGAACGGATGTCAAGGCGGTGATCAAGCCGTATCGGATCCAGTTGTACTTATCTTCCATACTGTGCTTCAGCAAGTAGAGTGGAATGAGAAACGCAAGCGTCCAGACGTTTGACAGAGAAGCAAGAATACCTCTCTCGTTCAATCTTGCGGACAGCCAGGCGTATGGCACAGTGTTGAGGGTGAAGAAGAATTGGGATGGAATGGCCAGCAAGTTGGACTGCAGAGTGCTGAACTTGAGCTGCTTGAGGATGAGCGACAAGTACATCTGAGGAGGGTTGTACGACTGGAAGACAACGACTTTTGCACATCAGAGTGCGAGATAACGTGGAGGGAGGAATAAAATGTCAGATAGTGCAACGCGACGCGTGGGTTGCTCATGGCGACGAGCGGACCATTGAAGCCGCTGTTACACATGTACTCACGACCAAGCATGTATACAGGCCAAAGGTCCTTCTCGCGGATGGCGGCCCAAAGACCTTTGAGCGAGACACCCTCTCTATTGTTCATGTCGCCCTTGGTCGGGTCATCACGGAGAACGCGGTTGACCAAGATCTTTTCTTCTCGCTCGTTGAACCATCCGTTCTTTCCTCGCAAGATGCCGGCAGTGTTGGTAGGGCTTGGAGCTAGCATGAAGAATGAGATGATGCCAATGACACCGGTGATGAGACCCTCGAAGCCAAACAAGTATCTCCAACCTGCCAAACCATTGAGGCCACGGAGTTGAACAAAGCCGGCGGCCAAGAACGAGCCGAGAATCTGACTAGTTCCGAGGACGGTATAGAAGTAACTCAAACGAGTGCTGAGCTCCTTCCCTGTGTAATAATACGAGAGGTACAGGATTTGGTCAGGTAGGAAGCCTCGTAATGAAGCGAATTAGAAGGGCCAATCGAGGGCCAAGGAAGGGAGAAGACATGTCAGCTTTGCATGCTAAGGTCGGAAGAAGTTGGACGGATACTTATCTTGGGCAATTCCTTGCAAAGCTCTGCAAATGAAGAAGCCAACCTTGTTCTTGAGAGCAGCTTGACTAGCTGAGATGAGACTCCATGCTACGATCTGAATTGGGACCCAGATATCAGCACCGAGCTTCTTGGAGATCAGACCTGAGGGCAACTCAGCACTGAGGAAGCAGAGCAGGAAGATGACTTGCCCATTGTTGAAGTCATCCTGGTTCATGTTGAGATCGCCGAGGAAGTGGTCGGCCAACGCACGGTTGATGTTCCTTCGAATCAAGTCGAGGGACATGAACATGACCCAACTCCAGACGAGGACCCTTGTGTCGATTTTGCGTAGGACCTTTTTCTCTTCGGCAGATGTCCACTCGAAGTTGGGATCGAAGCGGTGACGATTCTCGTAGCTGGTCCTTTCGTAGAGCTGACGCCAGTGCTCGGCGATCTTCTCGTCTTGGAAGACATGGGTACGACTGAGAGGTGCCGAAGCGTCGTCGATGAGGGACTCGGCGTTGCCGTTACTGCTTGGTGAGTTGGAACCATCGCCAGCTGATTTCTTGTCGTCATCGACAATACTTAAAGAGACCGAGCCATGGCGATCTTGGTTATGCGATACGGCGATCTCGGCGGCTGCGTTGGGCTCGCTGGTGCTGACGGGTGGCGCATCCTTAGGAAGATGCGGAAGCGCGCTCATGGTTGCAGTGTTAACGCAAGCCTAAGTTGCTGCAGCTGAGGGGATCAAGGTATGACGGAATCGCACGGGGACAGGAAAAACGCATGGTCTCGTGCTCTGTGGTACTTATATCCTTTGCTGAATGATGTGGCCAAAGTAGACTGTTTCAAATGTCAGACCGAAACGCTGGAAGGAAGAGCTCGGCTCGGATATTTGCGACTTCCATCTCAAGGTCGAGGCACGTCGGCATCAATTTTCTTTAACGACCGAGGTTTACGGCGGCAAAGCCTGACTCAGGACGGGCGCCATACTGCAAGACAGTCGGGCGAGGTTGGGATGTCAGCGGCCCACAGAAACAGCAAGTTAAGAAGATGGTGGACTAAAACGCTGAACTTGCGTGATAGTACCCATTGGATCTCCGCGTGGGGGAAGGACGACCGAATGGCAAGCGAGAGATCTCGCCAAGCGATTTGCGGAGAAAAGGGGAGGACTTTGAGGGCTCATGAATCAAGTGCCTGCAAGTAAGTCAGGGTGATTTGGCCGGCGCAAAGCAAGGGCGATGGCAGAGCTATAGTCACGAGGACAGTGGTGCCCATGTCGAATTGCGCATCTGGAGCCTTGGACGACTGCTTCAAGGGCGGTCGTGAAAGGGGTCAACCAAGTGGTCGAACAGTACTGTCACAGGGTCTGCGCAGAAGACCCTAGACCTAAGCCCAAACTACCCCAGTGAAACCAATCGGAAAGAGCATATTCGAGAGACTTGACCGAAACCGATCAGAGTCGGCTTTTCTAGTAGGTCTTGGGTTTCAGGCACACGAGCGCTGACAATGCGCCTACGCAGAAATGCGTGTCCAGGGCCTTCTGCGTAAGGCCCTGTGACAAGCAAGGCGCCTCGCTGACCCGCAATCTAACAGGACTTCCGTATCGTTTTCTGTATTGTCCGACTGATCCTCATCTGTACGGCGGTGTGAGTGAGGCTGGGATAGGAGCTCCTCTATTTGACGTGAGAGGTGCAGATTCTGCTTTGCAACGGCCAATTCGTTGCGAGACGAAAATAGCCGAATGGCAAGTGGCGAGCGAAAATGTCGTGATTCTCTGAGCACACGTTGGGTAGGATACACCTCACAATGCTTGAAGCACATCACCGCCGCCATTGATCACGAACACAGGCTGCCACCAGTCACATGATGAGGCTTGCATCCTTCGCGGTCGAGTCCGTTAGCGAGACCGAATGTATTTCGATGCCGATCCGATAGGTGATGTACAGGTTGCGCTTTCGTTGTACCGGTCGCCAACTGGCAGTGCTTAGAAAGAAGTACTGAAGAAAATGAAGAAATGTGCGAGCAGAGGTCCTGTTCCTGCGCCTTGGAATCCAATAAAGGTAGGTGTAAAAACACGAGAAGACCTTCTCCTTGCACCAACAAGGGTGCTGATCTGGTTCGTCGAGATAGAGGAATAAGAGGTGGTAAGATAGCCCCTTGTTCCCACAATACGAGAACGTTAATGAGTTGAGGAGAAGAAGAAAGGAGTGAGACGATTTCTTCGCAGCTTTGGGCCGTCCGTGCGCTAGCTAGGAAAGAAAAATAAAATAAAGCATCGGGCTAGATCTGGGCCGATCTACAAAAAAAAATTAAAAATTAATTCGATCACGATCACCTCACCGCCAAAGCCGTTCAGCAGTGCATTTGGATGGCGCGTGTTACTTTTTCGGAAGACGATGCAAGCTTCCAACATCGACCATCCTTCACCTCAGCTTCTTGCCGATACTTGCTCGCCAACTTCTCCAATCGACAAGCGGCAGCCAAGAATACAATTTGATCAATATGTCGAACCCTTCGCCTTCTGTCACAGCTCCCATCTCGGGCCCTCAGTCCGTCCCTGTCGGTCAGCTCCCTGCACCTTCCGCATCCCTGGTCGCCAAGTATCGAGGCGCAACAGTCGAAGACCTCCAGCTTCCTCCTGCCATCTCAGTCCCTCGATCCACAAATGTCTCTTCAGCACTTCGCGTAGCTCTCGACCATGACTACTCACAGTTGCCTCTTGTCAGTGACAAAAATCGCAAGTTGCTCGGATACGTTCAAAAGGACCGCCTTGAAGAGCAGGTCAAAGTCGGTAATAATGACAAGTCGGTCGCATCCATCATGACCAAATTCTCCAGCGGTTCATCGATATCTTGCTCATCTACTGCAGTTGCAGGAACATACACCGTTATCACTCCTGATACAGGTCTTGCAGAGCTCGAAGTCTTCCTCCAATCCCACCCCTTCGCTTTCATCACCGACCCTGGCCGTGCTTTCGTGCTTGGCGTGGCTACACAAGAAGACCTCTCAAAGTACGTCTCGAGGCGCGGTCTTGACGGCACTCGCTCTGGTGCAGCTACCCCAACCCAGGCTTCTACACCCACACCAGCTGCTCCCCGTGCTGGTTCGCAGGACAATGACGAACCCATGCCATCCACAACCGCAGGCCTCCCTACCAACCAACCATCCGCATCCTCATCATCCGCTGCCGCCGCTCCAGCAGCTGCATCATCTCTACCAACATCCAACCACCCAATGTCGCGCAGAGAAGAAGAAGAGGCGAGAAAAGACCGCACGCTCGCCGAATTCATGCAATTGCTCGACGGATACACACCCTTGATACCCGACCAAGTCACCGATTTCTACCTCGAAAAAGTTGGCTTCGAATGTCACGATGTGCGACTCAAGCGACTTCTGTCTTTGGCTGCGGAGAAGTTTGTCAGCGACATTGCATCTGATGCATTCCAGTACGCTCGTATTCGTACGAATGCTGGTCCGGGCGGTCGTCCACGTGGTCAGGTCAGTGCTGTTGGTGCAGGAACAGGCGGAGCTGCGGGCGTGAGCGCTGGTGCTGCAGGTGGTGCAGTTCTTGCTGGCGCCAGGGACCGCTCGAGGACTGTGCTCACAATGGACGACCTGTCCGCAGCTCTCAGCGAGTACGGCATCAACGCTCGCCGCGCAGAGCACTTCCGATAGTCGTCTCCCTTATGAACGATTCACAGCAATGCATCATGAAGCAAACAATGGAGCGCGTTCGCACGCCCCTCTTGTCTGTGGATTCAGGAATGCTTTTTGGTCTTACTGTGTCCAGTCAGGTTTCGGAAGTGGCTCAGGCAGCCGTCACTGGTGCTTTTTGGTCTGAGGACCAACCCAGAGCCCAACTCAGCAAGTTTTGCTTGATCTTGAGCTTGCCTTTCGTCGCCCATCCAGCTTCCGTTTGTGCAGGCTGAACGCTCCAACCACCCAACCAGCCTCGTTTGACTACGAACATCTCGCCTTTGTTCTTGCCTGCTTCAGCATTTTGGCCCTTCCCACCGCCTCGGTCTTTTTTGCTGTCGTTACCGCCTTTGCCGGCGTTCGCAGCTGGTGCCTTTGATGTAGGGAGGAGCTCGATGCGGGGAGCAGCAGGGTCTAAGAATAAGGTGAAGCGGGTTGTCACGTTGTCCTGTGTCGTGATCGACGTAGCTGGAGGATTTGTGTACATGACGAGGTTGAGTGTGTAGATGAGGACCATGGCCAGGCTGATGTGAGAAGGTCGTCAAGATATGAGTCAGTGGTGCTTCTCATCAAGGGAGACATGGAGAGGAAGACCTACACAAGTGGCACGAGTCCAAGGACATAGAAAAGCGTCGGATCCTCGGCTTGCCGACGGATGCGCTTGGCCAAGCCCTCCAGATCACCTTTCAAGCTGAAGTGGTCCGAGAAACGAAGCCATTCTCCATTGAGATAGATCTCAAGCGCTGCCCAATCGCGGACGCACTTCCACGTGAAGTGAAAAGCAAGGCAGCATTGGATGGTGAGGAGGTGGACAACGACACCTGCTCCTAGCCTGTACCGAAGTCGGAGGCAGACAGTCCTGTGAAGCCAACAAGGTAAAATGTCAGCAATCTTTAGATAAGCTCTGTGTCTGGGCGGAAGAGGATGACTTACAAGACAGTGAGAACAAGAAGTACAACAAGTACCAAGCCGTCGGCCATAAGAGGAAGCAGAGTCAGATCGCGACCCAGCACTGTCGTGCCACACGTCTCTCCACTGCCAGACGGAAGTAGAGGTGCTAGCTTTGATTGGTCGAGCCATGCTATCAAATCTGTTCTCAAATACTCTTAAGTCAGCAATCTTGGCTTCCATGTTCAAGCGGTGGTCGCAGATACCTACAAGAGCTGAGATCGCAAGCTGCGACGACACACATAATGAGCGCGATCAAGTTGACCAGTCTCGCCGTATACGCCGCGTACTTTACCCACTTTCTTGCTACTGGAATCAACCTTTTTGCCAGCAACCCGAACACCTGAAAACTCGTCTCGCAAAGCAACATGGGCGAGCAGCTGATCAAGCCGTTGGCCGAGACAAGCTGTGACAAGCCCGATTGTGAAGTGATAAGGTCAGTTGATGAGTGAGCTCTGTTGGCAAGGTTTGCTCGCAGACCAGACCAGATGCTAAGACATGTGACAAAGGCAAGGGTTGGAGCGAAAACAACGAGGATGTCGAGGAAGCGTTTTCCCTGGTAGACTCGAAGGATGCCGATGACTTGGAATAGGAGGAGGATGAAGAACAGGACCATGCTCCTGTAGTAGCGATAGTCGACAAAGAGAATAAAAGTGAGCGATGGAACTGACAATCTGACTGCTTAGATATGTACTTACGCAGCGAGATCATCATCACGGATTGTGATGCCGCCCACCAGGGCAGATGTCCAGGCAAGCGAGGTTCCGCAGGGTAGAGCCGAGGACCGCCCGAAGGAAAGCATTGCTTAAGAAAAGGGCGTAAACTTGGCGATAGAGGATGCGAAATGAGAAATCCCATGGATCCTGCTTCCGTTGCCCAAATCCTTAGGAAGGGTCGTGGTCAAGAGCGAAGGGGTGTGATCCGAGGAAGCGTCTTCAAGGAGCATCTGCTATTGCGCAGATATTCCCTAGCATAAGCTAGAAGTTGCTATCCTTACCGGCATGGCGTCCAAGTCATCACCACTGCAGAGTAACCTTTCTACAGTAGATTCCTGCATGCGAGATAAGGTTCGGCGCAGGATGTCATTTCAGGAGGATGTGTAGAGACACGGATGGGTCAGGCGGCATATGTATATTTCGATGTGTTAGACCTAATTTACCTCCGGACCCAAAGAAAAAAGGGAAAGGCACGTGACCAAGGCCAAAGAAGGCTCGAAAATGAGTCAAAGAGGAAGGAGAGAGAGAGAGAGCAGAAAGAAGCGCATGTCAGGTCTCTCGTCTGTTCCTTTTTCTCGGAAGTGGTTCAAGATTGAAGTTGCTCGATTCATTGCTCTCTTCCAGTCCTCACACCACACCATTGCCTTTTGGAGCCCTTCTGCTAAACTTGCAGACACCGCGGCAACATACCTACCAGATTGGGCTCTACGTTTTCAGCAATAAGTCGGCATCAGCGTCAGTCACACTGCAGATCACAAACAACACAATGTCGGCACCACAGAGGCTGACCGGCGAGCCAACTGCCGAGGCCGTGCTTGCTGCCTTGGATGCAGCTCCCAATGGCAAGATCGCAGACACTCGACTTATTGCACCCCAAGTGCCTACTACCGCTGCCGACCAGCAGACCGACCCGGTCAAGCGCTCGGAAGCCAACGAGGCCATCTTCAAGGAGCGCGCACGATGGCAGCTCGCCCTCTCAGACGTTTTAAAATCGCTGCTCAGCAAAGAGATGGTTGTCATGGAGAAGCTTGAAGAAACTACTTCCGCCCCACTTGCAGATGCGTTCGTCTTGCTCCAAAATGGTTCGCCAGAGATCCGCCTTGTTAAAGCGTTACCCAACCAGGAGGGCGTTGGCAAATCCATGGATGAGCTCAAGCAGCTTTTGGGTGCTGACACGCTCAAGAATGGTCAGAGCAATGCCTTCCGTAATAAGTGGGCCAAGAAGCTTCCAGATGGCACTTTTGGCAGGACCGAAGCAACCCTCGGCAAGACCGACGCCGACTTGACCGACGAGATTCAAGAGCAGATCAACGAGGTGCTCAAGACCGGCACTCTTGCTGGTAAAGACGCGGCTGCTACCGACAAGAAGCTTGCAGAGCTGCGAAAGCGCAAGCTGCTAGCTACCCGCAAGCTCGTCTACTTTTCTATCGCCAAGGGACCACAGTTCTCTCTCACTGTGCAGAAGCTCGAGACCGACCTCACCTTCGAGATGCTTCAGTCTGGCTCATGGAAGCAAGCGCCTTTCAAGAAGTACAACTTCAACGCAGAAGGTGCCGTCCCTGCATCAGGTGCGTTGCATCCTTTGCTCAAGGTCAGGGAAGAGTTCCGCAACATCTTCTTCGAGATGGGTTTCACCGAGATGGCTACCGATCGTTTCGTCGAGTCTTCCTTCTGGTGCTTCGACTCGCTCTTTGTTCCTCAGCAGCACCCAGCGAGAGACGTGCAAGACACCTTCTTCATCAAAGACCCTCCTTATGCCAAGCACATTCCCGAAGACTACCTCAAGCGTGTCACCCAGGTTCATCAGAAAGGCGGCTTCGGCTCCGTCGGGTACCGATATCCCTTCGACCGCAAGGTGACTGAAAAGCTTGTTCTTCGAACCCACACCACCGCCGTCTCATCAGCGATGCTCTACAACCTCGCCAACCAGCCCGGCGGTTTCAAACCAGCCAAGCTCTTCTCGATCGACCGTGTCTTCCGTAACGAAGCCGTCGACGCAACTCACTTGGCCGAGTTCCACCAAGTCGAAGGTGTCGTCGCCGACTACAACATCACCCTCGGCGACCTTATCGGCTTCATGGAGGTCTTCTTCAAGAAGATGGGCGTCACCAATTTACGTTTCAAGCCAGCATACAACCCATACACCGAACCTTCGCTCGAGATCTTCTCCTACCACCAGGGCCTCAAGAAGTGGGTCGAGGTCGGTAACTCGGGCATGTTCCGTCCAGAGATGTTAAGACCCATGGGCTTGCCAGAGGGTGTTAACGTGCTTGGTTGGGGTCTCAGTCTAGAGCGACCAACAATGATCAGGTACGCAGTCAAGGATATCAGGGAGTTGGTCGGTCACAAGGTTCCCATTTCGTCGGTAGAGAACGCTCCCGCGACTCGTTTCTAGTTCTAGTCTTTGCAGCATTGTAGTGTAGAAGCGAATACAGCATATTATCATCAGCTCAGAAGCTTGAGTATGCCAGTGTGTCCTCTATGATAAGTGTGAGGCTATTTGATATATTCGAGTGATTGTGTCTGTAGAGCGTCTGTCTATGCATGAGCCATTATCCCATCAGATCCTTTTGAAACATGTTGACCACCAAAGGATCCATTGCTTCCAGCAGCCTCGAAAAGCCAGGGTACGAAGCCTGTGCATGCGACAGCACCGTTCTCACATGCTCGTTCATCGCCACTGTCAACGTACCATCCGCCATCGCCACTCTCTGCGCCCTTGCGGCACCCGGCGAGATATCCTGCAACCATCCACCATCCCCCTCATCATCATCATCGAAGAACACATCGCCCAGATGCATCGATGAGATAGGCGACGTCGGGCGAACGTACTTGCCCGTGTCCAAAGGTTTCGACTCGTTGATGGCTGCCAACATCTCGGACCAAACCGCGATCAACTCTGGCGTACAAGCAACTACTTCCTGGATCACCTCAACCCCTGCACCTGATCCCTGCTGTGCCTGTTGAGCCTGCTCATATTCGACGACAGCTGATTCAAGAATGGATGCGAGACCAAGTGCCGTGACGCGACGCTTCCGCATAGATGCCATGTTATCGAAACGCGTGCAGATGGACTTGATGAGCGATTGCCAGACAGAACTTGGTGTCGGGTACTTTTCTTGCGACATGTCAGGCCATGATGCAGACACAAGACGGATGAAAGAGTTTTGCGGGCAATGATAGGCAATGCGACAGAGCAGCGAGATAAAGTGCGTCGCGATCAAGGTCGCGTCCTGGAAGTGCAGCATCGATCCAACAAGCGCAGCTGCAAGACGGGTAGACTCGAGCGCACTGATCCACATCTCGCGCACCTCGGTCCAGTTTGGCAAGGCTACCAGCGACTGGACGAGTGTGTCGAGCGCTGAGATCGGGGCTAGCACCATCGGATTCGAGGGATCTGCAATGATCTGACTGAAAGCTGTCAGCAGATCATGGCCGTACGTCTGAAGCATCTCGAGCGGGTTGAGCATCGAGATCTCTTCGATAACGCGGCACATCTCGACGCAGTAGTCAGGCTGTACCACCAAATCTTTCGCCAGACCAAGGAGCTCGAACAGTGGCCGCGTCATTGTAGGTGTGGAATGAAGTGCTCGAATCCAGAGCAAAGAAATGGCATCTTTGGCGAGCAGATGGGACACCTTAGGGTTGAGCGACTCGCGCACGATGGACGAGACCATGTGATGCACCTTCTGCATCAATGCTCCACTTGTGCCTGTGGCAGGTAGCATCTCGATCGCGCGCAACACCTTGGAGATGAAGACAATGATGGAGGGACGAGCTTTGCAGTCGGGATCCTCCTGCTGCCAGAGCATAGGTACAAGGTCAACCAAGGCATCGGCATGTGGCGCAATTCGTGGACCCATGCGCTCAATGAGGATGGAAAGTGCATCAGTGCATACCTTGATCGACTCCATCTCATGCAGGTCTGACGCGGCGGCCAGAGTTGCCAAGTTGCGAAGCGCTTTGGGCAAGAATGGCTCAAATCCATCAGCGTCGAATTCGAGCGCATCGGCGATGGCAGAGATGGATTTAGCTGCAGCGAGGCGTACTGCCACATCAGTCTGATCCGGCACGTCCTCCAACAAGTCCACCAGAAGCGAATAGACATCGAGACGCGACTCTCTTGGCACTTGTTCCGACCACTCCCACAGCAGCCATGCAATCCGACGCCTGATGACGATCCACATTGGTGAAGTGACATTACCAAGGCGGGCTTCTGGGACGAGCTTCGAGGCAATAGCTTGACCCATGAGGACGTCCATGCTAGGGCGGTCGTCATCCTCTCCGGCTGGTGAAAGGTAGTCGCGACATGTTCCCACTGCAGCATAGATAGCATCGCGTGCAAGAATGTCATCGAGATTGTCAGAGGAGAGGCTGGATGACGACTCGAAATGCTGCCAGATGTGCTGACCTAAAAAGCCGAGGGGTTTGGTGTGTTGAGCCAAGACCATGAGCGCACGCTCAGCGGCAGGTCGAATGTCAAGCTCGTAATTCTCCTGCTCTTCTCCAACGGCCCATTCTTCTGGATCAGCTTGCCATCGTTCGAGATCGTCCGAATTGAGAGGCATGAGGCGGCCAGTGAACACATCGGCAGCTTGACGAGCAAAGTGATGAGTGAGGAAGAATCCACCTTCGGGTTGATTGCCTTTCCACTGAGCGAGCGAGTGCTTAAGCAGTACCAGCGACTGCACGACAAAGCGTGGTGGATATTCGATCACTGCAGAGTGGTTGGCGTACTCGTCGCGAGGCACAGAGAGACTTTCATTGGTCACGTCTTTGGTCTGGACCCAATACCAAGCGACGACGTCGGACCATCCATGCCAGAAAGCGGCCTTGCCGTTATGACTCTGCACGAGAGAGAGGAAGAACTTGCCGAAAGAGTAAAGATGCTTGGTGAGTGCTGTGACAAGAGCAGCTGAGGTCGAGGCGGAAGTGGATGAGGGCTGTGATGAGCGAAGAAGGCTGAGATATGCGAGCCGGGTGTCTTTGAGGGTCTGCAAGCAACGCGGTGTCGACCGGAAGAAAGCCTGGGCCATGTTGGAGGAAGCGCCGCCTTGGGAGGTGTTGGATCTGGAGATCATGCCGATATCTGCGAGAGCTAGACGCGAGATAGCTTTGAGCAAGAGATGGCTGGTGCGAACTTGCTCTGCACGCAATGTAGTGTTGGACCAGGCCGAGAGTGTGGCAAGATGGTCGCCGACATTGAGTGAGAATAGGTCAGAGAAGTATTGCTGGAAAATGGGATGCAAGGCAGGAAGCAGTTGGCGCGAGAGCTCGGACATGCGCATCTTGCCTGCAAGGACACGGACTGACTCGAGCTCTTTGAGCGTCTTTGAGCAGACATGTGCTGCACGCATCAGCACGGTAGTGTTGAGTTGACGGAGGTGAGCGCTGGAAGGATCTTCTGACTGATCAAGTTGAGGTGCTGGAGCGAGGGATGCAAGGGCACCATGTGCTTCCAACATGGCTTGCTGCAACGTGGTGAACAGATCTGGCCAGTCGCGAGGATAGTCGAGGCGTGCGATGCGCGAGATGGCGACTGATGCCTGCAAGGCGATGGTACGATTGGGCTCTCGAAGGCATTGAAAAAGAGAGTTGCGCATCGCACGCTTTGTCTCCAGGGGGATGGTTACGGTGACTCGAGCCATGACACGGCTCCTCCAAAACTTGTCGATGCCATTCTTGAAACGAATGATGGCCAAAATGCGGATCGAGTCTGGATGGTGGTGTGTTGAGGTTGATGAAGAGGAAGAGCAAGGCAGTTGGAGGCCGGTGTCGAATGCGATCTGAAGCAAGAGGGGCCAGAAGTTAGGATCGCTTTCCCACTCTTCCAGTTGCGCGTTGGCTCTCGACAGCAACCAAGGATCCGAAGCGGATGCTAGGCTGAGCACCTCGACCAACGATGCTTTCGGCTCTGCCATTCTGTCGTCTGCTTTGACACTGATCGGAGGAGTTCCGAAAGATTCGTCAGCTTCGACGATTGCAGGCATCAACAGAGCACCTGACCAGAGAAAAGACCAGAGAAGAGACCAGAGCAGAGAAGAGACTGGAGAAGAGACTGGAGAAGAGACTGAGCAAGGGCGGCTGTTCCGATGCAGCTTGATCATCATCGGCAGTTGCGAGTCCAATTCGCTGAGCAGATCCAACGCAACACAACGCAACACAACTAGCAAATTTGGCTCTGCCTTTTGGCTGGAAGCGAGAGAAGAGAGGAAAAATCGGGCTTGCCGAACAGCAGCCAAGGCGATTCATGCCTCCAGCGCTGAGCCCGAATCACTCACACACTACTTAGGCTTAAGCGCCAAGATGTCTTTGCAACTTTGCTTTCGGATCAGCCGAGACCTTGGCGTTCGCAGTATGACAGCCAGAACGCAGAAGCGCAGCGCACAACCGCACAGGCATGGCTTTCCCATCTTGCCTCACAACGGATGAACAGCAAGCTTTGGAGAAGGCACTTTTTCGCTGGTCAGATCTCGCTGGTCAGATCTCACTGATCAGGTCTCGCTCGAGGACATTGACACAGCCAGTTCCCAAGTCGATTGGCAATCAGCCATAATGTCTCAATCCACTTGCTGCCCGCAATCTGAACATTAGTTGTCTTTGGTGCACGCATCGATTCCATGTGAGTCAAAGACTCGGAGGAGTGGTAAAGTCTATCGACACGCTTCTAGATGAGTTTTGACAGGTTGGCAATGCCTTGCTGTTCCAGACGCATTCCCTTCCATTCATCCATGGGCTTTGCTCCAAGCACTTTCTCGTAGAATGCGATTGTCGGGCTGAAAGAGGTACAAGTAGAGACATCTTCAGTCTTTGTCCGTCAAATTCACCACTTGACATCTTTGATGTACTCACGCATTCCACTTGAGCACGGACCAGTCGATCCTAGCGCAGTCCTTCTGCTGCGCAATCTGTCCGAGAGCCTTGAAGAGCAGCTTGCCCACACCCTTGTTGCGCAGTCTCGGGATCACGAAGAGGTCTTCGAGGTAAAGTGAGCGCTTGGAGGTCCAGGTCGAGAATGAGTAGAAGTACTGCACAGACATGTAAGATAACAAGATTCAGCCGAAGCTCTCATGAGTTGTCCGAGATCAGAACAAGGTCAAGCTCTACTTACAAGCACCATTCCCACAGAGACAACAGAGCAGTCCTTGTGCTGTTCGGCAATCAACACCTCTGCGTAGCCCTTGTTGAAGACATTCTCCTCAAGCTGTGTCGTGATGCAATTGATGGCCGTGTTGAAGATGATCATTGATGGCCGTGTTGAAGATGATCATTGATGGCCGTGTTGAAGATGATCATTGTCAGCCTTGCACGGTTGGCTGTCGAATAAACAAGGCTCGGGTCTGCTTACCGTCTCAACAGTAGCCTTCACAGCGTCGGGCTCCTTCTCGTAGTCAGCTAATTGTTGGATCTGTTGAGGTATTGAAAAGTTCATGGTCAGTCTACCAAGTGCTCCATGTCCCACTGCCAGCGGGATCGTGGTACGTACGAAGTCAAGGATGGCGGCACAGTCCTCCTTGCCACCCTTGCGGATGACCAACTCTTTGTTGGACGATGTGACGAGCGCAGACATGTTGAGATGAGGTACTACACACGACCAGAACGGAGAGAGATGTCACGGGGAGGGAGATTGCAAGCAACCTCGACCTTCCCTTCAAGATGCTCTTCGCCTCCTCCCAGTAAATCCGGAACACGGAAGACATCCCAGCTCGCCTTGCCACTTTCGCACAGCCATTTCGTTTCTTCTTCGTGGCACCCTTTCCCTCAACTCTCGCTCATTCTATCACAGGTCCGCTTACGACCCTCACCTGAAGGTCACGCTAGAGATGGGTGCGTCCAGTACAGCAAGGCTGCCATCACTGGGCGCGCAGTCCATCCCACCGCTCTTCAGCCATCTACAGCACACCTCGAACGCAAAAGTAATCGCGCGATGGAGCATCACCATCCGCTCATTTCGTGCTGTACCTGTTCCGACCAATGCATGGCCGTCTTCTGACCAGTATGACTCTTCTTTCGCTCGAGATTCATTCGACACTGATGACCTCTCCGGAAGCAACAATGCCTACGCTTCTTCCTCTTCCGGCTCGAATCAAATCAGTAACATTGGCGGTACTTCTTCGGCAACAGGAGGATCAAGCTCATCCGCATCAGGTGCACCGCCACTCACCAAGCCGAGGACGATGTGGCAGGTCTGGCTATCAGATCATCCTGGCGTGGTGTTTGTGATTGTAGAGGACACTGGCAGACCTTCGCGAGCGAAAGCTTGGCGTGATTGGGAGGTGTCGACCAAGAAATGGAAGAATTTGAAACGGCGTGAGATTGAGGCTCGTCGCAAGCAGCAGCACAAGACTTGGCCAGAAGCCGTGAAAGAGGCTGAGCAGCAACACGATGAATCGAAGGACACAACGACAGGAGCACAGGACAATACTGACGGCTCAGACAACAAGCCTGCAGCTGTTCCGACCCAGAGCGCAGAAGCCATAGGAGAGGATGCAGTGCCGATGGATGTAGATACAGCCACCACAGAGAAGACAGCAGAGACGAAATCTGCGACGACATCTGCGACGACATCAACATCGACAGGAGAAGTGCAGGCGGGGCCTAATCCATCCGCGTCCGCAGAGCAAGCTACTGAAACAGAGCAGCTACAACAAGCAGCAGAAGACATCATCGAGACAGCAGGACCAAAACCTAAACTTCGACTCCCTTCTCATACACGCTATACTGTATCTGCCGTCACTTCATCAATGTCCGCCATGTTGACCGGCCTCAACCTTCCGCCACCACATGGTGCTCCTGCTGGCACAGCTGGCCCAGGCGCATGGGTCCCGCGAGGTGCCGCAGTCTCGATCGAAGGCTTAGTCCTTGAAATCAACAGTCAGAACCTGAATGCGCTTCCAGGTATCTCGCCTGCTCTTGCTTCTGTATCTTCTATCGACGACACGACCACAGTGTCCCCAAGCAACGGTACAGGTAGATCTGCTGCGAATGGTTCAGGCGGAGTAGACTGGAGAGTGCGAGTTGGCAGTGTTATGGGAGGAGGCGGTCGAAGTGCAGGCGCCATCGTCGAAGCCGAGTTCTTGCCAGTCTCCACATTGCTGCCGACATCAAAGTTCATGCATGACTTTTTGCACTCGCTATTCCCGCCCGGGCTTGTGCCTATGCCACCACCTGCACCCACATCTGTTCCCGGAATGCTCAACCAGAATGGGTTGCGAGTTTCCGGAGGACTGTCGCAAGCAGCGAGCGCAACAGGGACACCAAGAGCTATGAATGCAACACTCGGATCTGCTACCGGTATGAATGGGGATGGTGCAGTCGCAGGACCGGCTGGTAGGGGATCAGGCTTCAGCTACACGATTGGCGGAGGGGCTGGAGCGGGAGCTGCACCTCCTAACCGCCACTTCAACATTCCAGTCGTGTCAGATCAGCTGTGGGAAGAAGTGGTTCCGCGCTCCGGCGAAGGCTGGCGGCAACGCATTGCAAAGCGATCTTACCAATTGCGACAAGCAGCTCGTCAGCAACGCAGGCAACGAAAGAATGCGACGCAGAACCGAGATCAGGTCTCGAGCGCAGCAGCAAAGAAGCATAACCCAACTCAAGACGCCTATGCCTGGCACGCTTTCGGATCCGACGACGACGCAGAGGCGCACACCAACCGAGACTGGCAAGATGAAAATGAAGACGACCTATCTTCCTCGGCTTCTGAAGCAGAGCAAGCAACCCCCAATTCAACTGCAGGCGCATCAGCAGGCGGGTTGCCAGGCGGGTTGCTGGGCACAGCGGTGACAGTGCAGCAAGCGGACGAAGACGACGACGATGATGACGATGACTGTCCATTGGGAGCGCCTATCTGGTCAAACGCTAGTCCTAATTCTGCTGCGCCCAATTCGGCAAACCCGCTCTCCGGCACTCCGGCAACAGCTCCCGAGTCAGTGCAGACAAAGAAGGAGGACACTGTCCAGCTCATCTTCCAAGGTCTGAGACCGGATCAAGGAAGCGAAAGTGCCGCAGAAGCCGACGGATGGACTGGCATCGAAAGAGGAAGAAGGATCGCCTTTCAGTATGTGCAGATGCTCAGGGCCGAAGGCATCATCTAGGCCGCTTGACTTTGCACAGAGAAGGGGTGTGATTGTACAAATGAAATCTGTTTTCTGTAATCACGATCGTGGCGTGTGTCAAAGCATTGATCAATGAGTCTGTGTATAAAGCTTGTGTGGATCCAAACTTGCCAACATGCTTGGCGAAACCCCCTCACTGTCGAGAAACAGCTGAGCCGCGCACCGATGACTGCTCTTCTCTCGCCGCACTATTGTCACATGGCATCTTTCGTATTCGCACTTCTCATCAATGCCTTGGGGGCGACATCGGATGCTTAGCTACATAAGCTAGGCCCTTCGGCGAAACCCCCCCCCCCCCCTATCACTGTCTTCTATTCTGGTCAACGCCTCTCTTTCCGCCTTCCTCTCCTGTCATCGTATCTCCTTGACCTTACGCTACCAGCATTCCAGCTCCCCGACTCTCTGTTGAAACGAGTGGCAGACTTGAATGGCAGGACGCGGTTTATTACGTATGTCGACGATAAACTGTATGTACAGACAGTTGGATGCTAACAGAGAAGGAACTCACTGAATCTGGTGCTTTTATACGTCTTCCCCTATGAATGATTCAGCAACATGTTGAGGCGAAAGATGAGTATCAGACATGACGAGGCAGTGTGAGAGGGCTTGCAGCAATAGACCTCAGGCCCTTATCTCCCCTCGGCCCTTATTTTTCCCTGGTATGGTCATCGGACACCCGCAGGTCTTCGGTCTGATAGGATCATCGGATGGACCGAAGCGTCTGGCCTAATACGAACATCGGCCATCCCGACGACTGGCCTGATACGAGTCGATACAGGCACAGCCCTCCTACACTCTCATCGCGTAAAAGTACTGTACTTACTCGAGATGAGTGCTCCACCTGCATCCATGTCGATGCATGGCTTTGAAAAACTCTTGCAAGACTTCGGCCGCGACATCGAGCAATCGATCCCAAAAGAATCCATGGAGCGGGCAGTTGGCAAGATGGCCGAATTTCGGAAGGGAAAATTGAGCTTGGTGCAATCTCTCGATCTTCCCAAGGGGGCCGATACAGCTTTCATGCCATTCATCCGACAGATCCTCCTCACGGCCGACGACCTTCCTCCCAAACTCGACGGGCCGTGCCAGAACCACGCACACACTCCTCAGGCTGCTTTCGTCAGGACTGACGTTCGTTCCGCCTTAGCAAAACCATTTACAGCTACGACGAGGGCCTATAAAAGGTGTGCGCCCAGACCAATGATCGATCCACGCTCGCTAAGGTCGAATTCGAGATCAACCGTTTCGACGATCGTCCCAGTAAGCTCCAAGTCAGAGCCATCGTTGGCATTGAAAGCAGGCGAGTAGGAGCTCCTTACCTATGGTCTATTATATATATCCCATCTTTCTTCGCCACGATTGTGCCTCCACGACTAAGCAGCCGTTCAGTCTTTGACAAGGTCCACGCCAATCTTTTGGCCTTCCTTTTTTTTTTTTTTTTTTTTTTTTTTTTTTTTGGCCCCTTTTCTCCACGTTCCGCAATTTCATATCAAGTCGGTTGGCTTTGCACTTCCGGACGCATGCATTGCAGAATTGTGGGTCAAGGGCATCATCGAAGTTTACAATAAAAAGTTGATTCGCCAACACCGAACTCAAAAAATTGTGTGCTGTCTGCGCGTCGTTCGATTTGGTGCTGTCTAAGATCACAATCCGCCGCCTGTCGATGCAGTGATCTCCATTTGTAAGACGAGCTTCGTGCCTCGCTGTCAAGTAACGGCGCAGCGCGACCGAAAAGCTTCTGTGGACCTCTCGCTTCCGGATTGGCCCAATAGCCGGTCGCTGTTGTGCGCACTGCGGGGTTAAGCATGATGTCGATAAAGTGTTGCGCAACAGCGGGGTTGGCTGCTAAGCGGAAGCAGCGCGGACAATCTCTTTGTGCAACCATCTTGACCATGGGTCTGTTGTGTCTCGTTTCCATATAAGGTGGATGTCTCTGGCGATCAAAGCGCCAAAGGCATCACCCAACCGACACAGTGCTGCTTTGCCTAAGCTCTCACATCGATTCTCGACCTTAGCAAGAGCCTTTCGTTCGATCAAGATGTCCTCCCTCTCTGTCACGCACGCCTTTGAAGACGGCCGCTTCATCCAAAGCACCTTCACCTCCGAGTCTGGCCTCACCACCATCCTCCCCAAAGGCTTCGTTGATGACATCGTCAACGATATCGCGCTTAGCGACTACTCGGACGCCACCGACGCCGAACGATATCAGATCTTCCGAGACGCTTTCAGTCTCTGCCTTATAGGCAACACCCTCTTCGACGACTGCCCTTTTGAAATCCTTCTTGACGAAGACGACGAATATTCCGTGGACCCTTCTTTCAAGGAGTTCGCTGACGATGCCTTTCCTCCCGTGTCCGATGCTAACTCGATCGATCAGCAACAGGTTTTTGTTGATCTGCTTTTGGCTTGTCAGAGATTGTCCAAGGTTTGCCGAGAGATGGTGATATTGCGTGCCGCTTTGACTTCGACCGAGGAGTTTTATCGTCGCATGTAACATTTTTGGTTCGATGCCATGTGATGGCTTCACCGTCGCAAATGGTACGTTGCTTTTTGCTCTAGTTTGTCGAATATGTTGATCCGTCACTAATTCCTCTTGTTGCCATTCGCCTATGCTACAGCCTTGTCACTCAACACACAAACGTTTCCTGCTCGGGTAGTAAAGCTGGTCTTCCTACCCGCACGAGTTCTTGCCCTTCTTCAAACTTGCGTTCCGGCACCTGTACAACGTAGCTTCCATGTCACCTGATTCTTTGCCTCTCAGTCCAAGTCTGAAAACACATTCCTAGTGTTCGTCAAAGCTCTCATCACACAATACTTGAGTTAAACTCAGCCAGGGAACGCCGGTCCGTCGATACGCCGCGCTGCCGCAAATTGACTCCTCACTGACCTGTAATTCCCGCACGCACTCTGTAGTGTCAAGCTTTTGATGGCGTTCCTGAGGCCTCTTATGAAGCTGAGCCATAGTGAGCGCAAAAGCAAGACAGAAGCAGATGTTTCCTTCTCGCGGAAGAAAGATTCTGCGCACCAAGCCGCTCCGCTCTACTGGCACGCAATGTCCGACTATGCCGCAAGCTTTCCGTGCTATAAAGTACGACTGAGCCACCGATGCATCTTGCCGTCCCTCAACAAGCTCCCCTTGCTTTCGCCAGCACTCCTCGGAAAGAAACATTATCTGTCAGCCTCCAGGCCGTTGATCGATGATCCCGTGGACTTTCCGAAACGGCCGCCTCATTGAAGCCGTCTTTGTGGACAACAATAGCGGCAAGGTACCAATGCCGTTTCTAGAACCTTGCTGTAGGCTGCCTCTTCCCCCGCCCGAGCGATCCAAAGCGACATTTTGCAGTGAAATCACATGACCGTGTATTCATGCTCTAACACGACCACAAACCTCACTCAGCGTCGCCACCCGTCAACTCCCACCAATGCTCAACATCACCCACCTACACCCCTATCTCATCCGACAACGGCATGCCCTCAATAGTGTCACCTCATCTACATACAGTACATGTGTAAACTGTCCCAAGATTCTACATGTCACCATACATCACTCTAATGCTCAATAGCTATAAGTTGTATTGCCACACTGTCTGATATCATCTGAAAGTGCTGCTTCTTCTCTCCAAGACTGTGGAATTGATATTGACATTGACTAAAAAAAATTGTGCTATGAAGAAGAGCTGATTTTTTTTTATTGTGGGACAGTTTATGGAGCACTCCTCAAGAACACCTTAGTACTTTGTATTCCCTCCTTTGGCCTTCAGAACTGCCTTGATGCAGTCTGGCATGCTCTCTATTAGTATCCTACATGTCTCTGGAGTGATTGCTTTCCATTCAGCTTCACATCTCTTGAGCAGTTCATCCCTGGACTTTGCAATTGTACTATACTGTGAAAGTCACATTTTGAGATGGTGCCAGAGGTGTTCAATTGGGTTCAAGTCCAGTGACTGCACTGGCCATTGCATAACCTTAATGTTATTGCCTTCCAACCACATTTTTGTCTTCTTCGACATGTGTTTCAGGTCATTGTCTTGCTGAAATGTGACATCAGTGTATGCATGCTGAAGCTGCAAATCTGAGATTGTTTTCAAAAGCTTGTCATTCAGGATATCAATGTATTGGTCTGAATTCATTGATCCCAGCACCAAGCATATACCTCCCACCCCTTCCCACATCATACAGCCCCAGATCATGATGGAGCCACTGCCAAACTTGACTGTTGGCCTGACAAGCTTGCTGTTGAAGCTGGCATTCTTAATCCAACAGAACTGCTTCCCATCTGGTCCAAAGAAGTTGATCTTTGTCTTGTTGGACCATACCACATTCTTCCAATCCTCAACAGTCATGTCCTTGTGCTCATTTGCAAATTTGAGATGCACTTTGTAATGCCTCTTGAGTAGCTTCAGTTTATTCACTAACCTTCATGCTTTGTAATGACAGTAATGAAGTGCTTTTCTTACTGTCATTGGGCATGCTTTGATGTGAAATGTCTCCTGCAGTGCATGACATGCTTTCCCAACTGTGGAGGTTGAATTGAGCTCATAATAGTGGTCCAGGAAGCAAACATGATGAGGCTGGAGTTTTCTTGGCCAGCCCCCCTTTGACTTTGGAACATCAGCAGAGGTGCTTTTGCTGATGCAATTCACAGTAGACTTGCTCATACCAAGTTGTTCTGCAACTGAACAGATAGATTCCCCATTTTGGAGGTGAAAGAGTGCCAATCGGTGCTTCTCAGGAGTGGGTTTCATCATGATGGTATAGATATGATGGTGTCAGACTGGAAGTGCTGCTGGATCACTCACAGTCATCTGATTGAGCTGAAACTTTCCATGTCACTACTTTCAATGTGTATGAAGGTGCCCACCAAGTTACATTACAAGTTTCATTGTAGTCAAAAGCCCACAAGGTCAGGAATGGAGTGGTGTTGCTATTTGGGAGCATGCTCCAAAAACTGTCCCACAATAAAATAAAATTCAGCTCTTCTTCATAGCACAATTTTTTTAGTCAATGTCAATATCAATTCCACAGTCTTGGAGAGAAGAAGCAGCACTTTCAGATGATATCAGACAGTGTGGCAATACAACTTATAGCTATTGAGCATTAGAGTGATGTATGGTGACATGTAAAATCTTGGGACAGTTTACACATGTACTGTACACACACATCAACTGACAGTAGAGGCATATATATACTCATGATATTGCTGTGTACTTAGTTCTCTCAAAATGCTAACGATTTCGCCGCTTGCTTGACTGCCCCTGATTGTGCTTTCCTCAACACTTGCAACCGTCAAGCAAGGTTTTTTTTTTACCAAAAGGCAAATTAATTCTTTCGATCTCACACCTGGAACAAAATTGCTCCGATTCTGGAAGACAACAGAACCTGAACCAATTTTGGCCATGCGTTCAGCAGTTTGTGCTGAGGATGACGATCCAGCAGATCTAATCGGGGATCGGATAGATCCAAGCTAATCGGAGATCGGATGCTATTGGGTCCCGCTCGTTGTTGTAGCCTGTCATTGAGGGTGATACTGCCACATATGGGATGTAGCAGCACTTTGTATATATGTTAGGCAGCCATGTTCTCTTCTTAGTCAATTGAGTATATTTGTTTCTGTCTACAAACTAGCAGTGACATCGTACTCAGACCCTACCCGATCCCCAGTTATCGGGGCTAAAACTCCATCAGTCTGAGCGTGGATTGCCGTCCGTGCGCTTGACAAAAAGTGCAGGCGTGGAAGCGAAGTCCATTTGACACGTCTCCTCTCTCTTCCCCTCCTTCTCCACCTATCCCACCCTTTTCCTTTCCCTTCCTCTTCCCTCATCATCCCTATCTCGAACGCAACAATGAGTTCCGGCTACGAGCTTCACCAAAAGCTACGCACCAAAACCGTCCGTCAAGTCAAAAAGAAACAGTACGATGAAGCCATCTCCACCCTTCACCAAGGTGCACTCGACCTTCTCGCCCAAAAAGAACAAGGATCTGGTTGCGATCTTGCCATCTACATGATCGATGTTTACGGGATTAAGAACCAGGCCGTAGATTCGGAGAGTCGTGATCGGATTACCGACATCCTTACAGCAGCCGCACCTGATTTTTGGCGCAAAAAGGTCGTCGATGCAGCTGTGAAATGGAGCGTTAAAGCAAGCGAAGCACCCACTGGTGATCCTTTGCTGCGTTTGTTCGTTGCAAACATGTACGCTAAAGATGGAGAATTTGAACGTGCAGAGCAGCACTTCTTGGCGAGCTGTGTCGAGACAGAAAAGACCTACGCTGTGGAAAGTGCACCCAAGGCTTATGCTCAGGCGCAAGCAGACTGGCTTGCAAAGTTCGCCTCCCAAGCAGCAGAACAACCGGGGGAAACGCGAGGAGCTGATGCAATCCAACGCATCGAAGCAGGTCGATTTGCTCTTCGTGCCACCATCCCTCTTGTTGCAAACCGTGCGGCTAAACAAGCAATTGCGTTCCAAGACGCATATCTCTCCATCGTCACCAAGTCCCAGAAATCCCTTCTACTACCAGTCACTCCCAACCCTCGTCCCTTCGTCCCACCCGGACCCCCAGCTTCCACCACTAGCAGCAGCGGTTTGCAGCTATACCTCACAGCAAATGCAGACCTGAACTTCTCCCAAATGGCAGTAGCCCTGGTCTCCGAATCTTTCAAACTCAAATCCTCCAACCCTGCAGCGCCTACACCAGACTGGCTCCGCAATGCATGGATCAACCTAGTCCGCCGATACGAAAGAGAAGCACCCGCTTTGAGCCAGGAAGATGGTGTGAGAGCAGCAATTCCAAGTATCGGAGCGGAGTGGTTTGGGCTGCAGCAGCAGAGGAATCAGGGGAATATGTTGTCGGATATGATGGCTAGTTTGTTTGGTGGTTCAGGCGGAGCGGGTGATGCGGGTGCAGGGGCGGGTGCTGCGGAGAGTAAGGCGACAACGGGACAGATTAAGGGCGCTGGTGCTCCACCTAAGCCTTTGTCTGCACCAACAAGCGCGCCAGCGGTAGGAAGCTCGGCACCTGCGCCTGCGGCTACAGCCGATGAGTTGGTTGATGATGAGATGGATTAGTTGCCATTATCCGCCACAACTTGCATTACTCTCCAACTTGGGCGCTAGGTTCTTGTCAGCAATGCATGCAGTCTTGCTTTGCAACTCGTTGACTTTTACCATGTCTGAAAGTTGTTAGTGAAGATAGTATGACTGTCGCATTGCTCAGAGATTCCTCATGCCTCTTTTTGAGACTCAAAAACACAAGAGGCGCCATCCACATCGTGAGATCACCATCCACTAGGATCAACCTGCACAACCCTCAATCACAAACAAGCATGGGACAAGAAATGAGAAAGGTACAAATGCACAAGTTCAAACAGAAACAAATCCTCGAGACGATAAGATGCAATAAAGAAGTAGGAAGATCTAGGCAAAGGCATCCTGAATATCAGCCACCTCCCCAGCATCAGTCGTTGCCTCCTCAACTGCATTCGTGAAAGTCAAAAAGTTCTGCGGCCTATGAACTTGATCCCAAAATCCAGCTGGTCTATCCAACACCACTCGATACTTGATACTGCTCGTCCACTGCGCTGACAGACTCAACCCATAATTCCATGCTCCTTCACTCGGCGTCAAGGTAGTACCCAAAATCCTATCACTCAACAACAACTGAACCCGGTCCATCATCGTCCCCGCGTTGAAATTGCGTCCTCCACCAGCAGCGATCTCTGTATCGGTTGCCTTTCTACCCCATTCAAACCCAGCCACGGTCAAGTTGTAGGCTGAGAGAGAGACAGAGCCAGGAGTAAAAGCACAGGTGATGCAGATCGTGGAGGCTCCCCAAGAGGTGTGAGCTGCCATTGTACGTGCGTGTTGAGCGACGTCTTGCGGGGGAAGGTGGGCAAGGTCGATGGATGAGGTTTTGATCCAACCGAGTGGTTCGAGGTCCTTCAAGATGAAGTCGTGTTGGGGCAGATCGTCAGGAAGTTCAACACGATGGTTTGAACCACGTTGAGGAACCCAAACAATCACCTTGATCTCTTTGATACTAGGTGCGTCTGGTGGCGAAACACCATACATATACCCAGCAACCTGCGTTCGCAAATCCGCATTCACAATGAACGTCTTCAAGATGTTCTTCGGCATAACATACGTAAGCGAACCAACATCATCCTTGATATCGTCATTCGAGACATAGAGATGCTGGCAACGCAACGGAAGATTCGTCGCCGAAAGCGCCCGTACCCTCCAATCGGATTTGGAACTAAACACCTTGTTCTCGTACTGCGTCGTCGTGACCGTCTGAATCTCTTCACCGTGCACGTTGACCGTCCGTGTCTGTGTCGCGGTCACTTGCTGTGCTGCTTCAGCCGTCTTCTCCAACTCCGCCATCTGCTGACGCTGCACCGATGGAGCCTGAATCGTCATACCCAAGATAATATCCCGGATCTCGGACGAAGTCAACGAGTTAACATTAACGTTGTTCCTTTTACCGAAATCAGCCAAGATCAAATCACGCAGTTGAATCTCGACCTTGATCCACTCTTCATCCGTCAGCGTTGGCCAGAGATGGTGTGGCTCAGTAATGACACCCGGATGAGGACGCAAGATGATCTTTGCCTTCTCCTGGTTGACGTGCAGCGATCGCAACAGCAGAATGAGCCGAGAGAACGCAGTGAAGCTGCTAACGTTCGACATCCAATTATCGTACGACGAGTAGAGCACCATTTGCGGCTGAGTCGCTTTCAAAACCAAGTCGCCGATCGCCTCGAGCTTGAGGAAAGACTGGAAAGGCAACTGCAACTCTGAACCAACAATTGACAAGTTGGGGAAGTCGAGCGAGTGCGTCTCCAAAGGATCCAACATACCTTTCCTCGAAACGATGATTCGCTTGGGCTGCTCTTCAACCGGCAAACTGCGCACCAAGGCGATGGTCTCCTCCGCCGTTTTCCACTTTGCCAACTGACCCAGACGCTTCTGTCCAGCCCAAACCGACGTGTGAATAATCTTGAGGAAAAGCTGCCCAGTTCTTGGGTTGAGAATGATAATAGCACCGTTGATGGGCTTAGTCACCAAGTTACCCTCGAACGTACGGTGGATCGTAACTCGGTAGACATTGGTATCGTCAACAAACCAGATGATCTGATTGCTGAACAGCTCCGCATAGTTGTTCGAGTTGAGATACGGCTCCGTTGGCTCAGAACTGTACAGCTGCAAACTCTTACGTACACGCTCACGCAAGACGTAGAGCGCAGGATTGGCCTTCATGATCTTTGCCATTGCCTGCTGAATGAGCGGCTTGCTACCCGGGAACCAGATACCGTACGCAGAGTGAATGTTGTACGCCAGGTCGATACCCACCAGCGCACCGGTAGCTGACGGATAGATCGAAGTGTTGTCGCTAGTGTAGTCGAGAAACTTGGCTCGACAGTACCGTTCGATATCGTGCGAGTCGTAGTCGCCCCATCGTAGCTGCACGTCGACCCACCATTTGTTGCCACTCGAACCATCCATGACGTCCCGCGAGTCGGTCAACAAAGATGGCCTGGACATCGGCCACTTGTAGCTGGCGAAAAGCAGGATATCGGAACTCGACGCTGTCAACCTGTACGACTTTCGCGGGTGAATAGTCTCCTTCTGCACCGTCTCGATCGATAGTGCCTCGAGCTCCTGGTCGAACACCTGACACAAGTCCATCACCACCGACTCGTGGATCTTCTGCCACAAATGAGCACGGAACAGTTGGATGTACGAGATCTTGAGCGAAGGCATCTTACCCGACATCAAGACACCGCACAAATCGAGCTGAACCTGGAAGCCGATGTAAACACTACTACGGTTCAACGTCGGCGACCACCACAAGGTGAATCGACGGTTAGGAATCTGCGAAAGACCGGATCGCTGCGCGTTGGTTAGACGCTTCTGCTGCATGCTCTCCTCGAACGAAGACGATTTCTCCCAGAACAGACCTTCCCATGTCGGGTGACCTGTAGCCGCGAAAAGCGAGTGTTCAAGAATTGTCTCGACACCGCCAAGAGCTGCGATGGTGTCGGTACGAAGCTGATTGAGGTTGTGCAGCTTACCGTCGTGACGCTGGTTGGTCCATGCGAAGGGCTGTGCTTTGGCGATCTGATATTTCTTAAACTCCTGTCGTACACGCCAGAGCTTGTCGTAGGACAAGATGGTGCGATCCTTCTGGAAGAGCGTTGCGATACGGGGCAGACCGCGGTGGAAAGAGTCTTCGAGATCCTCGAGCGTCAAACGCCTGTTCTGCTCGTTGGCTTCCTTACGCTTCTGTGCATACTCTTGCCAGACTCGCGCCGAGTCCTCGAATTCGGAGGCCCACGGCGTGATGTATCGGTAGAGCGCTGGCAAAAGCTGGTCCTCTTGGTTCGACAGACCTGCACGGAAGTGTGTAATTCCTGTCGTCGTCTGCCTCGAGTACTTGAGATCCGATGCTGGAATAAGCACGTGTCCCATAGAAAGCATGCCGAGGCCACCAAGCTCCTTGGGCGAAGCGAGAATGTGAATGGGCCAACGAGAAGGCATCTTACTGTTTACACCTGACTTGATGCGGTTGATGACTTTGTTCTCGCTGCGCACCAGCAGATCAAGCATGTCCTCGGTGTTGACTACAGCTTCGCGGTAGTAAGTCATCAAGGCAATCAAACAGGTGTTCCACTTATTGGCAATCTTACTGAACGGTGCTGCACCAGCCGACATGAGCAAAGCACGAACACGGTTGCTGAAATTGGCAATACCCTCTTCTGAGACGCGCAGGAATGCTGTCGATGTGCGCTCACCTGAGCTCGCCTGGATGAGCGGCCAGACACCATCGCGTGCCACGTCGACATCCTCCTGTCGAATCTTGGGCAAGATACGCACTTCGAAGCCAAGCATGGAGAATAGAAGATTCGGGTTGTCCTTGCTGTAGACCGAGCAGAACGTGTCTTCCCATTCGATCGTCGTCAAGGAGCGCGGCAAGCTATTCTTAACAGTCCAGAAGACCGCACGACCGAGGTTAACATCGTGCTTGACGAGTCGCATTCGAGCATCACGAGGCCAGCACTTGCGATTGTTGTAGCCAATGACGTTGCTGTTGTTCGGATCCGGGTTGGCAGTGAGATAGCGCTGCACCAAATCACGAGCCTCTTCGGCAGTGAAGCGGTAGAGGATGTGGATGCGGTCGATGTAACGAGTGTACAGGCGAACAGGGTGGCGAGTCTCGGTGGCAGTGTTCTGGAACTGGAACAGACCGTTGGGCATGTTGGGCGGTCCTGCCATCTCGTTAGCACGCTGCAAGCCGAGAATGAGCAAGTCGAGCACCAAGCCATAGTACTGGAAGACAAACGCGCTGAACTGCAGGCCCCGGATGAGGCCGTACGAGTTGACGTGCGACATATCCTTGAAGACGATCGAAATGTTGTTTTTGGCAGTGATGTAGTCGGCCAAGTTATGATCCATGATGAGTCGCAAAAGTCGATTGAGCAGCGTCAAGTCGATCTTCTCAAAGACCTTGCTGAGCGTCGTCTCCATGAGCACGTTACACTGGCCCTCGGATGTGTCCCAGATCTCGTGTGCATTGTTGATACCGTTGCACCACTTGTACACGAGCAGCGGCGCTGGCTCCGAGTCGCTGGGCTTGATCCATGCAGGGAAGAGCTGACGTTTGTCAGCTTCGTAGGAGAGGTATTGGCTGAGGTAGGCGTCGGTGATCTTCTCAATGGGCTCAATGTCGTAGGTGGGCGTGAGCTTGTTGAACGTGTCGAAGAATTCGAAGCCAGCCTCTTTGAAAGCACGCTGGGTCAGCATCAATCGCTTGATTCGCGCAAGTGTCTCGTGTGGGTTGTCGAAGGCCTGCTCGATCAAGGCAAGCTCCTCACGCTGACTTTGGTTAAGACGCCCTTTGACTGAGTAAGCTTCCTTGAGCGAGTCTAGCGCTAGGACGAGATGCTTAACATCGTGCTTGTTGTTGAGACTTGGGAAGGGGATTGGGCTGAATCGACGAGCTTCGAGCCACTGCACAGTGGCTGTGAAGGCGGCAACACCAACTTCAGAGGTAATGTAAGGACCACTCTTTAGATAGTCGGCCTGACGCTCCTGCTCGGCACGCAAGAAGAGACGAGTCAAACGACCCTGGTTCTTGCGAACTGCCGTCTTGTCGACGGTGGCACCGCGCGCGATTCGTGCACGCTGTTGGTGCGCCACCGACGTCCACCAGTCGAACTTTTGCTTGACGTATCGTAAGATAAGGTTCTCGATAGGAGCGGGAAGGTTGGGGCTCCATGGAGTATTGCTGCGACAGGCTCGCCAAGCCTCTTGGAGATGGCTCATGATGGTCTTGATCTTGTTCTGACGCATACCTTCTGGCATGGCGTCGAGGATGTCGTGCATGACACTCGCTCGCAGCTCGAGATCCATCGCCGATTCGACACGCTGCTTGGTGATGGACTGCGCACCGGTGCGACCGGCTCGTCCTTCGAACTGACGGGCCAGCAAGTTTCCGAGCCATCTCTCGAGCAAGGGCACGATGCCTCGCAAGAAGAAGATCCATACACGCCATGATGGCGCCCAGAAACCAACACCAGGACCCTTGCCGACACCTGCTGCATTGAAGCGGTAGTAGATGACGTGCTTGAGATCCTTACAGGCGCGGATCTGACGCATGGACCGGTACTTGTATCGATAGATACCCGACAGGGTTGCAACGTGGTTGAAGAGATACTGCAAGCCATCCGCGAGTTGGAAGGCATCGATGGACCCGAGACGGAACTGAACGTGAGCGTCCACAACGAGCTTCATGACACGACTCAGCTCTCGCACCAAGTGGAAGGCGTTACCGAATCGACTCTTCTTGCGCTCTTTGGTGGTGAGCGTCTTGGTGGGCTTGAGGTTCATGTTGTAATCGAGGTGGAGGTAGGAGGCGCCTTTTCGGTGGATGAGAAGGTTCATCATGTTGAAGGATTGCTTGGCGACCTGCAGACCTGCCTCGAGCCAGTCGATCGAGGTGTTCTGGAAGAACTTGGTATTGTTGAGCTCGCGGAGCAAGTTGGTGCGCTTGTGCACCTTTTGTTTGGTGGTGTGGAGACTGTTGTAGACGTAGTTCTTGAGCAACTTCTGATAACTGACACGGACCTTGACCGGCTGGTTGGGTGGGCAGTGCTCGAGATACCATGGCTGAATCAATGGAACATCGACAGCACGACGTGTTCGTCCACTGCGAAGCGAATATGGTTTTGGCGCCCACCAGAGTGCGATCGCATCTGCGGTCAAATCGTTCTCAAGAGGGGCATCCTCAAGGAACGGTTCGATCTCTTCTGGTAGTGAGAATGCGATCTCATCTGGGAGCTCGTCATCGCCCTCGACATCGGGACCAAATACTTGATCCTCGTGGCTGAGCACCGGTGTGGCATCGTCGTACTCTGATCGAAAGGCATTGCTGCTAGCTAATGTGCGACCGGAGATGGGGTTGATGGCGGGGTCAAAGTAGAAAGCCTGGTCAATCTCGTCTGAGCGAATGTAGACATTCTTTGGCTCGTGGTAGGTGCCGATGTGAACTGCACGGGGCCTGCTGTTGTAGAGGTGTGGAAAAGCAACACGGTATTCGGTACGAATTTGCTGGCGGATGATGAGTTTTCGGAAGTCGGTAAAGTCGGTAAGGTCGTCATCGAAACCATCGGTATCTTTGAATAGAGGCTCGAACTTGGGACCACCGGGGATGGCCATGTTGAGCGCCTTTGCTGTGAAGAAAGCCTTCTTGTCGAAGAGGTAGAAAGAGTTGCGATCGCCAGAGGTGTTGCGATCGCTGAGTAGTGTGCGTCCAAGTCGATGCAATGTCGCCATTTGAGGCAAGTCGAGGTTCCAGAATCGATATGATGAGCCATTGAGGTGCTTGCGGTTGTCGATGAGTGGCTTGTGATCGTAGAACCAGTCGATGACTGCACCGTCTTCCTCTTGGTCAAGCTCAAGCTGAATTGCCTCCAAAGGCTCTACATCGAGCAAGTTGTCCGAGTAGTCGACAACAGGTTCTTCGTCATCGAAGGGTGGGAAGCGCATGCGCTTGAAGTGTCGTCGATCACGCTTCTCCCTTCGCATGGCAATCCACATGGTTGCCCACTGAGCGTGAAAGACAGGTTCGATGACCTTGGGTGTCTCGTTGAGGAAGGTGATGGCACCGGTGATGTGGTAGAGGACGGGCACCTCGCGAATCTGCTCCCAAGGCATCGGGATGTTTTCGAGAACCTTCATCATTGCATGCGGGAGGTACTTGAGCGCACCGAGATGAACACGCTTGTCCTGTCGATATTTGCGGTTAGTCATGTCACCATGCTCCTTGATAATTTTGCGAAGCACTTCGGGTGGCATCTCCTGCTTGCCTGTGTCTACAAAGCCGGTCTTGCCTCTGCGGTCGCCGAAGCGACGGCTCTGGGTCTGCTGCCATTTGCGTGCTTTGGCTTGGAGCTGCCCTGGCGTAAGTACGGCAGGGTCGCGGTACGATGAAGAGACGGAAGCGACGGCTGAGGGCGGCATGCCAGGAGGTGGGCCCCTCATGGAGGAAGGTCCTGACGGGGGAGGTCCCCTGTATCCGGGCGAACCCGACATGGTTGGCAAGCGGATGATTGCGTGCTAGCTGATGACTATTTTTTGATAGGAGAGATGGGAGCTGAAAACGGTGCGAAAAAGTGTGTGTCACTAGCAGCAGGGTTGTGGTTAGAAATGATGCTGCTGCTGCTGTCGTTGATGTTGTTGTCGACGGTGATGCTGTGTCCAATGGAAAAGGTCAACGATGTATGTACGCACGTCGAACAGTGAGTTTCTACACAGGCACACTGAGGTCGAAGAAAGCCGAGTGGTGAAAGTGTAGAAGGTCAAAACGGTGCAAGTGAAGGTAGAGGATGAGAATGAACGACTGTCGAGACTATATGATGCTGCAGGTCTTGTGCTGGGTGTGGAGCTAGAAGCAAATCAGACACGCTGCTGAATTTTGCTGAGGAAGAGGTTGGGAGACTGGTCGTCGATGAAGACGATGTTGAGTGGATGACAAGAAGAAAGAGGTGTCGATGCTTTCTTGGTGTGATGAGAATCGGCTGCTGAGCCACAATTGGAGCTAGAAAAAGCGCGTCGCCACTGCCAGAGAAAGTGCAATTCCCGCCTTCCGAATTCTCGAATCGTAAAATATTCACTCGGCCGATAAGAGCCACTTCTGCTATGTGAGTAGATGATGATGTAACAATGGTTAAAATTGGGCTGCAGCACGGACCATCTGCAACTGCGCTTCAGGTCTCGAGGCTAACTAACTATCTTGCTCATCGTAAGCCATCAATCAACATTCATCGAGGGCAACATCCACAACTTGAATCAACAACAGTGCATCCTGAAGCATACCTACCGATCTAATCAAGCTTTTGCATGCCCACAGACTCTTCGGCCAAGCAACCAAGCTCTCTCGGTATTCGCAATCTTGTCGAAGCATCACGCTCTTCCACCACACCCTCAGTCCAGGATGGCCTCGGCAAGCGGTTCATCGGCACCAGCAGCAGCCAGCGGCTCTGCCCAAAACATTGATGTCGATATTGAAGAGGATGTTCGTGCTGGTGGCGTTGCGGAAGGAATGGACGAAGATGCCACACCAGCAGGAGAAGGCGCACAGACACCTCAAAGCGTCAACACAACCGCCGATGCAGAAGACGATTCGGACTTGGCAGCATCGTTCTACCAGAGCAACAGCTCAAAGAAGCGTCAGACTGCTTCCAAGCTAACAGATGATAGCGCGGCAGTTGTGGACGATGACGATGACCTGATGGAACCAGAGTTGCCTGCGGGTAGGGAAGAACGGGTAAGTGACGATGACGATTCTTGATTGCAAGAGGAAGAGACATTCTATGCCTCACATCGCTGACACTCGGCACACCTCATCCTCGTCGATTCTCCATGTGAACTCTTGTATGATTCCAGCTTCTGGACGAAAAGATTCGGGCGCGCTACATTCAGGGTAAGTAGGAGACGTCTCCGAAGTTCTAACTGTTGCGTCAGATTTGCCCTCTCGTTGATTCTAGTAAGCTAACTGCGCTCTTATTGCCTGCCTTTCGACACCTGCCGCAACTGCATTGCTTGGATATCGTGATTGCTGTTGCCTACAATGTAGAGGTCGGCGACATCTTCTAATCATACCCATACCCAGTGTTTCTTTCGACATGTTGTCCTTTCACATCCATGTCAGTACGAAGTGGCTGCCGTTTTTAGACGCTTATTGAGGTCTGATTCCGCACCTGGAGATGATATCCATGGTTGTTTTAAGTGAGGCCTTGACCGGTGAGGTTAGGCTTGATGAGGTCTAGCTTGGTGAGCGTGGGGCATGGCCACTCCACTACGAAGTTCGCACCGCGGCTTGTAAGGGGCTGAGTTGAGGCATAGAAGCGCAGACACTGTTCTGGTGTTGTTTCCAATGTTCAGGTATTGTTGCCAGCATTCGTGGCTTGATTCGGGTTGTGATTCTCCTGCTGTGACAGAGCAAGTTGTGTTCCGGGGCGTTGCTGCTCGTCTTGCTCTGACTCTTGGCGTGCGTGGTACTGATGATCGTGGATCGAGCCAGAGTCATCCGGTCGAATCGAAGAGAAGGAGGATGAAGTGAGGATGGGATTGTGTTGCATCATCTTGGCTCGTCGATATGCTTTGAGCGTCTCGACGTCAGACTCCTGTACAGAGAGACTTGTTGGCGAGCGGCGAATCATGGCTGGTAGATGCGACAAGGAGGAGGGATGTGGTGTACTGATGACAAGGTGTTCAACTTGGTCTCTCGCTGAATTTTGGAGCCCTTTTTGGAGCCACAATTTCGTGCGACAATTTCAGAGATGATTTTCAGAGAATATGAAAAAGACGTCTTTCTTGCGTGCACGGGCCAGGCATATCTAAGAGGACCTTTTTCTTGTGTCGACTTCATCTTTGCTCTCATTCTCATCTTTGCTCTCATACACATCCAAATAGAGCGCAGCAAGTCGAGCTCTTGATCGGTAGCTACGTCCATCCTTGCATCTCGACGAAACCTCAAGCCATCCGCAACGCACAGCCATGTCCGCATCGATAAGCGCTTAGACATCCCACTCCTCAGCTTTCTTCCTGGCCATCACAAGCGCCGCTCACAAGAACAGCCAGCATGTCGAACACCAAGCGTCGGCAGCAGCCCTATCAGCCGCAACAGCGATACTATGGCAACTATCCACAGCAATACGCCCCAGAAGCAGCTTATACCCAGTACGGCTGTGCACCATGGCAAGCCGCCCCGCCTCAAGAGCAATACTACCAACAAGCGCAGCAATACCCATCGGCGGATCCATGCGCTTACGCCAACAATACCCTACTACCTGCTGCATCCAGCCCATATCTCCAGCACAACCAATACCAGCCTGCACCTAGCTACTATCCTCAGCCACAACCCTACGCTGCCTCGCTCAACGCAGTAGCATACTCTCGAGGCGATTATCTCGCAGTCGAAAACGCAGCTCAGGGCAATGCTTCTCCCAGTCAGCTCTCTCCGAGTATGCTGTCCAACAGTCACAGTCCCAGGCCTAGCACTGGCCGCTCTCTCCTCAATGACTTTGTCTTTGCTACGCAGGGCACAAGTCCTAGTCTTGAGTCGCATGTTGCCCATCTCAGTCTGGGTGCTTCGGCTGCTTCGTTGCCTACAAAGCCGACTTCGGTAGCATCGAGCGCATCGGCATCCCGTCCCAACTCAGGGATGGCCTATCGCTCACAGCTCAGGCCGCTTTCCACAACTACTTATGCGGCTCAGTCGACCATGGTTGCTGGCGAGTCTCGCTCGGATATCTCGCTTCGATACCCACCTTTGCCCGCTGTTCCTGAACGACCTGCTACGCCGCCTGCGCTGCATTCCAAGTCAGAAGCCGGGCCAGGTAGCAACGCAGACAACTCGAATGCGGCGACGAAGGAAGCAACCTCGGACAAGGAGGTGCACGAGTACCTATCCAACCTACGTTCGCTCATCGACATGTTCGAACAGCGAGATGACCTCCTACGTCTACGCACAGAAGCGGTCGGCTTTCAGCCCAAGCAAGCTTACCAAGCATGGCGGATAGAAGAACCCTCCAACACCGATCCAGCCGCAGCAGAAGATGCAACGGCAAACCCAGTTCTCGGCGTGCGCCTTCTTCAGCGTCTAGACAAACTTCAGCGCGAGAATGAAGAACTTGGTCGACTGCTTTCCTCAGGCGCCAACCTCGATCCTCAAGTTGCTTTGCCATCGAGCCCAGTAGAGGAGCTGCGGAAAGAAGTGCAGGAATGCCATCAGCTGATTGATGCGATGGATAAAGCGTTGAGTAGTGCTGAAGCGAGAGCTGCTGCGGCCGAGAGTGCTTTGGAGGTGGCTTGTCGGAACAATTCCACTTCGATCCTGGCAGCTGCGGCAGTGGATAGAGAAACGAACAAGTCTCCACCGATGACGAGAGCGGGTTCGGCAGGTAGGAGGGGTTCGAAAGCTGCGACGGCGATCACAAACAGTGCGCCTGGCGGTGGTAAAGGTGGTCAGGCACAGCAGCGTAACAAGCCATCAACCGCAGTCAACGCTGCGGAGTCGACAAAAGACGCACCGACTGTGGCAGGTCATGTCAGTGGAGGAACAGGTAAGAACAAAGAGCAACCAAAAGACAGCGCTAATACCAGGGCGACACGAAGCGACACCGCTAAACCTGCTTCCGCCGCAGCGAAGGGCAAATAGCACATCTTGACACATTTTGCACCCAACACATGTACTCTTTGCACTCGATGCAACTAGCATCCATCTTTGCCACTCATCTAAGTCACTGGCGTGATTGTGTTGAGAAAGGTCTGATATCTATCTCTACTTGACCATGTCTGCGCCGAGGTAGAGAGCGTTAATACTTTGCCTTTGGCGCAATCTTTTGTCTCCAATCAGGATGGACCAAGTCGTCGAGCAAATGTGCATATCTCTCTCTATTACTTCCGAGCAAATCAAACGGATCATGACGAATCCGATCCCTATTTTCCTCCAAGCACTGAGCTTTTCTGCTATACATCCAAGTTTGGCGTTCCTCTCGTGCTTGGTGCCATTTGCAATCCCATTTGTTTACGCTTTCCGGGTCCACCTTGGCTAACTCATCGTATAGCTCTTGTGCGAAGTGCAGTTCTGAAGGAGGTCCTTCTTTGAGGCTTCCGCCAAGTAAGTGGAATCCGGTGTATGTAAGAGGATCTTGCGGATCAATCTTCTGCCCCGGTCTTGCGCTTTTGAGCTTTTGTTGATAGAGCCAATGCAACCTCTCCTGTTCGTTTTGCAAGCGTGCTGGGATAGAGGTGGGTATAGAGGTAACTTTGCCTGCCCATACAGCAGTAATCCAAGCACTGATCAAATCATTAAAGCTGAACGGCATCGTACAGATCACCAATCCAACGAATGCCAAACTGAGGTTTTGACTTTTGGAAAACAGCGCATGGTTATACATAAACGGAACCCTTGTCCCCTTGAACCTCTCGGGAGTCAATGGTTCTGTTTCCGCTCCACCACTCTTCCTGGCAGCATGGGTAAGTACATGTAACCAAGGATACTTTTGCCGGTAACCGGTTGCCAGAATGACATAATCCACATCTCTAATCACACTTGCATCCGCCAGCGTCAATTGCAACTTGGTCCCCTTCTCCCCCGCTGAGGTGTGTACTAGGGTGTAGTTGGTGATCATACCGACATCTTTGATCCTTTCATCGGGCAAACTAGGGCATTTGTCGAGAGGTGCGGATTTGGAGGAGCGATATACGGGGTGGCATGTCGAGTTGAGGGGGGCTAAATGTGCCGCAACTTCGTTGGCGCTGTTGTTATTGCCCACCACCACCACCTTTTTGCTGTGATAAGGGCTGGAATCGCGGTAGTGTTTGCAGTGGTGAACATGTCCAGCTTTTTTCGCAGCTTCGATGCCAGGTACATCAGGGTAATAGGGGGTGTCGTACCACCCTGCAGCGACAACTACTCGATCAAATACCTTGCTCTCGACTCTTGGAGTGAAAGTAGTGGCACTCTGGACACCAGTAGCCCAATGCTTCAGTGTCACTAGCCATCCTTTCTGCCCAGCGACCTCTTGCACTCTCAACACCTCCACCGAGCACCTAATGTGTTGTCTATACGGATGCGCAAACTCTGTGAGATATGTATGTGTTTCTTGCAGACTCGGAAAAGTCTCCCCCTTGGCGGGTGGTTGCATCCTCTTGCCACTGAACTCCAAAAACTCAGGCAGCACATTGCCCCTTAGGTTAACATACGCCGGACTTGGCCAATGCGGGTGACCTTTAGGATCGTACAGTGGGGAAAGACCTTGTCTTGCATCCGCACCAACCTTTCGCTCCAAAGAATAAGTGGGATCGGACCAATACCAAACTCATCCGACATCATCTCTCCTCTCCACCAGAAGGGGAGAGAAAAGTGGATAGGTGCCAGAAGAGTCAGAAGCAACTTGCTCGACAAGGTTTCGTAGAGTTACTAGTCCAGTAGCTCCTCCGCCTATGATTAGGATTGATTCGGGACGCTGGGATCGCGTTCGGGGGACGAGCTTTGTGCCCGTCATCCTAGCTCCCTATGCAGGTCGATGGAGATGATGGTGACAGAGAGGGGGGGGGGGGGAGAAGGGGAGAAGGGGAGAAGGGGTGCATCACGTGACGGGCGGGATGATCTGAGCGCGCGCGCGCGGCTGAGAAAAAACTCAGCCGCCGCTGCGGCACTCTCCTCCTTCCTGCCTCCATCATCCTTTCTTCTGGCGAGCGCGTGGCTAGCACACACTCACTCCTTGCTCATTTTTCAGCTACCGATCCCTTCCGTCATGGCCCCTGAGCAGGCTTGCTCATCCTGTGGTCTTTTCTTTGTGCAGAACCACTACGTTGGCCGGGGCAATCGCCGCTGCACCTGCTGTGCGGCTTGCCGATGCCAGGCTCCAGCACCCCTTCTCTCAGTCGCCACACCTGCTCCAGCGGTGCTACCGGCCTCCAGCACTACCGCAGCAGCCCCCTCGACCTCATCCGCACCCGCTCTGGACACATCCGCCGCCTCTCTGGTTGTTCCTGTGCCTGAGCCAACCTCTCTGGCACCACTATCTCCCCTTCCCTCGCATGCGCCGTCGATCTGGGACGCCGTCGTTCCCGCACCCTCACAGCCTCTGACTGACACCTCCGCCCACTCCCACCTTGATGAGCAGGCTGACACCATCTCTCAGCTTGCAGAGTCCGTCGCCGAAATCCGACAGCTAGTCCTCGCACTCCGCCAAGACCTGACGCCCCCGACCGCGCCTCCTCCAGCACCGATGCCTCTTGCCTCGGCTCCAGCCTCCGGTGAGTTGCAGCTTCGCCGCCTGTTCCCTTGGATCTCTCGCGAGCTCGCGCAGCAGGTCTACGACGACCGCCTCCCACCCCACGAGCTCGGAAAGCTCCGCAACCCGGCCCACAACACCACCGCAAGCGAGCCAGAGCGCGAACTCGGCGTCATCGTCAACGGCGTCCGCGTCAGCGTGCCCGAGCCCTCCTCCTCCGACCTCTCCTCTCGTGCCTTTTTGCGCCTCGTTCCCGACGTCCGCAGCTTTGCCCAAGCCTGGTCCGTGTACACCGCTCTTCGCTCCACCAGCGCCAGCGACCCCCACCTCGCCGCCAGCCTCAGCGCTTTTCTGGTGCACATCATCGACCTCGACACACAGTACTTCTGGTCCACCGTCGCCGAGTACTTGCTCACAGTCTGCCAGCGTCATTTCGGTCATGCCACCGCCAGCGACTGGGTCGAGCAGGACATCGCCGCGTGGCAGAAGGACATCGGCGGTGTTCCTCGGCGTCCCATCCCCTCCGCCAAGCCAGCAGCGTCCAAGAACGCCGCCTCGCCTGCGCAGACCAACACCACACCTGCCGCCGGCCAGAAACGCCTGCGTGCAGACGCATCTGCCCAGGTCTGCTTCTGCTTCAACTCGGGCGGCTGCTCAGACGACAAGTGTACGCGGTCCCACATCTGCATCCACTGCAGAGGTGACCACATAGTGCAGGCATGTCTCGAGCCAGCAGCCATCAAGAAACTGGCCTAGGTGCCTCGGTGAGTACCACCCCTTGGCCTCCTCGCCCACTCGACCTCGTGGGCTCGTCTCTGCGGCAGACTCAAGCCCAGTCCCCTCCCTCCTCGTCTCTGCGGCAGACTCAGGCCCAGCCCGGCCTTGTCGGCCCTTCTCTTCCATCCCCGCAGCAGACTCAGGCTCGGCTCAACCTTGATGGTCGCTCTTTTCTCCCATCTCCGCAGCAGACTCAGGCTCGGCTTGACCTCGATGGTCCCCCCTCTCGTTCATCTCCGCGGCAGACTCAGGCCCGGCTCCTCACTTCGGTCCCGGCAGCTCTCGATGTCCCATCAGCTGACCGGTGCCTCTCGCTTCTCCTCGCTCTTCGACAGCACGTGCCCCCTCCTCGGCCCAACACCACGATGGCCCTCGACGTTTTCGATCCGGCCAGCACCCCTGCTCGAGCAGGCTCGATGCAGGCGCAGCTGCCAGCCTGGGAGCACCTCCTCCTCGACTACCCAGATGAGCGCTTCTGCCAGCAGATGGCTGGCATGATTCGGCATGGCTGCCTTCTCGGGTACGACGGTCCGCTGCGCCACAGTGACCGCCTCGCCGCCAACCTCCCCATCGACGCCGCTGGCCACACCCACCTACGTCGCGAGATCGCTGTGTGCCTGGCCGAGGGCCGCCTCACCATCGTCGGACACAACCAGCCCCTCGTTGAGTTGCCTATCGGCGTCGTGCCAAAGCCGCGCTCAACAAAGCTCCGAACCATCCATCACCTTTCCCACCCTCACCGCCCAACGGGCGCCACGCTGCCGTCAGTCAATAGCAGCATCAACCCAGCCATGGTATGCATCCAGTACGAATCGATCGGCCAGCTTGTTGACTTTGTGCGTGCCAACCCCAACTGTCTCCTTTGGAAAGGTGATCTCGAGGACGCTTTCCGCCACGTCGTCACCGCGGAGCCAGACGCCTACTTGCTTGGCTTCCAGTACAATGGCGTGTGCTACCGAGAGAACACACTCACCTTTGGCGGCAGCAGCTCGCCATTTCTCTTCAACCTGGCAGCCGAGTTCCTCCACTGGGTCGTGGCATCCTGCCTACCACCCAGCTGGCCCATCAACCACTATCTCGACGACACCTTCAGCGCTGTGCCAGCCGAGACGCCCGCGCTGGCACTTTGGCCAGTCCGGGTCCTCGCTCTTGCCGCCGCAGCTCTGGGCTTGCGCCTTTCGCCCAAGAAAACATTCGCCAACTGGACTCGGCTTGAGATTCTGGGCGTCGAGATTGACTCGGCTGTGCAAACGGTGGGAGTCACGCCAGAGTGCCGAGCCCTTATCATCGCCCGGTGCCGCACACTGCTCAGCCGCCAGACGGCCGATCTGCTCGACATGCAGCACATTGCCGGCCTGCTACAATTCGTCTCTCAAGTCTTTCCTTGCGGCAAGGCCTTTTTGCGCTGGCTGTACGACTGCACTCATCGCTCTCGGCTCGCAGGAAGACGCCGCATACCTCGTCAAGCCCTCACCGAGCTTGCATGGTGGGTTGCCGTCCTAGAAACCTGGCAAGGCACATGTGTTCTCTCCCCCTCGCCCCTCCTCGTCGCCCATGTTTGGACCGATGCCTGCCCTCGCGGCTACAGTGCCCACCTCGGCCTCACCAGCGACCTGGTAGCTGTCTTCTCACAATCGGTACCGCGGCGGCACCGAGGCAAGAACATCCGCTTCCTCGAGGCCTTGGCTGTCCTGGAAGCCCTGCGGCATTTCCTACCACACTGGCCCACGCCAACCACTGTGGTCGTCCATGTCGACAACAAAAACGTGGAGTACGGCCTGCACTCTGGCAGCTCGAGGGATCCGCTGACCCAGCGCATCCTCCAGGAGATCTTTGGGCTTTGTTTCACCCACAACCTCACTCTCCACCCCGTCCGTGTTTCGTCTGCTGACAATGCCCTTGCCAACCTCCTCTCTCGCCGGCAGTTTACCCGTTTGCGCCAGTTGTTCCCCCAGGCTCATCAGCTGTTGTTCTCCCAGCCGGTACCCGACGCCCAGCTGGCCAGCCCCCTGCCACCTTCGCATCCAGCTTGGGCATCTCTGCGGCAGCAGCCTCACTCCTCTGGAACGGCCTGGCGGTCAGCACTCGAGACCGCGCTGGCAGCACCATCACCACCTACCGCACCTTCTGCGCCTTCCACTTTGGCTCCAACGTCGCCTGTTTCCCCGCCTCTGGCCTGCAGCTCCTCGAGTGGATCGGAAGCATGTCCACCACCAGCTGTTCCTACCACTCCGCCAAGCACGAGCTCAGCCACCTCCGGTCTCACCACATCGACCTCGGCCTCTCGGTGCATGGCTTCGAATGCGGCCGGGTCGAGTGCGCGATCCGTGGCTACAAGAAGATCCACGGCGCACGGCGCACTGGCGCCAAGCTGCCCATCACGCTTCCCCTCCTCTGCCGCCTTGTCGCCGCCGTCGACACCTTCGCCGCCATCCCGCCGTGGGACCGCGCGGTCTACTCGGCTGCCTTCACCCTCTCATTTGCCTGTTTCCTGCGCTCTGGCGAGGTCGTTTGGGACCGCTCCACCGATCCCGCGGCCGTCCTGCGGGTCTCCAGCGTCGAGATGGCCTCCGACCACGCCGTCGTCACCCTGCCCGCCTCAAAGACCGACCCCTTTCGCCTCGGCGTCAAGGTCGTCACCCCCCTCGTTGGTGGCCCCGAGTGTCCGGTGGCTCGCCTTCACACCATCACATCCAAGCGCGCCGCCTCTGCCCCCCTCTTCGGCCTCGGACCATCCGGCAGTGACCCGCTCACGCGCACAGCCTTCGTGGCCACTCTGCGGCGCGCCATCGCCTGGGCAGGCCTGGCGCCAGCTGCCTACGCCGGCCACTCTTTCCGGCGTGGCGCCGCCACCTGGGCGGCGTGCCTCGGCACTAGCCCGGAGACGATCCAGTGCCTTGGCTGCTGGAACTCTGCCTGTTTCAAACGCTACGTCGACCGCTCGGCTAGCGAGCGCTGCAATCTCGCCGTCGCCGCCCTCTTTGCCTCGTGCGAGGGCCCCCTCGTTCCCGACTGCGCATCTTGGCGCAACGTGGGCGCGACCTAGCCTTTCGCTGTTGGCCCCAGCCCAGTCGACACCGCTCTCTGCTGCGCAGGCGCCTCGACACTCAATTGGCGGGCTGGGAGCCTTTGAGCCAGCAGACTTCGCCGCTGCCCCGCAAAATAATTCTCCCACACGCGTCTCTGTTGCATGTGCCGATCTCACACACGCTGTGCGTCCTTCACCCCACCCAGCCGCGCGAGTAGGCGCTGGGATGGCAGCCTGGGGCGAACCAATCAAGAAAGAAGGGTCAACTGGCTGGCATGTTGCGCTGGGAGAAGAGTTCGCAAGAAGACTTGAAATTGCGCAATCGAATTTGGCAACTTGGGTAGAAGAGCCAGGTTGGTAGAGTAGGTATCATGTATTGGCTATTGCGATAAGCAGCTGTCTGAATGGTCGATCATGATACACTTGATCACATGCTACAAACATCAGCCCTTTGACTTGCCCGAGATGGGTGTATGGTCGATTCTGCACTGCTGTAGCACTCGGTCTGAACCTGTTCTCACTTCAGAGTGTTAGATGCAACTTGAACGCCATCGACACTCGAGAGCAAGTCAAAGTGAATGAATGCAATGGATTGCCAAGATACTACAATTATCATCGCTGCGATCAAATGCGTCGATCAGCGTCGATCAGCGTCGATCACAACTCAGCCAACAGCATGGTCCCCAAACTCTGCACGATCTGATCGGCCATGGTCTGTTCCACGGCATCTTCCAAATGTCTCTTTGGATCCTGTTTACCCACGTGTCTCGTCTTCAACTGTTGGGCAGTCATGGTACTTTCCTCTTCCACCGACTTGTTATACGCCTCACTCAAACTCAGCATCCTCTCAATAGCCTTTCTGTTGTTCTCCTTGTGTTCTGCAAAGTCTCTCAACCTCAAGGCTTCGGTCCAATTCCTCTTGTGTAGGTTGTTCAACATGCTCTGTTCCAACTCTGTTTTCCTGTAGCCGATTGCGATCGAGTAGTAGTGACGATTGAGACCGTGAATGAGCGATTGGATCGAGGGTTTGTTCAGGTGACCAATATTCGATGTAGTCTGTCGAGGTTCCTGGCCGAGCATGACGGTTGAAGGGTTGATCAGACGGAAAGCGTCAATCACCACCTTGCCTTTGACCGACTGGATAGGATCGACGACGACGGCAACAGCACGAGGGTTGAGCTGTTCGAAAGATTGCTGGGTGTTGATATCGACGTTGGAGAGCCAACAGCCGAAACCGGGATGGGAGTGGTACCAACCGACCACCATTTCCGGTCGACCGGTTTGCTTGAGCATGTCAAGCATTTTCGTCTGGAATACCGGATCGACGGCTTCGACAGATACACCGGTACCCGATTGAGGCATGGCAAAGACGTCGATTACAGAAACGGTGTAGTCGTCGATGAAAGATCCAAGCATGAGACCCATTACTTCCATAGGTACACCAGCTCGGCCGTGTTTGAGCATCTTGATGAGTGCAAGCGAGGAGATGTAGACCATTTCGGCGTTGTCATTTTGGGGAGCATCACCGGGGGCACCCCCTGCTCCCATCCGAGTTTGCTGCATCATTGATTGAAAGTCCATGCTGGGCTAGTATATCTGGAGATGATGATGGCGATCAGCTGTTCTTCTCTCTGGGCCAAAAGTGGAGTTGAGAGCAGACAACGCGTCACTGAGCGGCGCACAGACCGTGAACGTGAGCAGCCTCATGTCCAGCTTACATAATCATCGCTCATCCCACCTCCGGCATAGTCTCGTGTTCAGCTTACGTAATCATCACTCATCACACCTCCCCTCCACACGCGCTCAAGTCCCAAGACAAGTCCAAGAGAGTGATCATCTCCTCATCATCTCTTCATCACGGACGACACCAACAACCAACCAGACAGCCTTGGCCCCGGCTTCGACCCTGCCACCCTCCCCCCCACCTCCGCTGCTCCAACGCATCAAAGCAACAAGCTTCTCTATCATCCATAGCGCCCCGCCATCAACCAAGCCGAGTTTCAGTATTAGCCGCCATGTCATCCAGCATCGGCTCCCTCTTGTCCTCCGTCTTGCTCTATCTCCGGTCTCTCCTCTTCTCCAAACATCTCGAAATATGCGTTGTCGGCTTACAAGCAGCAGGCAAGACTTCGCTCGTCAACCTGCTCTCCTCTGGCCAGTTTGCAGACGAAATGGTCCCCACGGTCGGGTTCAACATGCGCAAAGTCCGTTCTGGAAACACAACCATCAAAGTATGGGACATTGGAGGACAACCACGATTCCGTAGCATGTGGGAGAGGTATTGTCGTGGTGTATCTGCGATTGTTTTCGTTGTTGATTCTTCTGTTCCACTGCCTAGCTCTAAGGGTGAAGCGACGGGGACAAGCACTGTAGCGCCGACTAGCACAAGTTCGGCTGCAAAGCCTGCACCTTGTTCAACAGCAGCAGGGAAAGGAGATGCACATCTTACAGCACCAGCAGTTGCAAGTGCAGGCGCCGTTGCATCAAGCACACAAAGTTGCTCGGCGTGGAACATCGCAACAGAAGAACTGCACGCGCTGATTGAAAGACCGCATTTGGCAGGCGTGCCGCTGTTGGTGTTGGCGACAAAGAACGATATCAAAGGTGCGGCCAGGGTGGACGATGTGATAAGAGTGCTCAAGTTGGATACCATTGCGAATAGGGAGGTTAGCTGTTATAGTATCAGTAGTAAGAACCAGGTTAATATCGATGTTACGTTGAAGTGGTTGGTTGCTAGGAGTCCTGTTGGCCAGCGATGATCCATTCCCGCACGCACGGTGGTTCTTGATAGTTCTCCTTAGCGCCGGTCTGACGATCTCCTTGGAGCGAGCTCTGCCTAGACGGCCTCCCTTGTTCAAGTTTCTGTGTCACCCCTTCTGCCAATCCCTCCTCAGCCGCCCTTTCTGATGAATGGACAGCCATTTCCTCTGGATCCGTGATACCGAACACAGACTGTGTGTGCTACCTGCCTGAAGTGTGTCTATGCGTCTGATCCACCCACCCACCTGGGCCTAAGCTTGTGCTCAAGTATCCTGAACCAAAGACCATTCGCACAGAATTGGCAGAAAGCGCGCTGCAACTGCCAAACTTGCCAGCCAAACTTGCCACTTGCAAAACCGCAACATGAACGCTCAGTCTCTCTTTCCCTCTCTCTCTCTCTCTCTCTCTCTCTCTTCCACTTGCATTCGTCTCAATCACCATCTTCCCGCATGCCTTCTCCTCCTCTTGCGCAATGATGACAGTCGACGACTCTCAAGCAGAGCATCTCACAGCCCTCGCCACAGCCGCCTCCACCCTCACATCTTGCACCTCTAGCTCTATCCAAACTCTCCACTCATCAGCCCTCGTATCTCGAACAGCATCCGAACATGCGCAAGACTCAAGCTATCTCTCCCTAGCTCCTACCTTTCTATCTCTGCACCAACAGGCGTCTAGCTCCAAACAGCTCCTCGACTCGCTAGAGGGCTTCCTCTCCACATTCCAATCCGATCTCTCGACGCTGTCAACGCACATCTCGGCATTGCAAAACACATCGCACGCCATTGGTTCCAGACTTGATGCGACCAGGGATGTAGAGATCCGCTTGGCCTCGTTTCTAAGCGAGATTGCACTGAGCCCAAGGATCGTAGATCTCTTCTTTGAAACAGAGCCCGAGTCAAGGCCAGAGTTGTGGTTAAAGGCTGTAAAACAGCTGGAGAAGGTGTTAGAAGCTACTTCTCCCTCCGCCACCCTCTCCTTACCTCCTGGCGTAGCAGAGCGGGTTGCGGACGTGGGGGAGATCCAAGCAGTGCAGCAAGTACGAAGGGTCGCAGAAGCATGCAAGAACATCGTAGCTTCCAAACTTCGCTCTTTTCTGATAAGCCCGCATACTGCGATTAAAGCTTCGGTAACGACCAATCTCCAGGTGCTTCAAAACTCAGTTCTCTTACGACACCACAAGCCATTCTATGCGTTCCTAGCAAGACAAATGCCAAGAGTAGCGATCGATGTTCAGAGGAGTTATGTTCAAGCTGCTAGACTCTACTTCGAGACTGCCTTTAGAAGGTATGTGAGGAGTCTCGTCGTTCTTAGGAAAAGGTGGGTCGAAGCGCCGAGTGGAGGAGGCTTGCTTCTTACTGAAGCTCTACCTTCAAATGCCACCCTATATGGTGCCGGTGGGATTGCGGCATTGCAGAATGGCATGTCTAACCTGAACAAAGCGCTTTCCACCACTGAAAGCGGCCTCGTGCCTGGCAGAGGCAGCAATACACCAACCTCGAAAGATGCAAGCAACTTGTCAGACAGCGAGACGATGAGTAATCTCGATCCCTGGCTATTCTCGGCCAACCGTCTGCTGTATTCTAAACTCGACAGCCCCGTCGCCACAGTGCTCGGCTACCTTGCAGACGATTCTAGTTTCAAGGCATCTCCCGAGAATCTTTTCCGATCTCTTTCGTTGGTGTTGATTGATAATGCCTGCTCCGAATTCACCTTTCTGGTGAGGTTTTTCCAAGCTATATCCGAAGACCTCCCTTCCACCCAAGAAGCGAGGGTAGGCGAGGAGGAGAGCGCAGATACCAGCCAAGCCGGAGATGCGACACCAACGCAAAGCGAAACCGGACCAGAACCATCCGTTGTCCAACTCTCGCTCACCGAGCAGAGTAAGATGAAAGGAAAGGGTGCAACAGAAGAGATATTTAGACAGATTATGGAACCTTGCATCACAACCTGGTCTAACTTTGCCACATCCTTGCTCATGCCCCCTGGTAGTGCTGCAAGCAATATTGCTGCAAGTGCCACCTCTGTCGTCAGCGCTTCTTCAATCGCAACTGGAGGCGTAGGTGGAGTGGGAGCGTATTTTTCGCTACTTTCCATGCTAACACTCAACGATGCTTTGTCAGGATTGGTCCAGGCTAGAGGATGCAATAACTCGGTATTGGAGTCAGCGTTGATGCGGTTCAAAATCACCGCCTACCCCCTAGCCAAAAGGTTCTTAGACGACCAAATCGCATCCCTCTCCACCCTCAGTAATCCTGGTTCGGCATCTTCAAGCGCAAGTGCAGGTGTTTGGGGTGTATTCAACTCACTCACCAGCACCAACTCCGCCTCGGCAACCCTAACCGAACAATTGGGCGAGGCAATAGCGATACGATACGCCTCTCTATTCACCAAAACCCTCTGGATCCTAACCACAACCCAAACCGCAGACCAAGGCATCCTCTCTGCTCTTCTACGTCTACGTTCCCAACTAGCAAAACTCATCTCCATCCCCAACCAAAAGAGTTGGACAAGAGAAGGCAAGTTGAAAATGCTTAAAACCCTAATTCAAGCGATAGAAGCCGTCGTTGGCGTAAGTGCCGGAGGATTGGCCAGTCATGGCAAAGTTCAGAACGAGTTGAGTTTTTGGCATGAACAGTTGCATCAGTTGCCACAATAACGAGCATAAGCTTTGATGTTACAATGCGAAAACATGTTTCTATTCCAACACCTCTGATAAAGATATGAGAGTGCCAGCGGGCCAAGGCTTACACGTCGGATTCATCAGGGAGCGTACTAAAGGATGAATCGTGTCGTAGCATAGCCAAGCGTTGAGCTTCTTCTTTTTGATATTGATAGTCGGCGACGATGGCCGATGATCCTGGGTGAGAGTGATTTGGATGTCCGGGCATGTGAAGTGGTCTTTCCCTCTCCACGTTGGTTTCTGCTTCTGAAGCTTGCCTGGTGTGTTCGGCAGGTTCGTCTGGCATCGCTTCGTCTCCTCCAGCGACAGCTTCTTCCTTGGAATGTTTTGAATCCCTTTCACCTTTTTCTTGCTGCTGTTGCCTGAACCCTAAGCTAGCTCGGAGACTCATACTTGGGTTGTATGGAGTAGTAATTTCCGTTCCACCGGAAGAGTTTGATGATCCAGCAGCCCATGTTTCGCTACTACTCCATCTACTTCGGGTGCTATTCAATGATGATACGTTCCGATCTAAACTCTTAAACACTCCTCCACCTCCGCCTCCACCTCCGCCTCCACCTCCGACACCTGGAGTGGAAAGATAGCGACTACCATCCAACGAATTCGTCACACTACTTCCACTCGAACTCCCCAAATCATCATACCCCCCCACTCCAACCCCACCTACACCAGCCAACTCCGCCGCAGCCTCTGCCTCATTCGCCGCATCCAATTCCTCGATTAAACTTCTCATCCAAGGATCTTCCTTCAACTGTATCGCCGTTGGTCTCTGTCTCGGGTTAATCGTCAAACACTGGCGAATGAATTCAATCCCCATTGGCGACAACTGCGATGGATCCGGTAGCGCGGGATGTTGTTCAGCCATTCCGATATGGAACATGATCGCCCATTCGTTGTCAAAGTTGCTCCAAGGTCGTTTACCAGTCGCAAACTCGAGCACGACGCAACCCAAACTCCAAATATCCGCAGCGGATTGTGGAACATCCGCATTCCCTTTGATGACTTCAGGTGACATGTACATAGGTGTTCCTTGCAAAGAAGCCATTGCTCCTGCAGGTCCACCTTGTTTGCCACCCTCGCCGCCTTGAGTGATCATACCGATGTTGTTCAGACCGCCGGTTTTGCGCGATCGTTGGATGGTGCGACTGTTTTTGGCGAGGATTTTGGCTGCTCCGAAATCGACATATTTCAAAACACCCATGTGGTCCAACAGGATGTTGTCGGGTTTGATGTCTCGGTGGATGATGCCTTGCGAATGGAGGTAGATCAGACCTTCCAGCATTTGAAGCGTGTAGACTTGGATCACAGTCTCGTCTTCGATACGACCATGTTCGAGCAACGCAGCCAAAGAACCACCCTGACAATACTCCTCGAAAATATAGACTCGATCACGATGCACCTCGATACCGTAATACTCGACAATGTTGGGATGACTCAACATCGACATGACCTCCATCTCGTCCTTGATTTGCTGGTACAGGCTGGGTGTAGAGGAAATATCTTGGAAACGAATCTCTTTGACAGCCATAAGACCACCACTGTCGAGGTTGACCGCCAGGTAGACTGTACCAAAGGTTCCTCCTCCGATGAACTGACCCTGTTGCCAACGAATGGTGATTTTCGAGGCTGACTGGGCGAGGAATTGCAGACTGCGATCTTCCAGGCGTGTATCGTCGAGGACGCGGCCAATGAGACGCTGTTCCGTGTCGAGCTCGTTACGTGCAGCATCCCATTCGAGAACTTTCGAGATCCATCGCTCTTCCGTGGCTTGCATAGCAGAGTCGAGTTTGTTGACGAGCATTTGAGCGCCGATCCCTGGACCGACGAGCGCCTGCTCCTGTTGTTCGCCATTGGCGCCGTGCAGTTTCAGAGCTTGGAAATCCTCCGAGAGCTTCTGGGCAGCATCGGCTCCACCGGCTGTGATGCGATTACGTTCGGCTTTCTCGCGTTCCAGCTCCTCTTTCTCCTCTTGTGCTTTGGCAACACTGCTTCTGGCGCCGAGAATGTCAAAATGCGAGATGAGCAATGCCATACAGGAGGCCACTTTGGATCGAAGCAGGGCAAAGTCTTGCTCGTTCAGACGGAAGATGTTTTCTGCAGATGTGATGTGGTTGGCGTTGCCAAGCGCAGTGACGGCCCACTTGAATGTCTTGCGTTCGCTCGGAACACAGTCGTCACAAATGAAGGCAACCCAATCGATGGCAAGACGGCCCAATGCTAACGTCATCTGGTCTCGCAGACGTGCTGATTCGATGAAGGGCAGCGCACGACGTCCGTGCTCTGCTGCCATCGAGTAACAGTTTTGGATCAGCTCGTCGCAGTTTCCACCCAGACCTCCTGGGTTCTCGCTTGTCGACGAACGCGGTGTGCCGCTTCTTGCTCGAGCGCTCGCACCAAGTCCACGCAGACGTCGACGGATTTCAGGCACCTTGCGGATGATCGTATCGGAAAGCATGTAGACACCTTTGTTGATGTCCTCCAGGCCGGACTGGACACGGCTCATGTGAGCCATATGATCGTTCAGCGTCTCGAGCGGGAATGCCGCATGACCATCTTCGCTACCATCATCAGGCTCTTCGCCTGTGTTGGCATGCGCAAAGATGCGCTGGAAGTGTCTCCTGGCCAACTCGAGACGACCCTTAGGACCATCAGCAATGAGACGAACACGTCGGTCTGCAAGTGAAATATCGACACGAGGCATGACGTGATGCATCACTTTTCCAGTCCACATGAAAGGATCGCGTGGACTGAGAAGAAGAATGTAGCGAGGACGCTCGTCTGCATCGTCTTCAGCAAGTGCGCTGGCATTGCCGGCAGCAGCAGCTGCATGATGCGCACCTGTCTGCTTTTCGATAGAATCTCGGAGAGAATTGGTGTTGCCAACTCCACCCGCAGTCGTCTCGTCGCCGTCATCGCCATCGGCGTTCAAGACATTTGCAGTAGCCTCAGCAGCCATAGCTGACTCCTCCTCTCCCGGACGTACTCTGTGCAGACACTTGCAGACGAGCTCTTGAATGAGGTCCGGCTTGTCCTGAAGGCTGGGCTCTGCGATCAGATAGATACCGTTCTCCTCCAGCGCTTCCGTATAGACCAAGAAGTAGTCGTGGTCGATGAGCGTGAGCATGAATGAGCTGAGCGTCATGCCTCCCGCATTGGTTGCATCGCTGAACTCGGCAACGGATCGATCATCCGCCTCGAGGTAGTCAGCTGACGGTCGGAGCGTGCCGAGATCGTACTCTGCTGCATTGTCGAGTCGATTTCGGATATCTCGAGCGAAACCCAAGAGCTTGCGAGATCGAATACGAACGTTGTCGAAGACGCTGTGGATCCATTTAGCTCGATCTTCGAGAGTGATGAAGCTCTTACCGTGAGAATCGCGACCGGTAGCAGCGCCAGTACCGAGATTCGGTGCCTGGTCAGTCTTTGCGAGACCAACAGGACCCGAAGCAGGGTTTGGCAAGCGTCGACCGTGCTGATCCTGCTGCGTCATTGCTGCTGTCAGTTCACGGTTGAAGTAGCGTGCAATACGATCGAAGAGCTTGTTGACGAAGCGGGTGATGTTGGTAGCCACGATGATGTCTCCTCCTTCGATCGACTCGACGGCTGTACTGAGGAAGCGCCACTCGGGCTCGAGAATCTCGGTCTCCTTGAAGTAGACGCTGGCCTTAAGCTTGAGACGCAACAGCTTGAAGAAAAACTTGAGGGCACTTCGCAGCACTTGATCGTATCCTTCAGCAATGCACGGCTCCAAATCCCAGCCGCGCTCTGGATCAGCGACAATGATGCTGGTGTAGTGAAGCTTGACTCTGCACGCCATGGCTAGCGCTGTTCGCAGATCATCTGTCAACGAGTCGACAATAAGCACACTTGGCTCAGCGAGCTTGCCGGCATAGTCGAGTCGCAGTCGCAGAGCACCTTGCATTAGCCTTGTGGGGAAGTTGATGAGCGTCACAAGCTCTGGCTCGAACGACGGAAGCGCCAAGCGGTCGAACTGCTTGTGATACTTGAGGATAGTCTCCTTGGCCTTGGTGATGAGCTGGTACAAGCTGGCGAGCGTGCGCTTCTCGAAGGTGGACTGAAGTGAGCCTTCCTTTTGGATCCTTTCGACGAATGTGCTGTCTTCGTCGGGAGCTGGTCGATTGGAGCGGTTCGGGTCTCGAGGCGTATGACCATTGGTGTCGCTCTTCTCGCGCTCTTCGTCCCATTTCTGCGCACCGTGAGCGGCGATCTCGAGCGTCTCGGATCCCGTCCATTTGCGAAGAATGCCGATCTGAAGACGCAAGGCAGTGGTTGTGCTGTACCAGCTGTAGAGAACGCCCATCTTGGCCTGCACCTCTGCGTCCCCCCACTCCGGCACGATCTCGATGGCTCGCTTGGTGGAAGGGAATTGCTCCTCTGCACTGTCAATTCGACTGAGGAGGTGGCGGATCTCGGTGAGGACCTTTTCCTTCTCCATCTCCTTGTCTGTCAGCGCTGCTGGTGGTGGTGCATCATCTGATTCGACCTTGTCTGACTTGGTGTGTTCAGTGTCGTTGGATGTCTCTTTGGCTGATGAGCCTGCCTCGTTGTTGTCGGCTTTTGCCGTTTGTGATGCGTCGGCAGAAGAGGAGGAGCCCTGAGTAGCGCGTCTATCAGCCTGTGTGATCTGCTCAGCACGGCAATCGCGCACCTCTTGCACGAGATCCTTGAGCATTTTACCGAACCCTTCCTTGAGACGCTTCTCCTCTTCATCGATTGCTCCACGTTGAAGACCATGCCCACGTAATGTGGCTTTGATGTCAAGCCAGCGCTGATAGCTGAGCTCTTGACGTGAGAGATCCGGCGTGTCGACCGAGTTGATACGTTTGGTCTCTGATTTGAGCACCTCCGAGTTGAGCACGGACTCGAGCATGCTCTGCCATTCCATGCGGTGCTTTGTGTTGAGGATCGGAGTCTCATGCTCGCCAAGATCGGCAGGCGTATGGAGATCGGCGGGAAAGCTGGGGCCGGGTGTGGCGGTGACGCCAGCAACAGAGTCGATGGCAGGTGCAGCGTGATCGAGAGGAGCAAGCGAGCGAGATAAAGCTGTGCCGGCTAAGGTATGACCTTGGCCATCCCAGTCGTCACTATCATCGCTGGCACTGGCGCTAGACCAATAGAGTGTGCCGCCACCAGCGTTGGCTGGGGGTGGGATGGAAGCCTTGGATTTGCCTTTGTCGTACGCAGAACCGCTGCGTGAGAAGTAGTCGTACTGATCGGCTACTGCTGCAGCCTCTGCGTTGCGCGATCTGCGTGCCGCGGCTGCATCTGCAATGTCTGCATAGTGCCCGTCGCTGTACTGATTGTCGTCGTCGTCGTCGTCAAAGTCGGCAAGCAGGGCTGCATCTTGACGACGTTGACGTTCCGCTCTACGTTTCTCGACTCTGACTTGACGTGCGACTAGGCTGGTGGTTGGATCATCGACGTAGTTCGGGTCTGTGACAAGGTCTTGGTCCTCGGGTACGGGCTGAGCGAGACTCGAGGTTGGTGCACGGTTGGAGGTGACATGGCGAAGAGAAGCACTGGATCGAGGAGCACGACGAGGCCCTGTGCGTGTACCGATACCTGCTGCTGGTATGCGTTGACGCCCACCGCTGCCTGACTGGGAGGCATCGTCATGATCCGTTGCAAAGAAAGTGTTGGCAGTAGAGTCATGGTCGGATGTGATGTCGGGTTCTCGGAACGAGACACTAGCTACTCGGTTTCTGGGAGCAGGATCGGACTGTGACTTAGCTTGTTCTTGGTCCTCCTCACGAATGGCGCCATTTGCTAATGAGGATGGACGAGCAATGTTGTCGTCGTTGACCTCGTCATTGCTGTTGTGATTTGGGTCCGACATGGTGGGCAGGTATGGTAGCTTCTAAGAAGCGATGTGGGGCTGGCTTGGGTCGTATGCGTGGACACAGCCGACGTGGTGTGCTGGAGGGCCGCTGCGCCGGATGTTCAAAGCTGCTGATATGTGGCGCCAGGATTGAGATTCGGAAGAGCTAATGGATCATGTCGATGTCGTGCTGTGTCGCTTTGAAGCAAGCCTTGTCCTTGCTTTTGGGGTGTTGCAGTGTGCTTGTGGTGTTGATACTATCTGCGAGAGCTGCTACTCATAAGGCCGAGTTCGTGACGGATCGGGTATTGATTGATGCGGATTCCTGATATTGGCCTGTGTATGTTCCAGGGCCACGAGCCGAGGTGTTGTTGGTGTTGTTGTTGGTGATAATGATGATGATCATCATGAACAATCCCAAAAACGACTATTCCATCCAATGCGGAAGGAAACGATCCAATATGATGATGCGAGTTGACGTAAGCGGATACGATAAAAAATCGGGCAAAGCCGATCTGATCGGAGATCAGGTGAAGCCGATACAAGTGAGGGATCGGGTACAACTACGTCCCGCTCGTTGTCATATTTGGTCATTAAGGGGGATGCTCCCACTTCTGGCACCTGCTGATAGTTTGTATATATATCAAGCGGGGAGCTCGAGGCTCCCACCACATTCTTGACAAAGGTACCGATCCAACAAGATAATGAGAGATGATGGAAGCCGATGGTGGAGAGATCGGGACAGGTCGATCTGATCAGGGATTCGGGAGGACCAATCTGATGAGAGATTGGGTGCAACACAGTCCTGCCTGTTGTCATGATTGTTCACTGAATAGGGGTACTCCCACTTTTGGGAAGTGCCACACAGATGTATACATACAAAGCAGAGAGCACTAGACCCTCACCACATTTCTTAGTCAATCAAGTATATTTGTTTCTGCCTTAAAGAAGTAGTGACATTGTACTTAGACTCTCCCTGATTGCCAGTTATTGGGACCAAAACTTCTTTACTTATATCAGGTTATGAGCCCAACAAGCTGATACACCATCAGCATGTCTAATCTGGACTATTCAAACTATGACGACTTTGTCGAAACAATGCAGAATCTTCTGCCTTGATTGCCAAAAATCCTCCAAAAACAGTTCAATCGAGAAATAGCCAACGAGACCTATGGTACTCCTACATGTTGTCACAGGACCAGATGACTGCGCAGGAAGAAGTAAGCTCATATGAAGGGACCATGCGCAACAATCACAAATCAGGAAAAAAAGAGTCATGACAGGTTTCAGTGAGATTGGTAGGACTGACAGCTCTATGGCAGAACTCATCAAGATCACTAAGAGCCAGTCTGCTATTACAGAGTTCAGTGGAAAACAGTAGTAACATGCTCATATGACAGACCTCACGGGCACTGGCCTAAGGATACTTCTAGCACTGATGTCACTGGAGGATCACAAAGATGAAGGGGGAGGTTGCCACCGGATGAAGAGGGGGCCTTGCACAATGATGAGGTTGGTGCTAAGGAGGAGTGCTGGTGTCAGGGGTAGATGAAAGGGGGTGCAACATCACTAGGATGAAGTGGGGTGACCCCTATGAGGTGATGAAGTGACAGGTTGGTCCTCCCCAACCACGAAGGAGCAAGGTTGGTCCTCCCTGACTGCAAAGGAGCAGGAGGAGTGGTGCTAGACAAAGAGAGGTACTCTTGGGAGGAAGAGCCAGAGCAGAGTCGCAGGCAACACTGCAAAGAAGTATATAACCATACCTCCTCGTCATAGTAGTCGAGTGGAGAGGCATCCATTCTACACCTTACATCACTAGTTATAGCTTCACAGAAAGTATAGTTAGTATTCCATCAACAGTTGCAATTGCAGAGCATTGCATCTAATGTAGCATGTGTGTTGTATCACCACTCATTGACATAGATTGACACCAAAGGCAGTTCATCCTGCAGTCCAGCTCTCTCAATCATAGAACCAAAGGCAGTTGTCCACTGTGGTCCAGGGATCACCTCAAGCATTCAGTTGACACACTGGACACTCATGTCAGTGCCAACAAGCATTACTCACACCAGACCTTGGTGTCATAGCAACCCACCCATTGTTATTGATTGTGCCAAGCTACCTCTGGACAGAGTGTCCACAGCAGTCAGTCAAAACCTACAATAGCAAACCAACTATCACATATTAGGGCAAGAAAAGTCATAGAGGCCTTTCTACAACATATCTCAACAAGAATAATAATAGGTTGCTGTTTACCACAGATCTCAATAGGATCTGTAATAGACATGTTTCTACTACAGATATCAGGTTTCAGGCGCAAGACCCCTGACAACTATCGTCTACAGATGATGGAGGTACTGGACTGCAGGTGTTTTAGACACTGCCTACAGTAACTGACTGGACTGCAGATGTTGAGCAACACTGCCTACAGTGATGAATTGGACTGCAGGTGTTGAGGAACACCACCTACAGTTGACATCCAACTGTGATACAACACACATGTTTGAGATGTCATTGCAAAGCTATGCTATTGCAATGATATAAGTCAAGTAAAGAGTAAGTAAGATAAAGAGTAGAGTGGATGAGGATCCACTTGTATGCTATGGTGAAGTGGTAGTATTTATGTGTTTGGAGGGTGTCACCTACAGCACTGCTCCTGCTCCTCTTGAGGAGTGTTCCTGTCCTCCTCTTGTCTCCTCCTCTCCCTTGAGCTGTATGTTGATCTTCTTGACACTGCCTGTCCTCCTCATGGTTCCATGCCAGTCCCCTTGGTCCAGCTCCCTCTCCTCTCAATCCATGGCCATTCTCTTGGCCCCTATCTGGTGGTCCTCCCTGACCATGTGACCATCCTTATTGTCCCACTCTGTCCATGTGGTCTACCTTGTGACTGGTCCTATGCAATTGAGAGCATGTCCCCCTGTGTGGTAACCTACCGCATGCTCCTGAGCTTGATCCTCTTCTTGGCTAAACTTGGGCCCTCTCTCTGCATGTGAAACCCTTCCTGGTGTCCTCTCGCTGCCTTTGACAATAGAGGCCTTCTCTACCAAGCCTCCCATTGCTTCCTCATATTCCGTCCATCCGTTCCGTACCGATGGGGGCTTCTTGAATGTCAGAGGTTGCACGCCTGAAACCCAATATCTGTAGTAGAAAGATATCTAGTACTGATCCTATCAAGATCTGTGGTAAAAGGCCTTTATATTTATTCTCACTGAAATCTGTCATAGAAGCCGTCGTCTATGACTTTTCTCACTTGAATTGGTTGTAACTGATATCTATTGTGGATTTTGGCTGACCACTGGGGACACTCTGTTCAGAGGTAGCTTGGCACGATCAATTAACCAATAGATGCTGTGTGATGACACCAAGGTCTGATGCTGATGATGTTGCTTCAACATGAGTGTCCAGTGTGTCGATTGAATGATTGGTGATCCCCAGACCACAGTGGACGACTGCCTTTGGTTTCTAACAATCGAGAGAGCCAGACTGCAGTATGAACCACCTTCAGTGTCAATTGATATCCAGACCACAGTTGATACCACCTTCAGATGAAGTCAATGAGCAGTGATACAACACATGCACTACATAGAAGCAATGCTCTGCAATTGCAACTGTTGATGGAATACTAATGTATACTTATGTGAAAGCTATAACTAGTAATATATGGTGTAGAGTGGATGGGGATCCACTCAACTACTATGATGAGGAGCAAGTGTGATTATATAGATGTCTTTGCAGTGTTGCCAGCGATTCTGCTCTTACCCTATGTGGTCTCCTTCTACACTGCTCCTCCTCCTCTCAGCTCCTCCAAACAGGCCTGCTGGCCTTATGATGCTGCTCACCAGCATGGCTCCCCTTGTTTCCTGCAGATGGCAAGCCCTCGTCAGCTTCATAATTGACAGGGGCCATTTGTCAGGGGTCTCGCGCCTGAAACCCAGGTCGGTCTGTCGAGATACTCGGTGACTATCAAACTGTGCGACAGCTATTGTCTCGGTATCGGTGACTATCAAGTTGTGCAGTGACAGCAGGTGGCGTTTGTTGTATATACTATCGTAGGTTTCGGCTGACCTCTGTGGACACTCCATTCAGGGGTAGCTCGGCACGATCAATATCAATGTTATGATGACACCAAGGTCTGGTGTGAGTGTTGATGATGATGAGGTTGATGGTGTTGGTGATGAGATTGGTGATGTCGATGATAATGAGGTTGATGGTGTTGGTGATAAGGTTGGTGGCATCAACACGAGTGTCCAGTGTGTTGACTTGATGCTTGAAGTGATCCCTGGACTGCAGTGGACTACTGCCTTCGGTTCTATCTTGATCCGGACCGCTAACCTGCTATGGGCGCCTTCAGACGTCAGGTAGTGGTGATACAACACACACACTACGATGAGGAACAACCTATGATGGATTGCTGCTATGCTGACTGAAACTAATATATACTTATGCTGAAGTGATAACTAGTTATGGTGAGTAGAGTGGATGAGGATCCACTCGACCTATTGATGATGAGAAAGCATGGTTATATACCTCTTCTCAGCATCGCCAGCGATGCTGCTCCTGCTCTCTCTCCAGAGAGTACCTTCTTCATCGAGTACTGCTCAGGGGCCTCTCCTGCTTGGCACCCCTGTGCCTCTTGAGCAGTGTCGACTCCTTCGACACTGCTCCTCCTCCTCATGACCTGGTGTCGACTCCTTCGACACTGCTCCTTCTCCTTTGATCAGTGACAGTTCCTTTGGCTCTTGTCTCTCGAGCCCCTGAGTGGTAACCATTTGCATGCTCCTTGAGCTTGGTCCTCTTTGTGGCTGTGCCTGCTCCTTGAGCTTGGTCCTCCTCATGGCTGTGCCTGGCCCCCCTCGCATTTGGCTCAGTCCTCCTTTGCATGTGAGTCTGTAGGAGTCCATGGTCTCCATGGAGACTGCACTACAACCATGCTCTCTACTGGTATCGACTAGATCTCCGATACCTGTGCTCCTTCCATATGAACCAGTGACCCTCCTGCTTCTTGAGCATCCAGGCCCATGACAAGTCATTGCAAGAGCACTGCTATTGCAATGGTATGTAACTGAGTAAAGTAGATAGAGTAAGTAGTATAGTATAGAGTGGATGGGGATCCACTTGTATGCTATGGTAGAATGAGAGTATTTATGCATTTGATTGGTGTTGCCCACAACACCTATCCTGCTCCTCTTGAAGGGCCTTTGTCCCCTGTTTGACACTGTCTTGTCCTGCTGGCATCAATCCCCTTGGTACTGCACTCCTACCATTTGCACAGCATAAGGGTTATGCAACACTGCCCTCTTGCCTTCATGCTCTCCTTCTGCCTGATGATGTGTGATGCCCCCTTTTGACACAGCTCCTTCTCAACTTTATCTTGTGAATCCCTTTAGCCACTTGTTGAACCTCATGACCAAACCCCTTGGTCATGTGGTCACTTCGATGCAGCTCCCAGTACTTGCTCATATCAGCCGACTAGTTGAGGCATGCTGATCTGACTGATCCTGACTGATCCCCATGAGATTAATCTGGATTCCCAGAGTTCGATTGATCTTGTAATCCATATGCACTGCCAGCCCAATTAATCTCATTGATCCCCAATGGTTTTTGGCTCTGATCAATCTGGCGCACCCTTCATATACTGCTCCATTGCACAACATTACCATGACTGCCACTGATCAATTTGGCGCACTCTCTTGCGCTGGCCAGTCGACCCTGTGACAAGGGCCTTGTATCTGGCATACACAGGGCAGCTAGCCACATAGTCGGCAATCCAAGCTGTCATGTTGGGCCACCAATAGTGCCTTCATGCTGCTTTGATGGTGGTGTCTCGGCCCACATGTCCAGCCGTTATGCCATCATGGCATTGAGACATGACCATGAACTGCAAGTGCTCAACAGAGAGAGATTGTCCATCTACTTCTCTGGCACTTTGTGTCTGGCAATTGTTGGTCCTTCCCAGCATGGTTACCTTTGGAATGACCAATCATCTGCCACTATGTCATAAGCTGTCCTTGATCTCAAATGGCTTCTTCACATGTATCTCTTGTAGCTCTGGGTCCATGGGCTGAAATATCTTGGTCAGCTCCCTGAGCCCCTGGGTCACTAACAATTCCATTGTGAGCATAGGTGCCACTAATACAGAATTGCCATCCAAAACAGCTGTTAGGATTGATTCTGTTGAAATTGGTAGTACTGTGCTTGCTACTATGGTTTCTGCTGGATTTTGCTGTATCCAGCCTCTGTCACTGATTTTGTTTTCCACCTTCTCGAATACCCAGGAAGGCAGCAGTTGCTGCACATTGTGCTCCTGTTTCTCACCAGCCGGTTGCATATCCACATGTCTGGTGAGAGCATTGGGCTTGCCACCCTTGTCTCCCAGTTGGTACTGCAGTATGAAGTCGAAATCAGCTAACAACACCGCCCATCTAGCTTGTCGCCCGTGTCAGAGGTCTCACGCCTGAAACCTGATATCTGTAGTAGAAACGCATCTATTACAGGTCCTGTCGAGATATGTGGTAGAGTGCTGTGTATTATTATTCTTGTCAAGATCTGTCATAGAAGGCCTCTATGACTTTTCTCACTCAAATATGTGATAGATTGATTGCTATTGCAGGTTTCAACTAACTGCTGTGGACACTCTCTCCAGAGGTAGCTCAGCACAATCAATAACTATGGATACTGGGTAATGACACCAAGGTCTGGTGCTGTTGATGATGTTGAAGCTGATATGAGTGTCCAGTGTGTCAACTGAGTAACTGAGTGATCCCCAGACTGCAGTGGATGACTGCCTTTGGTTTCTAATGATCGAGAGAGCCAGACCACAGTATGAACTGCCTTTGGTGTTGATTGATATCTGGACTGCAGAATGAACCACCTTTGGATGATGTCAATGAGTGGTGATACAACACACATGCTATGTTAAATGCAATGCTCTGCAATTGCAACTGTTGACAGAATACTAACTATACTTTTCTGTGAAGCTACAACTAGCGATATATGGTGTAGAGTGGATGGGAATCCACTCACTTGCTATGATGAGGAGCCTGGTTATATAACCATTCCTGCAACGTTGTCTGCGACACTGCTCCTGCGCTGGGAGGGGAGGCCTCTTCAACCCTGCTCCTCCTCCTTGCCCCTCCTATCCTTTCCATCCACCTTGTGATGCCACTCGTTGGCACTGCTTCCCTTGCCTCCTGTGGATGGACAGTCTTTGTGCTCCTTCATCATTGTCAGGGGCCATTCCCACTTCATCTGAGTGGTGACTTGCATCCTTTCATCTCCCTCCTGTTGGCAGTGCCCATCTGCTTGCACTGACTTCATTGTCATGCAAGGCCCCTACTTCATCTGGTGGCAACCTCTCCCTTGTTCATTGTCCTCCTCTTGCCTTATTGGCAATAAAGGTTTCTCTCAAACCAAGTCCCATGAGGCCTGTTGTAGCAAGCATGGTACTGCTGATTCTACTGACTCCTGTAGTAAACTAATTTTGACAAGTTTTGTCATAGAGCCATTGATCCTACCAATTTCACTGAACTCTGTTGGAATTCTACTTTCACCTGATCCACAATGGTTGCGCAAGATCTCTTCATATGAATCCAGTTCTTCCTGTGCATCCATCCGGTCCCATGACATGAAGCAATGCAGGCGGCACTACACGTCATCAAGTACCTTAACCAAACTAAAGATGAGGTCTTGCACATTGGAGGCAAGAAAGTTGGTGAGGCTACAATCAAGACATATACTGATGTAAATTGGGCATCTGACCCAAATATGGATTGAAAGAGTACCTCAGGGTCAGTTGTAAAGGTCTTTGGTAGCACCATAATGTGGAACTCACATGTCCAGAAATGTGTTGCCAGTTCAGCTGTCAAAGCTGAGTACATTGCCAGCTCTGCAGCCACCAGAGAAGTGCTTTTCCATCAACATCTCCTCTGTGGCCTTGGATTCAACAATGATACACCAACCATATTCACTGATAACACAGGCTGCATTCAAGTAGCTAATGACCCTGTGATGCACTCAAAGCTCAAACATGTTGATACAAAATATCACCTGATCTGCAATCACATGCAGGAGGGTGACATCTCAATCAAATACATCTGGACAGATGACAACATCACTGATTTCCTTACAAAACCTGTTATCCAGGACCTCTTAGCACACATGCATGATTGGCTAGGAATTGTCAATGTTGGACTGCTCAACTGCTCAGCTGGCAAGGGAGACAGTTGAAGTATGTGATGCCTTGGCATTGAAGCATGCAACCACTCAGAGTATGCAACTTCTACACTGAGCTCACATCCAATCACCAGCTTTGCTCACTTGGGTTTAGCATGTTATCTGGACCAACACTTGGACATCAAGACACTGGACAATGGATAGCTGGTGTACTTTTGCTATAGTTTCATTCATGTTTTCAACCTCACTCTGATGACTATCATACATGCATATGAAGGACATTGAGAGATATATAAACAGCCATATCACCCTGTGGATAGCATGCATCCATTATCACAATTGATACTTGTGATCATCGACTTTGACCGCATTTGATTGAGTTGAAGTAGATAAAAGCCACACAAAGCGTAGAGACGGTGAAGGTAGTGCTTACGGCCGAGTAAAAGGCTTGAGCATCTGAGCACGGACCACATGTGTCACAACCTACTCAAGACAAATACTTTGTTATGCTCTGCAGTCGATGCGGCTCTCTGCCACTCTTCTTTTGTATATATAGACTCCTTCTCTCTCCTCACTCTCTCTCCCTCTTACCATCATCATCATAAATCACATGAAACTCCAACTGGCTCCCAACGTGGGGCTCGAACCCACAACATTCAACACATCAAGAGTTCGATGCTTAGCATAATGCTGCCAGTGACAAGAGCAGGGCAAACTGGAAGGGATGAGAGAGATGATGATCAAGTGGCCACAGCTGCAGGCAATGGTTGAGAGGAGGGTTGGCTCATGCAGGTAGTTAGAATTCTACAGTTAGCAAACCCGGCACTGACAGCAGAGGAGGCAATAGTACAGGCGATGGGTCTTGTCACCATTAGCAATCAAACCCCACGAGGAGAGATGGAAAAGATCCCCAAGGATGTTTCGAGCTCAATTGCCCATATTAAGAAACTTAGTGATAGCAACTGGCACACCTGGGAGCCTACTTTCATTGACTGTCTGCAACGAGTACACAATGCGAAGGAAATCCTGTATGGCAAGATAGCACTGGGAAGCGAGGGGTATGACGAGGACTTGGACAAGGCACTTATAGGTCTTATCCATGCCTCCTGCGACCACAGTCTGGAGAGCTGCATCAATACATACACCGTTAGGGGTGTGGATGAACATGTCCAACTTGGTAGTACACTATATGCTAAGCTCAAAAAGGTGCTAACATTGAATGATGCGGTAAAACGAGTGGGCCTGCAGGACTGCATCCACACTGTATGACTGTACAATCGTGATGTTGTCAGGCTGGGCAAGGAACTGGACTCTATCTGGAATGATGCTGCACAACTTGGGAAATGACTTGACAAGGACCTCAAGAAAGCCACCCTATACCACTGCACAGCACAAGATTGGTTCTACACCAACTCTGTCGATGCCCTCAAGACAGCCAAACCAGATTGTAAGTATGACGAAGCCTACCATGCATTAGCAAAGAAGCAACAGGATGGTGAGGTCACTGGCCATATTAGAGGAGCAGCAAGGGTTGCCACAAGCATGGACCAGGTGGAGCAAGGACCCAGGGGCAGGTGCAACCCTCGCAACCCCTCAGCCCCTCCTAAGTGCTATGCTTGTGGAGGGCCTAATCACATTGCTCGCAACTGCACGAACACCAACAACAACTCCGCACTGAGTATGGGCAGACCCACCACCAATCCAGCACAGGAAGTGAGTCAGTAGGAACTCGGGTGCACCCTCCTAGCAATCGGCGGAGATAAGCAACCAACATCAGATACCTGGATCGTTGATTCGGGTGCAACACACCACATGGTGAATGATGAAAGAATGCTACTCACCTCGACAAGCAAGGATGGTCAGATCTGTATGGCTGGAAATGAAAGGCTTCAAGTGAAGGCTATAGGAGACACCTCCCTTCAGGTTGGCGATGTAACCATTCAACTATTGGATGTGCTCTATGTGCTGAAACTTAATTCTAATTTATTATCAGTACAAGGTTTGATTGAGAACGGTGCATGGGTAACTTTCGATGAGTTTGGGACCATCATTAAGCAAAACGACAGCACACAAATACAATACAAGAGGAACAGAAGAAAAGGGCAGTTCGAAATGCAGGGAAAAGCACTAGCCCTGGAGTTGGAAGAGACACTCGACGATGTCCCAGAGGACAACCAGAACACAGGAAGACACAATGATGTCCCAGAGGATGATAAGAACACAGGAAACCGAGACAACAACTCGAAGGAAGACAAAGATAGCTACCTCTGGCATGAGAGGTTTGGACACCCAGGACGAGATAAGACAAGGCAAATCTGGGCACACTACCTCGGCACTGATGAGAGAATGGATCATGAATCAAAGCACTGCAATGCATGCAGTCAAGGGAAACAGACCCGGGTGCAGATGAGCCAATCAGAGTCGAGGAGAGCAGAGGTGCCACTAGAGTTGGTACACATAGACTTGATGACAGATCTTAAGGGCCATGCCAACTACCACTATGCACTAGTTGCTGTGGATGACTTCTCCTCCCTGATCTATGTGGAACCACTCTGCACTAAGAGTGCTGCACTCCCGGTGCTGAGAAGGTGGATCACCAGGATGGAATGAGCAACAGACAGGAAACTCAAAACACTCCACAGCGACAATGGAGGAGAATGGTGTAGCTCAGGAGCTGAAGACTGGCAAACTCAAGAGGGTTTCAAGTGGCAAAAGAGCGTCCCGGGGATCAGTGTCCAGAATGGACAGGCAGAGAGAGCGATCAGATCGGTCCAAGAAAAGATGTGCTCAATGCTCATTGGTCGAGCTTGCCCCAGAGAGCTGTGGCCATATGCAATCACAGCAGCAGCACACGTGGTGAATCTCACCCCATCAGCCACCAAGACCATCCCCCACAAGGCCTTTTATGGAACCACTGTGCACAAGCTGGCCCAGCAGCTGCAAGTCTTTGGATGCTTGGCATGGGTCCATGTTCAACGGAAGGACCAGCAGGGCAAGTATGGGGCTAGAGCAAAGCCAGCCATCATGATTGGATATGATGACAAGCACAAAGCATGGAAGTTTTGCAACCTGGACCAGCCTGCATCAATTCAATGGAGCAACTCAGCAACGTTCCATGAGGACAAAGGATGGAGTGATCGCCAACAGGAGGCAGTCTGGCCCATGGTGACCGCAGAGGTCGAGGAGGAGGGTGTCATGCCAGCCGCAGTGGAGGATCTCCTACCAGCTGTAGACAGCACAGTAGGTGCTACCAACACAGCGGTACTGAACCTGGACCCAATGCTTGGGGAAGCAATGAATGGTGAGGATGCCCAACTCTGGAAGGAGGCAATATGAAAAGAGCTGGAAGGACTCGAGGCAATGGGGACTTGGGAGGTGGTGAATCACCCACCAGGAGTACCACTCGTGGACTCTAAGGTTGTGCTATGACTAAAGCTCGATGCTGATGGTGTGCCCATAAAGCACAAGGCATGACTGGTGGCGAGGGGCTTCACACAGAGAGAGGGAATCAACTACCAGGAAACCTTCTCTCCAGTAGCACCCCTTGGAGCAATCAGAGCTATCCTAGCACTAGCAGTACAGAACGACTGGGAGGTGCATGCACTGGATATCACAATGGCCTACCTAAACTCCAGACTAAAAGAAGTGATCTATATGAAACCACCAGAGGGATCAGGAGTAGCACCCGGACAGGTATACAAAGTGGTCAAGGGCCTGTATGGCCTAAAGCAGTCTGGGCAAGAATGGAACCAGGAGTTCAACAGGTCTTTGAGATGCATGGGGTTCTTCCAGGTAGAGTGTGCTCCCTGCATCTACACCAAGGGACAGGGCAAAGATATGGCCATTGTGGTCATCTACATTGATGATACATTAGTCATAGCACCATGGCTGGAAACAGTCCTAAAGGTTAAAAAGCAGATAGGTCAGAGATGGAAGATGGAAGATAGTGGTGAGGTCTCTCACTTCCTTGGCATCAAAATCAGTTGAAACTGTACAATGTGCACCATGATGATTGGTCAGTCAGGGTACATTGACCAAGTGCTAGCTAAGCACCTGGACAAATGCACCAAGCCAACTATGGTTCCAATGCAGAGCATACCAGAGGGAACCCTTGTCACAAGTGCAGCACAACAGAAGGAGTATCCAGTGATCGTTGGCAAGCTGCTCTGGGTTGCCAACAGCACCTGGCCCGACCTTAGCCTCACTGTAAGTGTCCTCGCTAGACACATGTGTGAACCATCTCAAGAGCATTATCAGGCAGCACAATGGGTCTTACACTACCTCGAAGGCACAAAGAATGTTGGATTAGTTTATAGGGGAAATATGTCACAAGAGCCACTGATTGCACATAGTGATGCAAACTGGGCAAGTGATGCCACCATTCAGAGAAGGAGTACATCAGGGTCAGTGGCGTTAGTGTATGGGAACCTGGTAGCCTGGAAGTCAGCAACACAGAAATGCATATCATTGTCTGCTGTTGAGGTGGAGTTCATTGCAGCCATGGAAGCAACACGTGAGGTGCTCTTCCTCAAGCAGCTGCTATGCTCGATTGGCATTGCCACAGGCACCCCAACAGTCTACTCAGACAACACTGGTTGCATACAGGTTAGTAAAGACCCAGCACAGCACTGGAAGCTTAAGCACATCGACACCAAGTATCACTTCATCTGTAACAATGTTCAAGAGGGAAGGGTGCAAATCAAGTATGTGGACACCACAAGGAATTTGGCAGATGTACTCACCAAGCCAATCAGGAGACAGGCAATGCAGCAAGCAAGATCTGGGCTACACCTGCAAACACTGGCAGTGGCGTACGAAATGGAGTCCCTGAGCTATGCGATGATGTTAAAGAATGGAGGATATACCTTGAAACAACAGCATAATGAACAGGGTACACATGCTGTTGAGGGGGGGAGTTGAAGTAGATAAAAGCCACACAAAGCATAGAGACAGTGAAGGTAGTGCTTATGGCCAAGTAAAAGGCTTGAGCATCTGAGCATGGACCACATGTGTCACAACCTACTCAAGACAAATGCTTTGTTATGCTCTGCAGTCGATGCGGCTCTCTGCCACTCTTCTTTTGTATATATAGACTCCTTCTCTCTCCTCGCTCTCTCTCCCTCTTACCATCATCATCATAAATCACACGAAACTCCAACTGATTGATCTCGACAACACTCTTCAACTGTTAGGCCGGCAAAATTTGCGCCCTGGCTAAGCAGGACACCGGAAAAAGAAGAAAAAAAAAAAAAAAAGCGCACGAGCCAAGGCTGAATCAGTGCAACCAACCCTCTCTCTCTATATATATATATATCTCTCTCTCTCTATGTGCGACAGGCGATGCTATTCAACAGCTTTGACCCTTGTGATGACCGCAACCACCTCTTGATACCCTTTTCTTGCGACACAGGCAAAAGGAGATGCTTGCTCGCTCCGATCATCCCTCCCTAACGATTTGGTGCGAGTCTCTTTGACCTGCTTATCCCTCCGAGCGGGTTGCGTCGGAAGCTAGCTCATCGTTACAGCCAGAGCAATGTACTGGCCCACAGCATGCGCCGAGAGGATACACCTCTCACCCTCAGGACTCGATCGCCCTGCCACCTTCCTTCGCTTCGACAAGGATGCGGCTCAGCAGCTTCCAAGCCCACAATCGGCCCAACCTGAAAGCGCTGCTCAGCAGACCATCCAGGTCGCTCGCTCTCGCAACGCAATGATGTGGGCCACACTCAGCAACACCACCATCTCAATATGGTCCTCACGTCCTGCTCAGGTGGTAGCCGCCCTCGTCCGTACGCCACAAAGCATCGCTGACTATGGAAACAACACTCGCATCGAATGGCGGCCCGACGGAAAAGCTCTGCTGGTGCAGACGGATCTCAACTTCCTGCTTCTATACAGCATCCTTGACCGCCATCCAGCTTCCTCCATCTACAGCTATATCCCGCCTTCTGGCTCCGGCTCCCGCTCATCCATGGGGGAGCTACTTGCACCTAATCCAAATGCGCTGCGCAGTTCATTTGCACCTGGAGCAGGCGAAAGTGCTGCTGCTCCTCACCTTGGTCTCGGCGGTCTGGCAGGCCAAGCATGCCAGCTTCGCTTTCGTCTAGTGCTTCGTATCGATGCAGGTCTGCGATTCGCAACCACCACCGAGACTCACATGCTCGTCAGCACAACTTCACCTCCTGCTGTGCAGTGCATTCGATGGCCTGATGACAATCCTGATGCTCCTCCACCCAACTACAACGACCCTCTGGTGCGAACGCGCACTAGCTTGGCTAGCCAGCTCAACTGGTTCACCGCAAAAACAAGCGGCGATCCTGCCTCGGACGACAAACAGCACACGCAGGTTCACATCAGCCACATCACCTATTCCAGGTCGATGGATGTCTTTGTCTGGATCTCCTCCGATGGGCGTGCCTATGTTGCCAATCTCGACCTGCTTGCTCAACGCTCGTCCCCCTGGACGGGTCGATGCTTTCACGGTGCGCCCCCCAAATCGCGCCAGCGTCCTTCTACAACTCTTGAGCCCGCATCCGAGGCGCTTCAGGTGCCAAGACCAGTTCAGTCTCATCCCCAACGCTCAACCGCAACAGCAAGCGCACAGGGAGAAGCTTCGTCGAAACAGTCTGCAGAACCTCAGCCAGGCGATGGTGCACATGCGCAAGCAAATGGCGATCCGCATCTCCATGAGAACGCCAATGGTGGCCCACCTTCTCTGCCAACCGTGGCGGATCTTCCATCAAATCAGCATGCCACCTCTGTCTCTATCAACGCCAGATTCAGCCTCATCGCTCTCGGTCTCGCTGACGGCACTGTCGCCATCTTTACCTATCGCGCACCAGGTCGCACGCCCCTCCATTCGCACACCTTGTCGGTGCGAGAAGCGCTCAAGTCGACGGCCAGCTATCTCACCACAGGTCCTGTCTGCTCACTCGCATGGACCAGCGACGGCTATGGTCTTGCAGTCGGCTGCGAGAAGGGCCTCACCATCTGGTCCACCTACGGCAAGCTCATGGGCTGCACTCTTCGCGAGGATTGGGAGCTGGCCTCCAAGAACTTCTCCGATGCTTTCATGTTTGGCACTCGCCATCTCTTTTGGGGTCCAGGAAACACAGAGCTCTTCCTCCTCGCTCTGCCAAAGCAAGGTGCTGCTCCCTTGCGGCCGGACAATCAGCTCTTCCTTCTTCCCTTCTGCAAATCCGCTGTAGCAGGTCAACATTCTCCAGACAACACTCGCTTTGCCTTCTACCAGACCGACGATAGCTTGCATGTCTATCGAGGCGCCGATCAGACAGACTTGACTGCCATCACACCCGAGAGCGACGTATGGCAACACATCAAGATCCCACAACCCTACTTGGCTGCCAACTGGCCTGTGAGATACGCGGCAATCAGCGCCGATGGCAATCTGATTGCTGTAGCTGGCCGTCGAGGTCTAGCTCACTACTCTTCCACATCAGGTCGGTGGAAGCTACACAAGAGCCTCGCTCAAGAACAGTCCTTTCTCGTCAGAGGAGGCATGCAGTGGTTTCAACACGTACTTATAGCAGCTTGTGATGCAGCTGGAGAGTATCAGCTTCGTCTTTACTCGCGAGACACCGATCTCGACTCTGCCCACCTCCTCGACCTCAAGGTGCTGCCCAGCCCCGTCATCCTCACCTCGCTTTTCGACAATAGCCTTCTGGTCTACACTGCCGACAACACCTTCTACCACTTTCTCATCGATCTGTCACAAGACCGCATTCGTCTTCGTCTTTGTGGCTCGATCACCTTTGAGGGGGTGGTCGGTGAACCAGCACGTGTACGAGGCATGAGCTGGATGATCCCCGAGAGTCAACAGCTGCTTGGCGACCCCATCGATGATCTGACGGTGGCCACCATCATCTTCTTGATCGATGGCAAGCTCGTCTTGTTGCGGCCGCGCAAGGTCGGTGGCACCAATCGACGCAACTCGATACAGAACCCGCTCCAAGACTTTGACGATCCGCGGCATGACCAAGATGGCTACGATGACGACGATGAAGAGGTCGCATACGATATGCAGATCCTTGCGGACAAGATCGAGTACTACTGGACGCATCTGCAAGGTATTGGCACGCTCGAAAACTCACTTTGGGGATACGACGGTAGCAGTATCAAGCTATGGCTCGATGCTCTCCGCATCCCCTCTGCCGATCCAGACGAGTCACTGCGCTCCAATGATGATGAGGACCAAGAGGAAGAGCAAGACCAGCTGCCAGAGTACAAGACGATCGAATCCTCGGTCTCGATGCCTCTCGACTTTTACCCTCTGTGTGTTCTGCTAGAGAAGGGTATTGTCCTCGGTATCGAGTCTGAAGTGTCACTGCGTCGATCACTAGACTTTGCACTATGGCGCACTGGCACCAACACGCATCTTTTCCTGCATCAGCTTCTTCGCAACTATCTCGAGAAGGGCTTGCTGGAAGAAGCAGTCTTCTTTGCAGCTTCGTATCAAGACCTGGTCTACTTTGCACACGCACTCGAGATCCTACTGCATGCAGTGTTGGAGGACGAAGCAGACGCTGGCCTCGGAGAAGCACTATACTCACGCAAACGCTCAGGCAGCGTACTGCAGAAAGAGCGCAGTGCAAGCTCGCTTCTAGCCGACGTCGCCGAAGAAGAAAACGACGAGCACCAATCTGGACAAGGCGCAAACGGGAGCGGTATTCACCTTGATCTCCCACGCAACAATCAACGACGTCGTTCCTCATCTTCACGAAGTGGCACCTCCACCCCTCGAGCAATTCTGCCTCTTGTCGTTGAGTTCCTGGACCACTTCCCCGAAGCCCTCGATATTGTTGTCGGTTGTGCACGTAAAACAGAAGTCGCGAGATGGGCCTATCTCTTTGACGTTGTTGGTGCTCCCCGTCTACTCTTTCAAAAGTGCATTCAGGCTGACCGGCTTCGTACAGCAGGAATGTACCTTCTCGTCCTACACAACTTGGAGCCGCTCGAGGTGTCCATCGCCCATACCATTCAGTTGTTAAAGCTAGCAGGAGCTAAAGGAGACTGGAACACCTGCCACGATCTCTTACGGTTCCTCAGTAGCATTGACCCTACAGGTGGAGCACTTCGACTTGCCGTCGATGAAGCCGGCATCCTCTCTGACACCACTACAGACCAAGAAGGACAAGAAACCCCACCACGCCTTCTCCGAGCCGACTCAGCACCAGTCACAACCTCCACCACCACCGCTACAAAACTCGACACCATGACCGAAGAGGAAGAAGAGGAACACGAAGAGGATCCAACACAGTCTCCTTCTCCCTCACCTCGTCCGATATTGGCGAATAGGTCAAAATCAGTAACACTGCCACCGTCGCCCTCGAATTTTCGACAGAGGAACATTGCAGATGTTGTTATCAATGGGCAGAGCTTGACGCCGAGTTTGGCTGCCATGGGGATCGGCTCGGGTGGAGTAGGAGGTGGCGGGGGAGGGGGAAAAAGGTATGCACATGGAATAGGAATGAGTTTGAGTAGAGTGGGGTTGAGAAGTTCTGATAGGATATGGGACTCGAATAGGAACGGAGATGGGACGAATGCGGATAGTCCCACCAGTCCGAGCGCTAGTTTTGGTAGTTTGCCCAGAAGCTCACGTGAAGAGACGAAGCGCGATCCGGATGACGTTGATGAGCCGATAGAGGAAGGCACAGAAGACTAAGTTCAACCTCTGCCCATGTATGTTTGCACAGCACTCACATCGCGAGCAAACTTGACAGACATTAGACCAGACGGTGTCTATGATGCCATGTATTGCATTCGTGTATTACATTCGTGCAGTTGATTCGGCTCACTCGTTCTTGCGCCAAGCAAACCACTGAGCGACAATAATCAGATCAAACACCAAAGTTCCACCTGACCCCAGTAAGAACGGCAGACTTTCCTGCAAATACACTCTTGCACCTTTACCCACCGCCTCTGGATTGCTTAGTACTGAAATGGTGTACAAAAGATTCCCAGCGAATGCGGCGATGAAGAGTAAAATGCTCAGTCCTGCTACGCTACGACGGATATGATTTTCCCAGATCTGCGGAATGCGCGAGGTGATGTAGAGTAAAGCGCATAACCAAGCGCTGATCCGGCCGATGAGTCTATTCCATGATGCTACACTGCCATCGTCTAGCAGTGACAGTAGAGATAATGGTGAGTTGGAGGTGAGGGTGTGGGTATAAGTTGGTGTAGGGGAGGAAAGAGTGGGCGGGAAGGAGAGAAGCATTATTCCGAGTAGAACCATTCCGATGGATCGACGCATCGATGCGGGTGATTTGGTGCCTGCCCTCTTCTTTCCCCCTGCTGCCGCTGCGGTAGTTGCGGTGGAAGTCGACCAAGTCATTCCAACGAGTTGGCTTGTAGCTAGTCTTTTGGAGTGCGAACGGGACGAAGAACTGCGTGTCATCGTTCGTTTCCTACTCCCATATCTTTCCTTATCGTTGGTGGAAACAAGGGCGTCGATAGACCGATACATCGCAGAAGGAGAGACTTCTCTCATCGATCGTTTTCCTTTTCTCCTTGCCACATTTTTCATCTTTTCCTCCTCGTCCTCGTCGCTGTCGGGATGTGACTGTCCAAGCTGGTGATGAGACCTCGACATACCCGCCGCTGGTTGAGGAGAAGCATGTCTCGCAGTTCCATCCGAAGAACCTACCGAGGATGGAGACAAAGTTGCCTCCCTTCTCACTCCTCCAGGCGTATTTACCGCAGATTCACTCTCGATCCTCGTTGCTGTCCTGACCATATCCCTACCCCTCGGTTCCAACACCAGACTCTCGGTGCTAGCTTCCGTACTGCTGCTCGTGTTGGTAGTGGCTGCTAAGCTGGCTACGCTGTCCACCATCGGAGCGTTGGAGTCTGCTTCAGAACTCGATTCTCCCTCGCCCTCTGTCTCGTCTTGTTCATTCAGCATGGTCGACGCTTGCTCGCGAGTAGGACTCAACGCAGAAGGAACAAACTCCCTACTCCCCCCACCTAAGCCTTTCCTCCTTGCACTCATCGATCTAGATCCGCTCTTCGCCCTTCCTCTACCCGCACTCTCCACTTGCTCAATCGCAGCAAGATCCACCCGTTCCAACTCCCCGCTATTCACTCTCGACCTTGACCTAGACGCCGGCAGACTATGATTAGGAGAAGACGCCGTCCTCGACTTGCTCCTACTCCCCTTCCTATGTGAGAAGTGGTCCTCTTGGCCTCCTTCAGCTCGATGCAAGATCGCTTCTCTCCTCCTCGCCACCTCTTGTGCTAACTGTGCCACGGACAACGCAGCATCCGATAGTGCCCTATAATTTGCTAATGCGGCAACTGTATCACTCGATCCAGTCCTACTCAGCGATGGTTGCGGTGGGCGATGTCTCGATCTGGAGTGATGCTTTGCACCATCCGCAACCATATCCCTACTCAACAACTGCTGACTATGACTCAAGCTTCTCCTTTGACTTGCACTTCTCAGCACTCCTCTTCTTCCGGGCAACAGTTCGCTTGTCTCGCTAAGAACAGAGTAAGGGTTACTTGCATATGTCAAACTCTGCCTTCTGCTGTGCCTACCCCTCTTCCTTTGCCTCGTTGCTTTGTTCCAGTAGTAAGCGTATTGGAGCATGATGCACACGTCGATGCAGCAAAAGTAGGTGGCTACAGCAATCTGGAATGGAAGCTGTTGGGTCAAGATGCACCCGAGAAGATTAGTGGCGTCACCGAGCATCCATTGTGTGAGAAACACGGAGGATAAGCCGTCAATGGAGCCCCGACGATAGTTCTCGTATAATTGGGGGGATTGTGCGAAAAGCCAAATGATGAAGGAAAGGGTGCCGGTGGCAGAGGAGATGGTTTGCCGATCGGGGGTTGGGATCGTGCTGAGCATGGCTGCGAATCCAGCTCTGCCCAGCCAAGAAACGTCGGCGGCTGATGACGAGACTCTGTCGAAGGTAGTAAGGTGATTTGTATGGTGTTGGTGTTCATCTATGTGCCGTAACTTGCAAAGTGTCGTGTTCTGGTTGGACAGGAAAGCAAAAAAAAAGTAGACCCTGAACCGAGTGAGGGCAAGAGGGTCCAAGTGTGCATCAGTTACTAGAGAGGTTTCGGATACTTAGCAACGTTGGAGAGGTGGAGATGGTGGTGGTGGTTCGGAAGCAACGACATTGTCAACGACCAACTCGGCTTTCGGACTGCTCAATTTGAAAAATAAAATAAAAACTATCCAGGTGACGCTTCTGTGCGATTAATAAGCATGAGCTCACCAACCCGCGGCCCGAGAATGGGAAAGTTGAAGATCATCTCGATCCTTACGCCCGATTTGCCGATATTGGACGACTATTCCAGCAAGCGCTCGATATGAAAGCGAGCAGATTTGAACAGCTTTACAGCGGACGTCACCTTAGTCAACCAATGGCGACGGTCCATCTAACTGCTCTCCACCTCAGCCAAACGGCATAAAGTAAGGGCGCAAAAGATCTCACCACTCACCCCACCCACACCGATCGGGGTCAAAGCGGACAGCAAACGCAGGGCAAAGAGGTCTTGCAGATGAGGGATACGAGCCAAGGGCTGCTGGATGCGCAAGTTGCAGATCGAAATTAGACGCTTCTGTTGCAAAGTGAAGATGCTGAAGATGGCGATCCAGCAGATCTAATCGGGGAGCAGATGGCCCCAAGCTAATCGGAGAGAGAATAGATCTGATTTGATCGGGAATCAGACAGAGCCGATCAGAGAGAGAGGATGGACGCTATTGGGTCCCACCCGTTGTTGTACTCTGTCATTGAGGGTGATACTGCCACCTATGGGATGTAGCAGCACTTTGTATATATGCCAGGCAGAGTGCTCGAGGCTCTCGCCATGTTCTCCTCTTAGTCAATTGAGTATATATGTTTCTGCCCTGAAACAGTAGTGACATCGTACCCAGACTCTACCCGATCGCCAGTATCGGGACCACAAACGCCTTCAGTTTTTATCAGAAGAGGTTTTGTCCCGATAATCAGCGATCGGGGAGAGTCTGAGTACGATGTCACTACTGTTTTAGGGGACATGCCGAATGTGGGTGCATGCTACTTAATGGCAAAGTCTGACAAGGAGGGGGACTAGGTTGTACCCGATCTTTGGTGAGATCGGCTTTGCCCGATCTCTTTTATATCCGCTTACGTCAACTCGCATCATCATAATTGGATCGTTTCATTCGGCAGCTTCATCGCTCCTCCTTTCTTATCGAAATCAGCTCTTCTGCTCGGCTCTTCTGCTCGGCTCTTCACTTTGCATTGCGCGCTTGAGCTGGACTTTGATCACCTTCGTTCTCCTTTCTGGTCGACTCTTGCCTCTGCGAGAGGGCAGCCTTGGATGACGGCAAAGTGTAACGGAGGACTGGCGTCGGAGCTCGAATCACGTCAAAGACTGGTGCCGGGTTGCAATTGCTCATCTTTGCTTTGCTGCGCTTCAACCCCTCGCACTTTTTTGCCCTCCAACCAACGATACGAGAAGACACTTTATGATGGCCAACCATTTGAATCTTGGTTCAGCTTTGGGCTCCACTAGCCGCATTTCACTGCGATGCCTCGTGAAAAGCAACGCGACACACTCGAAGCAAGATGAGCAAGAAGCGGGGGGGGGGGGGGGGGCAGGAACGACAAAAGGTCTGAGCGCGGTCAAACCTCCTCGAAAGATGGGCCCTGTCAACCCAAACGTCAGCAACAGAGAGCACCAAGCCAAGCGAGGCGCTTCTTTGGGTTGGGTCGAGAGGCCTGCCTTTTTGTGTGCGCCACACCAACACGGCCTTCGACACCACGGACCACATGTCGATACATTCTCATATTCGGGAGCATTGTGGCTCTCCCCGTCAACACCGCTCATCTAGAGCGGATGGTGGTAAGAGCTTTGCGGCTTGTTAAATGTCAGCGGTGATCGAGATCAGCATCGGTTCTGTGAAGAGCGGAGGCTTATTTCCTTTCGCAGGAATCAGCATTTGAGGCCTCAGAAAAGAAGGGTTTCCCACGATCAGAAACCTTGTTCTTGCCACCACAACACATCACTTTTGGGCGCTGTTGATGTCAGGGCCGTGTCCCACCATTGTGCCGAGTGTCACCAGGCGAGCTGTAGGAGCGGTGCACAAAAGCACCTTGGCTGCATACGGCAGGAGAAAAAGCGCCACGATTTCGCTTTCCACCAACTTGCAGCTTGCCTGCTCTCCTTTGTCGATGCTGACCTATCTTGATTTCATCCGTACTCGATTCCGAAAGCTCCATCACATCCAGAATGAATACCCTTGTGGTAGCGATAGAACACCTACATCGATCGCTGACTTTGACATCGTAGAACCAGCCGCAAGCAAGGTCAAAAGCGGCTATCTTATGTCAAAAAAGAAAAAGAAAAAAGAAAAGAAAAAAGAAAAGAAAAAAGAAAAGAAAAAAGAAAAAAGAAAAAGAAAAAGAAAAAGGGGACGAAACCTCTTTTTCTCTCTCTTTTTCTTTCTTTTTTCTCTCTCTTTCTTTCTTTTTTCTCTCTCTCTTTCTTTCTTTTTTCTCTCTCTCTTTCTTTCTTTTCTCTCTCTCTCTCTCTTTCTTCCTTTTTTCTCTCTCTCTTTCTCTGCTTTGTCTCATTTCGCCTCGCTTTTATTGTTGAGGTTTAAAATCCCATTTGCAGTGAATTTTGAATTTTGAATTTTCATTTTTTTTTTGACAGCTCGAGGCTACGCCAATCGCTCTCGCCTCCTAACTTTGCCAGCACGAGACAAACGTCGTACTTGCTATCCTCCTTCCACAAGCGGTTGCTAAGCCACCACCCTGCATTGTACGGTCGTGCGACCACCCGTCTGTCAGAAGCATACACATTGCGGCCTTCGATTGAATGGATATCAGTCAAATGCGAGACGGCTGTAGTTGACAGATTGAAGTGTCGGTTAGGAGGTTGGGCGGATTGGCATTCGCACTCCCCTTTTCGCCACTCCAACTTCAAGCCCCATTGATGACAAGAGCAATTGCGCCCCGCTCCATACTCTGTGGAAGAGGGGAGATCAGTGTTTGCGATTGGTTTTAAAGCTTTCCCACGTCGAACAAGTGCTCTCACGCTGTGCAGTACAACCGACCTCGCTTAGCGGCGTTCAAGGGAAACAGCAATACCCACCTCCATCCTCTCTCTCGATCCATCCTCTCTCTCGATCCATCAACGCCTCTCTGCCCTCTTGAAGCGATGGCTGGTGGTTAGCGGGCCAGCTCATTCTCATAGGTCGAGCTCCGATTCCGACCCTCTGTTACACATTCAGTGACAACTGCCCATACCTGCCCGAGTCAGCTCGTGAATAAGCGGCCAATGCTTTCACCACCTTCGCCCTGTCGGCAGTCTCGCCCTTTTCTCAGACCTCCTTGATCCTCTCCTCCGCTCCGAAATAGAGCTCGCCACACCCAACCTGTTTGACAAGAGTGCCTTGCCTTTCAAGTGGTTCCTGTGTTATTCTAGCTCCTGCGATCGTCGTCCTGCTTGCATTACATTGCCTCCTCGCTCTCCCCGGCAGTCAGTTGTTACCAGACGGATTGTCAATCGACCTCTCATTCGTATAATGAAGCAAAGTAGGGCCCCCCCCTTGCATGCAGACAGCTGCTAAAATCCATGCTTGCGCCCAATTGTCAGCAGCGACGTTCGACAATTATCTCATGCCTCTCCCTGACTAGCAGTGTGGGTAAGCCCACTGTTCATGTGAACTGTATGCACAAGGAGAATCAGCTTTGTGGCGTCTCTGCGGTACTGTTGATGCACCACCGCACCGCAAGGTCGGGCTCTTCATTACCCATTCTTGTCCTCTCGTCTTACCTGCCGGTGTTTGTCCCACCGTTGATTTTACCTCGATTCGTGCTGCTTCACGTTGGATGCTCTTCTGCCTCTTGACTGCCTAGTAGTTGTCAAGAATACATATACTGACCTTCGATTTCCAACTTTCCTCTTCTCCTCATCTTTCCCTCCAATCCTTCTTTCTCAATACCCGATCTTCTCGACTTTGTCCTTGGTTCATCTGTCTCTCTTTTACCTTTGCTCCATCTCGCTACTTGCTCCATTTCCCTCGGCTGTTATCTCCTTCCCTTCACAACATCGCCTTGCGCTCAAAGCAGATCTGAACTCGCAGAAGGCTCACTCCACGGTCGCAACTTGCTTGCTACAAAACCTCACATCAAAACCTCGACAGCTAGTCACTTCATAACCAACCTCATTGCGAAACCACTCTTTCGGGCCTTTATTGACCATACCTCATACCAGCATTGTCTGTGAAATCACATTCTCACGGATCACAAAATGAAGATACTTTTCATTTGTACCGCATTCAACTCGCTCGCGCAGGTAAGTCCCCCCCCCCCTCCCCCTCCCACACACACATTTCATAAACCCTAGCCACTCGTGCCCATACACCTTGCTGACCCCAATCTCCCTCTCCAACTATCCCACCCAACCCTCCACTCCACCAGCGAACGGCCCTAGTCCTGCGTTCTCACGGCCACAGCGTAACAATCGAATACGCCCTCTCCCCCACCCTAATGATCTCGGCCGCAACGCTCTCCTCTCCTGATCTCATCCTCTGTCCGTTCCTCACCAAGCATGTCCCTCCTGAGATCTACCACAACTATCTCACCCTTATCGTCCACCCTGGTCCTCCTGGTGATGCTGGACCATCCGCTATCGATTGGTGTTTGATCGGCGATTTGGGCGAAGTTTCCCATCCGGACGCACAACTTGCCTTTATTGATGCAAAGCACAGTACCAAGCGGGCACCAGCAACGATGAGGAGTCACTGGGCTGTTACCGTCTTGCAAGCGATCGAAGCGTTTGATGCTGGACCGGTTTGGGCTTTTGATCAGTTTGAGTTGACGGGGGAAGCGTGGAGTAAGAGTGATTTGTATAGGGGGCCGGTCACGAGGGCTGCAGTTAGCGCCGTGTTGGCTGCTGTCAAGAGGGTTGAGTTGGCTGCCAAGCAGGAAAGTGGCGATCAAGTGAATTGGTCGCCGATGAAGCCCACTGTTGCTGCTCCAGCGAGGTATAGGACGGAATGCGTCTCCCGCGGTGTACCATTCTTAGGTGGTCGCACCCACAATAGGCCGCTACTCAGGGCAGGTCAGAGAGATTTCTTCCCCTTGCTTCCTTCACCTGCTAAAGTCAAGTTGAGTGCTGATGCCATCCTCCAACGCATTCGAAGTGCCGATTCACAACCAGGCATGCTTTCCACTCTCCTCGGTACACCCCTCTTCCTCTACAACGCTCACATCCAACGCGATCCTCTTCCACCCAGCATCGCCTCGCGTCAAGAAAGCCTCAACACCTCCGGCACAATCCTTGCAACTCGCCAAGGAGCAATCCTTGTCGACGTCGGTGCCGATTTCCCACTCTGGATCGGTCACCTCCGTCGACCCAAAGCGAAAAGCGACAAATATCTCCACCCCAAACTCCCCGCTACAATGGCTTTACTCTCTCTTCCCGACCTCGCTTCCAGCCTCTCCCTGCTCGATCCACTCAAGGTACCCGAATGGAGCCCGACGACAGGCTTCGGTTGCGATCCTAACAATCCTTACGCTCGTCGCCCGGGAACGTACCAACAAGTCTGGATCGACATCTCTACCTCACCCCGCACCTACTCACGCATCGCCTATATCCATGCAGAGTTTTACAATGGCGCATTTTCAACCCTCCAATGCACTCTTCTCCTCTCGGCTATAAAGCATGCTCTCTCACTACCCGGCCTTAAGGCAATTGTCCTTCTTGGTGGCAGCGGCTACTTCTCGAATGGTATAGCGCTCAATGTCATCGAAGGATCCCCCGATCCCTCAGCTGAAGCTTGGGCGAATATCAACGCGATAGATGACTGCGTTCAAGCGCTTCTCGCACCAAAGGGTGTAGTTACATTCGCTGCTATCCGAGGAAATGCTGCTGCGGGGGGTCTTGCAATGGCCACAGCGAGTGACTTTGTTATCTCCACCGAAAGTGCAGTGCTTAACCCCCACTACAGAGGCTTAGGGCTGTATGGAAGCGAATGGCATACCTATAGCTGGTACCAGAGATGTGGAGAGAGTGTGGCGAAAAAGTTCGCTAGGCAGATGCTGCCCATGAGTGCTACTGAAGCTCAGCGGCTGGGTCTTGTTGACTACCTCCTACACAACGACCGAATCGGTGCTCAGGCGGTACTAGAGGAGATCAAAGGTTTAGTAAATGAAGTTATGGATGCGAACGTTTCACAGGTCAGCAGCAGTGCCGTTCTTGCCGCTGGTGCACCTTGGACTAGATGTTTGAGGCTAGCTAGTGCGCATCGTTCGCAATCGACCTTACTCTCAGAGCAGATCCTGCAGAACAAGACTCGATACCTGGCCGATCTCTTCGCCGAATCCAGCTGCAACACTGAACCGATGTCACTCGAAGGCCACTTTTTGCAATATCGAAAAGCAGAACTAGACCAAATGACATTGGACTTTTTCCACCCGCATCGAAAGCAACGCTTCGCGAGCCGTTGCACTGGGTTCGTTCGCAAGCTCGTCCCAACTTCCACTCCTACTAGGTTCGCTTTGCATCGTCGCTACTCTTCTCACCCTACTTCGGAAGCAGAAGAGTTGGATGAGGAGGAAAAAGATGAGTTTGATGGTCTTGCTGGGATTCCTGCTTCTGCTGCTGTTGCTCGACTGCCCGATCACCACCCGGAACTCATCCGAGTTCCCAGGGAGCAAGTTTCCAGAAAGGAACAATCATTCAGGGTTGGTCAAGACACATTGGCTTCCACCGGTCAAATTACTCCAGAACAAGAGGGGAGTCAGAGAAGCTCAACTTCAACCGCACCCACTACGCCAGCGGAAGGCAGTCCGAAGGCAGTCCTTTCATTGGGTGATGAAGAGGTGCACAGGATGGATATCGAGACAACCCTACTCCAAGTCCCCTCCCCCTCTTCCAACACTGGCCTAGCTTCCTTCACCAGCCAGGGTACAATCAAGTGCGCACCTGCAGCAATCTCTTTCGCTGCTGCAGCTGGCACCCAAGACAAAGTCCGAGTTGTTGCTACTCGAACCTGCCCAACGACCCGAGAGGAAGGGGTGAAAAAAGGAAGACTTGAACGTTTCTTCGCTTCACTCAGTCGAAAATCTCGCTCAAACCTGCTCGACCCTACCCGTACCCCTTGCTCTACTGTTGCATCCAAACCAGTGCCGGTACTGTCCCCATCCCCACCGATCCTCAAGGAGAACAAAGTGGATCCGACGTTCAAAGCAAAACGTCGATCATCAATCTCTGAAGTTTTGTCTGTTCTTCAAAATTCTCCTTCTCGCACCACCCCGCAGGCAACGGAAGGCGGCCCGAAATCCGAAAGAAGGAGATCATTGAGACCCACTCCTTCCGAAGGTTTTTCTCTCTCTTATGATAGGGGAATGAGGATGACGCCCAGGATTGTTGAAGAGAATTTGGTTTTGAGTGAAGAATTAGCTGGCGCGCCCACTCCACCGAAGGAGGGCGAGAAGGGTGAGGAGGGTGAGGGGTGCTTATGGAGTTGTTACTATGCAGAAAACGGAGGGGAGAAGAGGAGAGTTTTGAGGGCTACTAGTGATACTGCGTAAAGGGGTTTGTTTCCTGCTTTGTCTTGTTCTGTCTCTTGTTACTTGCAATGCTCAGTCTTATTTCTGCTCAATTACATTGATTCTCGTCAAAGCGTGCTACGAGTTTGCGAATAACTTTCTCGCTCCCTCCTCGCCCATCTTAGTATAATGCGAAAAGGCTCACAGGCAATTCTGAATCACTATCGGCTTCCTCAACCTTGGGGAGCATATATATCCCTCCCGATGACCAGTGTGTGCCTGGGTGGAACAAAGTGGTGCAGAGGGTTGCCTGGCAGCACCGTAGGAATAGGAGGACGTTCAAGTGGGTCTGAGCAAGCGTGGTGGGTGATGATGAGTAACGACGGTGAGCGAGGTTGGCGGAAATGTTAGATCGAGGAAAAGAGGACATGCGATTTCAGAAAGGAAGGGTAAGTTTACGCGAGTGTCGCAGAGGTTGGGCGTGGGGGCGTACGAAACGGAGAGATTTGAGTTGTTTTATTTTATTTTTCCGGCGGAAAACAGCGAGCTAGCCGGTTGGACTCGGCCGGAAAAAGCTTTTCCGCGGTGATGGCCGAAGGAAATTCACCGGCCATTAATTTTTAACTGTATCTCCCTTTTCGCAATTTACCCTTTCGCCTCAATCCTTTCTTGGAAGAGTGAGTGTAATTGAAGGAAAGAATGCCTAGCACGTCGGATCAGGCGAGTGCCGCAACCACACCAGGTAGCAAGGTCCAAAGAAAGGGCAAGAGAGGCGGAGAAGACGGTAGTGGCTAGAGCAACAAGTAGCGAGTCTGAGGAGTTTTTGGCCTTGGTTGGCGCATCAACCCCACATGACCCCCCCACGTCCACTAGCGCCCGTGGCGTGGACATCCGCAAAACGTCTCCACACCTCGCCTGTATCGTAACAACACCAAATCGCATCCGCATGCTTTCACATCGCTTGCCTCACATCGCTTTCCTGCGCTGCTTTCGCACCGGTAACCTCTTCGCTTAACCTAATCCCCCATCCCCATCGACTTGAGCCCACACAGGTATAAGAACCCACCATCCGCTTCTAACACCGCTCCAATTCAGCCTCGTTCTAGCCTACACCCCCCCCCCCCCCCCCTTCTTCAGCACCAAAATTTCAAGCAACGATGGGAGAAAAGCTCACGAAAGACCTTCTCACACCGGTAGAAGACTCTCCCGGTCGTTCCTCAGGTCAACAAGACACCCACGATGCGATCTCCATCGATCGGATCTCCGCCACGAATGGCGCTAGACCACTCGATCCTGCCTCAGAAGAGTACAAACTCATGGAGAAAAAGCTGGTACGCAAGATCGATCTTCGTCTTATGCCGATAACGATCTTGCTCTACATTCTTAACTACCTTGGGAAGTAGATCTGGAAGGTGTTGGGAAGCGTTTACAAACCTTCCTTCGCCATCAAAGATGGTGACGAATGCAGAAAGAAGCGTTTGAAGACTGACAATAATGTTTAATGTTTTCTTTTTGCCTCATCCTCCTCGGCCAAATTAATATGTCCGAACACAATCTTGATGTCGTACAGATCGCAACTCCATCACCGCTGCTCGAGACAACGGTCTGGTTCGAGACCTGAACCTTCTCGACACAGAATACCAAACCGCTCTCTCGATCCTCTATGTCGGTTACATTACTTTCCAGATCCCGTCGAACATGATGATGACAAAGCTGGGCCGACCGTCTCTGTACATTGCAAGCTTCGTCGTTGTATGGGGGATCGTTTCTGGATGCACCGCTGCTGCTACTGGATATCACTCGCTGCTTGCTATCAGGGTTTGCCTTGGTATAGTAGAAGCGGCCTTCTTTCCAGCCGCATTGGCGCTACTTTCTTTCTTCTATCGCAAAGAAGAGATGGCAACGAGGACAGCATTGCTCTTTTCCGGAAGTATCATCAGCAATGCTTTTAGCGGGTTGATTTCGGCGGCAATCTTGAAAGGAATGCAGGATAAAGCAGGACTGCCGGCGTGGAAATGGCTCTTTATTCTGGAGGGAATCGTTACGGTTGTGATTGGAGTTTGCGCTGTGTTTATTCTTCCTGACATGCCCGGCAACTCCAAGTTTTTGAGCCCGGAGGAGAGGCAGATGGCGGTCAACCGTCTTTGCCTTGATGCAGGTACAAGTCTCTCGCCCAATGACGAAGAAGGAACAGCAGTACAAGGATTCATCATGGCAGTAAAAGACATCAAAGTTTGGCTCCTTGCCTTTATGCTTACCGCCGTCACCGTCGGGGTTGGCTTTAACCAGTTCTTCCCCACCATCGTCGGTTCTCTGGGCTACTCCAAAACGGTAACCCTGCTTCTGACGGCACCTATCTGGTTCTTCGCCTTCCTTGCATGTCTCGCAAACGGTCTCCACTCCGACCGAACACAAGAACGAAGCCTGCATATCATCATCCCTCTTGTTTTCGGCATTGTTGGTTTTATCATTGCGTCGACTACCACCGGGTTGGGCCCTCGCTTCTTCGCGTTGTTCATCCAAGCTTCTTCCTATGCTGGCTACACTTGCGTTCTCGGTTGGATCGCTCCTTCGATCCCCACTCCCAAATATAAAAAGGCAGTAGCCCTGGCACTGATTAATGCTTTCTCGCAGCTCGGAAATATTAGCGCCAGTTACGTTTGGCCAAAGAAATGGGGTCCTAAGTACTGGCAGAGTAATACGATCAGCGCGGCCATGTTCGTAGCATGTATCGCACTCGTCCTGTTGCATAGGACAATGTTGAGTATGGAGAATAAGGAGTTGGATAGGATCAAGGCTGACCTGCTGGCCAACGGTGGCAGTGGGGGGCTGCAGAAGGAGGTATTGGAGGGCAAGGCAGTCGATGCGAAATCGAAGAAAGCGCAGACGCGGATTGCGATGGCTAAGAGTTCTTTCCGATACATGCTATAACCTCATGCTTTCGCTTTTCTACTATCTAACGCAATCCTTGACATCCATGCTCACGATCATCATTGAGACTGCCAAGTGTGACACGATGTGAGCTTCTAGATCGAGCTTCTACCCTTTTTTTTTTTTTTTTTTTTTTTTTTTACAGACAGAATTGCACCGGCATCGTACTTGCTGCCTCGTTTTGGGGAGGAGAGTGCTGCTTCGTAGTCCATAGCCTTTGCTTCGTAACCCTGCATCAGTTGTCTTGGTAGAAAGACCAGATTGTTATCGTATTCCGCAGACGCACTCCCTTGAGTGTTGCTGGCTGACTGACACTGCCATTACGAACAACTTGAGCTAAAAGTCCTTTCTCTCCAGCAAGAAGGAATAAGAAGGCAAATTAATAATACAAGTGAAGAAGTTTTGGTCCCGATAACTGGCGATCGGGGAGAGTCTAAGTACGATGTCACTACTTCTTTAAGGCAGAAACAAATATACTCAATTGACTAAAGAACGTAGTGAGGACCTAGTGTCCTCGGCTTGATATATATATACAACTATGAGGTGCCTGCCGAATGTGCGAGTATCCTCCTTCATGACCTGGGGCTACGTTGCACCCGATCTCTAGACAAATCTATCTCATCTGATCGCCAATTGCGTTTATGTCAGCATGCATCATCATATCGGATCGCTTCCTTCGGCAATTAAGGGGATGATGGTGCGGAATCTGCACGTCAAAGAGGTGACAGATCGGATCGGATTAGATCGGATCGGATCGGGTTTTCTTGAGCCGATTCGTCAGGGTCCGCTCTAGTGCAACACTCTCAACACCGTGAATACTCGATATCTGTTGGACATGTACTTTCTTCCTCATTGCTCACTCCTATCAACCATCCGCTGTCATCTCCGCTCTTCGTTGCAGCATTGCAGGCTATGTCGCAACTACCACTACGTAACGCAGCTGCACTGACATAGCACATCCTCTTCGCTTAAGCATCAGCGACCACCAAAGCCGCCCACAATGTCTCTCGACCTCGACTGGTCCCTCCTGGACGAGACTCTCGCAGTCCGCTTCCTTGAAACCATCAATCGAGCACTCGAAACCTCCGCTTGCAAACGGCCTTCCTTCATGGGCGATATCCACTTCTCAAACCTTCAATTCGGTTCAGACCCACCCGACGTCTCCATCCGCTCTATCACGGACATCTGGCCAGATTTCGTCTCGCTTGATGAACCTCCCCTCCGTCGCAAAACACGGCATGCAACACCAGCATCAAATGCAACCACTCTTGTCGAGCCTACCACTGAAACTTTCCCCCTAGGTGGTGCGGGTGGGGGCGAGATGCCAGTAAGAACGTATACTCAGTTCGATGACGCTGTTGCACCGCATAGGGTTTATGGACCGGGGAGTGTGGTGGGGAGTAGTGTGCCCGGCACACCAGGTGTAGGGGTGGGATGCTACCAACAATGGTCCACAGCTTTAGCTTCGCGAGGTATCCGCGCTAGCGGAGGGGCAGGAGGAGGTAGCTCCTTAGCCCAAACCCAAGTAACCAGCCCCATCGACTCAATACCTCCATCACCAAGCTACTTTCAACACTGGCAACAACTTGCCTCCTACAATTCTCGGCAACCTAGCTTCGATGCCTCCTCCACCTCCTTCTTTGGTGGTGCCCCCGGACCTCAAAGCAGTGTTAGTCAAATCGGCATGAAACGAGACCAGAGCTCAAACTCTCTTCATCCGCCTCAATTTCATCCTTCGCGGCCATCACTTCGGTCGACTCCTGCTGCTTCCTTTCGATCGCTTTCCGGCCAGCTTTCTGCTAGTCAGATCGAAGAGCCCGCCTCCACGACCTCCTCTTGGGGCCTGCCTTCACTACAAATGCACCTCTCGCTATTGTGGCCAACAACAACGTTCCGCCTGACGATCTCTACTAGCCTCCTAATCAACTATCCTAGTCCCGCGTTTATGTCTTTACCCCTCCAACTCTCGGCGACAGGATTTGTTATGCGTGCAGGACTAATTGTGGCACTGGAAGGCGAACAGCATAGAGCGCATTTATGTTTGGTGGAGGAAGAAACGGAGAATCCCGAAGAAGCACAAGGAGGAGCAGGGACGGGAGGAAGGAAGCAGACTCCAGGACAGATTATACTGCCACAGCTGACGTTTGAAAGTGAGGTGGGCGAGCATGAGAAACATGTTTTGAAGAATGTAGGCAAGGTGGAAAAGTTTATTGCAGAGGTGATCAGGAAAGGGTTGGAGGAGGAATTGGTTTATCCGAATTATTATACTGTTGATTTGCCTGGGGGGAGGGGGAGAAGTTAATGCTATACCAGTGAGCCAAGAGAGCATATCTAATGTGATGGATTGTGTGTGTGATGTGATGATGTCTATGACAGGCTCGCTGAGTTGGCGTGCGTGTGCAGAGCTGTGACAGATCGTTAAAGCAGTTCTTTCCGTGGCTGTGCGGACGTTGAGGCAGTCAGCGGCAAGTGCGGGAGCGAAAGAACATGCTGAGCTGCTTGACGGGAGATACAATCCACCTTGGCAAAGCATATAAGGTCTAAACTTCGAGTCCACCTCAAACTTTGGCCATCAGCTCGTCACAATGATGTTTGTTCTGCAGACTACGCCTGTGACTTGCGAGACTTGCTACTAGGCTGTGTAGGACTAGTCGAAACAACCTAGGCAAAGTCGCAAATGTCTCGTGCTTTCACGAGAGCGGTGGCCCACTATGTAAGCGAACAAGGGTGGACGTTGAGGCTGATGAAATGTGCAAGAAGACTTGGTCTCACGGCGGAATGAAAGCAAGGCGAGAAGCAAATGCGAAAGCTTACACAGGTGCGGATAGTGCGGAAGACATCAAAGGCGTTATTCTTGGCCTGCTAGCCGCTCCGCAACGACATCCATCCTCTCATCACCTACATAAACCCTTACTCTTACAAGCCTCCGAGCTTTCAGCGGTCAGGTACCACATCATTAGCTTCTCATACCGCACCTTACCTTGACCTTGACCTCCATCTTCTTCATCATAACTCCCCCGTTTCTCGCTACATCCGCAATGTCAGTTACAATCTTGGTGAGAGTCAACCTCCTGCTCCCCACCTCAGACTATGTGTACCGAAGCATGCTTTACCGTATACCCTTCCTCCAAGACGTATCTTGCGAACTCCACGGCAACGACGTTGCATGCCACGTCCCGGCTCCAGAAGGAAAAGAGTGGGTCTCAGGCTGGTTTCACGTCCCAGAAGGTGAGATGGCGAAGATGCTTCTCGCTGTGAAATGCATTGATTGCGAAGGTACGGTCTGTACTTCAGTTTTGGATTGAGAGGAGAGCTGGATGGAGTGAAGATGGTCGTCAGGCGTAGCTAGAGTGAGGTGTTCATCACGATGATGTGCAGCGCGGCTCATTCGGCCGGTAGAAACAAGATCAGAAAATGTTGTATCAGATAAGGCAGATCCCCTCTTAAAAACCAATTTTAGCACTCGACCAACGACAAGTTGCCAATTTGGCTTGTAGCGAGTCACTCCCGCTCTCCTCCCCGCTTTCCTCTCTCATTCTTCGGTCCAACGCAGCTTTTCATATCCTTTTCCCCGCGACACCCTTCTGTAAGCTGTAGGAAAACTACCCGAGAGAGACAATAAAAGCAAAGAAAGATGTTCTCGAGCTAGCCGGAGATAGCACCCAAAAAAATGACGTGGATTAGTTGAAGATGCGTCGGCATCACAATGGGAATAATGGGGTCCATGGAGCATAAGCAAGACCTAGATGAATACTTGATGAGAAAGGCTGCATAAGGTTGGAAATACATGTGGGATGCATATGCATTTCCATAGTGACACACATTGGATAGCAACTCAGGGGTGACTGTGAACGGTGACTCATCATGAATAAATGTGGGATGGGAAGCAACCATCAAGCATATATACATGTTCATACACACAGTAGCATACTGATAGAAATGACAAGCATCTAAGAAGTTATATGCCTGTGTAGTTGAGCTTACAAGTAGCTCCGATCAGTTGCATTTTACTTCCAATCTTCAACTGATTAAGAGTCTGAAGCTCTACTGACTGAGCCAGCTGGGATCCCTTCACTGCCATGTCAGACAACACCGAAATGCAAACTGGTGCAAGCAAAGCAAAGGGAGGTAGAAAGGGTAAAGCTCCTCAACTGCGAGTCCCTGATTATGATGCCACCAATGAGACAGAGGTTGAAGCGACTGATGAAGAAAGTGACCATGACTCTGATCAAGACAGCAGCAGCAAGCAATACAACTTCTGCACTCTGGTGAAGCTCCTCGAGCCAGTGCCCAAGTTAACATCACAAAGCTACTATAGCTGGAATGTCCATGTCAAATCTTTCCTCCAATCTGTTCCCCACACCATGAAACACCTTGAGGGAACATATGACAAGAAACACCCCAGGTGGGACCATGTATTCGATGATGCCCTGACAAATTGTCAGAGGTCACGTGCCTGAAACCTGAGATCGGTAGTTGTATCAATACTATTACCGATTCTGTCGAGTTATGCGACAGTGCTTGTGGTATTGTGATTCTTCACGAGATATGCAGTAGAGCCATCTCTATTACTTTTCTCACTCGAATCTGTAGTTGTGATGATGCTATTGCAGATTTCGACTGACCACTGTCAGACACTCCATTCAGAGGTAGCTTGGCACGATCAATAACTTATGCAAACTCGCTGATGACACCAAAGGTCTGGTGTGAATATGGATTGGTGGCATCGACACAAGTGTCCAGTGCATCGACTATGCTTGAGGTGATCCCCAGACTGCAGTGGATGACTGCCTTTGGTTCTATTGAGATCTGGACCACTGGTTTGCTAAGAACTGCCTTCGGATGTCAGGAAGCAGTGATACAACACATGTGCTTCGATGAGGAGCAATCTATTGATTGCAACTTATGCTGACTTGAAAACTAATGAGTACTTATGTTTCTAAAGTATTGACTAGTTGTATGGTGAGTAGAGTGGATGTCCCTCCACTCGATCATTTGTGACGAGAAGGTATGGTTATATACCTCTTCACAGCGTTGCCAGCGACACTGCTCTGACTCTCTCTCCAGAGAGTACCTTCGCCACCGAGTACTGTGCAGGAGTCTCCACTGAAACTCCCCCCTCACAACGCCTCGTTGCTCCTGTCTTTTCTGAGCTGTATCAACTCCATCGACACTGCTCCTCCTCCTCATTATTGGTTTGCCAGTGCCTGCCACACAGCTCCTCTTCCCTCAACTGGCAATGGTTCTCTTGTCTGCATATCTCCTGAGCCCCTGAGCAGTAACCGTCTGCACGCTTCGTGAGCTCAGTCCCTGTCTCGGCAGCACTTGATCCTCCTCGCTTGCGAGCGTAGTCCCTCTCGCATGTGAAATTGCTGTATGAATGTTGTTGTCACTGATCTCAACAAAATCTGCCATACTATCATACTTACTGCAAATTCTGGTAAGATCTGTGATATTGAGTTCATTTGTGCAGATCCCAATGAGATCTGTCATAGAACTGGGTCTACTACCAATTCCACTGAATTCTTCTGTAAATCCACTGATCCACCTGATCCTTCGATTCCTGCGCTACCTTCATATGAACTGTCGGGTCTTCCCGCTTCCTGCGCCGCCAAGCCCATGACACAAATGCAGTATGTGGCACTATCGACACCACTGGGGAATACAACATCAACTATCTAATCCTTGACATTGTTAGGGAACACCATACATTCCACCAGTTCTGGAAGAAGATTGAGAATGGCTTGACAAATGAAGCTATTGCAACCTCATGCCAGATTGCCCTCATAGCCCAGTTAGGCAAGCTCAGGATGTACAACTCTGATGTCCAAAAGCTCATTCAAGAAATCAGGACCATTCAGACAGAGAGCAGCCTACTGGGAAAACCATTTGCAGATGACACTTTGTTTTCAATTCTACAAAAGTGCACTATTTGCCACCCTGTGTACAAAGAAACAGTTGCTACCATCAGTCAACTCACCTTCAATGCCCTTGCTACAGCTTTGACTATCTGACAATCAGCAGTTGAGAATTACCCCACTCAGAAGATTGACCCACATCAAGCCAATGCCAGAGTCGCTGGCAGCAATGACCAAGAAGAACCAACTGCAAAGGATGAGAAGGACAAAAAGGACAAGGACAATGCCAACACCAAAGTTGCTGCTCAGCCTCGAAAGCTCTGGTGCTGGGTTTGCAAGTGACTGGGACACAGGATCAACCAGTGCAATGCTATGGTAACCATCCTGGAGAACTCCCCCCTTGCCAAGACCAAATAGGAACCATGGTGCTCTTTCACACTGAGTTGGCAGAGGCCCCTAGGCTCTAAAGAAACATCTCATTGGATCTTAGACTCAGGGGCCAGTTATCATATGGTTAATATTTATAGCATGCTCATCAATCCTAAAACTTGCCAAAAACATGTATTCATGGCTGGAAGTGAAGTCTTAGAAGCAACAGCTATTGGAGATGCCAGCATATCAACAAGTAATGGAGATATACTACTCCACCATGTACTATATGTTAGGCATCTCAATGTTAACCTTTTGTCAACCAACTTGCTGACAGATGAAGGAGCATGAGTGACTTTGGACTCTGCTGGTGGGCAAATACACTTAGCAAATGGTATGCTACTCAAAATGACCAAGAATCATGAGCGAGGACTCTTAGAGTTCTGAGGCAATACATGGCAACAGAATGCAATGATCACATCAACGCTATTGTTTGAGGACATTGATGAAGATTTCAAGCAGAAAGAGAGCAATGCCAGGACATCTAAGCAACAACTATGGCATGAGCATCTAGGGCACCCAGGTTGAGACAAGACAAGAGCCATCACCAACCTTTTAAGGGGCAAGAACATAGCTGAACTGGACCCAGATATGGCTCAAATGTGTGAGCAATGCATCTGATCCAAGAGCACAACAGCTTGAATGGGACAAGGTAGTGGTGAGAAATCCATCTCCCCACTTGACCTTGTCCACATTGACTTGATAGTCAACTCATCACATGCAGCAGAATATACATGTACACTTGTGTTGGTTGATGACCATAGCAAGTACATGTATGTGCAACCTCTACTACAGAAGAGCCATGCATTCCCCAAACTCAAAGCTATAGTATCATACCTTGAAAAACAGATGGGAAGGAGCTTAAAAGCCATATGATCAGACCAAGGAACAGAGTGGCAAAGCAATGACATGCTCGAATGGGCATATGATAAAGGTATAGAATGGCAGATGACAGTCAGGTACAACAGCAAGCAAAATGGATGTGTGGAAAGAATGAATAGAAGTCTAGGAGAAAAGATGAGAATGTTGCTCATGCAGAGGAGACTGCCGAGAAGCTTCTGGCCATATGTGATCCAGGCTGCAGCATTCAAAATGAATCTCACACCTAATGTTGATGGTGAATTCCCATATCAAGTCATGTTTGGGAAGCCACTGGAATGGCTTATAAAGCTCTTATGAGTCTTTGGATGTTTGGCATGGGTCAACATTCCCAAGGTTAAAAGAGACAACAAAAAGCTGGACCAACGAGCAGTGGCATCTATTTTCTTGGGGTATAGTTTGGAAAGAAGAGGGTGGCTCTTTTATAGTCCAGACTATAATCCAAATATATTCTGGAGCAACTCCATAAAGTTCATGGAAGATAAGTGCTGGTCTGACAGAACAGAATGGTGCCCAACAAGAGTGCAGTTGCTGCCAGCACTAGCAGATGAAGCAGATCTCAGTGATTTAGGGTACACGAATGAAAATCTTTTTGATGAAAAGGAGAGGGAGCCCCATGACGAGTATCTGAACATGAATGCAACCAAAGGGTCAAATGGTGAAGAGGACTTTATTGAGGATATGGCAAGATATACAAAGAACGAGACCGACTCCGAAATGCAGGCCAACAACCCAATTCTCAGGTTCATGGTAATGAGCAATGATAGACAAAGGAACCTAGATCCAACTGTAAGTGAGGCCTTATCTGGAGAAGACAGAAAACATTGGGAAGAAGCAATGTGTAAAGAGTTGGATGGACTCAGAGCTATGGGTACATGGGAAATCACCAACCTCCCAAAGGGGATGAATGCTGTTGACATGCATTGGGTCCTAAAAATTAAGATGGATGCAGATCTAATCCCAACAAAATTCAAGGCAAGATTGGTAGCTCAAGGGTTCATGCAAAGAGAGGGAATTGATTATACAGAGGTGTTTGCACCTGTGGCACCTATCCAATCTATCTGAGGGGTCTTAGCCATAGTGACCATGCAAGATTGGGAAGTGGACTGCATTGATGTCAGACAAGTGTATTTGAACTCAATGCTACACCATGACATGTTCTTAAAGCTGCTGATTGGAACCAAGGTCCCTCCAGGAAAGTATCTGAAGTTAATCAAGGGACTATATGGACTAAAACAATCAGGCAGAGAATGGAACTTGGAACTGGATTCACATTTGTGAAGGATGGGTTTCTACTGCATGCTGAGTGTGCCTTGTCTGTACTCGAGAGGGACCAGGGGCAGTCTAACTATCATTACAACATATGTGGACAACATGCTCATAGCATCCCCCAGCCATAAGGAGGTAGATCGAACCAAGAGGGAAATAATGGCCAAATGGGGCACAGAAGATAATGGGCCAGTGAGAGAGTTTTTGGGTGTATGCATCAACTGAAACAGAGCACAGAAGAGGATGTCTCTTGATTTATCAGCCTATATTAGAGCAATGGTGAACAAATGGTTACAAGCAACCAGTCAGAAGTCTCGGGTACCAATGCAAGGAATAGCCAGCATTGCAGGGGGAGACAAATGCAACCCAATAGAAGCTAAGTGATATCAGGAGCTAGTTGGACAACTACTATGGGTTTCAAACACCACATGTCCAGACATATCATTCATGGTAGGGGTACTGGCAAGATACATGTCAGGTCTGACCAATGGTGCATGGAGGGCAGCCATCCACCTTCTTAAATACCTGAACCAGACCAGTGAGTATAAACTGATGTTTGGAGACAGATCGAACAAGCATTTGTAACATGCAGTCACTATGTACATGAATGCAAATTGGGCATCAGACTCAACAAATGGATGAAGGAGTACATCAGGGGCCATGACATATGTATATGGGTGCCCTGTTAGTTGGAAATCACATGTCCAAAAATGCATGGTGCTATCAGCCATGGAAGCTGAATTTGTCACTGCCTCAGAAGCAGCAAGGGAAGCACTCTTCTTCTCTTATCTTCTCAGGGATCTAGAGGTGGGAACAATTCAACCAATCTTGCATACCAACAGTCAAGGATGTATTCAGGTGAGTAAGGACCCAGCAAAACATTGGAAACTAAAACACATAGATACTAGGTACCATTTTGTTAGGGACCACATACAGGATGGGGAAATAGCAATTGAATTCATTGGGACAACAAACAATGTGGCAGATATCCTAATGAAGCCACTGAAGGGGTTGACAACATCCCAGCTAGCACAATCATTGGGACTGGAGATGCCATCGAGGGGGGGAGTTGAAGATGTGTCAGCATCACAATGGGAATAACGGGGTCCATGGAGCATAAGCAAGACCTAGATGAATACTTGATGAGAAAAGCTGCATAAGGTTGGAAATACATGTGGGATGCATATGCATTTCCATAGTGACACACATTGGATAGCAACTCAGGGGTGACTGTGAACGGTGACTCATCATGAATAAATGTGGGATGGGAAGTGACCATCAAGCATATATACATGTTCATACACACAGTAGCATACTGATAGAAATGACAAGCATCTAAGAAGTTATATGCCTGTGTAGTTGAGCTTACAAGTAGCTCCGATCGGTCGTGTTTTACTTCCAATCTTCAACTGGATTTCTAGGCGAGACTGGCGCTGAGCCAGAGAGAAAATCTCGGTAATTACCAAAATAAAAGGCAAATTCAAGCTCTTTTCCGGCGTTATCAAAAACAGCAAGAAAACTGTTGACTCCCGCAATGCCTTGTATCGAGTATTTGCCATTCTTCTCTCCTTCCACCACCATCTCCTCACACACCTCCTTGGTGATCGTTCAACTTCGCACTGAGGCTATCCCGCGCTGGCTGCCCGATATCTATCATCGCACGCCCAACCCTTCTCGCAAGTTCAATCTCACCTGAATAGTCAATCCCTCACGCTTCTCCCGCCATGTCCCACCCCGTAGCAACCGACGCTGCGTTGACGCACAACTCCAAGGGTGTAGTTTCTTCGACCTCTGTCGACCCCACCGGTACCGTCCTCGTGATTGGCTCCATGGCCTCTGCCCAAAGCGGCGCATATCAAAAAGCCGTCGAGACCTACTCTGGCCGTCAAGTTGAAATGCACATGGTCGATCGGCTCACCGATGGGGCAACCTCGCTTCCCGCCAGCACTTACCCTCTCGCTCATCTCGTCGTATCCTACGCCGATGCCGCATCTGCAGTTCTCCTCTCCTCCCTCCACTCTGCTCTCCAGCCTTTGGCAAAAGTTATTGTCCAAGCAGGCGACCTAGTGGATGCAACTACAGCTCAAAACGTCAAAGCGGAACTCACCATCGCTGGCTTTACCGACATCCAAACTGATGCTGCTGCCGGTCTCATCTCCGCTAGCAAACCTGCCACTTGCACTAGCTCGTTTTACATTGGTTCCTCTTCCACTTCCTCCGCCTTGCCTCTGCGTCGCAAGTTGGGCTCCTCCACCTCCTCTTGCGCTAAAAAGTCTTTGTGGGCAACTCAACCAGCCTCATCAACCGACCTGATCGACGAATCCTCTCTCCTTCGCGATGTTGATTTCATCCCCTCAACCGCTGTCAAACGTCCTGATTGCGACGTAGGTCCTGGTCAGGGTAAGAAGAAGAAAGCTTGCAAGGGTTGCACCTGCGGTCTCCGCCAACTTCAAGAGGAGGAAGAGAGGAGTGCAAACAGCAATCTAGTTCAGCTGGATACAGAGGATATGGACATGCCCAACGCTCAACCCGCACAGGCTAATGGTGGAAAGAGAACGGAAGTGGCGGAAACGATCATCGGTAAGGATGGAAAACCAAAGACGATCAAGAGGATTCAGGTGGATACAAAGGGCGCGACAAGCTCGTGCGGTAGTTGCTTCTTGGGCGATGCATTTAGGTGTAGTAGTTGTCCTTATTTGGGCTTGCCTGCCTTTGAGCCTGGACAGAAGGTCGAGATTCCGGCTGGTATGGATGATGACATCTAAGCAGAGCAACAGGGTTGTAGATTGATAAAGCAAGTCGTCTCTCTTGTGTAAAATGTGCAATTGATTGTGATTTCGCTTTGTACGTTGGCCTGTGATAATGTTTGAGTCTGAGAAGAGATGTTGTAAGCATGCACTGAGCCGTCAAAGCGTCGTGGAGCGAATGTGAATCGCATCCTTGTTGATGAGCATCTCTCACGCAGGTTGGGCTGAAAATGTCTCGTTGGCAAGCCCATAGCCTGACACACACCGGATCAGGTGTACTCAACACACGCATATAATGGATACGGGTATAACAGATGCTTGGATGATTGCAATGCAGAAGAGATGAACGACGCAACAAGAGGATGCAGGTTTAGAACCCAGCCTTCCTCCTCCTACCAGTATACTTACTATCCAGCGGCACATCCTCCTTGCCCCTCTTTCGATTCAACTCCTTCTTCCTAAGGATATACTCTTTCGCAGTTTCCCCACCTCTCTTCTTGCCCTTCTTTCCTCCCTTTCTCCCTTCTCTATCCAGCCTCCTCTTCTCGTACTTGACGCCGTTCCTGCGACTTGCCTCTCCTGCTTCCTCATGGTCATGCGTCAGTCCTTCCGGCAGCATCTGTTTCTCCGCCTGCCCGTTCGGTCCGACGATCATCTCTCCACCGACCCACAAGACCAGATAGAACTTCTTGGCCTTCCTCGAGTTCGGATAATCAACCACCAAGCCGCCACCAAACCCAGCACGGGTAGCGAATTGCATTATAAACTTGACCTGATCGTCATTTTCCGGATAGAACTGAAACACCGCCCTCGCACCTCTCGACAAACTTGAGTATAACGTGGTGAAGAATGAGCTTAACCTTTGTGCTGGCTTGTGCGATGTCGCATCAGCATTACACAGCCACTGTAGGACAGAGATAGAAATGGCGCCGTCGAACGATCCTGCACGGAAACCGCATCCTTGGCCTGCGTCAGCTAAGAGAAGGTCTCCTTCTGTATCTTTTTCTAAAGCGACTTCAAGCATGGAGGGGGAAATGTCGAATCCGATCCATTCATGGCCCTGGTCGGTGATTATTTCGCCAGAGAGACCGGATCCGCAACCGATGTCGAGGAGAAGGGCGGGGCGACGGTGCGGAGGAAGCATAAGCAGTTCGAGAGCACGTTCGGCCATTTCTGCTTGAATTGTTTGAACGCGCGTGTTGGCCGTGTATTTGGACGCTTCGATGTCGTTGTAGAATACTTCGGGTGGTGCTAGGTGTTCGGGTCGAGACATGATGGGCGAAGGGGATACTCGGATGTGTGTATAGGTTGGAGCAAGAGGCATGTGGTCTTTGTGTAACGTGTGGTCTTTGTGTAACGTCTGTTCTTCTCAAAAAGTTTCCAACAGCAAAGACCGAGTTCCGGTCAAGCGATGTCGGCCGATAGCAATTTAACTTTTGTGGAGGCATAAGAGAGTGATATCGGCCGATAGCAATTTTGGCATTTGTGGAGGCATGAGAGAGCGTGAATCAGAGTTGGCATTTGCACGTCGCCACACGCTTACATTGCCGGGAGACCGTGCTGAGCTCGCTCTCATCACCACCACATGCTACGACACGAGTCCCGACACCACCTCTGCTATCGACATCGAGGCCATCCAACGACCTTCTAAACCCACTCTTTCTCGCTGCGGAGGCCAATGCTGTCAGCAGAGCCCGTTCCGGTGTCCATCACCCCTGGTCGTACAGTTGGCTTCAGCAGCGGTCAGAGAGCTGCTCATCTTCATTCTTGCCCCAAAGATAGATCAATGCAGTCACAATGATGGTCGCTACCTTGCGGGCCATTCTCGCTTCATCCGCATTCTCCTCATCCTCAACATCACGCTCAGCATCGACCTTGGCATCAGCTTCACGTAGAATCACCACCCTACCTTCTCACACTCGGACACGGCATCACATCAACCCCGCACCCGTATCCACACTCAAACCCTCTCACAGCCGCAGCTACGCCTCTTTCCTCGGCCCTGCCGGCGTAGAACAGGAGCCTAACGCGCTACAAGCCACAGACCCGCTCCTAATCTACCGTGCCAAAGTCGCCCGCGGCGAGTTAGAAGAGGACGAAGAACAACTTCGTGCCCTCGTCCAACTTCGACGTATCAACCGCGTTCTTCGGGACTATACGCCTCCCGCACACCTTCTCGGGATCTTGAATGAGGATGTACAATCGCAATCTTCGTCTGCGTTGGCATCTGCGATCGATGCACGGCTGCGTCCTGGTGCACGCGAGTTTCAAGTCTCCCCCTCATCCCCTTCTAGTGGCAGAGGTGAGGGCAAGATTGCGGAACTAGTAAAATGGCTCTCCCAGTCTGAAGGCTTAGCAGAGCTTGGAACACCGAAAGGTTTGCTGGTTACAGGAACACCCGGAACAGGTAAATCCATGGTGATGGATATATTCTACGACTCACTCCCCACTTTGTCCAAATTCCGTCGTCATTACCACCACCTCCTTCTCGACGTCTACAAGATCATCTGGGAAGAAGCTGAACGTCGGCGCATATCCGTATCCACATCCACCGCTCCTTCCACTGCCACCCGTGAAATCGGCACTGGTGCTATCTGGACTCGCACCCCCGGCTCAACCGGCAAAACCGCATCAGCTTGGAGGCGAGCTTTACGCGGAATGCCATTCTTCCGTCCTGACTCTCTTGCAGACGATCAATCGGAAAACCTATCCTACGTCCCCGGTCCAGATGGAGACGCGGTGAAAACAACTCTCCCGCTCCACGCCGCTGCGCATCTTTTCCTCAAACACGGACATGTATTGCTGTTCGACGAGATTCAGTTGGTGGATGTCGCTAGTGCCGGGTTGTTGAGGAGAACATTGGAAGCGTATTGGAGGCTTGGCGGGGTAGTGGTGGGGACGAGTAACAGAATTCCCAAAGATTTGTACGCTAGCAATGTTCAAAGGGGACAGTTGACGCAGTTTTTGGAGATTTTGCAGGAGAGATGTCCCAATCATGAGATGAGGAGGAGGAGGGATTTTAGAAGAGAGCCTTTCTATCGTAAGCAGTGGCTTGAAAGGAATTCGAGCGAGGGTGAAGGTGAAGGTGAGGCTTTACCAGCACAGCAAGTTGGCGGGCAGACATCCTACTTGCTCCGCAGCGAAGCATCCAAGTTCAACCATCTTGTCTCGGAAGCGGTAGCGAATAGGCCTTTCGAAAGTGCGACACTCACTGTCTATGGTAGAAAACTCGACGTTCCGCGTTCCGTAAGCGCTAGTGAAACGCACCCAAGCGTGTGTTGGTTCACATTTGCAGAGTTATGCGATTCACCCCTCGGTCCTGCTGACTACCTCACTCTCGCATCCACCTACCACACATTCATCCTCGAAGGCGTCCCACAGATGACGCTGATGCAGAAGAATCAAGCACGAAGAATGATCACCCTCCTCGACGCGGTCTACGAAGCTGGATGTCGCCTCATTGTCCTAGCTGATGCTCGACCGGATGATCTATTTTTCCCTGACGCAGAAAAAGCAGCTCGACACGCAGCACAAGGACCTGCTGCTGGTCCTGGCGATGTTCGACCCGAACTGCAATACAGGGCTGTAGGTGGAGGCGGCAGGCAAGATGTGGTAGATATGTCCGCCAAAGGCGTTCCCTCGCCCTTCCTCACCCCTCCTCCCGGCCAAAGCTATCCCGAAGAAGAGAAGTTGGCCAATCGCAAAGCGGGCCAACCAGTGGACTACAGCACAGACGAATTCATGACTGACTCTCTGATCATGGCTGAAACCCTATCCGAAGCTATGCAGGATACAGAAGAAGGATTCCGCCCGCACGTCTCTACTTATTCCTCTGATCGACCTTCTCGCCCCGCCCAACTTGCCGCAGAGGGAGCGGCGGGGAAGAAAGACGACAACGTCGGCTTTAAGCACTTGGCGATCTTCAGCGGGGAGGATGAAAGGTTTTCGTACCAACGGGCCGTCTCGCGTCTGTTTGAGATGAGTCATCCGGATTGGATGCGGAGGAAGGGTTGGAGGCCTTTTTTGAGCGATGAGATGGAAAGTTGGTCGGGTACTTGGAAACAGGCGGAAAAGGAGGCGGTGGGGAAGGCGGTGGTGGCGGATGCTGCTGCTATAGCCGACGCTGGTACAGACTTTGCCGGGGAAGCTAGCTACGAAACGGCGAGTTTCCCAGGCAGAAGAGAAGCTCAGACCAAGTTGGCGAGGGAGATGGAGGCTTTTGCTGCTAACGAACTGCGCAAAAAGCAGGAGAGGGGGCGTAGCGAGCACGGCCAAGGCAAAGAAGGGGGTAAGGAAGGATACCAACCAGACTTTTCCCCAGGTCCAATTGGTAAAAAGCGCAATCGCGACCAGGGCGCTCCGGTGCTAAGTGAGGCTCATGTCTGGGGAGTTAGGGAGGATTGGGGTAAGAAAGCTGGAGCCTGGGGTAAGGGTTCTGCTATTTTCTCAGAGCCAGAATGCTCCTCCTCATCTACCTGTTCTCCTCGAGGACCTAGTAGGGCGAGCACTGCTGGGCCTAAATCTGGAGATGGGAGTGGAAAGCGTTGCTTCCACACCACCTCTTTCGCGCATGCGCGAGTCGCGGCTCTGGACCACTATTCGACGCTCCAAGTGGCCCGCAGTGCGACGCAAGCAGAGATCAAATCGCAATTCTACAAACTCTCCAAAGAGCTCCACCCGGACGTCAACGCCTCTGACGATGCCAAAAAACGATTCCAAGAAGTCTCGGAAGCATACGCCACCCTGGGTCACCCTTCCCAACGCAAAACGTACGATCGTCAATCCCAATCCCCCTCCACTCGCCCAAGCGCTTACGGCGACAATGTCCACACCGGCTTCGGCTACACCCACAACGCCCAAGACAACATCAACCGTCGAGCACGTGCGACGTATGCGTGGGATTATCAACGACGACGCAAAGCGCAAGAATCATACCAGTATCAAACTCAACCGGGCGGTGTTGGAGGTGGTCGAGGAAGACAAACGCACTCGAGCATATTCAGGCAGTCAAAGGATGGAGCAAGTGCATTTGAAACACTAGCAGCACAACAGAGAGCAAGAGAGGCAAGGAACAGAGCAAGGCAGACGCGATCCAAGGTTTACAGTGAAGAGGAGAGGATGTATGAAGCGCATGTAGCCAATCCGTTGGTGAGATTTGCACAGGTGGTCGTCATGCTGTATTTGGTGTGGAAGGGGGGGACCATGTTTACTGCTAGTGGACCTACGGGCGGGAAGGAAGCAAGAGGAAAAAGTCAAGGGCGATAGATAAGACTGCAGCATTCAATGCTATCTTTGCAACAGGATCTCCAATTAAAACAATGTCTTGGCCAACAGTGTCAAGTGTGAGTTTGAGAACAAGAAAAAGGGCTAATATTGAGCATGGGCATTGTTCAAATGCTCTTCTTCTTGCCACGAGCACCACGAGCACCGCTTTGCTTGGGTTCCTCCTCACCAGGCGGCATAACCAACAGAATCGCAACAGGAATTAGATAGAACCAATATTTCTGCAAAAAGCTTTTCTCCTTTTCTACCGGCTTGACCGTTCCATCCTGATTGGTAGGCATTGCTTGTTTCAAGGTTACATCTTTTACCCTTTGCGTGTGTTTGGTGATGAGTTTTGTGTTCAAGTTAAATCCTTGCTGGCGTTCGGTGGCGATGGAAGAAGGATTGCGACGACGTGCTCGAACTTTTCGTGCATTGCTGAGCATGGTGTTTAGCTTGGTTGGGTTGCCAAGCGGACAGGATTGCGGAGAGAGGGAGATGTCTAATACTCTGTATGAAAGTCCTGTCACCGTTAGGCGCCAAGTGTCGGAGGGTGAAGGTGAGTAAGCAGGGCGAAGGGTGAGAACTAGTTCGTCGTCTAGGGTGGGTAGGTCAGGATGAGATTGTCTTAAATGACACAACCTAATACTAGTCATCAAACTGACCTCTTCCCCTTCTGCCCCATCCGCCAGTTTACCCCGCGCTTCGGTAAGAGCTACTTGGTAAAACCTTTGCCCAGCATCCTCCTTATATGCCTCTTCTTTCAACCCCTCCACCTGCCTCGAAGAAAGCTTATTACTGAGCGCCAAAGAAGAGTTGGTGCCAAGGGAAATCGGGTCTAGTTCGATCGTTGCTCTCAAACTCCACTCCGAAGAAGGGTTGATACGATGGAGGAGGTTGTAACTTGCTGCATCAGCCACTGAAGCGAGGGTCAAGGTGGTGGTGAACAGCAGCAGTAGACTTGAGATTGTGACCCTCATCGTGGAGTGTCGTTGCGGCGAGGAGAGGGTCGTTGGTGGTGATGAGCAAGAGCAAGGGAGAGCAAGAGCGAGAGGGAAATGCTGGCGCGCGCTTTCAGTTGAGGGAGTTGAAGTAGATAAAGCTACACAAAGCCTAGAGACAGCGAGGGTAATGCTTACGGCCGAGTGAAAGGCCTGAACATCTTAGCACGGACCACATGTGTCACAACCTACTCAAGACAAATGCTTTGTTATGTTCCGCAGTCAATGCGGCTCTCCGCCACTCTTCTTTTGTATATATACAGACTCCTCGCTCTCTCGCTCTCTGTCTCTTACCATTATTATCCATGCAGAAAATCAGATTCCTCAACTGATTAAGAGTCTGAAGCTCAGCAGCTTCTAGCGCCTCGCCACCAGGATGCCACCAAGAGTAGATAGCGTAGCACTACTCGAACGCACCATGCAGATGATCAGGGAAACTCACACCAACTGGGATGAAGACCAAGTCTTGGAGCGTGCCTTCTCGCTAATAAACCTCCAACCCAACACCAACCAAGCAGAGAAGATCCCCAAGTCGGTGCTCAGCATCATCTCGCAAATCGTCAAGCTCAACGAGAACAACTGGGCCATCTGGGAGCCGATGTTCATGGACTGCATCTGCCCAATCAAGAACACCAAGCAGATCCTCACTGAGGAGATTCCCAGTGGCCATACCGACTATGATGAGGAACTAGACAGCCACTTGCTGGGTCTCATCTTGTCCTCCTGTGACCATGGACCCACCAGCCATATCAACACCTACACCGTGCGGGAGCAAGGTGAGGAGGAGCAGCTCGGCTCTACACTCTACAAGAAGCTCAAAGCCACTCTCACAATAAATGACAAAGTTAAGCTCTCCGCCATTCACGACCGGGTACACGAAGTCAAGCTAGCCCAGCGCAACATTGCCAACCTTGGTAAGGAGCTCGATCAAATCTGGAATGATGCAGCCAGGCTCGGTAGCCACATGGACGAAAAGCTCAAGAAGTCTACCCTGTACCGCTGCATCAAAGACGACTGGCTCTACACCCAGACAGTAGACTCCCTCAAAGCTGCTCAACCTGGTTGCAGCTATGAGTATGCCTATCATGCACTAGCTAAGAAGCACCAAGAAGCTGAGCTCTCAGGTCGTATCCGAGCCATGGCCAGAGCCGCGAGCAATAGAAGTTCAACAGGCCAAGCTGGCGAGCATAGGCAGGTTCTTAACCAAGAGGGCTACAATAGGGGCAGGCACGACCCTGCAAACCCTAATGAACTGGCCAAGTGCTATAGGTGTAGGCAACCCGGGCACATTGCCATCAACTGCACCAACAGTCAGGAGCAAACTCCTACTCAGCAGGGATAGGGACTCGGGTGCACCTTTTTCATAAGCAACACTGGCAACCGCAAACAAGACAGTACGTGGATTCTCGACTCTGGAGCTACACATCACATGGTACATGATGAGGGTAAGCTCATTGCTCCGACGCCGAAGCAAGGATCTGTAGATACTGCTGGACATGAACGGTTGCGAGTACAGGCAATAGGTGATGCAACTTTGCGAGTAAGAGACGTTAAGATACCACTCACTGACGTACTTCACGTTCCCAACCTTAGCAAGAACCTATTGTCCATCCCAGCGCTGACTGAAAATGGTGCATGTGTGATATTTGAAGAGTCTGGAGCTACTATCCTCCAGCATGATGGGAGCATGGTCAAGAGCAAGACCAACCGGTGCAAGAAGAGATGGGAGGTTTACGGTGACTCCCTAGCAGCACAGCTCAATGATCCCCTAGAGGGCATTGATGCTACCACAACACCAGCAAAACCCGCGAGCCACACGACGAGCAAGCTATGGCATGAACGATTTGGTCATCCTGGCAGGAACAAAACCAAGCAAATCCAGGCCCACTACTTAGGAAAAGAAACACAGCTTGGACATGACGCAAGGGATTGCAACTGTTGCAGCCAAGCAAAGCAAACATGCGCAAGAATGACAAGTAGCAAAACAGAGTGAGCCCAGGCACCCCTGGAGCTGGTACACATTGACTTGATGACGGACCTGAAAGGCCATCCCAACTACCACCATGCACTGGTAGTTGTAGATGACTCATCATCCTATGTATATGTGAAACCACTCCTCAGCAAGGCCGAAGCATTCCCCGCCCTAAAGGCATGGATCAAGGCAGCAGAGATAGCAATGGACCACACGCTAAAGTGCATCCGCAGCGACAACGGAACAGAGTGGTCCAGCTTTGGAGCAGAAGAATGGAAACGAGAAGCAGGGTTCAAGTGGCAGAAAACCACACCTTATGTCAGTGCCCAGAATGGGAGAGCAGAGTGCATGATCAGATCCCTTCAAGAAAAGATGTGTGCAATGCTTGTCCAGAGATCAGTACCAAAGGAGCTGTGGCCCTACGCCATCATGGCTGCAGGGCACACACTGAACTTGACACCCTCTACTGAAGCAAATAGGATTCCATACGAGGACTTCCACCGCAAGTCTGCGCATGGCTTGGCCAAGCAGCTGTGTGTCTTTGGCTGCCTTGCTTGGGTCCACCTCCCCAAGAAGGATCATACAGGAAAGCACAGCGTAAGAGCAATCCCAGGAATCATGGTCGGCTATGATGACGAGCACAAGGGCTGGAAATTCTTTACCCCCGGCCACACCCCATCTATACAGTGGAGCAACTCAGCCACATTCCATGAAGCCAAAGGTTGGCATGATCGCCCCAGTGTGCAGAGCCCACTGCAGTTCGGCTTCGAGAGCCTCGAAGCAGAAGATACTAGACCCGAGACAGATAGCGACAAGCCCGAATTGGAGGTGGAAGTACTCGACATGGAGGACCCACTTCCCAAAATACACACTGCACTGCCCGCCGACCCTATAGATGACAACAGGTTGGAGCTCGATGTTGAAGAGATAATTGGAGAAGCACACACAGCCACCCTGAACCTCACGCCAACCTTAAAGGAAGCACTCGCCAGCGATGATGCACAACAATGGCAGGAAGCCATACGCAAGGAGCTGGACGGACTTGAGGCAATGGGAACATGGGAGATTGTGGATGTTCCACCAAACACTAGACTTGTCGACTCCAAAATAGTCCTTCGGCTCAAATTGGATGCCGATGGCATACCAGTCCAGCACAAAGCGAGACTCGTCGCACGGGGCTTTACACAGCGGGAGGGTATCGACTTCGAAGAAACCTTTGCACCTGTGGCACCGCTCAGCGCAATAAGAGCCCTGTTATCTTTGGCAGTGGAGCGCAACTGGGAAGTCCATCAGCTTGACATCACAATGGCTTACCTCAACTCCACGCTCAACCATGTGATCTACATGAAACCACCAGAAGGTGCCAAAGTGCCAAAAGGGAAAGCCTACCGAGTCATCAAGGGACTGTATGGCCTTAAACAGTCGGGATGGGAATGGAACATGGAGTTTGATAAGTTCCTGCGATGCTCAAACTTCCACAGGCTCGACTGTGCACCATGCATCTACACTAGAGGAGAAGGAGATAACTTTGCAATAGTGGTCATCTATGTTGACAACACACTAATTATAGCTCCAACCCTAGAAACAGTAAGGCATATCAAGGAGGAAATAGGCCAAAGATGGCAGATGGAGGATGGTGGCAATGTCTCCCACTTCCTCGGGATCAAAATCACCAGGGATCGAGAAGCGAAAACCATGGACCTCGAGCAAACTAGTTATGTTAAGCAGCTTCTGGATGAACATTTGGACAAGCGCAGAAGGAAGTCTAGCGTACCACTCCAAGACATTCCAGTCCCAGAAATGGCAGCAAGCATAGCAGAACGAAAGGAGTACCCACAGATCGTCGGCAAACTCCTGTGGTTGTCTAATGGAACACGTCCAGACATCAGCCAAGCCATCGGCATCCTTGCACACTATATGACACAACCGTCAAGGGAGCACTACAATGCTGCACAGAAAGTACTCCAATATTTGGACTACACACGAGATATCCGCTTACAATATGGCAGCAACAAGCAACAAGACTTTCTGATGGCACACAGCGATGCAAACTGGGCAAGCGACGCTACAGCACAACGCAAAAGCTCATCTGGTTCAGCAGTGTTTGTATGTGGCAACCTGGTAGCATGGAAATCAGCACTACAGCACTGCACCGCCTTATCGGCAGTGGAAGCAGAATTTGTAGCTGCGACAGAAGCCGCACGAGAGGTCCTGTTCTTCAAACACCTCTTCAAGGCCATTGGAATTGATGTTGGTATCCCTACAATCTTTTCAGACAACACTGGTACCATCCAGGTTAGCAAGGACCCTGCACAACGCTGGAAGTTAAAGCACATTGACACCAAATACCACTTCATCAGAGACAATGTGCAAGATGGAAAGGTCAAGATCAAGTACATTAACACTGCAGATAACTTGGCAGACCTCTTTACCAAACCAGTGGGAAAGACTATACTACAGTGTGTGCGACAGGGACTGGGACTAAAAGCCCAGCATGATGCAGTGGCTCGGCAGTCTCCTGCCTTGCCACTGAGGGAGGCAGTTGAGGGAGTTGAAGTAGATAAAGCTACACAAAGCCTAGAGACAGCGAGGGTAATGCTTACGGCTGAGTGAAAGGCCTGAACATCTTAGCACGGACCACATGTGTCACAACCTACTCAAGACAAATGCTTTGTTATGTTCCGCAGTCAATGTGGCTCTCCGCCGCTCTTCTTTTGTATATATACAGACTCCTCGCTCTCTCGCTCTCTGTCTCTTACCGTTATTATCCATGCAGAAAATCAGATTCCTCAACTCTTTCTCAAGTTGGAACAAAGTTGCAATTGGCACGTGCGCTGCTTCGGTGGGGGGAATTTTCTTTTTTGAAAATGTTTGTGGCGAGAATCTGACATGATCAAGGAAATTGCCTTTGCCTGATGTTTGCAAGCTGTTCAGGTAGACCTTGGAATCGAGCCGCTCAACACATTCAGAACACAATCGCTAGCTCGGTACAGCAGCTGAAAGGTAGCATACCCTCTCCAGCACGATTCGATCAAGGAAAGAAAACGTATTTCAAGTGGATAACATGTGGAAAGACACTGAAGAAGAACGCTATATCATCGAAAACAGCACGAGTGTAAAAAGTTATGCCAACAGCCGCCCAATGAAAAGGTGAGGTCTACATGACGATACAACAACATGCACCCTTATCGACCTCGTCTTGATGCCTGTTGTTCTTTCTTTGAGACAAAGCGGCAGATGTTGCCTGTGTTGCTGATGGTTGTGGGTATTGCTGCTGCTGCTGCTGCTGCTGCTGATGCTGCTGATTCTGCTGGTGGGGATACAGCTGGTAGGACTGCTTCTGCTGTGGTGGATGGGAGTACGCTGAGCGATGACTGCTTCTGCTGTGGTTGCTAGCTCTTGATCTGGATCTGCGGGCGCCAAATGCAGCGTCGATTGGGCTAAGGCTGTTGCTCCTCTGGGGAAACACAGCTGGAGCTGGAGTAAGGATCTGTTGCTCCTCCTCTATTGGCTTGTGCTCTTCGAGCAGCTGCTGTTGTTGCTGCCTCTGCTGGTCCTCATGCAACTTGCTCGCCTTTTGTGCAGCAATAAGGTCGCGATGGCTCAAGGGGAGGCCGTTTCGATCCCAAGTATCGATCAAGCCTTCGTATTTGCTAAATCTGCCCTCTTTGCCAGCTTTGAGGAATTGTTCCTGCTGCAGCTTTCTTGCTACCGTGGGAATGATCTGATCCTCCCAGTCGTTCACGCTCTTGCTTCCTGGCGAGGCACGGAGTGCGTCGAGGATTCTGTTGGTGTCGTTGCTAGCCTCGCCAAAAGAGGGAGGTGCCGAGGTTTCACGGAAGCGTCGAGCTGTGGAGCGGAAAGCGTCGGGTTGAATCTTTCGATCGCGCACGCTGGGTGAGGCTGAGGGATGCAAGTCCTGATGCGCACGAAGCAACTTTGCTGTGGGAGAAGGAGTACTGCCTAACGGATGGAACTCTTCCATCAGCTTTGGGTCCATGGTGGCTGCCGCTGCGGCTCTGCGGCGCGATAAAGAACTTGTCCGTTGATGACCATTGGCGGTCCTACGTGGTTCTTGAGACGACTGATCCGGTGTACGTCGCGATCTTGGCACAGATTCTGGTGGTGGATTGACAATGTCCAAGCTGGGTCGCATGGGCGTCGACTGCGTTCTCAACCTCCTCCGCTCGAAAGACGATCTGTGGCCCACGCCGTTCGGAGCAGTGGGTGCATACTCATCGGCACCCGCCACTTGAGGAGTGACATCGATACTGCTTTCCAACCCATCATCATCATCATCATCATCATTATCATCATCATCACCACCACCTCCTCCTGCTCCTGCTCCTCCACCGTGTCTCACCATTGCTGAACGACAGGAATCGCGCCCGGATGATGAAAGAATGGAGTCGCTGGAAGCGTTGATCTTCTGCGCTTGCTTACGTGCTGCTGCGATCTGCCGCGCCTTCAGCCTTGCTCTTGCGGTGGCATCATTGGACGAAATCGAAGCTGGGGAAGCGTGAAAAGAAAGGCTGCTCGTCGCATTGAGCGCTGCTGTTTGCCCGCTCAGGGAGGCAAATCTGTTGTGAAACTGATCGATGGAAGACTCGTGCTGATGATGCTGAACGACCTCGCGCGACATTCTACGTTGCTGACTTCCAGGCGAACGTGGCCAGCCGGCATGGCTTTCTTGGATGCGAGAAATGCGTTTGCTGATATCTTTCGAGTCGGCTTCCAGCTTCTTGCGCAGGGCCGGCACAATCTGATCGTCCCATGGAATGTTGGATTGCGATGTAGGCGGAACGGAATTCGGACCCCATTCATCGTAACGATTGCCGCTGGAGGAAGAGGGGTTGTTGGAGCTTCCAAACTCGTTGACCTTCTGTCGATCAGAGAGCGGAGGCGGAAGGGTGCGGGAATAAGGTAGTGTTGCTGCCGCCATCTTGCACCACTGCTCTTCGAGCGAGTCAAAGAGAAGAAAGGGATGTGTGCGGTGTGGAGGAGTTGAGCCTTTCTGCGGGAACAAGGAGTCCAAGCTGCTTTGCGAGTGTCTTCCAGGAGGTCATTTGTGCAGTTGAGAACTGCTAGCTGAGGCGTGAAGGATGGTTAGGGAGCTGCTTGTCGTTCGAGATGGTTCTGTCCCCACTGCTTTTGTCGTGTGGGCTCCAAGTCTGGAAAAGGGGTCCTAACTTACCAAACTACACTAACAACTCTTCAGTGCGACGCTAAAGGATGACGCCGAGCCGATCTGATCGGAGATCGAGGATAAGCGATCTCACTAGAGATCGGGTAGAACCAAGTGCCCCCTCGTTGTCAGGCTGGATGATGAACTATAGCAACTCGCACATTCGGCATGTGCCATCCATATGTATATATTGTAGAAAGTTAACATTGTTTAGGTTCCGTTACTGGTGATTGGGGATAGTCTAAGTACAATGTCACTACTCTTTTTAAGGCAGAAACATATACTAAATTGACTAAGGAGAATGTGGCAAGAGCCTAGTGCTCTCTGTGAGGTATATATACAAATGAGTGGTACATGCCCTATGTGGGAGTACTACTACTCAATGATCTACCATGACAATGAGTGGGACTGCATTGTACCCAATCTCTGCTGAGATCTACTTGGTCCCATCTCTGATCAGATCAGTCATCTAACTGGATCAGCTCTGCCTGATCCCCAACCAGATCAGCTCCATGTCATCTTTTAGTGTCTCATTGGATCGTTATCTTTGGCACCCCCTCTCGATCTGATGTACCCTGTTGGAATGATCAATCCAAGTAATTGTTGGATGTGCGAGAGTGTTGGTGTTGTGAGTGGTTTCGTTAGGACATTGGCTAGGTTTTTGCAGCTCTGAACTGGAGCAATTGTCAGCTTGCAATCTCGTTGCACAGGAAGAAATGGGCAATGTTGATATGCTTTGTCCTTTTGAAGTGTTGAGGGTCATTTGCTATAGCCTGAGTGCCTGACAAGTCACTATGTAGGTTCAGTATGTCTCGGTCAATGGTGAGTTCCCCATTGTGGGAGTAGATGCTCAATGTTCCAGTGCTGACATGTATCCCTGTCATCTTTGATACTGGTTGGTTCAGTTCCTGCAAGAACATTGAGGCCCATAGTAATTCCCTAGCTGCCATTGCTAATGCTACATATTTGGCCTCTACTGAACTGTTTGCCACTGTCTGTTGAAGTTGTGAAGCCCAGCTACACATGAACCCTTCAATGGTGAAGATGTAGCCAGTTGTTGACCTTCTGCAGTTGCATGATCCAGCCCAATCACTGTCTGCCCATCCTGAGAGTAATGGTTCATTACCCAATACCCTTGTTGAGAGGCTGACCTCCACTGTCCCTTTCAAGTACCTTAATACACACTTGGCAGCTGCAAGATGTTCTCCAGATGGGTTTGCTACAAACCATGTGCATCTACTGACTGCAAATGCGATATCTGGTCTTGTGCCCTGAGCAATCCATAGTAGCGATCCTATGAGTGAGGCATAGTGTCGTACCTCTTCAGTGCTTGCTGCACTTCCTTCTCATGGCTTGAGAGAGTTAATGCTTTCAGTCGCCAGTGTTGAAGCCATCCAAGCCTGGTCCATCCCAAACTTTGCTATGATGCCCTCAATGTATCCACTCTGATTGATTGAGAGCATGCAGGCTTCTTGGTTGTAGTTTACATTCAGCCTGATAATGTGAGATACATTTCCTTGATCAGTGATGCTGAAGATGCTTGACAGCTGCTGTCATACAGACTGAACTCATGAGGCAGTTGCTGTGATGATGAGCAAGTCATCAACATATACTGCAAGGAGTATCATCACATCCTTCAAGCCATGTGTATACATGCATGGTTCTGCTTGGCACCATCTGAAGCCAAATGCCTGTAGTTGTTTGTCCAGTGCTGCATGCCACAGTCATCCAGCTTGCTTGAGACTGTAAAGGGCTTTCTTTAGCTTATAACATTTGTCCTTGGTCTCTTTTCCTTCAAATGTTGGGGGTATCTGGATGTGCATGTCTTTGTCAATCTTTCCATTTAGGAATGCAGTGCTTACATCAAGTTGTATTGTGTGCAATCCATATCGATGTGCAATGGCAAGCAGTATCCTGACTGTCTGTAGACAAACAACTGGACTAAATGTCTGATTGTAATCCAGTCCCTGGCATTGAGCATATCCTTGTGCAACAAGGTGCACTTTGTACCTTGTTGCACATCATTGCACATTGAGCTTTAGTTTGTAGACCCAGCAAACACCAATGAGTTTACCATTTCTCAGAATGTCAGCTAGCTTGAAGACATTCATCTTGTTCATGCTCTCCATTTCACTGACCATGGCTTCTTGCCATTTGTCCCAGTCATCACAGGCCTTAGCTTTGTTGAGTGAGAGGGGTTCTAGCAGGATGCCATTGGCACTGTGCATCTGCTGCCTGCTCGCAACAAGGGTGGTGCCATTCATCATGGTGACTGCAAATGCCATGTGGTCCAGGTGGTGATTGCTGATAGTGGGGGCCTGGGTGTCAGAGCAAGCTGTGGCAAAGGCCATGTAGCTAAGTGGACCTGGTGACTCTGTGCAAATGGGCTCAAGGATGGAGATGTCATCATACATGTCTGCCATTGCATCACTGTGAGGGGTCTCGAGCAGTGGCACATTCCCCAGAGTATTCATGAGGTCCTGTATGGTGATCCCCCCTTCAGACATTGCCACATCTAGTTCTGCCCCTAGATCTGCAGCGATAGCATCAAGGTTGATAACCATTTCCCCTGCTTCCTCAATGGCATTCATCATGCAATCCCACTCGTGATCGAAGTCCAATGCCTCCGAAGGGTCCAAATCAGTTACCAAGTGATGTTGATGAGAGTATGGCTGGATGGAGGGTGGTGCGATGTCATTCGAGTCCATCTTGTCTGAGGTATCATCTGGTGTGAGCCAGGTGTAGGATTGAAGGAGATCGTGATCACCAACAATGATGGGTGTGTGGGGAAAGGGGGTGTTAGTGTCTGACTGTTCCAATTCTGAGAAATGGATGTCCTTGGTAATGATGACATGGTCAAGCTCAGGCAGCCAAACCTTGTGGCCTTTGATCACATGAGGTGCATCAGAGAAACCCAAGTATTTCCCTTGAAGGGCACATGGGCAGAGATGCTTGCTTATGACTGGGTGGTCTCAGAGCCATGTCAAGCAGGTGCTCCCTCTAAGTATGACATAGGCCATGCATCCAAAATGTTGGATGTGGTGTAGTTCAGGTCATTTGTTGTAAATCAGTTCAAATGGAGTCACATTTCCATGAGTGGTACCTGCCAGTCTGTTGTGAATGAATGCCACCTGTGCAATAGCATGAGGCCACCAATGCTCATTCATTCCTGAGTCATACAGCAGACTACATGCAATCTTTTGGATGATCTGGATGGCTCATTCAGCAAAGGCATTGTCTGTATGCTGCTGGGTGGGTGAGGCCATTATCTTCACACCCATTGATGAACAGAGGTCTCAGAAAGCATTTGACCATAATTCTCCTTGGTCAACCTGGACCTCCTTGATACCATGGTCAATGAGGATTTCTGATGGTTTCTTATGCATGGTGACCTGCTTTTTGGATAGCCACCATGCAGCCTCTTGAGATGCCTCTCTTTTGCTGGCCAGACCTCACACCCAGATCATGCCTGAGTATGCATCATGGATGATGAGCACATATGCAAACTTTGCATTACTGTGAAGCAGTCCCATCACATCCATTGAAACTAGCTCAAGTGGCATTTCTAACCACCTGGGATGGGTGGTATTCTTTGCTGTAGCTTTACTATGCACACACACATCACATAGTGTTCCAGGGTCAGTGGCAGCAGATGATGGTATGTCATGGGAAAGGGTAACTGCCTGTGTCTGCATGATGGCATCATGGCTGGCATGGCCCAATCTCTGGTGCCAGAGGTCTGCTTTATTGCATGGCCCATGTGAGTGGGCCACATTCACCATCCTGGAAGTGAAGGTGAGGGAGACAGCAGGCTTAGGCATGCTGTCATCCCATATCATCATGGCAACAGCAGGATAACTGTCCCCACTGGTTGGCATGCCAATCACACATCTGTCCTTATCCTGTACTGTTATGACTTCTTTCTCAAAGGTCACTTTTCCTTGTGCATGCATGACCAACTTTGTGCCAATAAGGTTTGTCACAAGGCCAGGTACAAGCAAACAGTCTTTATAGATCATTCATTCCCATTGCCACTTCTGAGGGTTGAAATTCAGGAGACTGACTGTACCCCCCAACTTGGTAGCAAACAGTTGTCCTCCATCAGCAGTGGTGATATTGACTGGGTTCTCCACAACTTGCCAACCTTTCCCATGTTGAGAAGAGTTGACCATGATGCAGGATGCTCCTGAGTCAAATACAAAGGGAATGAACCAGGGAGGTAGGTCAATGGGTGCCAGTTTAACTTTGGTAAAGAAAGCTAAGACCAGCACCATATCCTAATCATCTCTGTTCCCTTCTATAGGTAACATGATGCAGGTGTTTGCACAGCCTTTGGGTGTTGCTTTGATCCTCCCTTGCTTCCATCATGCATGAGCTTTGGCATCTGGGCAACAATTAGCCACATGGCCATGTTCCCCACAAGCCCAGCAGTTAATTAACATAGCTGCTTGCAAGGCAGTGAGTTCAGATGCCTCAGCCATGGGGGACAGATGCACAGGTGCACTTTTGGTGGTAAGCTCATAGCACTGGCTTAGGACATTGGCAACACTTTTGGCTGTTTGATCCTTTCCATTGAGTTTTTCATGCAATATGAACACTGAGTTAAATAGTGTGTTCTTGTCTGAAGGTAGGGCATGTTTGAGTGTCCTGTAGCAATAGTCTGGCATCTAACTTATTGGAAAAGCTACACATGATGATTGAGCTAAGCATAGAATCAGCATCCTCAAAAGTCATTACCTTTCAGTCAAGAACATTTCGTGTGAAAGGGACAACCAACAGCAAGGTGAATATCTTGCATCACCAAATGTGCACAGAAACTGCCCTTGGATCAAGAAGGTCTTGTTCATCCCACTTCATTCTGTCATTTAGACCTGAAAGTACCTTAAGATGATGGTTTGTGAGCATGCTGAGCTCCAGGGTAGGTCCTGGCATAGCCTCATGACCAATGAGGCAATGGCTGGTGACAATTAAGTCAAGGGCAGGAGTGTCACCTCTAGCTGATGTCGGTGCTTTGCTCTTAACTGGGTGGTCAAATTGCTCAGTGTTTTGAATGACCTTGACTGCACCTTTGATCTTGAGGTTGAGGATACAAGCAGCATTCCATTCTTTGTTTGCAATGAAAAGGTTCACTCTAGTGCACATTTGTTTCCCGAGCTTGGAATGGTTAGAGTTTTGCACAGGGGCAGCAAATGCACTGTAGATAGGATAGTTAACATTTGACATACTGTTGTGGTAGTGTATCAGCTTATTGGGCTCATAACCTGTAGAAAGTTAACATTGTTTAGGTCCTGATACTGGTGATCAGGGATAGTCTAAGTACAATGTCACTACTCTTTTTAAGGCAGAAACATATACTAAATTGACTAAGGAGAATGTGGTGAGAGCCTAGTGCTCTCTGTGAGGTATATATACAAATGAGTGGTAAATGCCCTATGTGGGAGTACTACTACTCAATGATCTACCATGACAATGAGTGGGACTGCATTGTACCCAATCTCTGCTGAGATCTACTTGGTCCCATCTCTGATCAGATTGGTCATCTAACTGGATCAGCTCTGCCTGATCCCCAACCAGATCAGCTCTGTGTCATCTTTTAGTGTCTCGTCGGATCGTTATCTTGGGCATATATATCTGCTGGAGATATCGATCCAGCAGAGCACGATCTGATCGGAGATCGGGCGGGCCAAGAGGATAGGATAGAGATCGAGGACCATTTGGGTCCCGTCCGTTGTCATACTTGCTCATTAGGTGGCATGCTCCCACAGTCAGCCAGAAAGGAGAAATGTATATAGATGATGAGCAGAGAGCTCGAGGCTAGGGCTATGTTCTTGCCTTATGTCAATATAGTATAGTGTCTTGGTTCAAAAGCTTGAACACCGTCACTTGGACTGATATCTCCCCGATAAGTGTCGATCAGAGTTACATCTTCCAACACAATACTAGCGCCTTTGGCTTGCCACCCACGGTCCGCTCAAAAAGCTCATCCCATAAACGAGTGTGTTTGTGTATTGGACAAGGTGACGCAGAACAACAAAACGGACGGGATGCGGAGCGGGAAGAAGGACAACAAGGAAGCAGACTCTGAGTGAGCCAAGCATTGGCAACGCTTAGGCAAGCAGACCGATGCCCAAGCCAAGGACAAGGGAAGCAACACTTGCAACCATGGCGGCGGTGCTGCCCTGGACCATGCCCATTGCACCGTTGCTGCCAGGGCGACTAGGGCGGTCAGTGGCACTCGAGAGGGTAGCATTTGCCGAGCCAGTGGCAGCCTGAGTCGCCGAGCTGTTCGGGTCAGCGTTGGTGTTGGCCGTAACTTGAGCAGGCTCAGTGCCGTTGGGTCGCACCTCAAACGAGCTCGACGCTGTTCATCGCCAAGCACAGAGCGAGATGAACAGCGAGATGAAGAGCAAGCATTGGTCAGCATACATCCCGACCCAAGGCAAGATTGTGTTTCAGCACTTACTGTAGTACACCTGGGCGTCTGTTTTCGTCGAATGCAAGCATCAAAGATCATGACGACAGATTTGGATCAGCTTCTGTTGCCTCCTAAAAGCAACTTGCACAGTCTTGTGCACCACTCACGATCAAGCTCGTAGTTGCTGCTGTTGACAAACAGCACCGTGTAGGTGCCGCTAGGAATGCGGTCGATAAAGATTTGCGCGCTGCCGTTCTGTAGTATACGGGATGGAGGGAGAAAGTAGGTGAAAGAGGCTCAGCATGTCGGAGCTTACTCCATAGCAAGTCTACAGAGTGTGCATAGCAACGTACAGCAGTGTTGAGAGCGTTGCCAATCTGGAAGTTGCCGTTGAGCTGGCTGTTGTTCGAGTTGAGAAGCTGCACCGAGAACAAGGCCGGGTCGCTCGAGTTGGCTGTCGATGCGAGGGGCAAATGGATCAGCATGCCAAAGTCAGTCAGTCGATGCTCTTGTTTGCGATCAGATCGATATCCAACCCGTACCTTTCCAGTTCTGTGGTCATTGTCATTCATGTAGCCGGATCATGTTCCATGCAGATGCAAGAAGGTCAGCCTTGTACTTTCATCAGCTATTCCCACATAACACTTTCTGCCTCGTGCCAAGCGCATACCTACCAAAGTGTTGGTGTAGTTGGTCACCCAGTATCCGCCATTGCTGTTAGGGAACGTCATCTCGAAAGCCTGCGAAAGGCCAACGAGCGACACAAGAAGCGTCAATGCGGCGGCCGTGGTCTGCATCCTGCTGTCCTGAATGCTGTCTTCCAGAGTCAAGTTGAAAAGGGGATGATGGAGGAGGAGGATGAGCAAGAAAGGGACAGGCTCAAGGGGCAGACAGCCTCCCTTTCTCCCCCCCCCCTTTCTCCTCCCCTTTCTCTTCCTTTCTCTCCCTTTCTCTCACTCGCTCTCATCTCACTTGCTCTCGTCCGACTCTTTCAAAGCTAGCCGATGTTGCGAACAAAGCTCCTCTTGGCTGAGATGCAAATTGATGCAGCGACACGAGCAGACAAATGCATTCTAGCACCATTGTTCATCGACACAGCTTCATTTCGACGGCCAAAGGTTTGTCGCTCGAGCCCAACATGTCGCTCAGATGGTACATTAGATTCGATGCAGCCACCCATCTCGCTGTAGTCTGTGTAAGGATGAGCTTGCGGAATCAAGCTTTTGTCCAACAACCTTTGCAAGCACACTCCATGTCATTTTGCTTTCTTTGCAAGATCTTCGCTTCTGCCTCCTGTCTCCTGCTGCCACACCTGCAGTCAGCAATGCTATCTTGGCAGCAATGCTATCTTGGCAGCAACGCTATCTTGGCAGCAATGCTATCTTAACGAGGCTGAGCGCAACTAGTGATGCGGAGTTGGCCGACGAGGCGATTGTGAAGCCTGTGGCGGCGGCAAAGATGTGTTCGGGCATCCCATTGCCAGGTGCATCTCACCATAGCCGGACCAGGGCGGACCTTGTGGATTTGGCATGCCCACACCGCCTGTCATTGGTGTGTAGGCGTAGTGTGGGTGAGCGTGAGCCGAGGCGGTACTAGCGCCTGTACTTGCTGATCCTGTCATTGGCCTACCTGCTCCTCCAATGTCGTCCAAGAACTGCAAATCGACCCAAGAACAGAAACAACAAGGTCAGCATGTCTGCTACACGAATGCAATGTGAGCAAGAGCGCAACTTACCTTGGAAAAGTAGTCAGTCCACGAAAGATCCTCGAGTTGATGCTGTATCGAGCCAGGATCATCTGTATACAGAGGCATGATGCCACGAGCGTCCCCGAAGGAAGCAGGATGAATGCCGCCCATCTTGCTATGCATCCATGCGTCCGTATCGCTGCTCATATGCGATCGCGATGATGTGACAGTGGCACCGGACATGGCAACACTTGCGACAACTCCACCATCGCTCCCACTGCCAGTGGCTCTAGGCATTGCATTTGCACCACCGTTCGGCGCCCCGCCAGGCATCGTGTTGCCTCCACCGCTCATCATGAACGGAGCAAAGGAAGGACAAGTGATGGGTGTCTCGCTACCGAAACTTGCATCACTCACTGAAGTGCGGTTGGGCGACATGGGCGCGCTTGGGATCGGCGACCAGCTGTGTATGTAGGATGCTGCCGAAATGGCATCATTCGCCGCCAATGGTCCACCTCCAGCATCACCAATCTGTCCACTTGCACGCTGTTCCAGTCTCTCGTTCCTCGCAGCTAGTCTCGCCGATGGAGCCAGAGAAGCGTCTGCACGTGCCTCCATCATCCCAGAGACAGCTCTGATGCCCATCATAGTCGATGGCACGAGACCAGACATGCGCTGATCTGCCCTGACCAACATCCTACTCACCCGCTCGCGCTGATCGGAAGTCATGGTGTGCATCGACCTCAATGCTATGTCGCGCAAGATACGGTGCGCTCGACGGAAGAGACGAGAAAAGTATCGATCGTCAAAAGCGGCAAAGATCCTTAGTGTCGATTCCACGAGATCGTTGTCCTCGGCCAGCTTGTCCACCTCGCGGCATTCGTGCCAGACGGTGATCATGAAAGTCGCCGTGCTCATAAAGGCCTGTTGGAAGATGAAGACGAGGTCGCTCATGTGGTCGCCCTCGTGCAATGCAATCACAACACGAAGACATTCTCGAGCATGCAAGACGCATTGTGGATGAAGCATCTTGCGCAGCGCACTGTGTTCCAGGAAGGGCTTGAGGATGTAGAGGCGGATATCGTGCGTGCCACATTGCACCAAGCCGGCTTGCAGGCGGAAAGGGCTCTCGATAGAGCCGAGGTGCCTGGGTGTTTGGCCTACCCATTCCTCCAAACGCTTCGAGAGGATGACCATATCCTTGTACTCGGGCATGGCTCTCTGCTTGCGGTTGGCAGGCGGTTTGCCGCCTCCACCACCATCCTGACGCCATCGTGGCGAATAGAGCAGATGAACAACGTCTTGCACAATCACGTTGAGCTTGATCATATGAACAAAGCCACTCATCACGATCGGCTTGTCTGAAGCTGTGCGTAAAGGCGGTGTCGGAAGGCGTCCACCTGCCTCGTACTGGAAGAGAGTTTCGTCATCCATCTCGAGTGGCAGTCTAACGTCGCAGTCGGAAAGCTTGAGCGCCAGTGGTCTGCCCATATTGATGGAAAAGATGCAATCCAGGATGAAGGCACCCCAGAAGACTCTCCTTCGTAGCTCCTGCTCGTAGGGAGAAAAGCCTCGATAGGCTTTCTCCTGATGCAGACCAATATCCTGCAAAGCACGAATCGCGACACCGAGCACTGTCCAACTTGCACCCGGTCCAATCGCTCCGTGCATAAAAGTGGCGGTGAGAATCATGACCTGCACGTTGATCAGACTGGCAGCGTAGACTTGATGGTAGAGACGACTTGCGGCGGCAAAGTGATCTCCAGCAGTGTCGACGTCGCCGGAGCGAGCCAAGACACGTGGATCGTTGGAGAAGCGAGAGGCGATGGCAAGGATGGTAAACACAAAGCCTCGGAATGCAGAATCTTTGTCAGCACGGCCTGCGTTGAGATCTCGTTGCAGAGATGGACGATGAACGATCGGCATGAGCGGATGCAGGTGCTCGAAAAACACATCAAACAGGGCATCGACGAGGTGGCGATCAGGTAGTGTGTATCGCTCGAACCATTCTTCCGTCACCGCATCGTCTCGACCGACTGCAACCGTGTTTTTGCGTCTAAGCAGTTGGATCCACTCTTTTGAGTTGGTTGGATATAGAGGGCGAGGTGCTGTTCTGGTAGACTTGCCGCTGCTGTTACTGCCGGAAAGGCCAGCTGCGTTGCCACCTGGCTGAGCAATGCCTGAAGTTGACTTGGCGTTTCTACTACTGTATCGATGAGTTTCGTAGCTCATCCCGGCATGGTCGATGGGCTCGTATGATGATCGCTGTGCACCCGCACCCGCACCCGCACCCGCACCTGCACCCGCACCTGCACCTGGACTTGGTGGACGACTCTCATCGGCAATACTATGAAACAAGGTCATGGCAGAAGAGCGACCAAAGTAGCGTGGTCGACCGTCTTCCACGTCCGGCAAGAGAGCATCTCTCTCTTCGCCCTTTGTAGCATCTGCCGATCTACCTGCATTGCCACTTGCGTTTGCTTGAGCATCAGTGCCATCCGGGTCGCTTCCATCACAAGCAAGACGAGGTGCTGAGCGTGATGGCAAGTCTTGATCGTGCCGCGATCCTGGCGAGTCAAGATTTGCACCATCAACTCGCTTGCCCGGATCGCTAGCATGCTTGCTCTCTGCCTCGAGCGACTGCCATGGATTTGCATTCTGTGGTGGAGCACTTGCTCCGCTCGGTCCTGTCACGTTGAGTTCTCCACGCTCGAACTGCTGAGCCACATGCGGTGCTACGGACCGAAGAGCACTGAGAAGCGTCTCGACCTTGCTTTCTAGGATCTCGTACTTGCCTCTCGACCGACCGGCATCACTGCTGAAAGTGCAGCGGTAGTTGTAGGCCGTACAGTTGTTGCAAGTATTGCTCGGGTTCGGCAAGCCTTGGCACTTGATCTTCTTACGTCTGCAAGTGTCGCACGCTACGACGACCCTTCTACGTTTCTTTCCTTTCGAGTCAGCAGCATTGTTGTCCATGGTCTTGGCTTTGGAAGCGGGGGTCGCGGATGACTTGGAGTCTGATGCGGATTTGGCACGCTTCTTTGATGCGGATGGAGAGCGAGCTGCTGTCTGTGTAGATGCTGCGATGACGTTGGCTGCGATGACGTTGGCTGCGATGACGTTGGTGTTGGGTAGTGATGTAGGCGCCGGCGAGTTATCGAACGAGACGCTGGATCGATGTCCGTTTCGCATCGAGACGAGCTCAAAGGCAGCGTAAGCCTCGTCTTGGCTCTCGTATGACATTGCCTCTTCTCTGTGGGAGATGTGTAGCTGAGTAGCGGATGCGGTGCTGAAAAGAGCTAGTGTCGCACCGCAGCCGAGTGCAAGCTGAACGTTGGATCAGGAGGCAGTGCCGGAAGATCAGAGGCAGCGCTGCCTTGACAACATAGATCCCTGACCTCGGCTTCCTCCTTGCTCCTCTCTGATGCTGAGTGCGCCTTTGGAGACTCTGCGGCGATATGAGTCTACTGAATATTCGGCCGTTGCCGAGCGGGAAGGAGGATGAGTGAGTGATATGAACGACAAGTAAGTTCGGTGGGGACATTCATTGGCGACACTGTGGGATCAGGTGACAGATGCAGGTAAGCCAATGGTGGGGAGGGCGGATATGACTAGGAGGAGAACAATGATGGAGGAGGATGGAGGAGGATGGAGGAGGATGGAGGAGGATGGAGGAGGATGGAGGAGGATGGAGGAGGAGGAGGATGCGAGACAGCTTCTAGAGTCATGCTCAAGAGTCATGCTCAAGAGCCAACAAAGGCTTACGGCTTACATTTGGACATCGTACAACCAACGTCCTCAGCACTCGCACTTGTCAGATGCAGAGAAGCTCGAGTGTACGACCTTACACAAGTCTCGCTTGCTCTTTGCTGCTATAGCCGGAAGCCTTTCTTTGCTTCTCTCCATACGACACTTTGTAAGCGCTGCAGGGTCCAGGTTGGCAAGACTACGAAGCAACTATTGCCCTGCCCTCTCCACTGTTGGCTCCTCACCATCCCTTGCAACGATCATATTGTCTTATCTCAGCGTCGCAGCAATGTCGATCCGAATCATCGCTACAGGCGGACACTCTGGCTTGGGCTTGGAAGCTCTCAAGGCTCTCCTTGCTTCACCTGCTCTGGCTTCAGGATGCAGTCTCACCCTGATGGTTCGTGATGAGCAGGCTGACCATGTCACTCGTGCCTGCCAGACACTGAGGCAACAGTATAGAGCAAAGAGTCGATCTCAATTCGCAGTCGAGACTCGAGCTATGGATCTTTCTTCGTTAGCATCGGTCCGCAAAGCTGCATCTTCGCTCAAGCATCAGCTCGAGGCAGCCTCAACAGCTCAAGGTCTCGACATCTTCCTCCTCAACGCAGCGGTCGCCAAATCCAACCGAGAGACGGTCATCGACCAAGATCGAGCTTCGGGCTCCCTCACCTATCCCTCGGACCATCTCCTCTCGGAGAAGAGCTGCATGGAAACAACAGCATGTGTCAACCATGTTGGACACCTTCTCTTCCTCTCTTGCCTCCTCCCGGCAATCACTCAAAACGCCAAGGAGGGTCGTAAAACTCGCATAGTATTCACAGGCAGCGCACTCCATCGCTCGCTCAAAGACCTCTCACTCCTGGACACCTTCTTCTCCTCATCCTCTCACTCCAGCTCGAGCGAAAAGCGATGGACACTGCGAGAAACATACGCAGCCTCGAAATTCCTCCAGATGCTTGGCCTTCGTGCTCTCCGTCGTCGCATCCAAGAAGCGCTCACAAAAGCAGGTCTACCTTCAGCCAGCGTAGAGGTCCTCGTGGTACAACCAGGCTTTGTTCCACAGACGGCACTCTGTAGGGAATCTGGGGCGTTGCAACGCTTTGCAATGTCCTACCTGCTGCCGTGGGCGCCATTTGCGACCAGTTTGGACGACGCTGGCAGGTATATTGCCAATGCTTGCACCGTTGAGCTTCCTGTGCATCAGTGGGAAGAGCAACAGGATGGCTTTCATGATAGCAAGAGTCTCGTGCCATCAGCATTGCTTGAGGTGCACCAGAAGAAGCAGCGTTTTGCAACGTTGGATGCCAGAACAGCGGATAAGCAGTTGCAGGAGAAATGGTGGCCTGTTGTATGCGATCATCTATAGTGCATCTTGATCTCACTTTCACACATGCCATATTCAACCCAAGATGATGTGGAATGCTTGATTCAGCGAGCATGAGTGCATTAGTCTCCCTCCTCAATATCATTCCCGCCCATCGTCTGCTCCTCTCTCTCCAGCATCTGCGTTGCCAACTCTATCCCTTCTAGCTCACCAATCGTCGGCCCATCCTCATCTCCCTCCCCACCCCCGCCCTCACCATCGTCTTCCACCATGCCTAAATGTCCACTCGGCGCCTCACTCTCATCTCTCGCTGCAGGCCTAACAGACCTCCGCATCAATCCCGCAGTAGGCTCTCTCCCAGCCTCGCTCTCTGCCGGTGTCGCACCACGGAACAAGGGCGTTACGCTTCGACCGACACTTACATTTCGGCTAGACCGTTCTGCAGGCTCAAGCCAAGTGAATCGGCCTTGTACGGACCCGGATCGGCTGTTGGCAAGACCGGCAGTCATGGAGCGTGGTGCAACCGAGAGTTGGCGGATTTCGGTGGTTTTCTTTTCGCCAAAGAGTTCTGGGTGTGCTGCAAGGGTGCGTTTGGATGGCTCGACGACTAGCACTAGGAGCTTTCCAAAGCTGAAGCACCCCCCAACGAAAGACTTCAGAAGTTAGTCAAGCTGCTGGGTGCGAGGAGAAAGGGAGGGGGGGGGGAGGGAAAGGCGAGCAGACTTACATTCGGAACCCAGCGTATTTGACATGCAACTTGGGTTTCATCTTCTCTTCGTCTTCCTCTGTGATTACGATTGCTGCGTTGTCGTCGTCGACGTTGATTGCCCAGTCTTCGTCGCCGGATGGCTGTGCGTCTGTATTGGTGGTGGAGAAGGAGGAGGCTGCTGGGTTGACGTCGATGGTTGAAGGGTCTGGTTTCATGTCGGCATCTTCCTGGATGCGAACCCTTTTTGAAGGTCGAGTGCCTTCGTTTGTACTACTGCGCGTACGCCGTGTGGTTGTGGGAGGAGGCATCGCCAACGAGTCCACCACTTCGCCTCCAACTCCCACCGTGCCACCTCTGAACAGCGCACTATCACCGTCATCACCATTCCCACCACCCGACAACGTAGCCATACTCGCATTCTCTCCCATCCTCCCTTCCGCCTCCGGCGAATCCTTTATCCTCACTGGCACCTCACTACTCTCCCCTTCTCTTCCCATCCTTTCTCTCCCCTCTGTCCTCCTTGGCCCAGCACCGGCACTAGGCGCAGGCGTAGCCGTCGACCTCGGAATAGGAGCATGCAATCTTCCCGCACCATCATCTTGATCCACTTCAATCTTCACCTCACCCAACGTTGGATCGCTAGGGAAAACCAAGCTCTTTTCCTTCAACAGCACACTATGTCTATCGTCCATCCTTCTGAAAAAGTAGGCAACCTGAAAGTCTCGATCTGAATACACATCGACTCGCTCCTTCTTGCTCATTGCTGAAAGCTTTCCTGATGAATCCGACTCTTTCCGCAGTTTGGGCATAATGCGTGTGCGAAGGATGGAGAGGACCTGGGTGAGGATGTGTGGGTTGAGATTCATCCATTCTATGTGACGATAGTCGAGGTAGAGGATCGTTTGCAGAACGGCGTAGGGGGAGGCGCGGAGGTAAAACACGTTTCGTTGGGTGAATCTTTTGCGGTTGCCTGCGCTCATCCTACTCGAAGCAAGCGCGGATAGAGAGCCCGGATGGTGGCAGGGAGGAATGATGGAGAGCAGAAGCAAGGACAACAAGCAAGGACAACAAGCAATGACGAAGCGGAGCATGACAAGCATCCACCAAGGGTCTAAGAGTGGACAAAAAACCTCCACACTCAACCGCCCAGATCGGGCATCCGATCTTGCATCCGATCCCGATCCCGATCCCGATCCCGATCCCGATCGATATCAGGATCAGGATCAGGATCAGGATCCCGATTTGCGAGATACAAAAGCCGCACAGAGCACAGACCCTTTTCTTTTCCTTTGTTGCTCCCTCCCTCATCATCTCCCTTGCCTCGTTCCCCTCACCATAACATTCAGCGCTCATATCAAAGGAAAAAAAAATGACAGAAAAACACACCAAAACGGTAGCCCCCTACGGCCACTGGCAGTCTCCCATCTCGACCGATCTCGTCCTTCAAAAAGCCACAGCTCTATCCGAGGTTCTCATCCCCGCCAACTCAACTTCTGCTGCCGATGTAGCTTGGGTCGAACTTCGAATGTCCGAATCGGGACGTTCTGCTCTCATGCATTCCTCCTCTCTCTCCTCAGACGATGCCACCGAAGTCTCTGCTGGCCAGAACGCTCGTTCTGGCGTACACGAATACGGTGGTGGTTCAGCAGCGTCACTTGCGGACGGTAGCTTTATTTTTACTGACTACAATCCTAAGCGCTTTGATGTCTTTCACGCACCGGCAGAGGGGAAGCAAGGCGCGCAGGTGGTGACGGAGGAGAACAGTGCGATTAGGTATGCTGATTTTGGTGCTCATCCCACCGACACAAACTTGTGCTTGGCGGTGGAAGAGGATCATAGCGAGGACACACCGAGTACGGTGGTCAATTCGATCGTCTTGTTGGATCTGAAGCAGAGGCCGGCGAGAGTGCATACTTTGTTGAAAGGAAGAAAGGCAGAGGAGCAGACAGAAGATGGGCCACAGAAGAGGGATTTCTATACATACCCAAGATTCTCACCCAATGGCAAGTTTGTCAGCTGGATCACTTGGAATCATCCCAGCATGCCTTGGTGGGATACTCAGCTTTGGGTCGCTCGCTTCGACAACTCCAACCCCGACGAGCCTCAGCTGGCTGGTGCAAGCCTGATCAAACTCGGCTCGACGGAAACTGGAAAGCAGCAGGTGTATCAAGAACCAGTCTGGGCCATCCCTTCCCATCCCAACCAAGAGACAGGAAAACTTTTTTTCGCTTGCGATGCAACCGGATACCTCAATCTCTACTCTACCTCCATTTCCTCCTCCCTCACTCAAGATGGTGTTTCGGTATCCACTCCAATCCGCATCCTACCTGAGCCGGTAGAGAATGACTTCATCGCTCCAAACTGGACCCTGAACAATTCCGACTACATCCCTCTCTCACCCGACCTTCTGATCGTAACCTTCTTCTCCGGAGCAAAGCAAAACTTAGGACTTATCAACCTTCGTCGTCCACGCTTAATCCGCCTTGACACACCTTTCGTTTCAATCACTCAACTTCGTCGTCTTTCCTCCACCTCTTTCGCCCTTATCGCCGCACGTGCAGACGAACCTAGCGCTCTCCTCGCTATCTCTCTCTCCGCTCTGGCCTCGAACAACTACACTCTCAAAGATTCAAACATAACCATCATCAAACGCAGCTCCTCGCTTGTGTGGGATGGTACAATCGATAAAGGCGATCTCAGCATCGCGCGCGAGATTGATTTTCCTACGACTCTGCCGAATGGGGAAAAAGCTGTTGCCCATGCGATCATCTTCGCACCGAAGAACAAAAACTTTGTGGGACCGAAAGGGAAAGCGCCACCATGCGTGTTCAACGTTCATGGAGGACCGAGTAGCAGTGCTGGTATGGGATTCAATTTGCCGACTCAGTTTTGGACGAGTAGGGGATTTATGGTTTGTAGTGTCAATTATGGAGGTAGCACGGGTTATGGTAGGCAGTATTTGCAGAGGTTGAACAGTGAGTGGGGCGTGACGGATGTTTTGGATTGTGTGGCTGCGGCAAAATTTTTGGGTTCCAAAGCCAGTCTTGGTGATACTCTGTTTGGGGAGTTGAGTGAGAAGGAAAAGAACGAGGTTTGCAAGGAGTTGGAAGCGGGGGGGAAGGGGGAGAAGGAGGAGGAGGAGGAGGAGGTCGTCGTCGTCGAACAACACAAGTTGGGAGGGGGAGGTGTGAAGGTGGTGGTGAACAACACAAGTTCGGCTTGGGGATCGTTGGATTTGGTGCTAGCTGGAGTTTCCGTGGGCGCAGCGGTGATGGCAGTTGGGTTCGTGGGGAATGTGATGGAGAATTACTCCCATTGCATTCCGTCGCTGGTCAGGCCGAAGAGTTTGCTTAGTAGATATGCGGTGCAAGCAGGAGTTGCGATTGTTTCGCTGTTGCCGTATATCTATTCCAAGATGGGCAGAGTTGTCTCCGAGTCGGTCTCAATCCTCCCAGGGATGGGTGTTCAACTTTCAACCAGGCGTGCCTTGTCCCTACTCTCCCGCGACTACTTCCAACGTTGCTCCTCGCGCCTAGTGCCAGAAGACCGAATGCTAGACATCTACATCGGAGAAGGATACCGACACTTCTCTATCGTCGACTATCTCACCCTCACCACACGCACCACCTCAGGCGAAGGAGCTAGGATCGAACGTCTGTTCCCCAACCTTCTCCCCCGTCTTCCGACAGTGCAACGCATCTACCGCTTCCTCTCCCCGCATCTCCCCTCGAACTCCCCGATCGATTCCTCCTCCTCCGAAAGGGAAGCTGGATCCCTCGCAGATCCAAACGCACTCCTCATCAGCGGCGGATCAGCAGGAGGCTACACGGTGCTCGCATGTCTCTGCTTCCACCCTACCATCTTTGCAGGTGGCTGTTCTCGATACGGCGTTTGCTCTCTCCAACTCCTAGCGGAAGAAAGTCACAAGTTCGAAAGTCAATATCCGTTCCAACTCATTGGTGGAACTCCCAAGTCTCTTCCCAAGGTGTACCATGATAGAAGTCCGATTTACGCTGCGAGCAAGATCAAAGCTCCCATTTTGCTACTGCAGGGAAGCGAGGATAAGGTCGTACCAAAAAGTCAAGCTGATGAATTTGTCAGGCAGTTGAAAAAGGCCGGTGGGGAGCAAGGCAAGGATTGGAGGTATAAGGTCTATCACGGTGAGGCTCATGGGTTTAGGAAGGCAGAGAATGTGAAGGATAGTTTGGAGGAAGAGTTGAGGTGGTGGATTCAACGTTGTTTGCCTGTACACAACTAAACTCGCTTGTGTACAGGTACATTCGCCGCTTATAGAGTTGAAATGGTAGATGTGATATGCATTGCAGAGCTTGTCCAATCAAAGACAGTGAGATCAGCTGGAAAGTGATCAAGTCATGCTGGCAGAACGCATTCCAGGAACAGCGGAAACTCGACTAGCTCTGACCCTATTCGCCACTCCACTCTGTCCTGGCACGATCAATGCTCCTGCTACACCCTCTTCCGCACTTAGCAAAGGCTTGGTTGTTGCCGTAACAGCGACACTAGTCCTTGTCGTTCTTCTCCTGATTGGTCCCGGCCCACCAGCACTCGGGCGCGGGAAAGCTTTTTTTATCGGAACAGCGTTGAATGAAGCTGAATTAATGCTGTTCCCCTCGGTAGTGCTGAAGAGGGGAAAAGCGGAGCTGTTGAGCAGTCCTGTCGTAGGAGCAGCAGTGGTGTTGGTGTTGGTGTTGCTTGTTACCCTCAGTGGCGGTCGACTTTCAGTTGGCGCAACAGGTTTGATAGCAACACAAGGGGAAGTGTTGGAAATATCTCCTTCGTCACCGGATGTTGTTTTCTGCTCTTCCTCCCGTAGAGGGCAAAGCGTCGATCCTGCGCTAGACGCACTTCTCTGCTTCAGACTCTCCACTGGAGTTTTACTAGTACCGGTTGCCATAGAGGTAGATCGCGGGAAAGGCTTTGATGCAATACTCTGCTGCTGAAGTTTAGCCGGTGTGCTTCGCCCATCACTCAGGTCTTCCCATTCTGTACCTGAACTATTGCCCGCACTGTCCATAGCACGTGCACCTTCGTGACCCAGACGCTTGTCGTCGATCGATCCTTCGCCTGCTTCGTCTGCCCATCTGAACTTCTTTTTCTCTTCTACTGCGGGGAGAGATGGTAATCGAACGTTCTTAGCCAAGGGAGGCCTCCGTGAAATCCCCGCTACGGTGGAGGTGGCAGCGGAGCTGACTCGGCGGATTGAGCCTGCCTTGCGTGCTACGGGGCTACAAGTGGCGACTTGAGCACGGGCGGAAGAAGAGGATGTCGGAGCGGCAAAGCTAGGTCGTGATGTTGAAACAGTAGCAGTGGCACTGGAAGGTGAACTAATGACATGCATGATTGCTGAGCGAGGCAGGGAGGGTGGGGCGATCGAGACTCTGCGTGAGCTGGATGCGGCTGCGCGGCTGAAGGAGGCGGAGCAAGAAGCAGAGCGAACTGATTGCAAAGTGCTGGCGATTGGAGCTGCTTGGTTGATTGCTAAAGAAGTGCGTGATCGTCCAAGGGCTGAGCTGACAGCGGGCTTGATGGTTCGTGCTGGTACGGGGGCAGCGACAGCAGGCAAGCTTGCTCCGCACATGGTTTCAAAGACCTTGTCATTCTCTCCGGCAATGCTGCGCAATTGGGATGCCAGCAAAGCCAATGTCGACGAAAGCTCTTCCTGGTTCTCCTTGTTTGCAGGCTCTGCTGTGTGTGTAGCGCGGTACTCGAGTTCACCTGCCACCTCTCGCAAAGCAATGGTGCTGCGTGTCGCCACGGCCACCAGCTGTGTCGCTTCCATCGTGCTTCGTCGCAAGACATGCAGCATTCCAGCAAACTTGGCTTTTGCCTTGTCCGCTTCCACTTGAGCCAACAAAGCGTTGCCCAACGTCTGGATCGTCTCGGATGCTTCTGCATCAAACTTCTGATTGTGTGAGGCAGCGACAACAATGCCTCTTTGCATCTGAAGGCTGTTGAGCAAGCTACGTACGCCAGCTGCGGTTGTTTCATCTTGCAAAGCCTTTTCTTCTACGGCGGCCATCTTGCTGAGCACATGGCGCTCTCCCTCCAAGTCGGATGGAAGCACCTCGCCTCTGCTACTGAATCGTTCGAGATGCGCTTGGACAGCGGCTAGACGATTTCGTAGCTCTGCCAGCCTAGTCTCAGCAGCTGCGGTAGTCGCTTCGAATGCAGCTTTACTCGATACGAGGCGTGTAACATTGACAGTGCTTTCTCGCATCCGTTTCTTGGCCTCCTCCATCTCTCTGGCCATCTCTGTGCGTTTGCGCGTTTCTGCAGCGGATTCGAGCGAGCCACGTTGTTCGAGCTTGGCACGCAAACGGCCGTTCTCCTCCTTGAGCTCGTGGATTGCCTGGACGTACTGTGCGACGTGACGATCGACGTTGATCATGTTACGGCTGACCTTGGTGCGGATGTTCTTGGCCTGGTTAGCGTACTTGAGCGCGTTGTGCGTCTCTTCGTAGTGTATGCTGGAAGGGCTGATGCAAACTACCATGACGGTTTTGCAGTTGCCCCCGAGTGAGAACTTGAGCAATCGAGTGAGTTTTGAGTTGCGGTAGGGTACATGCTTGCGAGCACCGCCAGATTGACAGAGGGCGTTGATGCAGTTGCCGAGTGCGAGGAGAGACTTGTTGATGTTGGCGCCTTCCTTCATGCGTGCGCCGTTGTTGCGGGTGGCAGAGGCACGTTCTGAGCCTGCCAAGTCGATGATGTTGAGTGAAGCAGAGGTCGTTTGCTCTGTCATGCTGGCTGTGCGTGGCTTTTGGGTGACGTTGATCTGAAGGACTGCATGCGAACGAGAACTGACGGCGTTGGCTTCGGTGGGACTCATGGTTCGACGAAGGTTGCCTTCCTGGATGGACTCGAGTACGCTTTCAGGGCTTTCGGGGACAAGTTCCGTGATGCCGACAACGGAGATGCGGTTGTTGGCGTCTTCACGCAGAGCAAGACCGGCGCCAGGCGGAGTTGGCTCTGAACTGAGCAAGTCACGGATGGTCTCGTTGTAGATCTCGAGATAGGAAAGCCGAATTTGCACATCCGAATCATCTCGAGCATCCTGAATGCGGTCGTAGAGTTCCTTCATGGTAAGGAAGATGAGGCCAGGATCCTGCGGTGTACCGCTAATGGTGTGTGTCTTACCACAGCCAGTGGCACCGTAGGCGAAAACACTAGCATTGTAGCCGTTGAGAATACCATCGAGAAGCGGCTTGCATGTCTCTGCAAAGACATGACTCTGGGATGCAGTCGAGTCGAAGACGCGGTCAAAGGCGTACCTTACGTCCTTGTTGCGTCTAGATCCGTGAGCAAGCGGGTTGTTGTTGTAGAGTCGTGTGAGTGGATTGGTGTCAGGTGGATCAAAGACAAGCACCTTCTGATCCATAGGTTTGACGATAGGTCGAATGAATCTAGCCTTGAGCGCCGATACAGCGCCTGTTGCTGGAGGAAGCAACTTGTTGGGCGAGATGCCGCCTGCTAGGCCGCCATCGCCGAGGAAAGGCGTGTGATCTTGGTTGGGTGCGAGCTGCGAGGCCTCCTTCTCGCTGAAAGGACGGATTCGCACGCAGACATTGATGGAAGATTCGGTCATAGCTGCCACTATGTATGCTGTCTTGACGGGAGGCCAGCTCCAGAGCCGGTCCGGTCGGTTTCAGTGCTTCGTTGAGAGGGATGTCGAAAGCATCTGCTCAGGTCGTGTTGCGATCCTTGGCTGCAAGTGCTCCTTCTATTCTACTGATGATGACCGACAGTAAGCGCAGGCCACAAAGCAAGCGCTGGGTCCGAGAGGCGATGTGAATCGCCGACCCAATCTTGAAGACGAAGCCAGATATCGATAATCCAGATAGCGATAAGGCGTGAGCGATGTGATGGTGGCGATAAAGCAAGTGTGTCTGTGACAAGTTGCACTGGAACGATATGAGGAAAGTGCGAAAACACGAAAATCAGATGCAACTCACACACACACACACACGCACACACATATACACATATACACATACACATATATACACATACACATATACACATATACACATACACATATACACATACACATATACACATACACATATACACATACACATATACACATACACATATATACACATACACATATACACATACACATATATACACATACACATATACACATACACATATACACACATACACACACATACACACACACTCTCTCAGTTAAGGAATTTGCTTTTGTTATGTTGTTAATTCTATCTACTAGCTTCTATGTACATTGTCATCTATATATGCTTGGTAATCTCTTCCACATGTGTTAGCCAGTGATGAGCTGCTCCTTGTGTCACTCCTGCATTGTCACTTCCTGCATGTTAGTGTGACAATGCTTATGCATCCCACATGTGTTACCACCTATAGGTGTCTTTATCTCATCAATGACTCACTTATCTTCCATGGGCTCCATAACACTCCACAGACCCTGTGAATCTCGTTGGAGTGCCAATGCATCTCCCTCAGCAGCAAGGCAGTTGGCTGCTGAGGTGCTGTACCTTGCTGTGGTGTTAGTCCTAACCCTTGTTGTGTGCATCGCAATGCCTCCTTGCCCACTGGTTTGGTAAAGATGTCTGCTAAGTTATCTTCAGTGCCAATATACTTGATTTTGACCTTTCCATCTTGTATGTTGTCTCTTATGAAATGGTATTTGGTGTCGATGTGCTTCAACTTCCAATGTTGTGTGGGGTCTTTGCTTACCTGGATGGTGCCTGTGTTGTCTGAGAAAATTATGGGGGTACCAATGTCAACCCCGATGGCCTTGAAGAGGTGTCCAAAGAAGAGAATTTCTCATGCAGCCTCAGTCACTGCTACGAATTCTGCTTCTACTGCCAATAAGGTGGTGCAGTGCTGTAGTGCAGACTTCCATGCTACCAGATTTCCATGTATGAAGACTGCTGACCCTGACAAGCTCTTACATTGTGCCATGGCATCGCTTGCCCAGTTCATGTCGCTATGCACCACCAGAAAATCTTGTTGCTTGTTGCTACCATATTGCAAGTGGATGTCCTGGGTGCAGTCCAAGTATTGGAGCACTCTCTGTGCTGCGTTGTAATGTTCCTTCGATGGTTGTGTCATGTAGCGTGCAAGGACACCCACGGCTTGGCTGATATCTGTCAGGGGTCTCGCACCAGAAACCCAGGTCGGTCTGTCGAGATACTCGGTGACTATCAAACTGTGCACCAGCTATTGTCTCAGTATCTGTCTTGGCGAGCTAGTCATTCGGTGACTATCAAGTTGTGCAGTGACAGCAGGTGGCGTTTGTTGTATATACTATCATAGGTTTCAGCTGACCTCTGTGGACACTCCATTCAGGGGTAGCTCGGCATGATCAATATCAATGCTTTGATTATGATGACACCAAGGTCTGGTGTGAGTGTTGATGATGATGAGGTTGATGGTGTTGGTGATAAGGTTGGTGGCATCAACATGAGTGCCCAGTGTGTTGACTTGATGCTTGAAGTGACACCCGGACCACAGTGGACTACTGCCTTCGGTTCTATCTTGATCTGGACCGCTAACCTGCTATGGGCACCTTCAGATGTCAGGTAGTGGTGATACAACACACACACTATGATGAGGAGCAACCTTGATAGATTGCTGCTATGCTGACTGAAACTAATATATACTTATGCTGAAGTGATAACTAGTTATATGGTGAGTAGAGTGGATGAGGATCCACTCGACCTATGATGATGAGAAAGCATGGTTATATACCTCTTCACAGCATTGCCAGCGATGCTGCTCCTGCTCTCTCTCCAGAGAGTACCTTCTTCATCAAGTACTGTTCAGGGACCTCTCCTGCTTGGCACCCCTGTGCCTCTTGAGCTGTGTCGACTCCTTCGACACTGCTCCTCCTCCTTGCTATCCTGCTGCTTGTTTGGCACCCCTGTGCCTCCTGAGTGGTGTCGACTCCTTCGACACTGCTCCTCCTCCTCATGACCTGGTGTCGGTTCCTTTGACTCTTGTCTCTCAAGCCCCTGAGTGGTAACCATCTGAGCTTGGTCCTCTTCGTGGCTGTGCCTGCTCCTTGAGCTTGGTCCTCCTTGTGGCTGTGCCTGGCCCTCCTCGCATATGGCTTGGTCCTCCTTTGCATGTGAGTCCATAGGAGTCCATGGTCTCCATGGAGACTGCACTATGACCATGCTCTCTACTGGTATCGACTAGATCTTCGATACCTGTGCTCCTTCCATATGAACCAGTGACCCTCCTGCTTCTTGAGCATCCAGGCCCATGACAATATCCAGACGTGTTCCATTTGAAAGCCATAGGAGTTTGCCAATGATTTGTGGGTATTCCTTCCACTCAGCTATGCTTGCTGTCATCTCTGGTACTGGGATGTCCTGGAGTGGTATGCTGGATTTCCTTCTATGTTTATCTAAATGCTTGTTTAATAGCTGCTTGACATAGCTGGTTTGCATGAGGTCCATAGTCTTTGCCTTGTGGTCTCTGGAGATCTTGATCCCAAGAAAATGGGATATGTTGCTGCCCTCCTCCATTTTCCACTTCTTGCCTATCTCCCTCTTAATTTGCTCAACTGTTGACAGTTTTGGAGATATAATCAATGTATCATCAACATAGATAATCACTATTGCAAAGTTGTCCTCTTTTCCTCTGGTTTAGATACATGGTGCACAATTGAGCCTATGGAAGTTTGAGCGCTGCAGGAACTTATCGAACTCCATGTTCCACTCCCATCCTGATTGCTTGAGTCCATATAGCCCTTTTACTACCTGATAAGCTTTTCCTTTTGGTACCTTTGCCCCTTCCAGCAGTTTCATATAGATGACATGCTTGAGTGTGGAGTTGAGGTAGGCCATCGTGATGTCAAGTTGATGGACCTCCCAGTCCCGCTCCACTGCCAGTGACAACAGGGCTCTTATTGCACTGAGTGGTGCCACTGGTGCAAAAGTTTCTTCAAAGTCTATGCCCTCTTGTTGTGTGAATCCTTGTGCTATGAGTCTTGCTTTATGTTGAACAGGTACCCCATCAGTGTCCAGCTTGAGATGGAGGACAATCTTAGAGTCGACAAGTTTGGTGTTTGGTGGTATGTCCACAATTTCCCAAGTCCCCATGGCTTCAAGCCCATCTAACTCCTTGCATATGGCTTCTTGCCATTGCTGTGCCTTGTCACTGTCAAGTGCTTCCCTCAAGGTTGGTGTAAGGTTCATGGTGGTCATATTGGCCTCCCCGATAATGTCTTGTATGTTGATCTCCTCTGGCTCTAGTACAGGTTCATGGTCGATGGTCTCTGATCTGGTACTCTCTGCCTCTAGACTTTCAAATCCGATTTGCAGTGGGCTCCTTTCTTTGGGTCAATCATGCCAGCCTTTATCTTCATGAAATGTAGCTGAGTTACTCCATCGGATAGATGGTGTGTGTTCTGGAGTGTGGAATTTCCATCCCTTGTGCTCATTGTCATAACTGATCATGATTCCTGGTATGGCTCTCACACCATGCTTGCCTGCATGATCTTTCCTTGGGAGGTGAACCCACGCAAGACAGCCAAAGACATGCAATTGTTTTGCCAAGCTGTGAGCCATCATGCGATGAAAGTCTTCATATGGAATTCTGTTAGCATTTGCTGATGGTGTCAAATTAAGTACATGTCTGGCAGCCATGATGGCATAGGGCCATAAACCTTTTGGCACTGCTCTTTGGATGAGCATTGCTCGCATCTTTTCTTGTAGCAATCTGATGGTGCACTCTGCTCTTCCATTTTGCATGCTGACATATGGGTTGTTTTCTGCCATTTAAACCCTGCCTCCTTCTTCCATTCCTCTGCTGCCAAGCTTGACCATTCTGTTCCATTGTCACTGCGGATGCACTTTAGCATGTGGTCCATCGTTACCTCTGCCCTTTTGATCCATGCTTTCAAGGTGGGGAACACTTCTGCTTTGCTGAGGAGCAGTCTCATGAATACATATGATGAGGTGTCATCTACAACTACTAGTGCATGATGATAGTTGGGGTGGCCTTGTAGATCTGTCATTAGGTCAATGTGTATTAATTCTAATGGTGCTTGTGCTCATTCTGTCTTGCTGCTTGCCATTCTTGTGCATGTTTGCTTTGCCTGACTGCAACTATTGCAGTCTTTTGAGTTGTGCTCAAGCTGTGTTTCTCTTCCTAGGTAGTGAGCTTGGATTTGCTGGGTTTTATTTCTACCGGGATGGCTGAATCGTTCATGCCATAGTTTGCTTATCATGTGGCTTGCGGGCCTTGCTGGTGTCATGTTATCATCAATGCCCTCAAGGGGGTCATTGAGCTGTGCCACTAGGGAGTCACTGTGAACTTCCCATCTTTTCTGGCATTGGTTGGTCTTACTCTTAACCATGCTTCCATCATGTTGGAGTATTGTAGCTCCAGATTCTTCAAATATCACTCATGCACCGTCTTCAGTTAATGCTGGAACAGACAATAGATTTTTGCTAAGGTTGGGAATGTAAAGTACATCTGTGAGGGGTATTTTAACATCTCCAACTTGCAAGGTTGCATCTCCTATTGCCTGCACTTGCAACTGCTCATGCCCTGCAGTGTCTATGGATCCTTGCTTTGGCGTTGGAGCAATGAGCTTATCCTCATCACATACCATGTGATGTGTAGCTCCAGAGTCAAGAATCCATGTACTGTTTTGGTTACAGTTGCCAGTGTTGCTTACAAAAAGGGTGCACCCGAATCCCTATCCCTGCTGAGTAGGAGTTCACTCCTGACTGCTGGTGCAATTGATTGCAATGTGCCCGGGTTGCCTACACTTATAGCACTTGGCCGGTTCATTAGGGTTTGTGGGGTCGCACCTACCCCTATTGTAGCCCTCTTGGTTGAGAACCTGTCTATGCTCACCAGCTTGGCCTGTTGAACTTCTGTTGCTCGTAACTCTGGCTGCAGCTCAGATATGACCTGAGAGCTCAGCTTCTTGGTGCTTCTTGGCTAGTGCATGGTATGCATATTCATAGTTGCAGCCAGGTTGAGTGGCCTTGAGGGAATCTACAGTTTGGATGTATAGCCAGTTGTCCTTGATGCAGTGGTAGAGGGTGGACTTCTTGAGCTTTTCATCCATGTGACTGCCCAGCCTCGCAGCATCATTCCAAATTCGATCTAGTTTATTTCCAAGGTTGATGACATTTTGGTGGACTAACTTGATCTCATGCACTTGGTCATGAATGGCAGAGAGTTTAACTTTGTCATTGATCATGAGCACTGTTTTGAGCTTCTTGTACAGTGTAGAGCCAAGTTGCTCTTCTTCACCTTGTTCTCGGATGGTGTATGTATGAATACTGCTTTCAGGACTGTGGTCACATGATGACAGGATGAGGCCTAACAGGTGACTATTTAGTTCTTCATTGTAGTCCATGTGGTTGCTAGATATTTCCCTGGTAAGGATCTGCTTTGCGTTCTTGATGGGCTGTATACAGTCCATAAACATGGGCTCTCAGATAGCCCAGTTGTTCTTGTTGAGCTTGACAATCTGTGATACAATGCTGAGTACTGACTTTGGAATCTTTTCAACTTGGCTGGTGTTTGGTTGGAGGTTCATCATAGAAAAGGCACACTCCAAGATTTGGTCTTCATTCCAGTCGGTGTGAACCTCTCTGATCACTTGCATGGTGCATTCAAGTAGGGCTATGCTGTCTACTCTGGGTGGCATCTTGATGGCAAAGTGCCTTGAAGCTGCTGAGCTTCAGACTCTTAATCAGTTAAGGAATTTGCTTTTGTTATGTTGTTAATTCTATCTACTAGCTTCTATGTACATTGTCATCTATATATGCTTGGTAATCTCTTCCACATGTGTTAGCCACTGATGAGCTGCTCCTTGTGTCGCTCCTGCATTGTCACTTCCTGCATGTTAGTGTGACAACGCTTATGCATCCCACATGTGTTACCACCTATAGGTGTCTTTATCTCATCAATGACTCACTTATCTTCCATGGGCTCCATAACACTCCATGGACCCTGTGAATCTCGTTGGAGTGCCGATGCGTCTCCCTCAACTCTCTCTCTCTCTTTTGCCCAAAAGAGTAACAACTTCATTTCGCATACACAGAGTCCAACACTACACTATCTTGTCCCGATCTATCTTGTGTCCCGATCTATCTTGTCCCACTTGGTCTGTGCACTTCCACTTTCTGCCGCTGTGCTGCCTTGTTTTTCTTCGGCCTCATTGAACGCGGTCCACGCTCAGCTATTTGAGGTCACGTGCTTTCGGATGTCTGCTCCACATTGTTAGGTCGCCTGTCGATGCACACTTTGTCGCATCCGAAAATGTCGCATTAGTCTAGAGCCTGAGCCTTGTTTGCCTCTCTCGCTTCTTGCTCTCCCGCTTCTTCCTCCTCCACCACTTCAATGTCTAATGGATATGTCAAGATGGCAGCAATACCTGTCAGCGCATTGAGCTGTCGACCACTCTCGTGCATTGAGCTGAAGATGGCCACCTCACCACCCTGAGCCCTAACGTCTTCTACCAACTCGACAAACTTCTTCCTTCTTGCTGGGTCAGCCGCACGGAAGAGGCCATCCGAGATGAGCAACACACCAATGGCGCCTCTCGATGCAGCCAGGAGAACGTGCTTCTCTCCGTACCATGCCCGCAACTCGTCGCTTGCTAGCTGCTTCGTAAAGCGTTCCAGCAGCTGCCCTTCCCGTGCAAACTTGGTGTCTTTGAGCTGTGCGTTGACTTGAGGGCTGCGAAGCACCTCCATCAACGAGTGAACGTGTGGTGAGCTGCAGTGGACCTTGAGAAACTTGCGACGCGCTTCAGAGCCGATCAGGATCTTGTCACTTCGCCGCGTTGCTTCTTCGAATAAGAAGTCGTAGACCGAGTCTCGTGTGAAGCCAGGGGATGCAAGGATCACGAGCCGCAATGCTGGCAATTCGAGCAGCTTGACCACAGCGTTGTAGACCTGAACGTAGAAGCGGGCTGTTGCTTTTTCGGCTGCTGTTGCTGGCAGACCTTTGCGCTTGCGTGGGATTGCAACATCGATTCGTTGTCGCACTACTGTCATGTGTCCTGTCAGCAAGCATACTGCCGCAGTACCGTCGCCGAGCACTACCGCACCTACTTCGGCACGTTGATTTACGTCGGTGCTCTCGCCTAATCGTTCCAGATGAACAGCATCCCAGCTCTCCTTGGTGATGGTCAATGCTCGATTCACTTCCAGATCCAGCGTATGGTAAGCGCCCATCTTAACATGCGCGTTCTCCTCCACTACTCGACCCGCCACTTGCAATGTTGCACCATCTCCGCCTGAGCCACCAACGGCTGCTGCCCGGCTCACTTCCTCTTCGTTTACTGTGGACGACGATGCAGCATTCGCCGCCGCCGCCCCTGCTGCTGCTGCTGCTGCTGCTGCTGCTGATGGATCTGGTGGTGCGCTTGAGCCTGTCGCGTCGAATGTTGTCTTGACAACCTCGATGGTGAGATTGAGTCGCACTCGATGCGATTCTATTGAGCCAGTGGATGATTCCGATTGAACACGCCGCACGGCAGCTGCTCGCACACGATCGCCTGTCTCTATCAGGTTGTATAGATGGTACATGTCCTCGCTGTTGTAGCAAACCAGGTGGAAACGACTCAAGGTCAGTGTCAAGGCTGCTGGGAGGCTTCGCTGAATGAAAGAAACGGCAGCTACTTACTCTTCCTCTGGGACGATGGTGATCCTACCTGACCCATCCTTTTCGATATGCCGTGATGTGATCTTCATCCTGATGACAAAGTGTACTGGCGATGGTGCTGTGTGATGCTGAAAGATCTATGGTGGTGACAGGCTACAGGCTGAGTCGACATCAGCTTAGAAATGTATGATGAGCCAGAGTGGATTTTGTCTTTCGCCTCCACCTGACCTCGCTCTCGCCCGAAAAGAAATCCAAGGCCTGGCCAACAGACTCGATTGAGAAAATAGTAGGTTGTACCCGATTCTCGATCTCTGATCAGATCGTCCTTCACCCGATCCCTTTTGTCTCTGCTTACGTCAGCCAACATCATCATATTGGATCGTCATTCTCAATATCGATATCCTCAATCTCATATCTTGCCTTGCAACGATATCGCTGTGCTAAGCGTTTTGCTCACCGCAACAAAGCCAATCATTGGCTGGAGAAAGACACAATGGACATCTGCTCTCGTACATGAAGCTCAAAAGACTCTGTGCGAGACGAGTGCAATGGCTGAGTGAACTTTGCAAACTAAGACCAACTGCAAACTAAGACCAACTGCAATCTCAAACAAATGCATCACTTTCCAGATGGTCCGGATGTGTTCTGAGGCGTATCGATTGCTGTAGCAAATGTGTCTATGCCGATGAAGAAAGGAGCTCGCCGAACTTCTTCTCGACGTCAGCCGAGCTGAGACCGTCAAGCTCCACGTGCTTCTCGACGCCGCGCTCTGTAATGTTTTGGAAACAAGATACAGTGATGTGGAAGAGGTGTTACTATCAGCATACATTTCGATCTGACGATACCTCGTGTGAGGCTCCGCTAGGCAAGTAGCAACTTACCGAAACGAGCAAAGGCACGGGCGGGAGTACCGCTAGCCTCTCGGACAAGGAATGCAAGGTCCGGGTTGGACTGCTTAATGGGCTTGTAGTTGGTCTCGAGGAACTTCCTGCAGAATGCGTTCGTGCACGTATGGCGGTGTCCAGAGTCGATGGCGACATGAGGTCTTAGCCAGTGGTTTCTGTTGCGCTGCGTTATGTGGTGCAACTTACCTTGCTCCTGCGGAAGCCTGGCCGGTCTGGCAGAGATGCAGACGGACTTCCTTGAGCGCCTTTGGGAGGGCTTTAGTCAATGCGTTCGACATGCTGAATATCGAGTTGAGCTGTTGGATGCTAGATGAGGACCAAGGGCAGCATATCTAAATTGCACGTCCATCCTCCAGATTGCATGCCTTTCATGGTCGGCATCTTGCCAAGCCTGAGATTTAGTGTATTTGTCATTATTAGTAATCAAGCCTCTCAACGCTCTGAGATCTAACACTTGGGTCTGAGGCTCAAATGGCTCGAGACCAACACCTGGTCTGTGCATCTTTCAGGAAGAAAGAAAGCTCAGCTTTCACCAAAGTGGAGCACAAGCCTCATAACAGCGCAGGGGCCAAGCAACTTGTCTCACCTTCTCATCCACCATCTCAATTCAATAGCGCTGCGACAACTTAGCCGTCAGGAGGCCTTTGACTTTGGATACAATCTTCATCCCTGGACGAGCCCTTCTGCCCTTCTGCCCTGCTGCCCATAGCGGCTTCCTCAAGATGGAGTATCTGAGCCGGCTCTCAGGACTGGTTAGCGCTCCTGCCAAAGCGGCTGCAGGCATCGCTGGCTCGTCTCGACTAGGTAAGAAGCCATCGCTACACCCTGTAGGTAATGTGGATATCTTTCATTCCGACTGGCAAGCCGTCCAAGCTGAACTCGAAAAGCCCGATGAGCGCGCCCTCTTCTTCGGTATAGCACGTTCCGACCTTCCACGCCGTCTGCAACGCATTGTCGATGCCTTGGTCTTCGAAAGCAACCGCAGCAGCGATGGTCATCTCGGCCCTTGCATCGAGTATCTCCTCAGATACGATATCTTGACCGAGCTAGTCCACCTCTCGCTTGACGACCGACCCAAAGGCATCCGCGCAGAAACCATCCGCACACTCACCAACCTTATCATCCTGCTCGATGAGAGCTTTCTGTCTCGCCAAGCTGTCAACAAACCCATCTCGCAGCTCATTCAGCTTTGTCTCGACCAAGATGCCGCCCGCTTCCAACTCGACGATGATCTCTTCGAAGCCAGTGGCTCCAGTGCACCAGCCCCTGCTGCCGGCGTAGAGCTGGACTATCAAGAAGATCTTGTCGAGCTCATGTGCCAGATTGCCAGTCGCATTCGTAATACTCCCGATCTATTGCAGATCTTTTTTACCGACGAGCCCGTCGATGATGCACACGACCCGTCGGATGTAAGAAGCCTGAGGGATGGTTCCATCATCGTCAGCCGCGATCTCTTCAACGACTCCATGCCTGCGAGCAATCACACCACCAACATAGAGCCGGACACAGACTTGACCACTGACCCGCGTCCTCCCTCTCCAGCCGGGTCTGTCGACTCGATTACCACCATTCAGCCTTCCACGGCATACTCGTCACGCAAGCCGTCGAAGCGTAGACTCCGCTTCCCTCTGTTCTCATATTTGCTCAACTTCCTTCATCGTGAAGGTCGCATCGGAGAGCTTGCAAGGGCGGGTCTATTGTTTCTCATTTCGCTGCAAGGTGTTCAGTCGCCGAACAAGGTAGTACATGGTCTCCCGCCCAAAAGACCGGCAAAGCGGGTCTCTTTTGGCACCGATGACACCCGACGCTCTCTAGCTGTCTTCATCGCCCATTCCGACTTTGCCGATGTTCTCGGTGCCGGTCTCGGCGCAGCGTACGGTCTTCTTCCCACACGCATTCGACCAGTGCCGATATATGATCCCACAGCTGTCGATAGCGAGCCTTCATCCAAGGCCAGCGGTGCTGCCATCACGTTGGCGAGTAGCTCTGCTTCCGAGCCATCAAAAGAGGGCCATCAGTCCGAAGCTCTAGCATCGGCTACGCAGAGCGACGATGCCGAGTTGCAAGATCAACTCCGCTTGTTGGTGGATCTAATCGAATTCTGCCAGGATGTACTAGACTCGCTATGGCTCGCTTCTAAGCATCTCACGGATTCAGCGAATGGCTACTCGGACGACATGGATGAGAAGGCCGCCGAACGAGCCCCCTCAACGCCCACAATTACGCCCGATCTAGATCCAATGATCCGCAAGCTAGCGAGAGCGATCGCCATGGCCATTCGCGATACCTTTATCCGCAACGTCGTCTACCCTTCGCTCATGGAAAGCAGCGACTTTGACGGCAGTTCAGCGGCAGTACTCAACTACCTCGATGTCATAGTCATTGTCCTTCGCAGTGGACACATTCTCACGGAGGTGGCATTGGACTTTTTGCTTCCAGCAGACCTTTCCCTTGTCGGTGAAGCTGGCTATGTGCGCGACATTGACGTACCAGTGGATGAAACAGATCGATACACAGTCAAAGATCTCATCCTGGACAGTCTTGAAGAGACAAAACGACCGGCGACTCGCGTTGCCGCGCTTCGACTTGCTCAAAGTCTAGTCGTATGTCATGGCTTCCGCGCTTGTGAGGGCCTGTTGCAGCTTGCACCGCGCAAAAGCATCCCTCCGCCCGCCGAGGATGGGTTGCCAGAAGCGACCAAAGAGGAGACGGCATTGAGCACTGTACAGATGCACTTGCGCGAGATCGACGCGCTTTCTTCGCTGCTCACTTGCTTCGGCTCGGCTCAGAAGACAGAAACGCTGCAAGCATCGCTCAGCAACTATCTGCTGGATGCCGAACAAGCCCTGCGCCATGACAGCACCTTCTCTGTCGCGCTTGATCTTGGTGGTGGTCAGCTGCCACTGATGGGCAAGGATCCCTTCGTGCAGCAGTTGTTTGCCGGCCTATCGACCTTCTTCTCTCAACCAGTCGAGGTGAATTTGGCAGCAACCGGTGTCATTTCTGCGCTGGCCTCTTGGCCAATTAGAAGCCTTGAAGGGTGGCTTACGCATTCGTCATGGTCAGAGCAGGAGCAAGAGCCGCCGTTGTTAGAGTTGTTGGCAGCCTTAGTGCAGCAAGTGGCGGCCTATAGAGATTCACTATCGGAATTTGACAGGTTTTTGGCAGAGAGGAGGAGGAGTTTGGTGTTGACTGAGGATTTGTCGGCGGCGCTGAATGTAGCTGAGCTCAGTGGCGAGGAGCAAGGCAACGAGGCTTCAAAGTTGCTGGATGCATGTCTGACGCTGCCCCGCATCACCTCGCAGAGCAGTGGTAGGCTTCAGACGAACGAGCGGGTCCGTGCTGCGGAGAGAGGATTTGGCATACTAGAAGACAAACGTGCTTCTCTCGCTGCTTTGCGACCCCCTGCTGCTGCCTCATCGACGCTTGCACCAACAACTTCAGGTGCGGCAGAGGGTGAGGAAGCAGGAGCCACTCGAAGCAGTGCTCTTGCGCGACTCTTTGGCGGTCGACCCACACGAACTTCCTATTCGTTTGGCAAAGCCTCCACTATTACCCCTGTCATTCCAGCTGGCTCTGCAGATGCGACACTGGCCCGACCCGGTGTGGGGGACCGCAAGGTCTCAACCTCCACCATCAATCCGTATACAGAGCATTTTAGAGAAACAGCAGCAGTTGTGCTCAAGACTCAAGCTGCAACAGGTGCCGAAGCTTGGCGACCTCCGCCGACAGCCTCGTCAGCACAGAGTAAGGTGGTGGAGGGGAGGGCGACGTTGTCGAGTGTGCTAGACAACACGATACTGTTGGAGGAATGGGTGAAGGAGTTGTTGGCAATAGTACAGGTTAGGAGGAGTTGGGGCATTGATGCTGTTGCGTTCATCTAGACTCTGTGTCATCTAAGCAAATATACCCGATCATCATCGATGGCATGTGGCGGGTCTGTGTTTCTCTGCATTCATATGAGTGCTGCCAAGTATCGCAGCGGTGAGAGGATGATGAGCGAAGGCATGGGGGGAAAAGGCAATTATGTTAGATTCAATCGACTTTGTTCGGGAATCGGCCTTGAGATAAAACGGACGCTTTGGCCACTTTTTCACAAATCCGATTTCTTCCTGCGTTCTTGTTCCCCCCCTCCTTGACACCATCTTTCCACCTCCCCTTCCTCCCGCATAGAACCGTAGTAAGGATGTTCGCTGCCCGTCAGACGCTGCTTCGGACCTCTCGCGCCTTGCGTGCATTCAGCTCTTCCTCGTGTACGCTTGAAGAGGCAACGTTGAATCGAGCAGAAAGACTCAAATCTCGTTTCTGGAAAAGCGTCAGTCTCCAACGACCGACGTCTTGCTCGGATGGATTTCAAATCCTTCTCGATAACCGTTGCATCCGCACACCTTCAGGCCAACCGATCGTCATCCCTAAGGAGAGGGAATTGTTGGCAACGTGCATCGCACAAGAGTGGAGTGAACAAAAACAGCTACTGAAGCCTCACACTTTGCCGTTGACAAGTTTGGCGGCTAGAGCGTTGGAAGGATGTAGGCATGCTGGCGAGAGGAAAGCAATTGAAGGTGCTTTGATTCGGTATTTGGAGAATGAGACTGTTTGGTATGTAGTTGCGATCAAGCGGTGCTTTTGTGTTGCCGAAATGATTGGTGTCACTGACTTTGCCCTTTTGCTGTTGGTTTCGATGTTCTCGCAGCTTCCAAGAATCCCAACCAAAGTCGCTCGTCGAACTGCAAACACAACACTGGACACCACTGCTTTCCTACATCAACTCGACCTACAACACCTCCATCACACCCTTCACCGGTCTTCTGGGAGGCGCACATGCTCCGGGAACACTCGAGACTTTCTGTTCACATCTTACTAAACTCGACCCATTCGACCTAGCTGCTTTCGAACGAAGCGTCATGCTATCAAAAAGCTTCCTCATCTCTCTGGCACTAGTCTCGGGACATTTGAATGTAGAACAGGCTGCTCAGGCTGCAGAGGTAGAGGTTCAAAGCCAAATCAACAGATGGGGAGCTGTGCAGGATAGTCATGATGTTGATCAGGCTGATATCAGAAGGACTTTGGGTAGCGTTGCAATTGCCACTGTGCGCAACTGATCATCCATCCAGTTGGATAGAAGAAGGAATGCAAACAACACATTTTGTAATCATTCACCGTCCTGTCCGTCATAGTGCGAGCAAAGCATATGAAGAATTGCTTGTGAAGCTTCTTAAGCCAGATAAAAAGTGTTAGCGCTCAAGACGAGCCTGCGGCTCACGAAGCAGCCTTTGCTAGCGGATCAGAGAGACTCGGTCCTTTCTGTCGCATAGAAGCTTGACTTGATCAAGCCGGCTCTCCCTGCTCCCCTTCACGACGCACGGCAGCAATGACAAGATCATCATCCACTTCCGGAATGACAGCGGAATGCACGAGGTCCAGGTTACTCTCATCACTTGCCACATTGCCTAGCTGCAACTTTGCCTCCTCCTGTTCTCCTTCCACTGCATTACCCGAAGACGAAGACAAGGGGCTCGCGGGAGTCGGATGATGAATGCCATACTGGACAAGTTCGACGAGGACTGCTCTCCTAACCCATTTCCTCCTCCTAGTATACCTTCCCATCCGACTCTTCTTACTCATCTTCTCCCAGGCATTATCACCATACTGCCATCCGTCGCGATCAACATCCCATTCTTCCTCTCTTTCTTCCTTACCGCACCTATGCGCGGTAGTTGCAACATCAGCCACCACGCTATCCTCCTCGGCCAACTTCTCTGGCCCAGCATCACCCGAGGTACGAGCCCTGATACGATTAAGCGCATCGCCTAGGTAACCTTGTTTGGCGGCAGTAAGCGCATCTTTATCGCCAACAGCATTGGTTGGTTTGGTAGCTGCCTCTTTCGCACTTGCCCGATACACGGTTGAGCTTGGGTAGCAACCACGGCATGAAACGCCGGCAATGGACCACTCTGCATCCAGCCACTGCCATTTGATTGTTCTTCTGGTGAATGCTTTGGCCTCTTGAGGCGTGGGTGAGGGGGTGAGCAAGATTTTGGTTGCGGGCAAACTGAAGGATGAGGGGGGAGAAACGGGGTTATTGCTCTCGTCAGACCAAGAAGGACGTTCTTGTGGCAAGAGGGCAGCTGTCCAATCAAGGCCCACCCACCATCGCTGATTCTCGAAGATGGAGAATTGATAGATAACGTCTTGGTGTCGAACGACTTTCTCCTCATTCTCCTTGGCACCTTTGCCTTTAGCATCGACCTTCTTACCAGCAGCAGCGGGATTGAGAGAAGCAGCTGGAGGCAAAGGTGATCCATCTTCGTGATAGAGGCCATGAGCCCATTCATCGTCCAAATTACCCTTTCCGTATGCATCCCCCGGTGCGCTCTGACCACTCAACAGGCGGCCAGTTCCCCTAACAAGACGACGAATCGTTGCACTCTTCCACACAGCTTGCCTGAAAAGCGCACACCAGGGAGAGCACCACGTGAGGGCAAGCGTGCCCACGAAGCAAACGAGACTGCGAACGGTGAGCGCTCCGATCGGGTAAGGCGGGAGCAAGGTGAGGTTGAAGTCTGTCCATTGCTCCCATCGGACACGGGAGGCTAGGGCTGCAAGGTGGGAGTAGATGATCGCAAGTGGTGTTTTGGCTAGAAGGTGAGAGAAGCGATCGTACTGGATGTAGATGGGAGCTGCTTTGGAGTGAAATGTCGCAACATTCCGTTCACCTACAAGTCGCAAGAAAAGGTGCCAGAAGAATACAGCCCAGCTGGAAACAGAAGCCAGGATGGCAGCACCTGATACTGGCAGCACCAAGCTAGGAAAACCGCTCTCCCTCAACGGCAGGAAAGCGAGCAACCAAATTGGCCAAGTGAAGATCAAGAACGCAGCAACAGCTTTGGTGCTCATCGGACTAGGGTCCCACGAAAGCAACTGTACTGCTGGGACGAGCAGGTTGCGCCTGAGACTCGAAAAGAAGTCTGCCAACTGGCACAGCTCGAGCAGCGTTGCATTGAGAGTTGCAGCGGAAACGAGATCTTGTTTGTGCAAAAGCATTACAGACGAATGCTGACGAGGTTTAGCAAACGCCAACTGCCTTCTAACCCGGGCATACCCTATCCAAGCCAAGATGACCGCCTGAGGAGCATACCGCAGCAGCTCATACCCAAAAGCGCAGACGAGCCAGAAGGAAACAAGCAAGAGCATCGATCCTGAATTGGAGTTCTTGCCGCCTGTCCATGTCGCCAAGCTTAGAAGACGGTTGAGAGCGTGAATGAAAGGAGCCAATGCAGCTGCAAGCCGGACGACTGGACTAGGCACTCGTTCTAGAATCTCGCTAGAGGATAAGGGTTCGAAGGTCGAGGAGAGAGATGCGGAGGGTGGAGAGGAGTTAGTTGGCTCCTTGTTAACCGGAGTGGTCGTGGTTGAGGTCGACATCTTTGAATGGTTGCGCCGCGCCCTAGAGAGAGTGTGGCTTAGAGAGAGAGAGGCTTAGAGGGAGAGTGGCTTAGAGAGAGTGTGTGGGTGAGCGATCTGACGGTGGATGAGAGATGGAAGGAGGCGTTGGAGTGATGAGGAGCTTGAGAGGTCCGATCGGTGCTCCAACACAGAAGATGACTGACGTTGGCAATCCAGCCGATTCTGCGCGTGAAAGCGGAGGAAAGGCGTGGAGAAATACATGTGACTTCCACTCCGATCTAACATAGACACCGGCTTGGCTCACTCCTTCGAAAAATTATGGTCACTCTGTTAGGCCGCGCTTTTGCTCACAGATCTGAAGGAACTTAAGAGGCGCACGGGCCAACCGTATGGAAAGTGTCGTTCTTGTGCTCAGCTTGCCTTGTCAACACTCTTTGCCTTGCTTCTTCCTACAGCACTCTCACCGACGCAAGAGCACTCGATATCTGCTTGATCGACCAGGGCTTCGGCGCGAAGGCAGCGTCAAGATGGCTGCACCGCTCATGTTCCAAAGCCTAGGCACACGGCTCGCCATCCTGGCTTGCTTCTGGATCACGCTGCTCGCCAGCATTCCATCTTGGCTTCGCTTGACCACAATCCAGCGCTTGCCATTACCAACACGGCAAGTCGAGGCGCTCCAACTCAACGCAACATGTCCGATCACCTTTCCGGCCAGCCTCGGCATCCTTGTCGACTCTGCGCTGCTACCAACGCCTGATGCGCAAGATGGCACAGAGTTCCTGCAGCAAGTGGAACAGCTCGTTCAGCAGAGTCTTGATTTCAAGGCTGAGCTGCCCACAGCTACCAGCTTGGAATGCATGCGCTGGAGCGTCACCTCTCAGCGCCTTTCTTCAGCACAGCAGCAACAGAACTTGCTGGAGCCAGAGCAGGGCCGGTACGTGGTTCGAGTGCTCAGCGAGTCCTCTTCAACCTCGTCCGCAGGCTCAAGCGAGGAGGCAGCTTTGCCGACAGTCTATGTCCCTTTGCCCCAAGACCCATCTGCACTCCCTCTTGTGCCAGACACCATCAGCGCTGCAGTCATTTCCGAACTCCTTCATCTCCGCGGCGAGGATCGAAGCGCTGTCACTTGCTCTTCCACGCACTCTACACCAGCAGGCACGCAGCAAGACCCGCGCGTAATCCAATACAGCAAACACATCCGTCTCGTCTTCAGCATCATGAATCAAGACAGCACCGATGTGTGTGGTTATGACAGCAGCCTCATCCATGCACTTGCTTCAAGTGGAGGCAAGCAGAATCCGATAGCAAGAGTGATGCAAGAGTTGAAAGGGCTGCACGACTTTCATGTTGAGACGCAGGTTCAGTGGTTCGCTCCGTTGGCCTTTGCGCCTACGCACGAGCTTCTGGAGGCGGTGGTGGAGAGGCAAGTGGACGAGACGGTGATCGTTGATGAGATCGTTGAGGAGGATGTTGAAGTTGAGATTGATCAAGAGGAGCCAGAGATTTCCTCTGACGCCTCTCAAGCCGGTCCAGGAGGGGAGCAGGCAGAAGAGGAGGATCAAGTAGAAGCACAACTTAGAACAGCACCCAAGCGTCGAACAAAACTCGTCAAGCAACCACGAACGATCCAAGTCGCCCGCACGCAACGAGTCATGAAAGAAACCAGAACACCTTTGCCTCCGCGTCACCTTGTCGAATGGGATGATCTCAAAGTATTCGTCAACTCCGAAGAATGGTCTCTCACCTCCACGGTGCCACCTATGTACTCCAACCAGACTGTCCTGGCTAGGCCGTTTGATGTTCTTTCTCAGACCCACGATCTTCACTTCTTGCTCTACGTACCCAGCAAATCGCACTCTCCATTGCTGATCAGGGACCCTACAACCGGTGGAGTTCGAGGAGAAGAAAGAGGAGCTTGGTTGATCCCGCAGTGGGGCGGAGTCGTCATCCTCAACATTCCTCATGGAAACACTTCTCATACTGGCCTGAACTTGGCCAATACAGCAACAAAGGCTCAGGTAGGAGAGCTTCCAGCAGAAGCCGTTGCTGAAGCAATTACTCTATTCTCCCGTCAGCTAGAGATTCTCCTTGGCCTACCTCGTACTCCTTCCTCCAGTGCTGACAGCAATCTGCAAAGAAGAATCGCATTAACCACGCTCAGGCAAAAACGAATACTCGAATTGACACGAGAATCGCATTCGACCCTACTCGCCATCACCCGTCTAGTCAAGCAAATCAAAAACCTCGGGGTCGGTGCAACAGTGAAAGAGGATACACAATTAGCGCTCTCGCTCCTCCGATCTCTCACCACTTCTGGTAAGAAAGAAGGTTTGCAGGAGATACTGGAAAGTGTCAAAGGTGCATATGAGTTGAGTAATCGCGCTTTTTTCAATCCTGATATGCTGGCTTTGTTGTATTTCCCAGATCAACACAAGTATGCTGTTTACACTCCCCTTTTTGCTCCCTTGCTCGTACCACTATTGGTGACAAGTATAAAGCTGCTTATCGAAGCGATCCGCTCGTCAACAGGCAAGAAAAATGTCAAACGACCCAAGTGACACTAGATCACACATATACGATAGATTCGCACAGAATACCATGACATTACCAAAGCAGCACAAGTATGTGATCAATCGTACTCTTCAACAATCTTCCCCTCACCCTCGGCGCCATCATGATGCTCCACACCGCGTTTACCATCGCTCTCCTCATCACTACCTTGAGGCTTATTCTTTGCAACGAGAGCTTCGTAGTCAGGATCGTACTCGTAATCGTCATCCTGCATCCTTCTCTTTGATGCGACTAGCTGTAGTGCAGGTGCCTTCGGTGCTCCACGATGGTTGAGAAGGGATGGGATTTTGGTTTTGCGTGTCAGACCAGGTCGTCGCACTGCACCAGAGTTGAGTAGCTTGCTAAGCGGTTTGCCAAAGAATGAACGTGCGTTGGGCGAACAAGTCAAGGGTGACGGTGGGGCTGGAGAAGAGGTGTTGATGCCTTTCATGGCTACTGAGGCTGCAGCTAAAGGATTGGTGGTGGTGGATGTGCAAGTACTCGACCAGCAAGAGGGTCTCGAATCGGCGGATGCTGGCTTTGGTTCCTCGCTTACCCGTGATGGCTTCTCTGCGTTCTCGGCTTGCTCTTCTGCCGCTTCTTCGTCTGACTCTTCTTGAGCTTCTGGAGAAGGCGACTTGTTGCGCTTAGCAGCTTTCCGAGTGCTGGTTGCGCGCGGCTGCTCATCCTCGTCCTCCTCCTCTGCCGCCGCTTCCTGCTCGAGATCAAAAGTCTTGTGCTGTTTCCCTTTGCCCTTCTTTGTTGCTTTGTCATTTGCTATCTGCTTCTTTGGCGAAGGTAGGCTTCTGCGAGATGATCGCCGCGGCGAGGTGGGTGCAGGAGGAGTCAGAATTGCGCCTTGGTCATCATCATTCTTGTGATCGTGCTCTGAGAGAGCATCTTCCTCCGCGTCATCGTCAATAGCGGCCCGTTGGCGCTTGTTGGGCAGCTGGGTCGATTTCGTCTGCTTCTCGCCTTCCCCCTCGCTGTCCATCTTGGCCTTCTTCCGTTCTCTCCGTGAGGCGAACCCGACATCATCGTCTGTAACGTCGACATCCAAGTCGATGACTTGGTTTGCTGTTGATTTCGAGTTGCCAACATCATTCTCCTCATCTTGATCATCAGAGAATGCCCTTGACCGACGCTTGCCCTTTGTCTTGTTAGCCGCGCCCTCCTTTGCTGCAGCTTTTGACTTTGAGTAAGATGCAGACGCGGTCACATGCTTCTTCCCTGGCAGCGGCTTCCCTTCCGAATCGCACATCGGACTATAGCTGACCTCCTTTCGGGCATTACGTGTGGGTCGGCGCCGAGCAAGTGTCTCTTCTTGCGCTGCGAGGGCAGCTGCGTATGCTGCATCAGCTGCTAGTGTCGCTGGTGATGCATGAGCCGAGTCGGAACCTGCTGAGCTGCGACGACGTGGTGATTCGCCCTGCTTCTTGGTCTTCTTCTTTGTGCTGCTGCTTTCCTGAGGGAGCGTGGTGGAAGAGGGAGATGTGATCGGAAGGTGGACGTAGACTGAAGATCCGTCAGCCGGTGTATGTTGGTCGGAGAGATCGATCGAAGCTGACTGTCGAGCTTGAGAGGGCGAGCGTTGCGGAGTGTTGGCTCCATCCTCTGTATCACAGTTGGCTACGACTTGGTCCATGTGCGCGACCGATACGGCAGCAGCATGTGTTGAAGCAGCAGCTTTAGCCATCTCGCGCGCCATCAGCGGGCTGCCGGGCATGTTTGCTGCGGATGAAGGCCGCAAGGGCGAAGATATCGTCCGTGAAGGGGAAGCAGCATGACTCGTTGGCGGTGAAGAGACCAAGGTGATCTCAGTGATGGGAGCTGCTGCTGAGCTGTCCATCAGGGAAGTGACGGATGATGAAGCCGCCGAAGGAGGCCAAGTAGCAGCACCAGGCGTAGCAATTGTGATCGAGTCCGAGGAGGTGGAGTTGACGGGGTCCGTATTCCAAGGTGCCGACATGGGCTGCAAGGTTGGATCGCCCCGCGTGAAGGGCATTTCGGCTGGATGTCAGCGAATGTCAGCGATGATGTCGGGCCCGAGCTGGTGAGAAGGTCGATGGTGGTAAGAAGGATGAGGTGCAAGAGACGCTTTCGATCAAAAGTGTTACTTTCCTCACTGCCCCTTTCGCCACCTCCGCTCGGGCGCGTTTTCAGATTTGGCCGTGTGGAGAAGAACTCAGCCCAGAGAAATCACATGACCGTGCAGCCCAATGAAATCACATGACCGTGCAGCCCAATGAAATCACATGACCGTGCAGCCCAATGAAATCACATGACCGTCTATTCATGCTCTAACACGCACACTTGATCAATCCCAACATCTGACAAATCTAACATCTGGCCAATCCCAACACCTGGCCAATCTAACACCGGAATCAGCTTCATATTTGCATCTCAAGCTGCACATCACAGACAGCGATTGTTGAGGTACTCCACAGCATTTGGAGAGTCGGAGCGAATGGCGTAAAATCGTTAGCATTCAGCGGATGCTAGATACAGCAATACTATGAACGAACATATATATACACTTTACTATGAGTGTGCGAGGGCGAGGTACCACACATGTCTGTGTGGTATGCTAAAGTGAGATGAGCTGGAATAGGGGCCGTTGGTGGGCGATGACGTGTGGCGACGGTGAATGAAGTTGGCGCATGCGTTAACGCATGAACGTGACCGCGTGGTCATGTGATTTTACTGCGATCTCATCCCGCTTCAAGAAGACATGGTTCATTCGTCGAGGTTGCAGAGGAGCTTGCAGAGGAGCTTGCTCAATCGCAGTGCTGACTCTGAGACTGGATCTCGATCCACCCTTTGTCTCCTCGATCCAGGGCGTCGAGTTCTGTTGGATGTTGACATGGTGCAAGAGTCGTCTTGAGTCAGTAAGCGTCGGCCGTAAAGGATTGCAAACAAAGGGGCCTTTGTCTTGGTGTACTTACCCTGCATCTGCTCAGACGAGAGCTCAAACGACAAGCACTCGGCATTCTCGACCTGTCTTTGCGGATTAGCACTCTTCGGCAGCGCCACAATGCCACTCTGAACCAGCCATCTGAGCATCACCTGAGCCTCAGTCTTGCCTGTCTCCTTGGCCACCTTCACCAAGGTCTCATTGCCATAGTACCTGCCCCTCGCCAAGGGGCAATAAGCCTGAACAATGATCCCCTCCTTTTCACAAGCCTTCCTCAACTCCTTTTGAGCAAAGAAGGGGTGCAATTCCACCTGGTTCACCACCGGTAGCACCTTTGGCTTGCTATCCAAGAGCTCCCTGATATGCTGTGGTCCAAAGTTAGAGACTCCAAGACTTCGTATCTTACCCTCTTGCACTAGCTCAGTAAGTGTCGCCCAAGAATCGAGTCGGAACTTGGTCCCACCTTCAGGTGCGTGAAGTAGAACGAGATCCAAGTAGTCCAAGCCGGATTTGCAGAGACTCTCTTCAACAGCATTCCGGGTGATAGAGCCACCGCCCATCTCGTTCAAATAGACCTTGGTCGTGTAGAAGATCTCGGATCGGGGGACGGAGCATTCTCGAACGGCTTGTCCACATGCTTCTTCGTTGCGGTAATAGCGAGCTGTGTCAACGTGGCGATAGCCTGCCTTGCCCAAGGCGTTGAGAAGGGCGGTGCGGCATTCAGAGCCTCGCATGTCCCAAGCACCAATGCCAAAGCGAGGCATGGTGTAGCCGTCTATCATTTTGATACAAGAGGAGAGAGAGAGCTTCTCTCCTCGCTTCGGAGCAAATTTGCCCGCCATGTTGAGTATTGGTTTGCTAGATTTGAAAAGAGCTGGCCCAGACAAGAAAGCGGAAAGAGGAAAGCGGAAAGGGGGAAAGGGGAAAGGTGCAAGATGGGTGAGACCAAGGTTCGATGCAAGCTCTTTCTATACTCGTTGCCAAGAACAAGTCTGCTGTTGATAGCCGAGGATGAGAAACATGGCATGGTCCGAGCGAGCTCTTTTCCCGCTGACTCATCTCCACTTTGATGTCAAAAACACAGAAAGGATCGTCAGTGTATGCGATGCAATGGGAATGGTACAGTCCCTGTGCATAAGTTTGGGGACAATCGGGTAATTTCCCAATTTAGTCAGTTACCCTGCATTTGGGTCATTGTTGTCATTGAGCAATAGCACTACCATCATACTAATCAAGAACACTTCAAACACCAATATGGTCTGTGGCAATGAGCTCTCTCCAAGCAAGTGGGCTTCAATTATTGCAATGCATGATACTGGGCTGCCAATTCGACAAATCACAGAGCTAAGTGGCATTTCCAAAACAGCAGTTCACAAGACCATCCATAACTTTAAGGAGCATGGTTCCTTCGAAACAAAAGCACAATCTGGCCATCTGCACTCCTGGACAGCTACCTCGGACCAATACCTTCAGTGTGAGGTACTCAAAAACCCGTTTTTATCATGGCAACAGCTGTCAGCATCACTTGGTGGCATTCCAATAACACAGCTCCGGAAAGCAGCATACCCGGCTGGTATTAACTGTGTAAGCAGTCGCATGCCAGAGACTAGTTTTGGGTGTTATTCAATCAGTATAGATGGGATTGATTGAGTAAGATCTACTCAGTATGTTTCAACTAAACATAACCAGATGTCTCCAACTGGTAAGTCTTGGCTGACTGCCTTGAACACTCCATTCAGAGGTTGCACAGCACATTTGTTGTTCATTGGAGAGTGAGTGATACCCTCTCCTTACAGTACAAGTGTTTTCAGTACTGTTGATAATGCTCTTGGATGTCACCTGGACTGTGATATGCTTATTGCCTACAGAGGATGGGAGTTACTGGACTGCAGGTGTGAGCCACTGCCTACAATAACTGACTGGACCACAGGTGTCAAGCAACACCACCTACAGTAAGGGACTGGACCACAAGTGTTGAAGAACACTGCCTACAGTTGAGAACTGGACTGCAAGTGTTCAGAGAACACTGCCTACAGTTGACACCTAACAGTGATACAACACACATGTTTGAGGGTCATTGCAAAAGCACTGCTATTGCAATGATACATAACTAAGAGTCAAGTAAAGAGTAAGGTATAAAGTAAGTAAGTAGAGTGGATGAGGATCCACTCATATGCTATGGTGGAATGAGAGTATTTATGTGTTTGATTGGTGTCACCTGTGACACCTTTCCTGCTCCTCTTGAGGGGCCTTCATCCCCTGTTTGACACTGTCTCTCCTGCTGGTGTCAATCCCATTGATGCTGTGCCCCTACTGTCTGCACAGTGTAATTGTTATGCATCACTGCCCTTTTGCCTTCATGCTCCCTTTCTGCTTGATGATGTGTGATGATCCCTTTGACACAGCTCCTCCTCTTTGTTTAACCAATCTCCATTCACAGCTCCTTCTCTCTTCACCAGCAACCACCTTCTCAACCTTATCTTGTGAATCCCCTTAGCCACTTGTTGGACCTCATGACCAAACCCCTTGGTCATGCAGTCACCCCCTGTGCTTGGGCCTGTGTGGCTATATGCACATACCCCTCGAGTGGTAACCATCTGCATGATGCTGAGCTCAGTCCCCTGCTCCTACATGTGGTTATCTCTGTATGCTTCTCCTTCTAATGCCAGTACCTTCCTTCCTGAATCTCCTGATACTTGCTCATGTTGGCCGACTTGCTGAGGCATGCTGATCCAGCTGATCCCAATTGATCCTCATGAGATTAACCTAGAACCCAGAGTTTGGTTGATCTTGTAAATCATATGCACTACCAGCCCAATTAACTTCATCAATTCCCAATGATTTGGTGCCAATCAATTTGGCACACCCTTCATATGTTGATCCATTGACCCTGTGACATTACCATGAATGCCATCAGTCAATTTGGCGCACCCTTCATATGCTGGCCCGCTGGCCCTGTAACAAACTGCTGGATTGTGCTCCGAAAACTGTTTCTGACATCCAAAAACCGGCATAAATGTCTAGAATGGGCCAAGGCTAAAAGCACCACTGATTGGAGGGGTGTGCTGTTCACAGATGAGGCAGCTGTCAAGGTTGGCTACTGGCCTGGACACACATGGGTTAGTCACCAGAAAAACACTTGAGAAGACATCAACAACATGGTTCCAACATTCTGTTCCAGCTGTTTCAGCATCCAGGTATGGGCTGACATTGCATACAACCTTAAAACCCTGTTGGTTGTGCTCCCATTGGCCCCAAGAAAGAAGTGGCTGGGGTTGGCTATTCAATGGGATCCTGCCAAGAACCTCACAGCTGTCAGATATTGCAATTGGATCATTGACAGCCCACTCCAGGACACTGTAACTGCTGTTAGTGCATACCCTGATGGCCCGTCGGTTGTCGAAGACAGCAGCAGCTTGTCATGGGCCTGGATGCTCAAGAAGCAGGAGGGTCACTGGTTCATATGGAAGGAGCACAGGTATCGAAGATCTAGTCGATACCAGTAGAGAGCATGGTCGTAGTGCAGTCTCCATGGAGACCATGGACTCCTACGGACTCACATGCAAAGGAGGGTCAAGCACAGCCATGAGGAGGACCAAGCTCAAGGAGCAGGCACAGCCACGAAGAGGACCAAGCTCAAGGAGCATGCAGATGGTTACCACTCAGGGGCTCGAGAGACAAGAGCCAAAGGACTGATCAAAGGAGGAGGAGCAGTGTCGAAGGAGTCGACATCAGGTCATGAGGAGGAGGAGCAGTGTCGAAGGAGTCGACACCAGGTCATGAGGAGGAGGAGCAGTGTCGAAGGAGTCGACACAGCTCAAGAGGCACAGGGGTGCCAAGCAGGAGAGGCCCCTGAGCAGTACTCGATGAAGAAGGTACTCTCTGGAGAGAGAGAGCAGGAGCAGCATCGCTGGCGATGCTGAGTAGAGGTATATAACCATGCTTTCTCATCATCATAGGTCAAGTGGATCCTCATCCACTCTACTCACCATATAACTAGTTATCACTTCAGCATAAGTATACATTAGTTTCAGTCAGCATAGCAGCAATCTATCAAGGTTGCTCCTCATCATAGTGTGTGTGTTGTATCACCACTACCTGACATCCGAAGGTGCCTTATAGCAGGTTAGTGGTCCAGATATAGATAGAACCAAAGGCAGTAGTCCACTGTGGTCTGGGGATCACTTCAAGCATCAAGTCAACACACTGGACACTCGTGTTGATGCCACCAACCTTATCACCAACACCATCAACCTCATTATCATCAACACTCACCAACCTTATCACCAACATCACCAACCTCATCATCATCAACACTCACACCAGACCTTGGTGTCATCATAACCGAAGCATTGATATTGATCATGCCGAGCTACCCCTGAACGGAGTGTCCACAGAGGTCAGCTGAAACCTACGATAGTATATACAACGAACGCCACCTGCTGTCACTGCGCAACTTGATAGTCACCGATACCGAGACAATAGCTGTCACACAGTTTGATAGTCACTGAGTATCTCGACAGACCGACCTGGGTTTCAGGCGCGAGACCCCTGACACAGCTGTCATCAGGCTGCTATCTGCAAGCAATGTCACAGGGTCGGCGCAGGAAGTGTGCGCAGAATGATCTGAAGCGAGCATCAGGGGTCAACAATCTGATCAGGATAGTGGCATGTATGATTTGTGGATTCAACCAAGAACTGGGGTTTTGAGTAATCTTGCTAGGATCAATCAGAACAAGCCTACCCAGTATGTTTCACCAAGCATGCACCAACAAAGCACCATTGGTGTAGAATGGGTAGCTCATCACATTGAAACAACAGGAGGATCAGAGAAGGAGTTTCCCCAGCAGGGAAGACAAGGGAAGCATGTGGGAAACAATCAAGGAAGGGGACCAAGCTCAGTATCCAAAGATGGTTACCACTCAGGAGGGATGTGCATACCATCACACAGGGCCAGCCACAGGGGCAACTGCATGATCAGGGAGCATGACAATAAGGTCTGGCATGCAACCAAGGGATTCACAAGATAAGAAGGGGAAGATGGTCACTGGTTAGAGAGGGGGAGCTGTGTCAAGAAGACCAGGGATCAACCATAAGGAGGAAGAGCAGTGTCAAAGAGATTGACACATATCAACAGGTGATGAGGAGCATAGAGGCAAGATGGGGTGTTGCCCAAAGCAACACCCTGTCTGGGCAGTAGAGTAGTGGCACTGATGGGGTCAGCACACAGTACAGAAGTAGTGTCAGGAGGAGGCAAAAACCCTCCTCAGAAGGAACAGGAGAGGTGTCACAGGCAACATTGAGCAAACACATAAATACTCCCAATTCACCATAACATACAAGTGGATCCTCATCCACTCTACTCTTTATCTTACTATTCTTTACTTGACTCATATCACTGCAATAGCATAGCTTTGCAATGACATCTTGAATGTGTGTGTTGTATCACCATTGGACATCAACTGTAGGCAGTGTTCCTCAACACCTGCAGTCCAGTTCATCACTGTAGGCAGTGTTGCTCAACATCTGTGGTCCAGTCATTTATTGTAGGTGGTGTCCAACACCTGCAGTCCAGTAACACCTGTCCTCTGTAGGCAATAGGCATATCATGGTCCAGACAATGTTGAAGAGCATTAGCAACAGTACTATGAACACTTGTGCTGTATAGGAGAGTGTATTACTCTCCCCCCAGAGAATAACAGACATGCTGCACAACCTCTGAATGGAGTGTTCAAGGTGGTCAGCTGAAACCTACCAGAACGAAGCTGTCTGGTTACTTTCAGTTGAAACATACTGAGTAGATCTTACTCGATTGATCTCACCAAAACCAATTGGAAACACCCAACTTGATTTCAGGTGTGCGACCGCTTACAAGCAACGGCGGGCCGAATACCACATTAAGACGCAGGAACACCCGCCGGCTTTGCCAGACCTTAACCCTATTGAGAGCATATGGTATGTATTCAAAAACTTGCTTGGTAAGCACTTGCCAGTACCGAAAACCTGGGATGAGCTTGCAAGAGCTGCAGAGGAAGTGTGGAACACCCAGATCATGCTCGAACATATCAATCCTGTGATTGAGTCAATGGAGCATTGCGTTGAGCAAGTGCTTACTAAGCATGGAGGTCTGCTCAAGTATTAGTCGGCTCCGAGACTCACTGCAATCGAAAGCTCTTCTTTTGAATTTGCTCACTGTGTGTTTTGCTCAGTCTGACACTTATGAGAGATCACTCCTCCAAGCAGATGGAAGGTATGCTATCGGACGGTTGATTTATTGTCTATTGGACCCTGTCCCCAAACTTTGGACAGGGACTGTACACAGCAACTCCGACCGGCAATGCAGCTAAGCTTCAATACTGTAGGAACTGCATCTTGGCGCATCATCTGCGCCTCTTCGCAGGCCTATCAGAACACCACCACCAATCTTGCGTATCTTCTGTTGATCTCGATCGGCTCTGAAACGAGGAATCGCACGAACGAGGGTAGTTCTGCACCGGCTCTTCTCGCATCTGAGGCAATGGGGCGCGAAAGGCCCTGTCGAAGCTCTGGAGCCGGTTGCTGTCAAAAAGATGCGTTTGGTAGTCGACCCATCGTCGCACTTGCCCTGCCATTTTACCATGATCTGCATATTTCCCACTGTTGTCGTCGTCGTCTTTGACAGTGTCAGATTCCGGATGCTGAGGCTGAGCCAGCGCTACAAGATCAAATCCGTCCAAGACTGTCACTGTTTCCCATTCAGAGTCCTGCTGGATCCGCTGCCTGATCTGCTCGACGGGATCTCGGTCCGATATCCAGCCGGGGGGATAGCCCCAGATAAGCATGTTGCGCAAATAAGGTAGATCAAATACCTCTTCGTCTTTCGTCTCGGCAGCGTCGCGGTCACCTCCTGTCTCCCCCGCCTCCCAAGCAAGCGCCTCAATTAGAGCTCTGCTAGGCTTTCCGGGCACGAACTCGTCGAGCCATCGTAGCCGCTGTTGTGCAGAAGCCAACTGTTGGTGAAGCCTGGCATGTCCGTTGATTTCACCCATGCTTGTATCTTGGGCCCGTTCAGCTTTGCTTTCCTCGAACTCCAGACGACTCTGACGGATGCGTTGGCGGTTTCTCGGCAGCGGACATTGTGCCACTGCATGATCGCTTTGGCCACAGTTGAAGCAACGGCGTTCCAAGGGCACCTTTTCTGCAGTCCTCTGCTTGGCTTCTGCTTCGGATAGAGTTTCGGTGGCGGTCGAGCTGCCTAGTGGTTCAGCAGATGGCACTCCGCAAGTGTCATCCGGCCTCGGTCTAGAGAAGATGTGCCTGTAGCCTTCAAATGACTGATCTGGGTCGAAGGACTCGTAGGGCGTCGGCTGAGTGTCAAAGTAGAAGGACTGGTCTTCATCGTTCCATTCGCCGCTTTCAAGGCTGCGCTCTGACGGAGGCGGTGAGCTCATTTCGATGTCTCAGAGCAAGGGATGCTTCTTCAGCTCACGCAGTTATCTTGTTTGCTTGTGAGGTCCTGACTCGGGCAAGTGAATCCAAGCAGGCATCGACCTAAGCAAAGCTGTTTGCGTGCACAGGTCTCGGTAGTGTCTCGCTCCTTCGTATAGTCTCGTTCGAGCTCTTTTCGTTTGAGCGAGCGGATGGAGAGGAAGCGTGGCGCTTTGGCAAAGAAGGGCACGAGTCGGTTGTGATGCTGAACCTCCTCGTCTTGATGCGTGATGCCAAAGCAATCGAGGTAGTGTTCAGCAATGTAGGCGTCGATGCGCTCGAATATTGAGACCTTGGGAGGATGAAGCGGCTTCAATCCGAGCGCTGAGTCGAGCGGCAGATGCCTTTGATAGAGGAAAGTGTTATCCGATTGGAGGTCTGCGAGGTCTGGCTCTTCGTCCGAAGTCTCTTCCGCTCCGCTCTGTGACGAGGCTTTCAGCGCGGCGGGTGTCTGCACTTGATCGTCCTCAACGCCTTCTGGAGACTTCGGCCTTCCTTCTTCGACTGGCAATGCCGGCTTGGTTGTTGTTGTCGTACCGCGCGATAAGGGACCGAGAAGTGAGCCCGAGCTGTCTCTGTTCACTCGCCCAAGTGAACGGCGCTTGAGAGGCGCAGCTGAATTGGCTCTTCCAGTGGCACTTGACGAGGTTCCGGTGAAGAGGCCCATGATCAATGAACAAGCCTTCCCAAACACCTGCGATGAGTTTTCGTCATCCCAGCTTCCGAGGGCGGTCAAGTGATGTGCGGGAAAAGGATACTCTGAGATGAAGGCAACTTGGCACGATGAGAAGCGCAACGGTTTTGATGTGTTGGCACGTGCGTAAACCGTCCTTCTTTTAACGGTGAATTTTGTGGCCTTCTTTTTTTTTTCTTTTTTTTTTTCTTTTTTTTTTTCTTTTTTTTTTTTCTTTGCCTTTTTTCGACCTTCTTTTTCTTTTTGATAGCAATATTGCTTACTAATGATGAGTGGCTTTGGTGAGCTCATGCTTACTAATTGCACAGACGCGTCACGTGGAAATTGCGCAGTCCCAAAACCGAGTTGGTCGTCGACATGGTCGTTGCTTCCGAACCACCACCATCTCCACTTCTCTGAGCTACTCGCTTACGTAGGTAAGTAACCGAAACCTCTCTGATAGTCATCTTCAAGAAAGAGGGGTCAAATGCGTTGCTGCTGGCTTGAAGCATCGGTTTAGCTTGCTCTTGGCGCTGTCACATCCTCACATCACTGTATTGCCCGCTTGTCCAAAGAAGCCGAGTCGCAGTTTTGTCCATAACCTCATTATTATCACTTGGAAGAGGTCCGAACTGCACGTCAGGCAGGACGAGACAACGACACCATGCCTTGCAATCGACTCTAGATCACTTTTTCTCCTCTCAGACTCGGTATAGCATAGACATGTCGGCAGACCTGAATCATAAGCAGCCTTCAGAGGCTGAGCCGCGGGCTACGGGAGGCTCAGTGCTGCTTCAACCCCCTTCTCGACCCATTACACGCCGTGTGGTTTCGGATCGCGATCACCCGCATAGCACGCAGTCGCTTCCCCCCGACAGCACCGTCACTCCGAACCTCTGGGATGCTGTACGTCAGCGTGTCCGCGTCACATCAGCCCTCAAGAAGGCACCCTCAGACAGCAAGCGCCGCTCTCGCGCATTCGAGGACGAGCGCAGATTTGACGATGAAGGCATCACCTCCGACACTCTTCGCTCCGACATCACTCATCTCCTTGCGCCTGGCCAATATACAGAGCAATGGCAGTCTCTCGCTCATCTCTTCGACGCTGCTGAGCAGAATCAAGCAAAGCATTCACGTAATCGAAAGAGCAAACGTCTATCCTATCCACACTCTGAAGAGCCAGATCCAGATGGCTCCCTAGCAAGCTTCACCGCTCCATTTTCCTTCAAAGGCGGCTCTAGCTTTAAGCTTCGCTCACGGCCTTCCAAGACAGATGCTGGCCCGCAGCACCCATCTCACCACAGTCGGTATCGAGGCACGACAGCTTTGACATCCGAGGCATCCGCTACATTACCTCAGATGATTGGACAGGCTCAGGAGGAAGACGTGCTAGCGCATAGGGTCTCACTCAGCGACGAGCCGACAAGCATGCTGGCCAACGATCCCGACCAGACTCCGCTCGGTGAGGATCCTCTGCTCTATTCGACCGAGGACCATCTGCTTGAGACAGATTCGGACTCGGACTCGGACACCGACAATGACTCAGACACAGAACTAGAGGTAGATATTCAGGTCCCTGTGCAAGGCGGACGTAACCAAGGTATCGGTCGACCCCACCAAAGCGGCACAACAACGAGGCCCAAGCCTGCAGAACCGAGTGGTTCGCGCCTCGGGACCATGTTGCAGTCTCTTGCCGGTCTGGTCTCTGGCCTCAACATCACTCTGCTCCATCGGAGCATCATCAAGTGTGCAATCGCCTACTTTGTCGCTTCTCTCTTCACCTACACGCCCGCTCTGAGTCGTTGGCTCGCCAGCTTCTTACCCAACAACGACCCAGAGGACGACGTGCCCTTCTCCAATCTGCACATGATCGCAACGGTAGCTGTCTACTTCCATCCTGCCAAGACCCTCGGTGCTATGGTCGAAGCTGACCTATTCGCGCTCGGCGCCTTCATCTACGCGGTCACTCTTGGCTTTTGCTCTATGGCTGTTGCAGTCTTCCTGCACGAGGTGGACAGGATCCTTGTTTCCGACATCATTAGTGTCCTCTTCTTCCTTGGTATTGGCATGGCGCTCGTCGGATATGCAAAGATCAAGGTGGCCAAGCCACAGTTCAACACAGCATGTTCGCTCATCTCGATCATCGTCTTCACTGTCGTTGTTAAGGAAGGCTCTCTACACCTTGGTCACTTTTCAACTGAGAAGACGTTTCAGGTCTCACTGGTCGTGCTGGCCGGCTCGCTCATCAGTAACCTGGTTTGCTTTTACATTTGGCCGCAGAGCGCCACGTCCAACCTGCAAAGCGACATAGTGCGCAACTTGCGAGGATTCTCTACGCTACTTCGAGTCCTCACAAAGACGTTCCTGCTCGAAGATCCTTCCAACTTCAACTTCAAGAGCGATCGCATCAAGCGCGCCATTGATGATCACCACGACAGTTTCACTTCGCTCAAGAAGAATCTAGAGGAGGCGAAGCTCGAGTCACTCTTCGATCTCAGAATGCGTGGTCAGAGTGCAAAGTATATCCAGGTCACAGACTCGCTCAATAGGCTGGCGCAGCATCTGACGGGTCTCAGAAGTAGTTGTGGTCTTCAGCACCAGATCATGGCGGCACGCAGAGAGGCTCAACGCGCCGCAAAAGAGCAACAAGGAGCGTCGTCCGCAGCGCATCCACAGAACAGCCGGTCTTCGTCGCGTGCCAGATCCTGTCCTGCTTCGAGCAGGTTGGCTGATCTGTTTGAGAGGGATGCTGATGCTGAAGATCTCAGCAGCGACTCGGCACATGCATCTGCCTCGGCTGCCACCGAGAACGCAAGTGCCGCAACAGTCTTCGAAGACTTCATTGCCAGCGTCGGACCACACATGTGCAGCCTCGTCTTCTCGTGTTGTCGAACTTTGAAGGGTCTCAGGTCCACCTTCGTCGCGCGCGACCCCATCAGCTCTGACTCCAAGACGCTGGCACAAGAAGCTTCGGCATTCGCCGCAGCGAACGGCGGAACAAGCACTTGGCATGACTTTGGCACAACCACAGACGCCTACATTCCTGGAACGAGCTTTGACGGACTTCAAACCGACATCTCCAACGCACTGAAACGCTTTCAGCACGAGCAGACCGTTGCGATCAAGCGCATTTACACTATGGAGCCAAAAAAGATGGCAGAGATGGACGTCGGTGAATCGCATAAGGGCGAAAGTGTTGTCGGCTCCCTTCTACAGAAGAGCAACGGAGACGAAGATGTCTTTCTCATATTCTTCTTCGTCTTCAACTTGGAAGAGTTCGCCAAAGAGCTCGAAGTGCTTGTTGAAGCGCTGGAAGAGATCCGACAAGCAGAAGAGCGCATCGCTTTGGCAAGAGAGACTTCGCGATGGACGCGTATGCGTCTTTTCCTCAGCACCCTCGGCATGATGCTTTCGGATTACAGCAGCATGCTCGGCTGGCGATGGGGTTCAGGAGGCAACAGGAAACAACGTTTCAAGCATGGCAAGTCGGCAAAGACAGCCGCCGCAGCAAAAAAGATGACCACTCCGCTCGACTTTCCCTCCAACCGCCGTCATGCTGTCAACACGCATCAGACACCGAAAGTCGAGACATGGAAGGGCAAGCTGCAACGTTTGTTTTGGAACATCGGCGAGTTCTTCCGTCAGCCTGACACAAAATTCGCGATCAAGGCTGGCGTTGGAAGCGCGCTCCTAGCAAGTCCTGCGTTCTTCCCGTCAACTCGGCCGATCTTCAAGAAGTTTCAGGGCCAATGGGCTCTAGTCAGCTTCATGGTTGTCCTTTCGCCAACGGTGGGACAGTCGAACCATATGAGTCTGCATCGTATTTTGGGTACGATCACTGGAGCTTTGGCCGCAGTGGGCATCTACAAGCTCTTCCCGGATAACAACATCGTGCTGCCGTTGTTCGGGGTGCTGTTCTCGATGCCTTGTTTCAGATATATTGTGGGCAAGCCTCAATTGGCGTCGAGTGGCCGCTTCGTGCTGCTGACGTACAACTTGACAGCTCTGTACAGCTACAATCTGCGCAAGACGAACGTTGAGGTCGAGCAGATTGCCTATCAGCGCACGGTGTCGGTGGTTGTTGGTGTGCTGTGGGCGACGGTGCTGAATCAGCTGATCTGGCCTTTCGAAGCAAGGAGACAGCTAGCATTGGGCGTATCAGATGTGCTATTCAAGCTCGCCTGGCTTTACCAACGTCTAGTCTTGTCTTACTCCAGAGACCCTTTGCAAGCGCGAGCTGGTCGACGTCATACCGGAGCAGACGGCGAAGATGATAGCTACGAGGGCAGTGACGGCGACCAACACAACCAAGAAGCAGACGACGAAGAAGCATCGCTCCTCGGCACCTTTGCCTCTCGACACGGTGACGAGTTCCAAGCGATCGAATTGCACCTGCAAGTCTCACTCATCAAACTGGAAGGACTCCTGGCACAAACCAAACACGAGTTCCGTCTGAAAGGACCCTTCCCCGTCGCCACCTATCGCTCTATGCTCTCCTGTTGTCAAAACATCCTTGACAAGCTGCATAGCATGCGATGTGTCACCACACGACAAGACTGGTATCGTCACGTCCGACGAGACTTTGTGATTCCTGTCAACGCCGAAAGACGCGAGATGGTAGGCAACGTCTTGCTCTACTTTTACACTCTCGGCTCGGCTTTTCATCTGAAATCGCCTGTGCCACCTTACTTCCCACCTGCTGGACAATGCAGAACTCGCCTGTTGGAGCGAATCAGAGAACTTCCGGTGGTGAAACGAAGAGCGGTTCGAGGGTCGAGTGCTTACTTGTTGTTCTACTCGTACGCACTGGCGATGAAGGATGTAATTGACCGATTGGACCAGTTGGCAAGGTTGACACAGGAAAACTTTGGAGTTTGGGGTGGAAGTGTGCAGGACTTTGAAAGACATTTCCAGGCAAGAGCTGAATCTGTCATGCCGAGTCCGGTGGCTAGTAAACGGTCAAGTCGTGCGACTCTTGGCTCTGCACAGTGATAGAGAGACGGGGCAGGGTTGGAGAGAGCGAGGCAGAGGAGATGATGTAGCGTGCATGTTCAAAGGTCGAATTCTAGAATGCTCATACTGTATGTGTGGCTTGATGAGAGGGGTAATGCGTTGTGTTGGCTATGCTTGGGATCAGATGACAGATTTCTACGAGTATACATGGATGAGATGCTTTGCATGAACGAGCGGCTGCTATATGAGTTGACGCGTTCCCCACCACATGTAACTCATATCTGCTTTCTTTCGCAATCGGACTGGACTAATGTTGCTAGTGAGATCTACAAAATGAGACGTTGCATGACACACAAGGCGATCGTCGGAACAAGGTAGGACATGTAATCCGATCTCAACATGCTCGCATCAAAGGCCGAAGCGAGATGATCCGCTGTCATGTCGGAGGCTCGCAATCTTCCCCCGAACTGGAGCGCCAGACGATGTGCTACAGAAAGTATGCATGTCGCTATCAACTCAGCTTGCCCGCTTGGGACAGGTTCATCTTGTATAGCGAGCTCTCGTCGCTCTCGGAAACTGAGCTTGCAGCTAGTATGACAGTTGTATGTCGAGATGACTTGGCGTAAATGGCTTTGTAGATTTCCCAAACAAGGCATAAGCAACATATTCATTCGCTCTACAACAGAGTCCGACACATGCACTGCGAGCCAATAATCGACTGCTCTTCCCTGCAGAACATCAGACCCATGAGCTAGGACAGCTAGTTATGCATCTGATTGGCAAAGCTATGATAGTCGACTATCGAATCGGGTGAGTAGGCAGGCACACTAACTTTAACTACGTTTGGCGATGCAAAAAGGGATGCGCAGAAAAACTGAAAACTGGCCCACAAAAACAAATTAAAATCGCCAACGCTCGCTTGGAAGCGACGGAATCTGACAATGCATTCTGCACTCAAGCTCTCTGCCCTGGGGAAAGCACGCGATCACAAGCCAGTCTGTTCTAAGCAGAGAAAGTGGAAGAGCAAAAAGAGATATCAGGAAAGGACAGACCGGCGTCCTTGGATCGACAAACCGGCGTCTCTCTGATAAAAAGAAAAAAGAAAAAAGAAAAAAGAAAAAAGAAAAAAGAAAAGAAAAAAAGAAAAGAAAAAAAGAAAAAAAAAAAGGCGCAATTTCTGTGGGAATTCACATTACCACCGCCTTTTCCTTCGCAGCTGCAACAGCTCTGGCTCTCACTTCCATGTTAAATCAGGTCTAAAGCACAAAGTCGAAAATGAACAGAACGCTACTGAATTTAGCCAGAGATCTGGAGCCTTTTGACAAAAACACACACAGTATCACAGTGCTTCCTCAGTATCATCTCCAGTTGCAATCACAGGCATTGCAACTACTTCTCAAGTACTCTGAACATGCTGCACTACCTCTGAACAGAGTCTTCACAGTGGTCAGCTGGAATCCATTGGGAAAAGCACTGAGATTGGTTGGAATGAGTTTGCTTGACACATCTCACCAATATTTGTCCAAACAAGCTCATCCAGCAGATTTCGGATTTCAGGTGCATGACCTCTGACAGGCACTTGTCCTCTGCACTACTCTTTGCTCTTGAAGACAGCTGTCATAGGACCAGATGCACAGAAGATCTGGATCTGTATGAGAAGAGACCATGCACAAGAATCACAGGATTGGGCAATTGGCAGGTTCTGACAGAATTCATCAAGTTTGGTCAGGATCAAGGTCTTACTACAGAAGTTGTCAGGATTGGTAGGATTGAGATCTTACAACAGAGTTCATTGGGATCAGTAGAATCACAACCATATGACAGAGCTCAAGGAAACAACTGGTTAGAAGGTGTTGCTTCCCACCAACCACACAAGAGGATATGCAAAGGAAGGGGCTTGCCACTCAGATGAGGTGGGAGTGATCACTGTTGGCAATGAAGTCACACTTGGTTGCAGCGACAAAAGCAGGAGGAGGAGTGAGGATGAGGCAGGACACAAAGGGGACTGAGAGCAAGAAGCTGTAAGAGCAGTGGCTGGAGGTTCCTACACCCTTGAGGAGAGACAAGAGCAGTGTTGCAGACAACATGACAAGTGTCTATATATACACTCACTTAACCATCATAGAAGAATGGATCCTCATCCACTCTACACTTAAACTAGCTATATCTTAACTTATCATATACTTAGTTATTCTGTCAACAGTTGCAATTGCAGGCCATTGCTTCTATCATAGTGCATGTGTTGTTATCACTGCTACTTGACAACATCTGTAGGCAGTACTTACTGCAGTCCAGATACTGATTGATACCAAAGGCAGTCTCTGTGGCCCAGCTCTCTTGATCTCATACCAAAGGCAGTTGTCCACTGCAGTCTGATTATCAATCAATCAACTCAATCATGTCACTGTCAACATTACAGATGCTTGTGTCAAGACAGACACTGTTGCACCACACCCTGGTCTAGTCTCAAGTAGGTTTGCTAGGACCTTGATTGTGCCATGCTACCACTGGATGGAGTGTCAACAGCAATTAGTTGGAATTCATTGTAAATCTGTGTTACAATCTCCTCTCCACCCCTGCCTGGCACCATTTCTGATCTTCTGACTTGCCCCTCTTGTGTGGGATTGCCTCTTGCTTCTCTCCAGTCTCACAATGTGGTATGCTGCTCACACTCTAGGTGGCCATGGCTGGGTCCTTTTTTTTCGCCTCAATTTCTCAGCCTCCTTTTCCTCGAACCATTTCGACGCGTTGTTAAAGGCGATGCTGAAAACCCTGAAAAAACCTGAAAAAACCTGAAAAAACCTGAAAAAAACCTGAAAAAACCTGAGAAATCTGAAAAAACCTGAGAAATCTGAAGGATTGCTGCTTACCTTTTTACCATTACCTTTAGCGTTACCTTTACCATTACGACACTCTTGACCTCGTCTCTTTTCACCATCGCTCTGCTGCGCTTTCCTATGCTAACCTCATCTACACCTCGCACCTACTTTGCGCTCTTTGCTCGTCGCTCGCTCGCTTCAAGGAGCTCAACGGATGCCAATCGACGCCGCAAACCAAAGCAAGCTAACGAAGCAAAGGATCCCATCCCATCCCGACCCAACTCCCACTCCATCCCAGCATTTCCGCTAGCTTAGCATTGCATCGCATCCGTGGTCTCGGTTATCTTGTCCTTCTTTTGCTTCTTTGCAAGGCCTTTGTTCTCGACTCTCCGTCTCTCTGTTTCTTTCACTTGTGCACCATCCCGGATTGGCAATACCGAATCGATTGCCCGAGCATCTCTCGGCTTGATCGCTCCCTGATCATTCGCCATTGATTCGCTTCGTCTCGCCTAGCCTTTCATCGTCTGTCCGCTGCACTTGGATCACAATCTGCAGCATCCTCTGGTTCTTTCCGCTTCGGCATTTGACGTTGACACACTTCCGCTTCAAGCCTTGATCGTTTACCGGATAGCCTGATCTGCACAGCAGACCATTGCAGCCACACCGATAGCAATAGCAATAGCAGCTACGCAACGCAGCTCAGAAGGGAAACCCGGCCTCTCAGGCATGTCGTACAGCTTGGATGCTAACTAACCATCTTCGCCGCTTACTCCACTACCTCACTCACGCCTTCAGAACATCGAAACACCACCATCTTGCAGCCTTTTGCAAGCCCGATCCAATCACTGGCTATCTCTCGGTTTAGCATTGCATCAACCTTCGACTTCATAAGCGCCATATCTCTTCCACCACCTTCCTTCTCAACCGGTAACCTATAATCCCTCCCTTTTGCGATTCTCTCAAGTTCGACCCCCCCCCCCCCCCCCCCCGGCATCGTCTCGTTCTGTTTGCTTCTCATGCTAACCCAACTGCTCGCGCATCTCGATCGATACCCCCGAACGCCCGATTCTGCACGACGCTAGTCCTTGAGCTGATGCAACACCCAGGATAAGCTTCAGCCTATCTCTCCTCGTCCCTGCAACTGCGACTTGCTCATCACCGCCCCGATCACCTTGGTCCTTTACTACCCAACCACAGCAACAACAATATCATCATCACCGCCACCAGCTTTCTGACAAGGCTGCCCTATTTTGGCTGCACACCATGCCTCCTGCAAAGTGCGACGTCATCCCGAAAGAGCAGTTCACGCCCTTTGCCGAGAGGCGTGCTTGTTCGGGATGTCGTAAGATCAAGGTAAGTCTCACTGAGCTTATTCAGGCTGTCTCATCGCAACGCATGTCGTATACTAACCTCCTCCTCATCTCTCTTTCGCACATCCCTTCTCGGCATCATTCTCGTCTCACTGCTCGCTACTACAGTCCCGCTGCATCTTTCCCGACGACTCCAATAGCTGCACACGCTGCCTTCGTCTAAGCATCGAGTGTGTGGTGCCATCACATCATCGAGGTGTCAAACTGGAAGGTCAAAAGAACAAGCAAAGCTCTCTGACACCTTCCAAACAGCGATCCAAGAGTCTAGCGCAAGAGTCGCCAAGTCCTAGTCCTAACCAACAGTCCGACGCTTCCGCTTCGGCTGCTGTCAACCCTTTCTCTGTGCAAAGCTTGCTCGACACCACCTCGTCTGAACGCACTGCTTCCAAGGCGTTGCTCTCTTCCACCTTGCACTCTCATCTTCAGGAGGAACCTTCCGTCAAAGTGTCGACTTCTACAGGCCGTCCCCTCATCGAGTCGGTCATCACCGCCGGTCTCTTTGACGAAGATGAGGTGGGTGAACTCGTGCACTTCTACTACCAGCGTCTCAACCCCATCATTGCTCTGCTCGATAGTCAAATTTACATACTCAAGGCGCTCAAGACCAATCCGGACTATCGCATCCTGCTTGCTGCCATCTGCACCGTCTCGTCCAAGTTTGTCAAAGTCGACCGCTACCTCGATTCCCTCGAGTTCCTCAAACCCGCTCTCTCACGCATTGCAGCCGATGACATTCCACCGCAGCTCGAGATCATTCAGTCGCTCTCCATCTTGGCCATGTGGAAGCATCCCAAGGATGGCAGCAGTTGGCGAAAAGTGAGGCTTGCCATCACACAAGCCTTTGAGCTAGGCTTGCACGAGCTTTTCGCCCCACAGAAGCGATCCAAGCACGCACCCTCTCGATCCTTCATCCAGTCCCAACGTACACTCATCCAGCTTTCTTGTTTCGAAGATGGCTACCGTGACCAGCGTCACTTGCCACCGGCCATCGACCCGAGCCTGCTTCCAGACCCAAGAGAGTGGATTGACTCTTTGGGAGATATGGTGCAGGACATTGATGTCCGTCTAGCAGCTTCACGAGAGAATGCCAACATCAAGCGCGACTTGATCACACAGCTCAAGCGCTCCAATGCAAGGAGTCCCAACCCATCTCAGATCAGCCGTGCAACGTGTCTTCGTAACGCGAGGCTCGTCAAGATGGGCATTACAGCACAAACTTGCTCCAGCTCGGTCTGGATGAACCCACCAGCGAGCGAGATCCCATGCCAGCACTCGGGTCGACCTTGCTTGCTCTTCCACAATACCAATACCCTCTTCAACTACCATCGTGCTTTGTACTCGATCTATAGCTCTCCATTCTTGTCTGGGCCTGCATTTGCCCATGATCGACAAACGGCCTTCCAGAAGTGCTCTGAGCTCTCTGTGCAGCTTTTCGAGCTGCTCAATGGTCCTTACGGTCAAGCTGGCTACTACCGATACGTTCATGACATTGTCATCCTCAACTTGGCTGTTGCGGCAGTCTGGATCTGTGACAACTGGCGTGCCATGTCACAAGATCTCGCAATCTCTGCTTGTTCCGCCATCCGTCAGGCAGCTGATGCCACTTCGCCTTCGTTGGAGAACCACTTGGAACAAGGATCCTATCTTGCTCGTTTCTTGCGATTCTGCTGCAAGAAGCTGCCTTCGACCGTTTCCATCAACGAGAACTCACCCGTCAATGCTGAGGATCTTGTCATTTCAGAAGACGCCAAGTGGGCTATGGGGCTCAACCCTTTCACGCAGCTTTCGAATGCTGTCGGTGGTGCATCCTCCCCTTCGGGCCCTTCCTTCCGTTCTCCCTACGTTCCTTCGGCATCTCCACGCAATGGTGCAGGAATGCAAATGCCCAGATACTCCAACCACCACAGTGGCAGCGGCTCACAACATGCTCTTTACCACAACAAAACAGGTGGCAGTGCCAATAGTCAAGCTTCCGGTTCACCAAGCTTGCTCTCCACGTCAAGTCCGCAGAATCCACATGGCCACTACGGTGGTAGTGCTGGCGATCCCTCGGTTATGATCCACAACGGTCACGGGCAAATGGCTCATCACACTCCTGCAACAATGCCAGGTTCAACAGTGCAGTATTTGTCAGAGAGTCTCGTTCCACCTGCATATCCGATGAATTGGGATACCTATGATGATAACAGTATCATTACCTTTCTGCAGTCTATTGGTAGTGCTTCTGGTTAAACCAAGCAGGCACTGCTATCATCGCTCTTTTGCTCTCGCAAAGCGTTTTGCTCCAGCATCTTTTCATGTACTTCTGTCTCCTTCCCTTTCTCGGTGTTTTGTAAGGGTGTAAAAGTGCATCATCTATACCACAGTTCTTTGGTCTCGCTTCAATGCACACGGATTTGCTTTCTCATCCCTTCATCAGTCTATCCTTTGCTTCTCAGTCTGGGGGGGATATGTTGGAGAAAGCAAGAGCAACGTATGTCGGTTGCGGTATCCTCGATTGAAATCTCGGAATTCGGATTCCAAGCAGAGAAGATTCACTGGAATTGCATCACCTGATTAATAAAATAAGGCGAGACTCAACAATCGAATAATAAACCCTGAGCAGGTCCCGATGATCAACAATCGGTGATAGTCGGAGCACAGTAGCGGGGCCAAATGTCACACCTGAGTACTTTCTCGTGCGGATAAGAAGAGGCTAGTTTAAGTAACTAGCTTCTGAGGAAATGTAAAGAAGTATAATCCCAATACTAGCATTCGGGCAGAGTCCGAGCATGATGTCACTGCTGTTTTTAGACAGAAACATGTATACTCAATTGACAATGATAACTAGTTTGTATGATGTAGAGTGGATGGGGATCCACTCACTTGCTATGACGAGGAGTATGGTTATATAACCATTCCTGCAGCATCGCCTGCAACACTGCTCCTGCTCTAGGAGGCCTCTTCAACCCTGCTCCTCCTCCTCATCCTTCCTATCCTTTCCATCCACATTGTGCTGCTGCTCATTGGCACCACTTCTCTTGCTTCCTGTGGATGGACAGTCCTTGTGCCACCTCATCATTGTCAGGGGCCATTCCCACTTCATCTGAGTGGCAACTTGCATCCCTTCATCCTCCTGTCATCAGCACCCATCTGCTTGCACCAGCTTCATCATCATGCAAGGCCCCTCTTTCATCCAGTGGCAACCTCCCTTGTTTGTTGCCATCCTCTTGCCATATTGGCAATAGAGGTTTCTCTCAAACCAATTCCCATGAGGCCTGTTGTAGCAAGCATGGTACTGCTGATTCTACTGACTCCTGTAGCATGACCTGTGTTCCTACCAATCTTGACAAGTTATGTCATAGAGCCATTGCTCCTACCAATCTCACTGAACTCTGTCAGAACTCCACTTTCACCCAATCCATGGTGGTTGCACAAGTTCTCTTCATATGAGTCCCATTCTTCCTGTGCATCCATCCAGTCCCATGACAAGCATCCAATCCACCACCACCAGCAGACACAGCAGCAATGGATGACGATAATGGCGCACCTCAACGCAAAAGACAGTGTATGGATCTGGATTGACAATGCTGAGGAATGCACAAGTGAGGGTGGCAAAGTAGATAGCAAGATTGTTATTCTAGGAGAAGACTAGTTCCAAAGCAATGCCAGGCATATATGCTTCTACTGATGGTCTGTATGTGCATATGTGGAATGAAGTGACATATGTAATCATAAGCAATCGCAGTAGGGGCAAGGAGTGTGTCATGGGCCTGGGTGCACAGAATGAGGAAAGACCGAAGTTCATATGAAGGTAGTGCAGGAATCGTGGAATCAGGTAGATCGTAGGAGCTGCAACAGAGTTCACCAAGATCGGCAGTAGAATCAGCTCTATGGCAGACCACAGCGAAATCAGCATGAGCATCGTCGATATCACAAATCCCACCAGAATCTGCAGCAAGTGAGATCATGTGGCAGATTCTGCAGAGATCAGTAGTAAGGATGTCCATATGATGATTCACATGTGAGAGGGACCGAGCTCAGTGACATGTGGTCAGTTACCACTCAGGGGCCCACAGGACAGGAGTAGAAGAGAACTGTTGCCAGTCAAAGGAAGGAGATCTGTGTATAGGACACTGGCAAAAGGGACATGAAGAGGAGGAGCAGTGTTGATGAAGTCAACACAGCTCAGGAAAGACAGGAGGGACAAGGTTCGATATGGAGGAGGGGCCTCCTTGGAGATCCCTGTACAGTACTCGATGAAGAGGGTACTCTCTGGAGAGAGAGAGCAGGAGCAGTGTCACTGGCAACACTGCGAAGAGATATATAGTCATACCCTCTTGTCACAAATGGTCAAGTGGATCCTTATCCACTCTACTCACCAAAACAAACTAGTATTACTTCAAGCAAATAAGTATCATTAGTTCACAGTCAGCATAGTAGTAATCAATAGATTGCTCCTCATCAAAGTGTGTGTGTTGTATCACTGTTTCCTGACATCCGAAGGTGGTTTGCAGCAAACCAGTGGTCCAGATAACAATAGAACTGAAGGCAGTTGTCCACTGCAGCCTGGGGATCACTTCAAGCATTAGTCGACACACTGGACACTCATGTTGGCATCATCAATCCATACTCACACCAGACCATTGGTGTCAACATCAAGCTCACTTAGAGTCATATCATAGTCTGATCATGCCGAGCTACCTCTGGATGGAGTGTCCACAGTGGTTAGTCAAAATCTGTCATAACAATAATACAACTACAGTTTCTAATGAGAAAGGTGACAGAGAAGGCTCTGTCACATATTTCACTAAGAATCGAAATACCATTAGTGCTGTCGCATAATTTGACAGAATTGGTGATAGTACTGGTACTACTACTGATCTCAGGTTTCAGGCACATGACCACTGACATTAGAGTGGATCGTTCAAGCAGCACCCCACGATCACAATGATGGACCAAGGCCTCAACGATAAGCTTGACCAGCTTCTAGCACTATTGGAAGCCCAGCTCGAGCTCACCAGGCAAGGCCAACGAGAAGAATGACTTCACTGTGCTCACCTAAGCAGAGAAGAGATGATTGAGTTCTCACCATCAGTAGAGCAGGTAGGAGGTGATGAATCCATGATAGGAGATCCCCAAACTCCTACACTGGCACCACGACCAAGATGATCTGTCTCGTTCGCTGGTGCAGAAGAGCAGGACAACATCAATTATGAAAAGTACGCCTCACCCACCAGGCCAAAGTATTTCAAACCCAGGGTGGAACTGTATAGTAGGACTAGGATGGAACCTTATGTCCCAGACTTGGAGGAGGATCCTAGTGTATTGGCAGATCTCTCTCGATCAAAGCCAATCGCCACACCCTTTCCTAAGTTTAATCCATGAGATGTGGGGATATTCATTCTCAAAGCCGAAGCCTGGTTTAAGTTTAACCAGGTATATGAGCAAACAAGAATGATCAACCACATGGGCTCTCAATTGGAAGGGAATGCACAGGAGTGGTGGACCTCCAAGCTCCGGATTGACAGGGCATGTGAAGGAAGGTTATTCAATGACTGGCACTACTTCACAGAGTGACTGTCAGAACAATTCAATCCCCGGAATGCTAGAATGGAAGCCTACAACAAGCTGTTGGCTCTCAAACTCACTAGCAATGCACCCAGTGCTGCCACATGCCATGTGGAACATTTCAGAGACTTGGAAGGGCAAGTCAATCTGGATGATAACAAACTCATCATTGACTTGTTCAGAGGCAGTATCACATGTAGTCTGCAAGAAAAGTTTGAGCATAACCCACCTGCAAAGAGGTGGGGATGGTACCAAGAGGTCGAAGATATTGACCAACAGAGGATGCTGCTACAGCAGTCCTCTGCTAGGCACCTGAGCACTGCTCCTCCACAATTGAACCTGGGAATCTGACCAATGCCACCCGCTCAGAGCTCATTCCCCATTTGGCTACTGACACAAAGAAACTCTGCTTGACCACCAGCACAAACAATGGCAGGAAACCCAAGCAGACCAACTAATCAGTTGCTGCCTCAGCATTATGTACTGGGCCTGAAACAAGGAAGCCCCACAGTACCAGGCAATAGCACTTGCCATATTTGCAAAGGCATCAGACATTGGGCCAGAGACTGCCCAAGCAAGAGGGCAGACCCTCTGGGCCCACGACCTTTGGGTCCAAGAGTCATGGTAACCATGGAAGATCCCTTTGAGGAAGGGGCCACTGACTCAGGGGATGGGCATACAGGCAGCACTGAAACGAGCGACCCTGATGACCTAGACTTCAGTCAATACCAAGTTCCTAATGATGCTAATCATGAGGAACCCCAAGATGACAATGACGAGGGAAACAACAGTGGGGCAATGCACTGATGGCACGCATGGCTCTACAAACCTCCTCACCATCGTTGTGTATATATCAAGATTGCCAAATATGTTTCTCCACCAGCAAAGGAAAAGCAGTATTAGAGCTTACAGGAACAGTCCAAGACCATCCTGCTTGTATACTTGCTGACACTGGTGCTGGCTTGTCCATAGTTTCAGATTCCTTTATCAGTAAGTACCTAATACCAACAAAACCCTCAAAAACAAGATTGATTCATTGTGTCACCAGACACCAGCTCGTTATCAATAGTGCCACAACCATACAGGTAGTTATTGGCAAGCACAGCCTAGGTGTAGTCAAAGTATTGGTAACTGATACCACCAACTACAACCTTATATTGGGATTCACTGAGCTAAGAAGGCTCAAGCCCACCATATGATGGGACACAGGCCAACTGGAGTTCAAGTCCCAGGACTGAAAATGACCCCCTGAAGCTGCCACAACTAGGGGTTTACAATCAAAAGTGTTGAAATCAGTCATAGTAGCAGAACTGTCACAGAATTCGACGAAAGCTGCCACAACAGGTGAGCAAAAACAGGAGCTTGCCATAAGAGACAGCTTATCACTGATTTCAATGAAATCTGTGGTAATGGGCTCCTACAAAGAAAAAATGGCATGACCAACCATGCATGGAAATGAGTTCATCTCAGCGAAGTGCTTACTTCAGGCAGCTTTAGAGGATGCACCCATAGGGTTCATGTTATTGGAAGTACCACCCTCATCACTCCCAGCCTTCAGTTTTGTTCCTACCAGCACCGACAAAGGAATAGAGATGGAGGTTGAAATCAAGAAGAAGGTGATGGCAGTGGATATACCAAAGCTGTACCAACATCTTCATGATGTGTTCAATGAGGTGGAAGCA